CGTCATTGTCGTTGCTTCAAGGTTGTGCCCGGACAGACGGAGGTACAGCCAGGTATGGAGGACCTGATCCCCAGGTACACTAGCAATGCATAGCGTGAACTAACGAACGAACACCTCCAGCACCATGCATTTCCTTGCGTAACGCCTTGCAGGCGATGACTGCCACTGCCTGCCTATCGCTCTGCGGCCAGTGAGGTCGGGCTGGTGACGCGAGCTCGTGTGCAGGTACGCGGGGGGGCTTGTGCTTCGTCAATGTTCGCTCCCACAAAACTCCGCCCTCTGTTTGAATCTTTTGAGACAATCTCATCATGTCCCTTGGTACCTTGTCGGCCATGCTTGGTTCAGCGTCATGCTACAGGTTCCCGGGGCCGCAAGTTGGGACCAGAGGGAAAGGGTATGTTTCAGTGCCAGCCGCCACTGATCTGAAAAGGCAATTCTTTTCGGACTGACAAGGGTCGCGAATCAGAAACAGCCCACTGGCTCCGGGTGAAAGGTCGATGCCATCCGGGCCTCATTATTGGCCATCCACGCAACTCCAAGGGGAAGTGGGAGGACAAGACCAAAGGGGCTTCCGATTCGGTTCCAGCTGGTCGACAACCGCCCGGCACTCGCCGAGGCAGCAGGAACACAGGAGTAACCAAGGAGCTTGCGGCGGCGGCGGCGGCGGCGGCGGCGGCGGTAACTGGAAATATGGACCAATATCGATTTCACGGGGTCGACAGTGATGGTCATTCTGTCATTCCAATACTCCAGCCCACGGTGCTTCCGAGTCTGACTTCTCCTCCCACCAACAGCCGATTCTGTGGTAACGACCCTTCGATCCAGACTCGCCCAGATCCCGCTCGCTCGGTAGCCACCAACTCCACCGACCGAACGTTTGGATAGGAAAATTTGTTCCACGACGAACTTTGCTGCCAGGCATGCTTGACCTGCAGCAGCAGCAGCAGCAGCGGCGCCGCGGCGGCGGCATAGACGATGGCGGCGTTCCAACGCAACGGCAGTACAGATGATGGGCCATGATGACTTGGCGTGGAAAATGCTTCCGGCGGCCTGGAACCTCCACTATGGCGGTGGAGGACGACCGATGGTGGACAGCGGTGGGCGGCTTTGGGTGTATCGGGGGCACCAGAGAGGCAGGTACCTTGGAGAGAGAGGTAGGCAGAGGTACCGGTACCGCGCTTGCTGCATGCTGGTTGTACCACTGTTGTATCTGCTATGATGAAGGGACTGCGCGTGAGGATGGGGCATCCATGTCGTCGAGTTAAGAGCATCGCGAGCTAGGGGGGGGCGTCTGCTCGGCGTCCACTGGCGTCGAAGGATGTCGTCAAACGGAGGCCCAGCTCTGCCGGACTGCTGCGAGGTAAATCCCTGTCGGGGCGTGTGGTGGGTTGCGTCGTCTTTTGCGTTGTTTTGGAGTCGTATTGGCAAGGCTCTTCGTTCGATGGCTCCAGAATTCGACACAAGGGCAAATCAGACGCGGTGCCCGTCGTTTTCCTTGGGACCGTCTGGGGCCGTTTCCAGGACAACTAACCGAGGATAGCTCGTACCGGTACTGACCTCGATGCTAGCTGAGCTTTGCGTGCTCCATCGACCTTGCGCACATGGCGGCGGGGTTGAGGCGCTGGGCCCATGGATTAGCCGGACAACGGTACCGGTACTTCCTTCCTCGTTCTCGTACGGACCCGTGTACTGTACACGCCAAAGTCGTGACACGATCCCAAGGGCCATCTTTGCAATATGATTGGCTGGAAGCTTCGAAAGCCGAGCGAGTTTACTTTTTTTTTTTTTTTTTTTAATTTTTTCCTTCGATTCTTCCAGTTCCCTTTCGTGCCTCATCAGACGGATTCACCAAGAGATTTCCGGTATGCCATGGCATGGATACCTCGAATCGGCAGTCAATGACACGGACATCAAAGTTCTGCATCTTTCAATTGTCTTTCAGAAACCCATCTACCGGTCCTTTTCTCGTTGCTTAGTCGTCCACGCGTACATGCTGCAACAGGCCTGCAATTCAACCTTTTTCTGCTGTGCAATCGGCTTCGTTGTGTCTTGGGTGCATGCTAAGAGATTTAAGGGGCCGGTCAGGTTCGGCCGTTGAGAAACGAAGCTCTGGCGCACAGCTTTGAGTTCATGTGGGATCCGACCCATTGGCTGGTCATGTTCACAGACATACACCTCTATAATTACCGACCAATGTCTTCGGCGTACACTACATCGCCGCCCGAGTTCATGGTCGACTCGATCGCCACCGCTGAGTCCTGTCAGAAGCCATCCGATCTGGCGACCCCGGGTCTCCTCCGCTGGTCGTGATGTTGTGTTTGGCTCCGACTTCGCTTTGATCTATGTTTCCGTGGTTACCGGAGATGCCATTCTTCCACTTCGTTGTCGGTGGACTCGCAATGCCTGGCCTTTTGCCTCTGTGGATGACAGTGGACTTGGTTACCTCTCGCCCATGCGCTACGGTCATGCGCTCAATGCGGTCGAATTCCTATCACGACCCCAGCTGACTGCTCTATCTAAGTCTCGGTCCTAAACTCCAATTGCCTACATATCCGGCTTGCAGCTTGCGTTGCTGGCATGCCAACGCCTGCTTAAATAACGGCCCAATGTTCAAGATACAACTGATTGCGCAGATCTTGGGTTGCAACTCTTCGGAGAAAGTTAAGCGAGTCTCAGAATCTCACTTGTCTTTGCCAGACTCACTCGGGGGAATCTCCGGTGGACAACTACTCGACAGCTCAAACCGAACTTTGGAGAGTCGATTTTGCTGATTACCGATTCGAATTTGTGGATTCACGGGCACGGCAAACGAAATACCGATCGAATTGTGCTTACTGTACCAAGTACGAACGCCTTTGTCGATCCTTGGATAGAACGGCCCAATTCCAAACCATGACCAGCTGAAACCGACGACAAACTCGTCTAAACTCCGTAGCCGTTGGGAAAATCCGGATAGTGCCCGCATTTGTTTTCGCCAATAACCTCCACGAAACGGCATCACCAAATTCCATGTTTTCCACTTCATGAGTCAATTCCATTGATAATCATGCTGTTTCCTCCATCTGATATCAACTGGCTCCATAGTTCGCGTGGTTAGGTATGACCTGTCGCAATCGAGCCATCACGTTTCCGCCCACAAGATGATGGCTCGTACCGTTGGCACCAGTAGCTAGCTACTGTATCTGCTCGAACGATGCTTACTCACTCCATCGAAATGCCATTATGTTTTATGCCATTATTTTTTATGCCATTATTTTTTATGCCATTATTTTTTACGCCATTATTTTTCACGCTATTATTTTTTACGCCATTATTTTTACGCCATTATTTTTTACGCCATCTTGAACAAAATCCACTTGCTCGTATTATTGTTTTGATTTTGCCTTTTCAAAGTATTTTCAAGCGATCACACTCGCATGATTTGAATGACACAAGGCAGATCATGCGTTGTTCCTTCCCTCTCTACAACCTTCATCAAACACGCTAAAGTGCGATCCTGAATGTCGCATTAACGAAGAGGAAAGAGCAACTCTTTGGTTGTATGCTCAAAGACGGGCAGTTACCCATTGAATAAAACCAAATCACACAAAACAGGTCATTGGATAAAACCATAGTTCATCAAATATCACATCCAACTGAACTTCGAAACAGCTTCTAGAAGCCTGTTCGTCTCTGGGAAAACCCACCCGATAAACTTGACTATGTACGTACAGCCAAGGGTCTGTGCGGACCGGTCGTTGAGTTCGACGACGACTTCATCCTCGACCTCTCCCGTAACATTGCAGGAATATTGGGCTGCCCCTTAATAACCACCATCATGTATCAACACCTTCGAGTAGCGCCCAGAGACACCCAACTCCAGATGAAACGGGACCGCAGTCTTTGGAACATTGGACGAGCAAGTCCGAAAGAGCAGACGGAACTTCCCCAAGACTCATCAGCATCAATCACATGCACTGCTTGGGTCATTTTGCCATGATAATACGGGCTAAAGGAGCATACTCTCGACCATATGATGCCAGGTCATTTTATATCTGGAGGCGGAAATGAGCACCGGTTTGGACCTTCTGACTATTTCGACCTCATTGCGGACCAAAACATCGAAATTTGTGGGATTTTTGACAACGATAATACATGCCACGGTGATCATACACCATCTCGTAGGATCCTTACACTTCCCCAGGGTCCTCCCCGGCCGAGAACGCCTCACAGATTGCACTCTGCCGCCCACGGGAACGGAAATCTGGAGTTCAGAAAAACGTGGTTCTGACGGCGCGCGGTTAACCAACACGTCCATGCCCTGCAATCATGTCGTCGTTTCCGCCTAATGATCTGTGAGAGATGGGAGGTAACCACGCTCTCTCTTAAACATTGGATGTAACCCCCCGGATGGTTCATGCCTTGTTTCGTCGTACGAATCAGTGAACCCATCACAAACGAGAAAAAAAACCATGTCAAAGTCGCAGTGAAGCCGGTTGAAAAGGCCGGGCGTTGATTCGGTTTGCATACCTTTTTTCATAGCAAAAATAACCCCCTTCCACCCCTTCCACCCCCTACCCCGGCACACACATAAACTGCTGTATTATACACACACACAACAAAGTCGTGTCGGCCCTCCCCAGACAGACACGGTCTGTTGACCCCAAGACCCAACTGAAGTACAAGTACACACGTTCTTGGTTGCCTGGAACCGACCTGTGCTGAACTTGGTAGGCCCAAGCGAGACCACAAGCGAGACGAGACAACGGACTCTCACACGCATATCCCACATATAGAGTACGCAGCATGAGGGAATATATGCTTCCCAGAAAGGAAAATGAGCTTGGACGCTGCTGCGCTGGCGAGGGAAAAAAGCATCGCTTCATTTGACCGGTCGTTCATGCAAAAACCGAAAAGTGTGAGGCAACATGAATGGTCTCCATAATGCCTCCAACACATAACACACCCACCCAATGATACCACACACAAAAACGTAGTAGTAGTAGCAGGGGATAGGGCGACTATCTCTTGACCCAGGTAGGCATCTTTCTGGCCTTGAGATGGCCGTGCTTCTTTCTTTCAACCTTTCTCGGGTCGCGTGTGACACATCCGGCTATAGCAAGAGAAAAAAAGAGGGAAACTCGTTAGCAAAGGTATCATATCCCTACCTACCGCCATACCGCGAAAATAGCAGCCCGTATGGCGAGGCATAATCATAACAGAAAGCCAAGAAGACGTGTGGTGTGGTGTAGTGGTGCGAAGCTTACCCCTTCTTAATGCCGGCTTCAGAGCAGGCTCATGAGCCAGCAGCGCCTTGGCGATCGCCAGCGTAATGGCCTCTGCCTGACCCGTGGTGCCACCACCCTCCACCTTGACCCAGACGTTGTACTTGTCGATGCGCTTTGTCGCGCGCAGAGCCCAGACGGCGCTCTCGCGATCGTGAACCCGCCCAAAGTAGTCGGCCAGGGTCTTGCCGTTGACCAGAACCTCGCCGGTACCCTCCACCACGTACGCCCGAGCACTCGAGGCCTTTCTCCTGCCGACGCCGCAGGCGCGGCCAAACTGGTCGATCGGGATCGGCTTGGCGACGTTTGTGTAGGGTTGCACGTTGCGCTTGAAGCTGTCAAGCACGTCCTTGATCTCTTGTGGCTTGAGGTCGGGGTGGATCGAGTTGAGCCGCTTGATGAGGGTTAGACACCTTGCGAACTCGGACGCCTTGACCTGCTCGCCGAGCTCCTGCCTGATGTCGTCGAGCGTCTTCCAGGCCACGCGCTCGACGGCGGCCGCGGGAATGACAGGAAGGTCTTCGTACTCCTCCATGAGCCTTTCTAGGGAGAGGTAATTGTCGTAGAACCGGGGCGTTCGGGTGAAGTACGAGGGCGAAATGGGGACGGCACGGGCATGGGGATGGAGTCTGAAGTAGTCGCTGCTGAGCGCTGGGGCGGCGACGAATTGGCCATCTACATTCGGGTTGGATTCGTTGGTGAAGGTGGACAGCGACCTCGAGCCGCTGATGCGCAAAGCGCCGAATTGCTGGTCAAGCGACTGCTGCCATTGCGCCGACTTGGAGCAGGCCTGGCGGGAGCTCCGAAGAGCGTTGGTAATGCTGTGTCTAAGAGATGCCATCATTCAAGCGGCTGTTCACCTCTCGTACATTATCGGGCCCCGGGGGCTACTGGTTCGGGAAAGGAGTGGGATCGGGAGGGTCGAGGTGCGGTCGGCTCGCCGATGGGTATCTGGGGGCTGTCGGGAGACGAGGGCAGGTTCCAGTGCGGGCAGTTGGTCAATCAGGTCCGGACTCCGGGTCCCGTCTGCGCGCGTCGTGGGCCGTCCCGCGGCGGAACAATTCGCAAGAGGATTTTTCCACACCGGCAACCGGGAAGTGGGAGCTCGGACCACCCATGCTTCCCACTGCAGCAGTCAAGCACTCACCTCACCTCACCTTCCCCTCCACGCGACTCCTGCAGGTGTACACTACGGATGCAGGGGACCATTCAGATCCACCCGGCAGGCAGATAAGAAAACGTGCCCGGCAATCAAGCGGCACCTTTTCCCCTGGAAGCCGGACACCATGGCAACCAACAAAGCCTGGCACTAGGGAACGGAAAGCACAGACAGCGGAATTGTGAATCACTGGCCGAAAGTAATCAGTCTTCCACAGCCGCCAACGGGCCGGCGGGCGGTTAGTGAGCTCTCATGCATTCTGTCGAGTTCCAGCGCTGAGAGGTTCTCTGACGTGAGGGGAAGCAACGCAGCTGCCAGAACGGGATGCACTGCAGGCTGAGCAGCCAATTTCCCCGCCACTGGCCGCATGCCCCACCACAGATAAAATTTCCTCTGTTGTGTCTTCCTCCCATCGCACAGAACCCTTTTATTTGCTTCTCCGTCACCCCTCCTCTTCCCCCAAACCCATCTTTCCCTCATCATTGATCAATTATCAAAGATGGCTTTCGGAAAGCTTTACACCTACGAGGTAAGATGAGCAGAACTAATAGATTGCGGCGCTCGTCTTGACACGGCGGGCGCCTGCGGACGAGCGCCGACATTCTAACAGATTCTGCTCAACAGGCGAACCCCCGCTCCACGGCCATCTTGGCCGTCGCGAAGGCCAACAACCTCGACATTGAGGTTGTCAACGTCGACCTCGAGGCTGCCAACGAGGACTACAAGAAGGTCAACCCTCTCGCCAAGGTCCCCACCTTTGTTGGCGCCGACGGCTACACTCTCTACGAGTGCATTGCCATCGCCATCTATGGTACGTTTATTGACAAGATATGTTGGGCGTCAAGCAAAGACTGCCTACGCTGCCTGCCCCGCACTTTGAAACACGCACACACATTGCGCCAGATATCCTCTCGTGATGTGGTAGCGCACAACAACCCCTTCCCCCCTTCGACCTGATGACCGAGACATTTTTCAAACAGTTATCCCTATCTGAAATACGGTGTTGACTTGGTTCTAACTTCTGATTGTCGAACTCACTCTTTGTCCTCTTTCAATTGCCACGCAACTTACTTGGACAGTCATGGCTAACGGACAACAGTTGCTTCCCAGAACGAGAAGACCACTCTCCTCGGCAAGACCAAGCAGGAGTAAGTTGACTATCAACCACCTTTTCTCCTACAAGACCAGTTGCTAACCCGTTTCCCAGCTATGCCTCTATCCTGAAGTGGCTCTCTTTCTTCAACTCGGAGGTCCTCCCCCACCTCGGTGCCTGGTACCGCCCTCTCCTTGGCAAGGTCCCCTACAACAAGAAGGCTGTTGAGGACGCTCAGGCGGCTGCCCTCAAGGCCATCTCTGTTGCTGAGGCCCACCTCAAGAACAACACCTTCCTTGTTGGCGAGCGCATCACCCTTGCCGATCTCTTCGCCACTGGCATCGTTGCCCGCGGCTTCGAGTTCTTCTTCGACAAGGCCTGGCGCGCCGAGTTCCCCAACGTCACCCGTTGGTACGAGACTGTCTACAACCAGCCTATCTACTCCGCCGTTGCCGCTCCCTTCGCTCTCCTTGACACCCCCAAGTTGACCAACGTCGCCCCCAAGAAGGCTGAGGCTCCCAAGCCCGCTGCCGCCCCCGCCGCTGCCGCTGCCGCTGAGGAGGAGGCCCCCAAGCCCAAGCACCCCCTTGAGGCTCTTCCCCGCGCTTCTTTCCCCCTCGATGAGTGGAAGCGTCAGTACTCCAACATCGACACCCCCGATGCCCTCAAGTGGTTCTGGGAGAACGTTCCCTTCACTGAGTACTCGATCTGGAAGGTCGGCTACAAGTACAACGATGAGCTCACCATGACTTTCATGTCCAACAACCTCATCGGTGGCTTCAACAACCGTCTCGAGGCTTCTCGCAAGTACCTCTTCGGCTGCGCCTCCGTCTACGGCACCAACAACGACTCCGTCATCCAGGGCGCCTTCGTCATCCGTGGCGATGACTGGAAGCCCGTCTTCGACGTCGCTCCCGATTATGAGAGCTACGAGTTCACCAAGCTCGACCCCCAGAACCCTGAGGATCGCGCTTTTGTCGAGGCTGAGTGGTCCTGGGACAAGCCTGCCCTTGTCAACGGCAAGGAGTACCCCCACGCCTCCGGCAAGGTCTTCAAATAAACGATACCACGAACAAATTAATTTAAGGAAGGAGGCTATACCAACGGGAGTTTACTAGACTACGGGATTTTATGATGACTTGATGAACAAATATTGATGGGTTTTTATGGACAAGCCATTTTTGCCCCTTTCCTCATGAGCTCATGTGTATCGCTCGCTGATGGATAGTCGTCGCCGATGAATGAGTCTGCAGTAGATGCTAGTACCTTGTTGAAATCCCCCGATAAAAGTTGTTTTTCATGGCCAATTGCTATTTATTCCTTTCGTGCAATGCAAAGCGAAGTGCAGTGAACCATGCTCATTCCTTTTGAAAACTATCCACATGCTATAGCTGTGTAACCGCTGTAACAAGTCTATCGGGTATTATCATGTCCAACTGACAACTCCTGTCCTGATTCCTGATTCTCTACCCTGAACCGTCAGCTTGAGCGGCAGCTGGAGGAGAAGCGAGAGCAACGCCCTCATCTCCAGTCACAGCCTTGCTGCTATCCACGCTGATGTCAAACGGGTTCACCCGGATATATCTGCTGATATCCTCTTGGTGGGCTAGCGTATCCAGATACTCAAGCACCCTCGGCAGCACCTCCGGCTTCTCCTTCAAATCCCCCACAAATTCCGGCAGCGTAATGCAGTTATACGGCTCGCTCCTCGCCTTTTCCGCACTGTCATCAATCAGCACCGTATTGCCCTGATCCCACACTTCCCCCAACGGGTTCGCCCCCTTCACAGCCTCATCCGCCCACAGCATCGTCAACCGCTTGTAGCACTGCACCCGCGCATTATAGTCCGCCGGCGTCAGCCCGAACTTGTCCCGGCCCCAGATCGCCACCACCTGCTCCAGCTGCTGCGCAGTCAACAGCTGCCTGCACATCAACTTGACGTTCACCGGCCGCGCGCTCGACCAAATCACCACCTGGTAGTGCTCGAGGCAGTACCGCAGGAAATCCTTAGCAAGCGGGCGCTCGACAAACTTGGAGGGGCGCTTGCGGCTTGGGCGGTGCAAAAGCGTGCCGTTTAGGTCGATTACTACTAGCATTGGACGCGGCGCTTGTTCCTCGAGTCCCTCTTCGGCCTTGGGGACGACGATGCGAGCGGGTGGGGAGGAGGAGGCTCGACTTAGGTAGGCCTTGCTCGGGTTGGGAACGCCGCCTGAGGCGGCCGAGGGCGGGACGATCGGGTCGCTGGCTTCGCGAGGGATGTCGCCTTGTTGGTGGAAAAGAGAGGAGGGCATCATGCTGGGGCGTTGGCCGCCAGCTTGGGACTGGGATAATGCTTCGCGGGCGGCTGCTGCTTCGCGGGCTTTGGCCTTTTTGTTGAGCTTGGCCGGTTTGGGGGGTAATTGCGGCTGGTGCTGCTGATGTTGATGCTGGGTATAGCTGTTGCTGTTGCTGTTATTGTCGTTGTATTGTCCCCCGTTGTTGTACTCTCGTGAGTAGGGCCCGGGACTCCGGGGACGATAATACTCTGCGCCGCGAGCGTCGCTGTGGTATTGTCTTCCTCGTGAATAGGGTCCGGGGCGATAAGAGTCTGATTCCGGGCGAGTGTTTCTGTTGTTGTATCGTCGTCCTCCTCCTGAGTAGGGTCCGACGGGACTCCTGGGACGATAATAGTCTGGTTCCGGGCCAGTGTTATTGTTGTAGCTGTTGTTGTAGTTGTATTGCCCTCTCCGTGAGTTGCCTCTGGGCGACCTGGAGCGATAATAATCAGGCTGAGGAGGTTGAGCGGTGTGGTTGGTGTTGGTGTTGGTATTGAAACCTCGTCTTCCATCTGCTCCCGAATAGAACGGCGGCGGCGGAGGTTGTTGCCAATGTGGCATGCCGGTCATTCCTGGGGCAAAGGCAGGAGGGACGAAGCCATAGCCCACGACACCTGGGAGCGGCGCATATCCCATTCCATATTGCTCTTGCTGCGGAGGAAACCACTGTTGTTGGTTTTGGTGTTGTTGTTGTTGTGATTGTTGCTGCTGTTGCTGTCCAGCAAACCCCCCCTGGTATATCGGCGGGTAACCCGACTGGTAGCCAAAGTGATTGGGATTCATTTGGTCCACTGTTTGTCGTGTTTGTGCTTGAAGTTGCGCCTGCTTTGTGTTGTTCCCTTTCTTGTTGTCCCCTTCGTGAGCCTTTCCAACGGAAGACACTCTGCCTTGCCTTCCTTTTGCCTGGTGAGATCGTTCTGAGCAGCCTGGTGATGTCTCGCTGACTGCGGCTGTTTCCTTCCCGGCGATATTTTGTATGCCAATCTCAGAGCACAATTTATCCGCCTCCAAATTTTCTTTCGCCGTGTGGATGCACCTCGTCGGCGAAGGTTGGCCGAACAAGAAAGTTTTGGTTGCGTTGTTGAAAATTTTGTTCTGAGGCGAGTAAAAAAGCGATAATGGTGTAGCAGGCAACAGCTGACAGCCCTTTGTGAGACGGAAGCGAGCTGGTGGTGTGTTGAATATTCGTAACCTGCTCATCATTCTTGTGATGAAAAGGCGACTTGAGGCTGGTGTAAAAAAGTGCCGCTACGGACCACTTGGCTCCAATGGTTTGGAGTCGGCCTGAGTGTCTCGCGTTCAGCTGCTTGTTGTAGGTAGGCCAAAGCTGTTGAAATGATTTGCGGTAATATCAGTATCCAATAAAAGCCGTGTTACTCGACCTCCAAACGGCTCAAATGAGATGCAGGTGCACTTTTTCTAAGCAGTGATGTTGTATGCCTGCATTCGGCCTCATGCTTTTTCAGGGGAAGGGTGAAATGCTTCGGTCGAATTTTTAACCAATCACGTGTCGTGCGCGGACAATAAAAGCGGGGGCTTGGGAACTTCACTTTGCAGGCGGCAGAACTTTCAACGCCAATTCGACTAAACCAATCACACATATCCATCTCTGACTTCACTCATACACCACCTCTTACTCATCCGCCGTTGTCCGTGCGGTCGAACTATCTACATTAAATCAAAACCAGAAACGGAAGAAGCTGTCACCGCTAGAACAGAAAAGACAAAACTTACAAAGGACGAAATTTCGACACACAAAAAGATCACAGAATGCCTGCGGTTAAGCGGAAAGCTCCCCCAACTCTGGGTGCTAAGCTCAACAGACGTGTTCGTCCCAGATTTGAAGCTGAGCCCGACTCAGATGTGGAGGAGGGAAGCTCAGATGAGGCCCCTAGCGAGGAAGAAGGTGGCGGTTTCCACACAGGCAGCGACACCGAGGAGGAGGAGGATGAAGAGGTTGAGGAGGGCAGTGATGATGTAAGGGAAAAGAAAAGTGAAAAAAAAAAAACCTTATAGAATCAAAAATATGGCTAACATGCACAATAGGAGTCCGATGCACCATCAGAGCACGGCGGCGCCGGTATCGATGCCGCCCAGCTCTCATTCGGTGCCCTCGCCAAAGCCCAGGCCTCTCTCGGCACACTGAAGAAAAAGAAGAAGGGGAGTAAGGGTGGCGACGACGAGTCCGACGACGACGAAGAGAAAGAAGAGCCCAACTGGAAGACCGAGATCGAAAAGGGTCTGAAGTCCAAAGTCGAGAAGCACCACCGCACCAGCAAGCACGCGCCCGTGGAAATGACGTCCAAAAAGCCCGTCTCTCGTCGGCGCGAGTTCCTCGTCACCAACGACGCGCCGGCCAAGCCCAAAGCGCGGGACCCTCGCTTCGCGCCGCCGGGCCTCGGCGGCAGCATCTCGGGCGGCAGCAAGGCGGTGGTGGACGAGATCAAGGCGCGCAAGGCCTACTCGTTCCTGGACGACTACCAGGAGGACGAGATGAAGCAGCTGCGGATGGCCATCAAGAAGACCAAGGACGCGCACGAGAAGGAGGAGCTGCAGCGGGCGCTGCTGTCGATGGAGAGCAAGAAGAAGGCGCGCGTCAGGAAGGACAAGGAGCGCGAGCTGCTGAGCGAGCACAAGAAGAAGGAGAAGGAGCTCATCAAGCAAGGGAAGACGCCGTTCTACCTCAAGAAGAGCGAGCAGAAGAAGCAGCTGCTTGTGGAGCAGTTCGCCAGCATGAAGAAAAGCCAGGTCGATAAGGCGATTGAGCGCAAGAGGAAGAAGATTGCGGGCAAGGAGAAGAAGGCGTTGCCGTTTGCGAGACGGACGGCTGAGGACAGGTAAAAAAAAGAGGGCATGCAAAAGGTTTGGGATGGATGGTAATATACACATATATATACATACATCTATTGTACAGCTTAGTCGTCGGGTGATGTGATGGCTATGCTTCTTCTTGCAGTAAAGATGTTTGAGTAAACCCCTCCCTTTTTTTTTCTCGAACACTTGGCTGATAATTTCGTTTACATGGATGGGACAATCAGAAACTCTTTTGTTTCGTCTATACCTGCCTGTGAAAATCTATCCACCATATCATATCATACACACATGCCCCCCATCGCCTTACTCCCTCACTTCTTCCCCCCGCCATTCCCAAAATACTCCGTCTTCTCCAACGCCCTCTCAAACATCTCCCTACACCTAACCCGACTCCCCAACCTCGCACACAACAAGAAAGCCCCGCTAAGCTTCCTATGCAAGCTATACGTCTCCTCAGGCGGCGGCGCCAGCCGCTCATGGATCATGACGGGGATCTGCGCCTTGACCCTCTCCGTGATCGTCTGGTCCCTAAAATCATACACCTCCGGTGCACTTTGCAAGAACGGCTCAGCAAGCGTGACGACACTAGTAATATGTGCCTCCAGCATGGCCCTGCTTTCGTGACCGGTCAGGTATCCCAGTTCCTCCGACAAGTTCTTGACGGCCGCACGATCACCGCGCGAAGCGGCTTCCAAAAGACGGACGTAAAGACTAATAAACTCCTCCGGATACTCGCGGCTGGCGCCGAAATCGAGCAGCTCCAGCCGCTGCTTGACAGGGTTGTACAAAAAGTTGGTCCAGTTGGGATCCGTCTGCATGAACTTGAACTCGGTGATCTCGCGCAGACACAGGCGCAGAATCTGCGTGCCGATCCAGTCTTTTTGTTCTTGGGTAAAGTCGGAGATGCGCGTCACGCCCACCCCGTCCATCCACTCCATCGTCAGCACCTGCTTGCCGCTGGCCTCCTTGTAGATGTGCGGGACGGCGAAGACTTTGTCTTCCTGCCCGCCAGCGGCGAGCAGTTCCCTGTAGCGGGCGCCGCACTCGGCTTCTCTCAAATAATCGCACTCCCACGCGAGCTCCGTGCGCGCGTTGTCGATGGTTTTGTTCAGGTACAGCCCCTTGGGCAGGAGATTGGTGGCGGCCAGCAGGATGGCAAGGTTGTCGAGGTCCGAGTTGATGGAGTCTGCAACGCCGGGGAACTGGATCTTGACGGCGACGCGGGCGCCGTTTGACTTGAGCGTGGCGCGGTGCACCTGGCCGATGGACGCGGCGGCGATGGGTTTCTCCTCGAACTCGTCAAAGAGCGAGCGCCAGTCGGCGCCCAGGTTGGACACCAGCACCCGGTCGCGCTGCCACGCCGGCATGTAATCCGCCCGGTCCTGCACACGCTGGAAGACCTCCTGGATGGTGGGCGGGAGCATCTTGGAGTCTTGGATCGACATCATTTGCCCTAGCTTGAGGGCTGCGCCACGCATCCGCGAAAGGCGCGAGACTAGTCGCTCGACGTTGCCCGGGCTGAGCATCACCGAGCCGGAGCTGCCGCCGCCGATGGCCCGGCTGAATCCTTCGCCGATGGCGCCGGCCATCATGCCGGCCGCGAGACCGCCGTAGTTCCAGAGTCTGCTGATGCGGGAGGCGGGGACCTTGGACTCGCGCAGTTCGTGGCGGGTAGAGGCTGGGAGGGGAGAAGACCCTGTGAGCTCAGCAACCAAGTCTGCGTCCTCTTGCGTGAGCTTGGTTGTCTTTGGTTCTTGTAGTGGTGTGGCCTTGACGGCAGCAGCCGGGGGAGGAGCTGACGTGCTTGCCGGGGTTTCCGGAACCGGAGCTGGCTTTTCTTCCTCCACCTTGGGCTGCTCGATCTCCTCAACAGCAGCAGCTTTCTGGGCCAATTGCTCCTCTGCTGGTTTCTGAATGACCTGTACCTCCCTCTCCGCCTTGACCTCCCCCTCGGCCGTATTAGGTTTTGGGACAGTGGCGACAAGCGGCTCAGGGGTCACCTCCACAGCGGGAACCGTAGGCTCCTTGTTCAACTCCTCCAGGATCTTGGAGCCCTTGTTCGTCATGAAGATGTTGCTGAGATTGACATCGGCCTCGCCCTTCAACGCAGCCAGGTCCGCTGGCAGTCCCGGTATTATGCTCTTGACGCCGATCCTCGGTGGCTTGGGGAAGGGACTAGGCTGAGGAAGGGGTTTCCTGTCTGCCCATGGCGCAGGGGTGAACGGCTTGGGCGTCGACGACTGCTGAGACTCTGGTGCAGCGGCAGTCACTACCTTGGCCTCGGATACCGGTGGTGACGATGGGGGCAACTCAGGCTGAGCAGCAACCGGCGTGGATTGTTGTTGAATCGGCACCTTTTCCTTCAGCTTAACAACCTCCTCAACCCGCACTCCCTGTTCTGGTTGTTGTTGACTCTGACTTTGAACCACATCCTGCTGTTGCACCTCCGGCGTCGTCTGCTGTTGGTAATATTGCTGCTGCTGTTGCTGTTGCTTGCTCTTCCCAAGATCCTTGGCAACGCTGACAATACTACTCGTCTTACTGTATCTGTCGATCTGGCTGGCCCGGAGTGCAACGTGTTTGCCGGCAACGGACCGGGAGGCACTAGCCACGGCGGCGAGGTCTACTAGCAAGTCGGCGAACCTCATGTTGAGTGAACAAATTGTGACAAGAACCAATGACGTAGTTTAAAAGAACAAAAAAGAAAGGAAGGATGAGTTGAGGTATTAGTCGGCTATAATGGGATGATACGTTTCACTTCTCTCATTCGCATCCTATCTCATCCAATCCGAACGGTGGAGCTAGGTAGAGAGGTAATTTGTGAGAGTTGGGTATGGAGAATTATAAAGTAACAGTGGATGATGGGTGCCAGAAATAGCGGACGATGGGCGCTGAAAGTGACTTGTGAAGTGAACCGAGAAGGGACAACGCCTGCGCTGCCGAAGTCGAGCCGCAAATTTTTGGACCCGGCTCGGCATGGTGAGGAACGGTCCAGGGGCCCCTGCTAGCGTGGTATCGACCCGGAAACCTGGTAATGTAACCCTACCCATTCTTGACATTCCACCTCATGTTCCTCTGATCTTTTACTATCGTCCACTCATTGCTGACCACCTAGGCTGTCAATATTACATACAAAGCAGAGCTACAACGTAGACTGTTATTGGCCTAGTTAAGTACCAGGCATCTCGCTGATCGATTGTCCTTAAAACAATACACGATCTATACGGCCTACCAACCGTCATATTCGGTCCAAGTACCTAATCTCAAACTTCCGTATGTGACGCTAATGCCGTCTGGGTATCATATTGCTCCGAGAAAACTCGCTCCCCTCATCCATTCTATCCCTGAGTCTGTCTTTCGGATGTCAATTTCGTCGAATTCCGCAAGCCCGATGTCTTTACTTTCGGTGTAGCAGCCCTTGGCGTCCTCGTAATCTCGCCACTAAACGGCGAGCTAGGAGTCCTCCCCCCCGAGCTACCAATCTTACTCCATAACCTCTGAGCAGCAGGTGTCAGACCGCCTGAAACCCGGGGACTACCCGGGAATTTCGGTACCGGTGTACGGTCCACCTTTCCAGTCAGTCCCAGTTTCGCAGACGTTCTTTTGGACTGTGATATCCGCTCCACCATTCGATGATGTAGCGCTTCCTTCTTTCTTTGCTCTTGAAGATGGAACGGGTTTGGTGTTGCATCACCTGGACCAAGGTCGATAACCGGAAGTGGTGTTTTGGACGTGTTCCGTGAAGGCTCTGGTTCTTCGTCATCGACAAATGCGTACCCGTTGATCCTCGGTGTCTCGCCGCCTCCTCCGATGCTGGTCTCCGTATCACAAGCACGTCGATTGCCCGCAATCGCATTCCTGATATCCGAGAGTGACGGTGATGAAGCCCTTGTACTGTTCTCTTCTGGCGGCACATAAGCTTGCGGGACTCTGGTGTTTTCGTAAATGATCCTCTTCGGCTCGGCTCGTGATTCTCTCTGCGCCCGCTCGGCTGGCGTCTCCAGGACCCCGTCCACACCTTCCGGTGCGAACATCAGTTCGTTGTGCGGTTTTGCTTTCCAATGCGCTGGGGCAGCTGGTCGGTCGTCATCCTTGCTCTTGATCGCCAGACGGTCCTTCTTGAACCCATCATCAACCAGACTCTTCCCGCTCTCGAGCAGCTTCTGTTCCACCTCCTTCTGCTTGAGTTGTTGCTTGGAAGGTAACTTGTTCTCGTTCCACAGCCACGCGTACTTTTCTGCCCTCTTTTGGTTTTGCTTATCGAGGAGCTTGTAGAAACTCTCGTTGTCCTCGCTGGTGTACTTTGCCTGGAATGCGCCCAGGCGCATGTTCGTGTCGAGCTTGCTCTTTGCCTGCACGGTTCTCGAGGATACCGTACTCATCGGGGTGTCGCCAGCGTAGCCCATGGGCGTCTCGGAACCGGGGCCCGAGGTTGCGGAATGAAAAGAGCGGCTACGTGTCTGATGTCGTCCGGGTGTCATTGCTTGCTGCAGCCGCTGGGTGGCGCTCGAAATCCATTCTGGGTCCTTTGATTCTAGGGCGTCCAAGTACTCTCTCTGTGACTCTGCTTGTTGTAGACCTGGGAAGAAGTCACGGGCAATGATGTGCGATATAGCATCGGTGTAGCTGTCTTCATCGATGACTCTCTTTGGCCGTTTGATCTTTTTCGCTGGGGGCGGCGGTGGCATCAACTCGGTGTCGGTCCTCTTGCGGACGAGCGCCGTCGACGTCGGCGGTTCAGAAGCCATGGTGAAGTGGCAGGATTCGCCGGTTTTGAAGTGTTGTGGATTTGCCGACAAAGCGTCGGCTAGTTGGTTCGTGTCCCAGGCAGTGAGATGGGTGATACCGAAAAAAAGTGATGTTGGTTGTTGTCGGGGATGCAGTTGTCGGTCGCGTAATTATTGGAGGCGACGATGATCTTGGCTTGTCCTTTGAGCCACGGCTTGCCAAGACATGCCGGTAAGGCTACTTGCAGTGGGGCACGGCCTTTGCCTCCAATGAAACGTTCAGATACAGTATGAAACATTCAGAATCACACGTTAGTAGCTGAACTCCACTGTGGACCAATGCCCCAGTAAAACTTACGTATAAGTTCACGATTCCCTCTTCTTGTATCGGACCCCAACTCACATTTGACCGTTTGTCGTTTCACTGACTCCTCTGATGGTGATCAGTAAGCCATTACTTGTAGGTGACGGTCCTGATTCCAGGCTAGAGAAGCAAAACTTTGACAGGCATGTTACCATAGCTCCCTTCGTTGTCCCGGACCAGGATGCTTCACTGTTGGGACCCGTGCCTCGTCGTTGGTCGCCAACAAGTCAGGAACATGTGCAAGGGAGGCCGATCCGAGTTTCGAGTTCCCTCTTCATTTATTATGGAAAAGATCACAGTTTCATGACACTATCCCGGCTCTTGTTTACTTCGTCTTGCCGTCATGAGGGGTGGTTGATATCCTCCTGCATCTTATGGGGCATCATTTGATGCAAGGTCGTAATAGGGATGAGGTCGTACAGACTTGGGCATGTGGGGCTTTGTCGCATACCATCGTCTAGGATGATGAGATGAAATATCTTCAGAACGCTACAACCGAGATATCAACCTCGAAAGGATTACCCGTTATGCTTATCTCTACCACAGCACGTGGGATGGGCTTTCTGACCTTTTCGGATGTCCAGCGGTTCGGGCTGGCTTGATCATGCTGATGGTTCTGGATGGTTTGATTGGCTGAACCTGGGGGTTTGTTTTGGTGTGGTTGCCGACCCAAATGTGAACGACTGACCCAAGCGTCCGTAACACGGATTGTGGTTTCAAGCACGACAGAGCAAAGAAGGATCTCCAAATCTTCCTCCTGTTCATTGCCCGGTTTATGCACCTGCAGGCACACACCATTTTATTAGTAGCTTGCGAAGCTAAACTGCACTCAACCACGCATAGGTACGAACTCTCGACATACATTAGTATTACTACCGTCACCTCCTCGGCTCTTTGGGCACTCTTCTTCTTGTTGTCCCTTTTCCACAACGAAGCAGTCAGCACGCCGAGGATCGCAGGCCTTGACGTAGATTCGGTGTCAGGAACTCGACATTTGGACTCCTTCATACTGACCGAGACGAGCCGGCTGCATAAATAAACATTGGAGGGAAACCAAAGCCATTGCCCCGAGGTAAGAAAAACAAGGTTTCCCTATTGAAATACTCTGTTCGTCCTCCGGCACCTTCACGATTCATCTTGTTAGCCACGTCACCAGTCTTTGCCACATCGTGATTCTTCACTTTTGCTTGAGATTGGGCTGCCTATTTTCCCGTCCTCTTGTTGAGGCGACCTTGTTGCCCACCCTTTTTCAGCCTCCTATGCGCGTGCCAACGCCCACCTCAGCGAGACATTCCGATATCACCTTGACATCTGACCCCTGCCCCCCAACCAACCAATCAACCTTATCATGTTGATGTCAAACCACCGTTACACCAAATGCTCAAATTCATCTTCTTTCACTTGGCTGAACCTCCTTTCAGAGTTCTTATAGCTATATTTCTCTGGATCCTCTCCCTGCTCTACGGCTTATCCGCAGCAATCCGCGCCGCCATCATGAGCCGAGTACTATTCGACACCAGGGCCATGCCCGCCTCCCACAAACACCTCGCCTCCTCCTCGAAAGGCAAGAACAGCGGCTGGACCGAGAAAGTCAAAGAGAAGCAGCAGGTCGAGCAATCCGAGGAGGAAGAAACAAATCCTGCAGACAAGATGTGCCCCATCTGCCACGAAGATATCGGCTCTCCCAACTCCGAAGGCGTCGTCGAGAACTGGAGCGTTCTGCCGTGCGGACACATGTTCGGGAGCCACTGCATCAAGCACTACATCCAGATGGTGGCCTACGACCGACCGCAATGCCCCATCTGCCGACACTCGCTCGTCCACGGCTGCGGCCACCCCGTCCTGCCCGCCCTGTTCGTCACCGAGGGCCGCAACGCCGCCAAGGTCAACCGAGCGACGATCCGAGCCCTCGTCTTGGGATCCATGCAGCACGACTGCCCGTATTGTGCGGAGAAAATTGCGAGCGGGCAAAGAGTGGTGGCCGCGAGACACGGCAGGAAACGACAGCAGCATACGTCGAGGTGGAAGCATCTGCTGAAGAAGATCTTTGGTTCACCGCTGGCTATGGACCGCTGGGGCGATTCCGAGTACGCGACCGCTCGGTTCCAGACCCGGTTCGAAAGTCGGTTCGACAACTGGAATGGCGCGAGGGATTATGAGTGGGAGTGGTGGTGGGATAAGCAGGCCTTGACAAGTCTCAGTCGGGCCACTTCTACCAAGCAGAGTAGGGCGGCCTGAGCCGAAATCCATTACTGTCTGTCTGGGGGTGGTCTGCTAAAGAGGGAAAGATCAGATGATAAGTAGGGACGGGATGGCATACCTTGGCCTGGGACGGGAGTACATTTCCTTCTTTTCCACTATACCCTGGCTCACCCGGATGTTAGGGTGTTGGTGCATTTGTCTTCTCTTGGGTTGAAGTGGTTGCTTGTAAGGGTACAGGTGGGAAAGGAATTGTAGCTACCTTTTTAAAGAGTTTAAGATAGTGGTGACGTTATAGCAGGCAGGTACGAATGGAGTCGTGGATTTGCGGAGCTTATGCCGGGGCCAGGGCTATCTTACAGGGGTGCTACAGGCGGCAACCCCGCGCTAGCAGGGCTCTTAGTTGGTGATCAAATCCCCACCTTGCGTCAATGGCATCCAACTTCGACTTCACATCAATTTACGCGACGCGTGCGCATCTTGAGTTGCTCGGTTTACTTTTTGTCATCGTTTACTCATTTGTGGTATCCCTAAGAATTGAGTCGGACTGTCATAGTTATAGAGTGTCGGAAATATGCGCTTCAAAACCGAACTCAAAAACATCCGTACCTTCTCCAGTAAGTCCCCCGTCCCCAAGTTGCCCACCTCCTCCGGGCACATACCTTATCCATATCTTCACCATGTCCTTTTTCTGCTTCTAACCTGCGTTTCCCAGGACTTGTGGCCGCCCTCAACACTCTGGAAAAAATCGCCTGGGTCCGGCTCGACGATGACACAGTTAGGTTCACCGTCATCCCCGACACCGGATCCCAAGTATGGGCCTCCTTCTCCGTCGACACCATCTTCGACAGTTACCACATCCAATCCGCCGAAGCCAGCAACACCATCAACCTAGAACTTCCTCTGGGCCCTCTGCAACGAGCTCTCAAATCCGCTCTGAACAGCAACCACGCCAGCCTGCGCCTGACCAAACGTGACGGCATCCCCATGCTCTCCATGACCATCCACACCATGACCAAGGACGCACCCTCTCGTCGCGGCAACAACCCCAAAACCACCGACCCCATGGACCGAAATGATGACTACGACGACGCCGACAACGACCCCTTCTCAGAAACCAACAACTCCCTCTACCCGCAAGAATCCCTCGAGCTAACCCACAAGCGCGAGCGCGAAAAGGTCATCACCCAAGACATCCCCGTGCGGGTGCTGCACCCCGACACCGTCGAGACCATCATGCAGCCGAAAGTGCGAGAGCCAGACGTGCACATTCTTCTTCCTCCGCTGGTGCAACTCAAAGGGATTTCGGACCGGTTCACCAAGCTGGCCATCACCACCGCCTCTGCCTCTTCCTCCTCCTCCTCTTCGGCTAGAAAGGAAGCGCTGAACCCGAAATTGGAAATATCAGCCAACATGCACGGCTCACTCAGGCTGAGGCTGGTAGCTGACACCCTGGACATTACGAGTGTTTGGGACGGGTGCCTCGAAAACCCCGAGCTGGACCCGGCGCAGCTGACGGTGCCGATTGAGGAGCATCCGTCTACCAAGTACAGGGAGGCCGGGCCGGAGAAGTGGGCGACGGTTAGGGTTGATGGGAAGGACTGGAGCAGGGTGCTGAGTGTCGGCAGGCTGGAGGGGAGTAGGGTCATTGCGTGCTTTACGCATGAGCATGCGCTGATTTTGTATGTTTATGTGCGGAGGGCGGATGATGATGATTTCCCCGGGGTGGGGGCGGGGAGGGATGGGGATGGGGAGGATGTTGTTACTGTGAGTTTTTGTCTTTCCCTTTTGATTCTTGACAAAAGTTTGAACTTGTTGCTAACATCTTGTGATAACAGTACTACGTTACTGGCTATAGTCCTTAATTTTCCGGGAGAGAGTTGTGCTGTGCTGCTAATATACCGGGAGGAAGGGTTGGTCTTACATGGCGTTACGGACAAGGACGGGAATGGCGGTACAGGCAGGCTCCTCGAGGCTTGTCATTTCGATCTTGAAGCATGGAGTTATTGGACGGTCGCACACTCAAGTGTGCGTAATACCACATACGGCGCATATAGATGGTAAGAGAGAAAATAACCTTGGGTGAATATGGACAGCAATGTTAGCAATCAGTCCTAAGTATTAACAGAATGATTGGTATCACCGAAGGGGAAAGGAAAGGATTGAAGGTAAAAAGGAGTACCATATCACACCTTTACCAGGCCCAAGTTAAACAAAGGAAACATAAAATAATCAACATCAAGGATGTAAGTCTAGAGTCCCAAATCACATATCCATGATCAACCATTAAGGTACCTCCTGCTGTATGTAGCCTGACTACCCATGTTACCAATGTATTGTTCCAGCTTAGAGATACCCTAGGTATATTCCCATTCAGTTTCATCCCATCATATCCTATCGCACCTTCCCACCTTCCCACCTTCCCACCTGCCCGTTAACCAGATCAAGACGACCGACAGTACCCGCGCCCGACCTACCCGCCTAGAGGTACCTAGGTAGAGGTGAGTACATATAGCCCACCTCCCAATCACCTTTTTCCCATGGAAGCCATGGTCCGTTGGTGCAGTCGTGTGGTAGTAATAATATCAAACCTTCGGGAGTACGGTAGTGCGACACGACTTCCGCTGCATGGATATCAAGAAGCATCGAGGAGTACATAAACCGTAAGAGAGATGCCGGTACGAATGTGGTACAGGCCATCATGTCTTCTTTTTCCTCCCTCTTTCTCTTTTTTTCTCTTGTCTCTTTTTTTTCTTCCTTTTTCTTTCTTTTTTCTTTCTTTTTTTTCTTTTTTTTTTGTTACTTATTTTTGCCACCTTTCTCTTCTTTTTCTCTTTACAAACTTTCTTCTTTTCTTCTTCTTCTTCTTCTTCTTCCTACTTTGCTTATTGCATCGCTTGTTCGTCCATTAAATCCTGAAAGGCCATCGAATTCACATTCACACTCACATTAGGTTTGGTTATGTACTAGATATTATTGTGTGTGTGTGTGGTGTACAAATGGCCGACCGTCGTCGATTCTTCTATTTTTTGTTGTAGATACGATAGATTGAGTGAAGTGGAATAATATCTGCGAGTCGTGGCGACCGATTCGGCACCTACCTTCCTGCTTTTTTGCCATTATGCAATGCAATCAATGAAGATGTAAATATAAAATGTAAACAAACCCCCTTTTCTTTATTTTGGCGGAGGTTACTGTACCCGATTTGTTGTTTGCCAGCCAAGACCGATCACCGACCCGATCCATCCGTGTCGATGTCGAGACCAAATACGACCTTCCGTGATTTAACATCAACATCAACGTCAGTTCAGTTAGCAGGACTTCGTTCATACTCGTGAGCATGTCATGTGTGCCGGCGGCTGAGAGAACAAACCCAAACCAAACATAAACCAAACATGCCGTGTTTCCTGGTTTGCTGATCAAGTAACATAACTAAATGACTTGACTTGAAAGTTGTCATGTGAAGAGAGCGTAGATAGAACGGGGGATATAACTCATCGAGAACTCGTTGGATCAGTAGGTAGTGTGCCAAGTTCTCCACTTTCTGCTCACGAGGCCCAAAAACTTCAATCACCTTTAACACCCCTTAAGTTGTTCATTACTTGCGTACGTACACTTCTGTCTGTCTGTCTGTCTGCATTGCAAAAACAATTCCAATCCAATCCAATCAAACTGTTAATCTAACCTAACCTTTATACAACAACTACAGCAACAACAACTTGACACCCACCCACCCACCCAACCCCTAGTCCCCTAGTCCCCTACTTCTGCATAACATCCACATACCTAGCCGCCTTCCTCGGCTTCTTGGCCTCGCCCCTCTTCCTCGGCCCCGCCGCCCCCAACAAATCATCAATACTACTCGTCGAGCTCAACGGCTTGCTAGCACCAGCAGGCGGCGCGCTCGCCGCACTCGTGCTGGACATTGTACGCTGCAGCGCCGAGGGCATACCCGGTGACAAGAGTCCCGCACTAGGCGGTCCGTTACCGCCCGGTGTGGGAGGACCAACAGCACTAGGCGGGCCTGAAGCGACGTTATTCTCCGAAGCCGAAGGCATGAGTGCGGACGGTCTCGGCGGACCGGCAGGCGGCGCGCTGGCGCGGCCGGGGGTGTTGGGAGCGCTGCCGCCCATGCCCATGGGGGGAGCAGGGCTGGAGGCGGTGGAACGTGGGATGCCGCCCTTGGGCGGGGGCGGCGCGGCCTTTTTGGCAGCTTGGTCTTCGGGGCTGGCGTTCTTGTTGACCCATCGCTTTTGCTCAGGGTCGTAGTAGAACGAGTTGGCCTCGCCCAGCTTGGCACGGATGGGCTTGCCGGGGCTGCTTGCGGCGGCCGCGGCGTCCGCGGCGGCAGCCTCCTTCTTGCCGAACCAGCTGGTGAAGCCCCAGCCCTTTTTAGCGGCTTTGGCTTCGGCAGCCCGTTTGGCTAGGAGTAAATGTTAGTGAAATGTTTGACGGTTAACCTGCAATGTGAGTGGGGATGGGGTGAGAGTACTAACCTTCTTCTTCAGCGATCCGACGGACCATCTCCTCGTTCTCCCGGTCAATCTCAGCCTTGGACTTGCCGGCAGGCTTTGACACCGCGGGGAAGTCATCGTCATCATCATCGTACATCGGGCCCTTCTTCTTCGGCTTGGGCTTCTCTCCTTCCGATTCATCATCCTTCGAAGGCTGAGTGTCCGGCTCGTAGGAAGGTGGCTCATAGCTATATGGTTGGAATGAAGGGGGCTCAAAGGTGTTGACAGCTTCACCACCTTGGTTTGAGTCACCGTTCTTCTTGGAGGCACCCTCCTCGTTGTTGGTCACAGCGGCCTCGTAAGGGATGAATGAGGGAGGCTCGTACCCGCCGTACGATGGTGGCTGGTAACCAGTTGAAGGGGCGGACGCTGGTTCATGAGACGGCTCATCATTTTCTTGGACATTGTTTTGCGGAGTGAAGGGTTGATAACCGGAGATAGTAGTCGGTGGCGATGTCAAACTTGGCTGAGGCTGCATGTTAGGCACAGGGTAGGATGATTCCTGTGGCATGGAGCCGTAAGGTGTATATGGCTGAGCAGGCGATGATGTACGGTTAGGAGCGTAGTTGCTGTGCGAATAACCCCGCTGAGAATCCAAGGACTGACGCGGGAGCTCAACTGAGCTTCTGCTGTACTCGCCCGAGGCCCGTTCCACTGACGAGCGAGGCGCATATGGAGAGTTCGTCTCATAAGGGTTATAGTTCGGAGTCGATGGTTGAGGAGCGCCTGGTGCGTAGCGTGAAGCCGTCCGGGTGGGAGGGGGAGAGAACATGTTGGGACCGTTTGTCACGGGAACAGTAGGCATACCATAGGTGGGAATGGCTGCACCAAAAGTCTCAAGATTGTTGGCAGAGGGCGAGCGACTGATAGTCGGGGTTCCTCCGGCGATTCGTGCAAAGGGACCAGATTCTCCCGCAGCGTCAGGTGAGCCCTTATTACCATCCTCGTTGTCATCTCCAGCGACAAACTTGTTGAACCGGTTCCACATGGAATCAGATACCTTGTTCATGCTAGGCTTCGGGATCCAAGAGTTTGATTCCTCCTTGGGTGCCTGCTTCAATCGCTTCGTCAAGTCATCGACATAGACCTCAAGGATGGCATGGTAGTAAGGAGAGCGCTTCGTCTGCGCAGTGATCGCAGCCATAATAGCCTCGCAGTACTGAAGCGCCTTGTCTCTGAAGCCATACTCGGCCAGAGCATACGCGTGTTGCAGTTTGTACGCCGCCAAGTGAGGATTGCTGACGGGCACGATACCACCAGCAAGACTCTGACCATACTCATATAAACCTCGCTCAACAAAAGAGGCTCAATCTCCTTTGCAAACTGGTCAGCCTGCCTCCTATGGTCAGACCCAACTAGCACAAAGTTGGAGTTAGGGTTATCCAAGCCACCGAAAATGGACTGGCTTCTGGCAAGCAAAAAGCAGATATGAGCCGCCTCCGCTCTTCCATAACCCGCCAGCAAATTGCCCAAAGAGTTGATGGCCCGGGCATCATCAGGAGTCCTGTTGCTGAGGATCAAACAAAGAGTTTCGCGCCACTTATCAAGACCACCCATGGCGTCCTTGGAGGGGCCAGAAGACGAATCTTTGGCCACTAGCTGAAGGCCAGCACGGGCATGGGCGGGCACCAGCTCGTCCACGCTTTCTTCGTGGTTGCCGGAGAGGACATCATAAAGAGCGGCGAGCGACTCATTGTTGTGACCGGTGGAATTCACCTCGTTCTTGACAAATTCCTGAGCGACCCGCTTATAGAGGTCAGGGTTAAGGGCGTTGGCCAGCAGGAAGGCATGACCCCATAGCCGCTTGTCGACCGCAGCCCAAACAGCCTTTTCACTGTCGCCACTGACGAGATGGTTGCGAATCTGCTCAACAGCCGAAGAATCAACCGAGTCGGCCTGAAGTGAGGTCGTGGCGGAGTTGCCCAATCCTGATGGGTTCAGAGCAGTCGCAAACTCAGGCTGACTATCAATGGCTGAAGCCTCCGGGTACAGGATTTCGCGCACAGCTTGGTTGACGGTCGGGTTGCCTTCCAGCACGCCATCGTGCTCAACAAAGACCCTCAGAATCTTCCAAAGCAAGAGCCTTTCTGTCGTCCGCTTGTCCTCATGAGACGGGTTGAGCTGTTGAGACAGGTTCGTAGGCACCGTCTTCTCCAGCGTCTCAATGCCGTTTGTCAACCAGGTGATGGTTTCCTTCTTTTTCGACTTCCCCTTCAAAGGACCAGGGAATTTGGCCAACCGCTCCTCCATCGGTTCTATATCCTTCATGCTCTTGATCTTGACCTCTCCTGGGCTACGAATAACCATGGGGGCCGCTGAGCCCATGCCATATCGCGGTACATCCTTGGGGAACATTGTCACCAGAGTTCCACCTACGCCCCACGAAACAAGTGGAACACCACGCCATCTCTGCAGGGGATCATGCTCTCTACCATCTGTCGGGGGCACTAGGTTGAAATTCTGAGTGTTACCACGCGGGCGCGAGGTAGTCGTGGCAATAGGAGGGAAAGTCGAGCTAGGTTGCATAGTAATAGGAGAATACAAGGCAGCCCGCGGCGAAGTTGTGTCAGCGACCGACGAAGGACGAGGGATCGGGTCGATGGGCTTTGCATTCCTGTTCCCGTAGAGCGCACCGGGGGATTGGGTCTGCGATCGGGGTGGTGGCGCAAAGTTGTGAACTGGAGCAGTAGCCGCAGGTTCATAGCTGGAAGTGGCCCTCTGAGGAGACGTCACCGGCTGCACAGTAAGAGACTGTGGAGGCGGCGTTCTTCTAGACCTGTGTGGCAAAGCGCCATGCCTTGAAGCCGTCGGAGAGGTCTGGAGGGATGCTGGGACTTGGTTGGGGGATACCATACCCTGCATGGGGCCCTCTTCTTCCACCTCCTGAGTCGGAGGCAGAGAAGGCACTCTTTGGAGTCGCAAATCGTACAACGAGTTGTTACTCCGCTTTTCCGCTAAACCACTCTCCCCATGGCTAGCTACAAGAGGCCTCGACTCGAAATGTGCCAAGGGACTTGAGGTACGGGGCTGATGCGGCAAAACTGGTGGGAGAACCGGTGGCGCCGAAGTAGATGGAGTGTAACCGGAACTCGTCGGCCGAGAAGCTGACGGAGCAGGAGAGTAACGACTTGACACAGCAGGCGGGACGGGGGTGCTGAGTTGTGACCCACTTGGAGGCGCCGGAGAATAACGACTCGAAGCCGGGGCAGGAACAGAGGGAGCGAGGCTAGTAGTGCTGGACGGTAACGAAGCGTAAGGGTTGACGCGCGGCGGCGCAACGAGGTTGGGAATCTCCGCATGCTGGGTAGGGGGAGAGTTGGGAGCAGGACCCATAGCAGAGGGCATTCCAGGAACAGGTGGCCGGGAGACGACAGAAGCTGGGCCAGCCGAGGGTGGTGGACCGTATGGGCTGGACTGTGCGGGCGACGCGGTCACCATTGTATGTCGAGAAGCTGGACGCGCCTTGGTGACAACAGGAAGCTCCTCAAAGAACTTCTCCTTCGGCTTGGCTCCACCAGGAGGTGGTGGCGGCTTGACACCAGGCTGAGATGAGTGTGGAACGGAGGCAGGCGGTGGGGGAGGCAGGTGAGATGCGAGTTTAGGAGGAGGTGGAACGGCTGGTGCTGTCACGGGCTTGTTAAGAGTTGCCATACTTGGGCGCTTCTTTACCTTGACTACCTCCATAGGAAGATCGTACGGTGACTGGTAGCCACCCTTTTTATCAACGAAACTTTCGGCTTTCCTCTCAATCTGTGGCGGAGGAACCGCGCCGTAACCAAATCTCCCGGTTGGAGGAGGAGCCGAAACAGGGGCACCAAAGGGCGTAAGAGAAGGTGTCTGCGCAACCGTGCTGGGCGCGCCCGGGAAGTAGGGATTTGACGGCGCCGAAGTTAGCGGTGGCGGAGCGGGAGCATAAGGATTCGCGGCTCCAGTCAGGCCCGGAGTTTGGGTCTGAGGCATGTACCGGGTGGTAGGGGTTGTCGTGGTGTTGGAGCCGGCTACACTAGGCGCCCTGGGCTGGGTTGTTTCCGTTGTTGGGAACTCCTCTGAATCGTCGAGAAAGCCCTCATCATCACTCCCAAAGAAGGCAGCCGGGTCAATCTCCTTGTTCTCATTCGACGCCTCCGTAGAATCATCAAGAAGTGACAAGGTGTCCTCTTCGTCGTCGCCAAACAGTTCCTTCCACTTGGCCTCGACATCCTCGCCTTCTGGCTTCTGTTCCTCTGGCTTCTGCTCCTCGTTATTGTCATTTGTGTTGAGATCTGTGGTCGTTGCATCGAAATGGTCCTGGCCATGCGCCTCTACCACCGTATCCGCCTCTTCCTCGGGTTCTTCTTCCACTGTATCGATACTTGGCTGGACGGAGCCCATGTCCATAGCGCCCAATACCTGCATCGTCGACTTGCGTTCCAGAGGCTGCGGCTCATGTTCAGTCTCACCGGCACCTCCTTGCTGAACCTGGCTGAAAAAGTCGTCTTCGTCATTGGCGTCCTCTGCCCCAAATAGGTCCTTTGTATCATCCCGCTGAGCTGTCGTGTTTCCATCATGCACAATCAGGGGAACACCCTCTTCAAAACGGGCATCAAGCGCCTCGGTGGCCTTATCACCAAGGTCACCACCCATGTACTGCTGAGTAACGTTCCCGTCTTGGGCGCCAAACTGATCAAATCCATCGTTCTGTGTCTCCGACAACTGGCTGAAGAACCCATCATCGCCCTGTACCTCCACCTCCGTCGTCGTCACGAAGGAAATCCGGAACCTGGGGCTGAACAATTGGTGAATGCTCCAAATGAGGCTCGGTTTGGTGTTGCTGCTGCTGGTGTTCCTGTTGCTCGTGCTGCTGTTGCTCATCTTGCTGTTGCTCGTGCTGCTCTAGAGGAGGAACAGGAGGGAAGGAGTTGGTCCGGTCGCTTGCTGGCAAGAACTTGAAGGGGTCCGTATCCGCGCGTGCGAGGTTCCACTCGGGATCGCCGTCATCGCTCCAGCTCGGTTCATGGGGGATGGTTCGAGTGAAGGACATTGTACTCGTGTGCTTGGAAGCGACATCGGACGGTTCGTCCGTGTCGGCCTTTTTTGTGGCAGCATCGGTAGGCTCAGTATGTTCGGGGGCAATGTCGGCGGTGGCGGCATCTTCAGAGACCGCCTCGGTAGCTTGTGTATCCTCGACAATGGGCTCGGGAGCTTCAGGCTGAGTAGGAGCTGGCTCTACAGCTTCGACATCTTTTGTAATTACATGCGCTGTCTCTGTCTGTTCGGTAGCCGTATCGGGAGTGTTCGTATCAGTTTCACTGGGTATTTGGGCCGTAGCTTGCGCATCAGTCGTGGGTTTCGTCATATGATCGCCCGTTCCATAGTTGGGGAACCAGGCGTCAGTTCCGTCATTCTGGGCGGGCGCATTCCCTTCTCCTTCTCCGTTGATTCCCCAGAAATCCGAGCCATCTTGAGCTACGCCGCTCGAGTGCTCTGCCGTGTCTGCCGCGATGGTGTCGTCAGTCGGTAAGGGTTGTGCCGGGAGGTCGGTGGCTGAGTTTGGCATGAATGCCGGGTTCCATGAAGCCATGGTGGGCGATTAGATGGCGCGATACAGCGGGAGAGGCTGTATACGGGCGCGCAAGCAAGAAAAAGAAAGAATTACTGTATATATTAAAGTAGGGATCAGTACATGGGAGAAGGTGGAAGATTGGAGATGGAGAAAGGGTGTGTCTGTCGTTGCTGGCCAGGAGCTAGCTAGTACCGGACATAGTGGGAAGTCCAGGATGGGGCGAAACTCGATCGCTTGATCGCGAAACCGAACGGCGATTGGCGACGGGAATTGGGAGCGGACTTCTGTTGAGGAGCCTCGGAGGACTGTCAACTCCCCGGGCACCGGACAGACGACCCCTGTTCCTTCTCACCACGCCCAGAGTGCAATTGTCGAATGGGAATAGGGGCAAAGCAACAAAGGGACGACTAACTTGTAAAAGAACCAGGTATGCAGGCAGAGTTGGTATATTTCAACAGCTGATCATGGTGTTTGGTCAAAATAGGTAAAACGCCGGCTATGTTTCGTGAAAACAGAAAAAAAGGAGGAGGGCAGTGCTGTCGTCCTGTTTGCTACAGATCTCGAGAAAACGTTGGGATGGAATGGTCGATCACACGTGGGAAGGGCCAAACCTGAAGTTGTTGCAACTTGTCAAGATCCAAGATTGTGACGATGAGGCGCACCGGGAGCGGCCGTCGGAAGAGTTGAGTGGTGTGCCGTTGCAGAAGGTGTCTGTGTAGGTACATACAGCTCTTAGGCGGTCTGATATGTGGATGGCGGGGAATGCGCGGGGGATCTCTAACAAGAAAAAGTTACAACAGCTGTCCTTGTTACCACGATGACCAGAAAGATGGCATCGGCTAGGGGCATGAACGATGAAGCGGGAGCTTATCGGGGTTTCTTCTTGTTATAGAAGGACGTTATTGTAAGGAGCATTCTATAAATCTTGAGAAGTAACTTCTTAACAGATAAGCGCACTCCGTCCCTCCTGTATCATCACAGTCGCTGAAGCCTGGACGCCCCAGAGGGAGCTGCCATGGTAGAGGTACGGTACGGAAAGCAGGCCGCGCACACAGTCCGATCACTGCCACTCGCAACCACTTTGTTTGTGACTTTGTTCCGTCACATGCGATCGCCATCTTTCCCCAGCTGATGCGACACGACGGATTATATGCGACTACGACGACTACTTGAACATTGTACGAATCATTCATGCGATTCATGACTGAAATATTTACCCAATAACTTACACATACCCACCTCTCGACTCCCGACGACTCCCCTTGCAGGCGCAGCACACGACACAGCACAGCACCCACCGGCAGCAGCAGACAGACGCACCTAGACTACCAACCACGGCCACTATGGGAAGGAGGAGTTGATCTCGACACAAAAGAGGACCCTCCCCTTAAACCCAAACAAACCAACCAGATCCGAAAGCAGTCACGATCACAGCCCAAGCTACCTTAGCTACATCAGTTAGGCCGCGACAGATATCCTTTTATACAGACTCGTGGAGGAAAGGGCTTCTTCGCCCAATGCGGAATGCCTTCTTCAGACCCATACCACCATCACTCCAAGCCGCCCGATTCCCACGTCGATGAATCCGACTCCGACTTGGAGATAGACCTCGAAGAACTCGACCCCCAGGCAACCGACAAGAACCACCACCACCACCAGTCCGGGAAGAAAGGCTCGTCGGGGCAACACCACCACAGCCGCAACTCGTCCGAACAACGCCCCCATCCTCCAAGTATAGCTCTTCGCAATCTTCGCATGGGTGGTCTACGCCGCGGCGCCAAACGCAATGGATATGGCGAGCTAGGCCGTAGCCGAGACGGAAACGACGAGGACGCCGACGCTCTGCTCCGTGATGACAATGGCAACCACGGTCGCCATTCGGTTGGTAGTGCCACCCACGACGAGGATGCCGGCCTTCTCAGCGAACATGGCGGCAGCGGCCGGATGCGCACCAGCAGCGGGAGACGACGGAGGTCATTCGCCAGTGACGGTCTACGAAACATCTCGATGAAGCTACCGAGCTTCATGGCAGGCAACTCGGGCGACCAGAGCAACCATAACGAGGAACAGGAACAGGAGGAGGACGACCCCTCATCGTCACGATTAGTTGCTGTTGGCTCATCGCAGTCTACCCGATTCCCACCCAACATCATATCCAACGCAAAGTACACGGCATGGAGTTTTCTGCCAGTCACTCTATACAACGAGTTCTCCTTCTTCTTCAACATGTATTTCCTTCTGGTGGCCCTTTCACAGGCCATCCCCGCACTACGGATCGGCTATCTCTCCACCTACGTTGCACCCTTGGCATTCGTCCTGTTCATCACCCTGGCAAAGGAGGCTTACGACGATATCGAGAGGAGGAGGAGAGATAACGAGGCGAATTCCGAAGAGTACACGGTTGTGCAGTTTGAGGATCCAGGGGCAAGCTTGGGGATAAACCGGCCCAGGAGGAAGATGAAATCGTCGCATACACGAAAGGGCTCCAAACGTCTTGGCGTGGAAGTGGAAACTGACCGGTTGTCGGATATCCAGGAGGAGGAGGAACAGGCTGAAGGTCAGGGTCTTCGCAAACTACCGGCATCCTACGTTTCGGAAATCAGCAAAAAATCAAAGGACCTCAAGGTCGGTGATGTCTTGAAGCTTACCAAGGGCCATCGTGTTCCGGCAGATGTCATCATTCTCAAGTGTTTGGCTCATGAGTCAGCCGCCAATAAGGAGGCCGAGGAGGATGCACCGGTGAAAGAGGAGGTACTGCTGCTGGACCATATCGATAATGACGATGCTGGGGAGGGCAGTTCCAAGAACGCGGAAACGTCTACGGAAAACGACAATAGCGGCGGCGAGGGAAGCTCTAGCGGCGAGACATTCATCCGGACTGATCAACTGGATGGTGAAACTGATTGGAAGCTGCGATTGGCATCCCCGTTATCTCAGAACCTCGGACTGGAGGAGTTGGTCCGTCTTCGTGTTACGGCCGGAAAGCCTGACAAGAGGGTCAACGAGTTCGTCGGGACATTGGAACTTCTTCCTTCGCGACAGGATGTTACCAGCGGTGCCTCTTACAACCCTAGGGAAGGCGACGATGTCAAGGCAGCGCCACTTTCGATTGACAACACAGCCTGGGCAAATACCGTCATCGCATCGAATGCAACAACCCTCGCCGTGATTATATATACCGGACCCCAAACCCGCTCAGCTCTGTCCACATCACCTTCGCGGTCAAAGACCGGTCTTCTGGAGTACGAAATCAACTCACTCACCAAAATTCTCTGTTTCCTGACGTTGTTCCTCTCGATTGTTCTTGTTGCGCTGGAAGGCTTCAGCACAGCCAAGGGAAACGTCTGGTACGTTAAGATCATGAGATTCCTGGTATTGTTTTCCACCATTGTTCCCATCAGTCTCCGTGTCAACTTGGATCTCGGCAAGTCTGTCTACTCATGGTTTATCCAAAGAGATCCCGGCATCCCCGGGGCTGTCGTGCGAACCAGTACGATTCCAGAGGATTTGGGACGGATAGAGTATCTGCTGAGCGACAAGACGGGCACTCTAACCCAAAATGAAATGGAGATGAAGAAGATCCATGTCGGAACTGTCTCGTATGCCAACGAAGCGATGGACGAGGTTGCCACCTACGTGAAGCAAGGGTTCAACCTGAGCTCATCAGCCTCTTCTGCAAGCTTGGCTTTAGCAACCCCGTCTTCGACATACTCTGCCGCCAACGTGGGTGCTACGAGGACACGCCGTGAGATTGGGTCGCGCGTCCGCGATGTCGTCCTAGCTCTTGCCCTCTGCCACAACGTTACCCCGACCTCAGAAGAAGACGAGAACGGTCAAACGGTGAACTCATATCAAGCCAGCTCGCCTGACGAGATTGCCATTGTCAAATGGACTGAATCCGTAGGCCTGCGTCTGGCTCACCGCGATCGCAAGAACATTGTCCTCGAATCCGCCGAAACCGGCCGGCCAGTGGTCAAGGTTCGTATCCTCGATATCTTCCCCTTCACGTCGGAGGGCAAGCGCTGGGCATCATTGTCCAGTTCTACGAGAAACTCCAGCCCGGAAATCCCAGCCTCGGAAGCAGTGAGATCTGGTTCTATCAAAAGGGTGCGGACACCGTCATGAGTTCCATCGTGGCCGCCAATGACTGGCTCGACGAGGAGACGGCCAACATGGCGCGCGAAGGTCTCCGCACGCTTGTAGTCGGTAGGAAGCGTCTATCTCTGAAGGAATATCAGGAGTTTTCCGCCAAGCACCACGAGGCGTCGCTCGCCATCAGCGGGCGCGAAGCCAACATGCAAGCTGTCGTGTCGCAGTACCTCGAGCATAACTTGGAACTTCTCGGCGTTACCGGTGTCGAAGATAAGCTGCAAAAGGACGTCAAGCCGTCTCTGGAACTTCTTCGCAACGCCGGCATCAAAATCTGGATGCTCACCGGCGACAAGGTGGAAACCGCCCGCTGCGTCGCCGTGAGCTCCAAGCTCGTAGCCAGGGGTCAGTACATCCACACGATCGCCAAGCTCAGAAGAAAAGACGGCGCGCAAGACAACCTGGACCTGCTGCGGAGCAAGACCGATTCCTGTCTGCTCATTGACGGCGAGTCCCTGGCCATGTACCTGACGCACTTCCGGCGCGAGTTCATCTCGGTGGCGGTGCTCCTGCCGACCGTCGTGGCCTGCCGGTGCTCGCCTACCCAAAAGGCCGAGGTGGCCAAGCTGATCAAGGAGTACACCAAGAAGCGCGTCTGCTGCATCGGCGACGGCGGAAACGACGTTTCCATGATCCAGGCCGCGGACGTGGGCGTGGGTATTGTGGGCAAGGAGGGTCGGCAGGCTAGTTTGGCGGCCGATTTCTCGATTGAGCAGTTTCACCATCTGACCAAGCTCCTGGTGTGGCATGGGAGGAATAGCTATAAGCGCAGCGCGAAGCTGGCGCAGTTTGTTATCCATCGTGGCTTGATCATTGCTGTTTGTCAGACCATGTACAGTATTGCTCTGAAGTTCGAGCCGGAGGGTCTTTACAAGGTACGTCTCTTTCCCCAACCATTCTCTTGGTCGCGGTCGCAGTCGCAGTCGCTGTTACTAACTAACATGAATCACAGGACTGGCTAATGGTAGGCTACGCAACAGTCTACACCGCCATGCCCGTGCTCTCTCTCGTCCTCGACAAAGACGTAGACGAAGACCTAGCCAACCTATACCCGGAGCTCTACAAGGAATTAACCTCAGGCAGCTCCCTGTCCTACCGCACCTTCTTCGTCTGGGTCTTTGTCTCCATCTACCAGGGCTGCCTGATCCAGGGCCTGTCGCAGGTTCTCACGGCCGTCGACGGCCCCCGCATGTTGGCCGTCAGCTATACCGTCCTCGTGCTCAACGAGTTGCTCATGGTGGCGATCGAGATCACGACCTGGCATTGGGTCATGGTTGTCAGCATTGTCGGGACATTCTTGATGTATGTCGTGTCGATACCGTTTTTGGGAGGGTATTTTGATTTGAAGTTTGTTTTGACTTTGTGAGTATTTTTCCTTTTCTTTACATCCCCTTCACTTGCATTGGGTAGAGGATTGGTAACTAATCTGGTAATTGTAGGGGTTTCTTGTGGCGCGTCGCTGCTATCGCTGCCATCTCGCTCATTCCGACGTATGCGGCCAAGGTTATCAGGAGGACGATGAAACCGCCTTCGTATAGGAAGGTTCAGGGGATATAAAGTTTCTTCTGTCTGCACCTTGCAAAAAAGGCTTGATTAAGCTGGGGTATGGTGGGATGGGATGGGATGGGATGGAATAGAAGGATGAGTGGATTGAGAAAGTTGTTAGTTGTGATGCATAGTATGCCCGGCGTTTTTGTTCTCACTTTGACTTTGAACTTTGAACTTTGACTTTGACTTTTTACACTAGACGGACTACTACACAGTTGAGTGTTGAGTTGGTATAGCGCTGATAACTACTATTGTCATTGTTTCACCACACATCCAACTTGTTCTTCTGAGACGAGACAAAGTGCTGTTAACATCTCTTTGTGAACACTGACACAATCTGGCGAGGTGACAATCCAACGGTAGACGACGTTTTGCTTGCAAGCATATATATACATACATAACCGGGAAGTGTGCTTCTGTATAGTCGCGTCACAGTAATCAAGTACCCTCGGCTTTTGCATCAAATCGTATCCAACTACAAAGACTTTTCCACGAACTGTTTATTCAAAACACTCTTCACTCATCCACACTCTACATCTACAACTACACCTACATCAAAATCCACATCCACACCCACACCCACGGTTACAAAGGCAACCTCAAAATCTCTCCACCCTTCTTAATCCCGCCCCTAAACAACTCCTTAATCACATTCCCCTTCCTGATCGTCTCCTGCACGATACCCTCCACATGCTTCGGCTCAACCCTCCCGTACCAAATCCCATGTCCAGCCAGCGGATGCAGCGCACCTGACTCGGGGAGCTTCAACCCGGGTGGGATATAAACAATCACGTTGCCTGCAAACTTGTGGCCGCCGATGTGGCTGATTAGGCCGACTCTTGCTCCCCAGACATTTTTCTCCGGGTCCTCTCCGTTGGGTGCATGCTCTTCAGCAGCAGCAGCGCCCTTGAGCACCTCAATAGCTGGGGTTTGCTCCGCCAACTTCTTCTCAAACTCGCCCCTCAACAAAGGGCCGTACACACCGCACCGCTGATCGCGTCCGCCGTGGCCGCAGATTAACACGATAACCTCGTTGCGGATATCCTGAATACCTGGACCAGGGATCTGGTCGGCGTAGCTGGGATCGCGGCGGAGGGCTTCTTGCTTGGCGGGCGGCGAGTGGGCGTGCACGGGGTGCAGTTTTTCAGGGAGGAGGTGTGCTTTTACAAGGGCTTTGAGCTGCTCGGGGGAGGAGGAGAGGGTGGGGAGGTATTTAAAGTCTGGGAGGAGGTAGATGGATGTGTTGCCCGGTGAAGCAGAAGACGAAGATGGGGGAAAGGAGACGTTGAGGACGGAAATGTTGTGGAAGGGCTATATAGGGGAAGACAAAACCTCAAGGGGGAGGTGGGAACTTACCTGTTAGCCATTACTGCTTTCTTTTTCCTTCTACCATCTCCATGTTGTTGTATGGTTGTTGGGCCTTTTCCATGGGGCTAATTCCATGTTGGTGGTGTGTCAACTCACATCGCTATAGGGACCTCCTCTCCCAATCAGATCGCGCAGCATGGCAGCATGGTTTTGGCCATCGTTGTCATCCTCAATCTTGGACGGCCAGTCGTCCTTGCCAGTGCAAATAAGAACTTGCTGGGCATGGGCTGGCATAAGCCCATTGAGAGGCGTGGTGTGATCGATCTCGAAACCCTCGGGGAACGTGGGAGTCGGAGCGCAGGAGCAGGTGGGCGACGGGCAGGTATCGATCGTCGGGAAGGTCGCCATTGCGCCTCTTGCTGCATAGGTGCGTCGGAAGGAGAAGGCGACATTGCTAGAGCGTGAAGCGCAAGCCCGCGCTGTTGATGCGCCCAAGGCTGCGGTTGCGACTCGTGATGTTTGACGGAGGGGGCGGAGGAGGAGCATGTTTGGTGTTGGTGGTGATGAAATGCGCAAAGCTATGTGGTCTTACAAGAGCCAATTCAAGACCGGGGACGTTGTATTTTATATCCCTTGCCGTGGTCGCACAAGGAGTTGGTGATGGTTAATGATGGTGGGTGGCTATGTCAACGGAGAGCTCGGAGTTACGAGTGCTTAACTGCAGGGGGAGCTAATTATCGTAGCTCGTATCGGATAAGATAAGAAACATGAGCTCCCGTCCTCGAGGCGCCTCACGGAAAGGGTACCCGGTCATATCAACTACCTCTATACTCGTCGAGTTTACCATGGTGATATAAACATACAAGTTTCAGTGAGTTTAGCTCACCTTCTCTTCATTTTATCATGTGTTTTCCCTCTCAGCCTGCGTTCATGTTACTAAATGGTCAGATAGTAAAGGGAAGCTGAAAAATCAAATCACATCTTGAAGTCGTCACAATTTCTTCATCACAGCATCATCTACAAGACCAATAACACACAAGACCTCTCAAAACCAAGATTATGAGATAGAGACAACCCTTCGGTGATAACCCGTTCAGCAACCATGGCCCGAATCAAACCCCAACTCTTCTGGCAAGGCCGAAAGAAACTAGGTCTCAACGCTGCCAAACTTCTTCCCGTCTGTCGAACCCTAGAATCAACCGCCAACGAGCTCCGTTGGATCAAGCAGCACGTCTCTGAAACACCCTCCATCATCCCGTTTGGTGCCCGAGTATGGAAGCTCTGTGACAGGCGAGGCAAGGGGTTGCCTCTAGCATACGTGCTAGGGAACCAACCCTTTGGTGATCTCGAGATCAAGTGTCAATCTGGGGTGTTGATTCCTCGGTAGGTTAGATATGCCCCATCTTATTGCTTCCTCTTCACCATCTTCTCTTGATACACTCACTGACTGATGATACAAAAGAACCGAAACAGAGTCCTATACCATCCACCTCTCCAACATCCTTCGCCGCTCAGCTATTTCCTCGCCATCAAACCCAGACCACCAACCCCAACAACCCCTAAACATAATCGACCTCTGCACCGGAACCGGTTGCGTCCCGCTCCTCCTCTACTCCCAACTCTCCCGCACTCTCCCTTTCAGTCATTAAACGTGGTAGGAGTCGACATCTCCCAAAAAGCCATCAACCTCTCCCGGCAAAACCTGCAACACAATCTCCGTTTGCACCGCTTCCCTCCTCCCTCTAACCTTCACAAGACCAAGTCCGATTCAGGTCCACAAAGATCAATCAACTTCCTCAAAGCCGACATCTTCTCCCCCTCAGCTTTAGACCCCATCCTCTCCATCCCTTTATTATCATCATCATCATCATCATCATCATCATCATCCACCTCCTCTACATATGATACAGGTTACACAGGCGATGAATGGGACATCCTAACCTCCAACCCCCCTTACATCTCCCCCTCCGGTTTTCTTGTCAGCACCTCCCGGAGTGTGCGCAACTGGGAACCAAAACTCGCTTTGGTACCACCTGTTGAGCGGGTGGATCTGCATCAGAAGCATTTCTACGATCATTACTACCCCGATAACGAGAACTTACTTCCTCCCTCGAAAAAGGGAAAGGGGGTGGTAGAGTACGAAGAGGAAGACGTATTTTATGCCCGCTTGCTGGAGATTGCGAGGACTTATAGGCCGAGAAGGGTGTTGATGGAGGTGGGCGATATGGAGCAGGCTAAGAGAGTGGTGGGGATGGTTTTGGGAGACACAAGGTTGAGGGGGCTTTATTTTGGAGATGGGGATGGAAAAGAAAAAGGGGCGGTGCAGATATGGAGAGATGATTTGGTTGGGTTTGAGGGGTATGAAGAGGTTTTGGAGGTTGGGAAAGAAAAGATTGTGGTGAAGGGCCATCCGGAGGGACATGGGAGGAGTGTGTATCTGAGAAGGGTTGGCGTGGTTGATGCTTGATGATCTATTCAACGGAAAGGAAGCAGATCGCTTGAACCTATGGTATCCAACATATTCTAGTTATTCATACAAACACAATATAATCTATGACAGGCTTCTAGATAATTTTGCTCTATATGTAGGTATCTTACAGCGTCTGATGGTACTGGTACAACACACCCCATCCCGTACCTTCTCTTCCCCTTCCCCATTTCTTACCTTTTCCTGCTTTCTTCCCATCCATCCACACCTCCCCATCCTCATTACCCAACTAACCCCAACCCAACCCAGCCCAAATCACAACTTCAAAACCATCCACTCCTCCTTGCTCACCTTCCCCTTCCTCATCAACTCGCCCGCCACCCCGCCCACATGTCCCTGCCTCTCCAAGCCCTCGGACCACGCCTTGGGACCAGCGAACTGGGCAATGAACCCATCCGGTCCCGATACCATAAGAAGGTTCTTGCCGTTGTTCTTGGCATGGTGGTCAGGGCATTTGCACTGGGCTTCGTGATCTTGTCTGTCGCTGACGTAGACCAGGACCGAGGAGGAGTGCAAGGGGCAAGAGGGATCTGTTGTTGTTGTTGTCGTTGTTGTGCTCTTGATTAGAGACTTCGTTTTAGAGTTGGTAGAAGTGGAAGTAGACGTGATAGCATCAAGAATAGTCTTGGCGTCAATAAACTTCTTCTCCGTGTCGACCGTGCAAGCGAAGTTGAACTGCTCCGGGTGACGGGCTTTGATGTCTTGGAGATAGGGCATGATACCGCCGGTGACAGCAACAGGAGAAGGAGGTAAATACCCCCTCCTCCTCAACGCCTCCAAATCCTCGCAATCAGGACAATCCTCCCTGAACCTGTTGGCCCACACAATCGTCATCTTGGGTGGTTGTGTCGGCATATTCTCCTCCATCAGCTTCCACCCTTCCTCTTTACCGGTTCCCCTTTCATACACAGGACCATATAACCTCCTAGCAACCTGCAGCGCCGGCGCGATACCGGTGCCTCCAGCTAGGAAGACCACCTGTCCCTGTTTCTGTCCCGGTCTACCCTCACCCTCACCCCCATGATCATCACCATCAACACTTTGCACCAACCCCCCAACCCTCTTCGCAACATCAAACCCCAAATGCGGGCCTCTCAACTCCACCTTATCCCCCACCTTCAACTTACTCAAATAACTACTAACCTCCCCCCCATCCATCTTCCTAATCAAGAACCTCAGTCTGCCCCTCTCCATTTCTTCCAACTCTTCCCCAACAGGCGCCGGCAAGGGAGTATAATCCCTCGCAACCTGCAACTGCGGCTGTTTAATCTCCACGCACCACAACCCGTGTTTCCAAGCCTTTTGCAGCATCTGTTGGTCCCCATTCGTTTTTTTGGCGGTGGCGGTGGCAGCGGCAGGTTCCACGCTCAAAATAAACGCCGTGGAAGAAACCTGCTCGCGCGCGACGATGGTGTAGGGCACAAAGGTGGCCGTGTTGAGCGTGGGCGGGGACCGCAGCCCTAGCATGTCTTCGTAGAGGATCCATGATGTGCATGTGCAGGCGGCGAGGGAGATGAGGAGGATTTTGGTGAAGGAAGGGAGTTTTTTTGGGGAGGGGTTTTTGGGGTTCGATGAGTTGGATTCTTGGTCGTCTTGTGTAGGTTGTTGTTGTTGTTGTTGTTGTTGTTGTTGTTGTTGTTGTTGTTTTTGAGGGCCCATCCCGCCGGGTAAGAGGGAGTATGACCTCCTGGTGATAATCCGGAGAGGGGTGGTGGTGGTGATGTTGCCACCGCCGTGTGATGATGATGGGTTGATATGAGAGACGCTGTATGTCCCTGACCTGCTGACCGTTTGGAGGCATGCTGGACTGGCTAATGGCAGACGCCGTGTTAACGGACGGAGTACTAGCCGGCTACTCATTTCTGTTGTTGCTCTTATTCGGCTCGCAAACGGCAGGAGATAAGTGTTGAAATTTTCACTATATTCCAGCGAGAGCGGAAGGTTGAACTGCGAGGGTATATATAGACAGGAAGAAAAGAGGAAGGAAAACGGGCGGGGAGGGTAGAGAGAGTGAACACCGCCCGAGTCGGAAATATGTACAATGGACCGACTGTTGTTGTTGAGTGGAAAATGTAAAAGTGAGGTTTAAGTTTAGAAGTGGTGTTGGTTTCAGGGTTAGGGTTTTGCGACTCAGTTTCCTGCGAAGGCAACGAACACTCTTTGGAGGTCAGGTCTCGACCGGTGCTCAAATCGGCCTCATGATACACTACTGAGTAGTTGACAGCCCGGTACAGACCAAGGCAAAAAGCAGTAGAAACTCAATCGCGCAGGAGAATTTTAAGTTACATTTGTTTGCGGTACTGAGGACCGGGTATCTAGACGTTTTATTCATCCTTTTGATCATTAAGTTATTCTGCAACAAAGTTACCTTGCCAAGTGACAAGGCTTCTTGTTCATAAACAACCTTCATCACTATCCAAGAGGCAGTGTCGGCTAACCAGCCACCGCCAAACTCTCATTGCCTCCTCTGCCAAAACTTCCACCACGGCTTTGTTCCTTCCCTCACCTCCCTCATCCCTCCCACCTCTCTCTTAACGGCGCTCCGTCTGTTCACGTAACTCCTCCAGTAATATACCGGCACACCCACCACCACAAAAGCCACAACCAACAAAGTCTGCAGTGGTTGGGCAAAGACGGCCCTGCTCAGCAGGAACAGACTCACACAGCAGAAGATGATAGGCGTGGTGATCCACGTCTTGTACGGCCTTTCGAGATTAGGTTCCTTAACCCGCAGCACGATCAAGCCCAGCACTGTCACAAAATAAAACGTATAGCCAGCGACACCGTAAAAGGTGACGAGCGTGCCAAACTCGCCGACGCACACGTAAGCGGCCGTGAGGACGCAGTTGAGCATGAGTGCAGGGATGGGCGTGTAGAAGAGACCGGTGTCCTCGTCGGCGACGATGCGGATGAGTTTCTTGGTGAACCAAGAGCGAGTGCGCATGGTGGTTAGAGATTCATGTTGGTCAACAGCGGTTCCACTACCGATGCGCCCAAAGAGTTCGGGGATATAGCCTTCCTTGCCGGCGACGTAAACGAGACGGCTGCTGGTGAAGGTGGAGGCGTTGAGAGCGCCGAAGCAGGAGGCGCTGACGATAAGAGCGAGGATTAGCGCGCCAACGGGGCCGAAGACCTTGGAACCGAAAATGACAGCTACAGTGTTGGTCGAGTTAATGGTGTCCAGGGGAAGGACGAAGAAGTAAGCCACATTGGCTAGGATGTAGCTCAGAATGACGAGGGGCATGGCCGTGTGAATGACCCGTGGGAGGTCCCGGCCGGGGTTGCGGAATTCGCCAACCACATAATTGGTCTGGTGCTCGGTTAGCAAGAGTCAACAAAAGGGGCAAAGTAAACTCTTACGTTATCCCATCCATCAAATGCCCAAAGACCGGCATACAGGGCCACCGCGAAAGCCGACGCATCCATCTTGGTCCCCTCAAACCAGTCATGCTTCTTCCAGTCGAGATTTGCCGCCCCGGAAAATGAGAATCCAGTCGCCGCAACAACAATGCCGATAATGGTAACGCCAAGCAATGCAACAAATTTGAGAAACATGAGCATATCGTTCATCCTTGTTCCGAGCTTGGTCGAGACCGAGTTCAGAAAGGTGACCAGAAAGAGTCCGACCAGCGCGACCGACTTGCTGATCCAGGGGTTGATGGTCTCGGCTTCGGCGCCAATGAAGGTCCTCACCAGGTACTCGCCCATGATGATGGAAATGATGGCAGCACTTCCAGGCTTCAGCACCAGCACCGCAACCCATGTGAACAGGAACCCGGCCAATTCCCCAAAGATCTTGGAGAGGTATACCTGCGGGCCTCCGTTTAATGGTATGGCGCCTCCCAGCTCTGCGTAACTTGCGGCGCCCGTCCAAGCCAGAATTCCCGCCACACACCACACGATGATGGCCGCTCCCGGAGACCCTGCGTTGGCGTTGACCTGACTAGGCGAGGAAAAGATGCCGGATCCGATGATCAAGCCAACAATCAGGGACAGACCATTGAGGTAGGTCAGAGTCTTGTGCTTCTCCAACGAGCCTCCTCCCAAGCCGCCATTGCCATGGCCCCTTGTTGCTGTGGGTGCGCCCAGCGGGGCATATCCGCCTCCGGTCGTCGAAGATAGAGGAAAGAGGTTGGCGGCGAAACTGAATGTAGAGTTCACGGACATGGATCGTTCTGGGCGCACACGGTGGCCCGAGGCAGCGTAGTTGCCATTGTCCAGGGGGTCCTCCCGCTCGAGGGAGAGCTTTCGCGACGAAGATATGCTCGGACGGGAACTGGTGTCGTCGCCGGTGTCGGGCCCGCGGTCTGAGCTGGCTAGAGATGCAAGTTCTAGCGAGTCGCGGCCGGGTTCCAGGTTGTGAGAGTACAATGGTGGCATGTCTCGGGTGCTGCCTCTTTGGGGGCGCTCGGTCGGTCTCTGTATTCGGGAGTGTTTATGTTGACAACGGGATCATAGCCGTATAGGTCTCGTTTGATTTCCTCGGTATGCGACTCGGTTGTCGAGTAGAGAATTGTTTCGAAATATGGACTGGCGTAAGTCTCGGTCAAGGTGGTTGGTTGGTATTAAGTGGTGTAATAGTGGTACTTAGTGGAGGGTATCTCTTTTTCGTTATAATCGTGGCTGGTGGTCAACACAGTTTCCCAAGCGTAGCTCTAGACAATGGTGAGGCTTGAATGGCAAGCAAACAGAAGACAGAGAAGAAAGGAAGAAGCTGATTAAAAAAAAGAGTCTAGAATGTGGGATGGTGTCTCTGGCCGAATCTGGGGAAAAGGAGGCTTCTCTTTTTCTTTGAACAGTGACAGTGACAGCGACAGGTTGCCCGCCCTGGAAACAGGGCCCAAAGTACGGGGGGCGGGTCAGGCAGTTCCCCGGCAGGCAAAGGCAAGGCACGGCCAAATGCGGGCCAATTGCGGGCCAAGAAGCAGGTTCAAGGGGCACGCTCCACGCCAAGAGCTTGACCTCCAGTTTGCATGGTCTGTGCACTCCCACCGTGACCCATCTGGCATGCAAAGTACCGGTGACTTGATGATGAAAGTCATGCGAGCTCTGAAACATGGAATTGAGTTATTATGCTTAATTTGATATAGTTTGAGGACCATATTTGTGCTGATGACTCTACTGTAAGAAAAACCTTGACATGTATCACCACCAAATTCAAAGTCTTCGGGGCTGAGTAGCTGTCCTGGAGCTTCACTTGTTGTACCCTGGACTCAGAAACCCTGCAGATCGATATAGCCAAGAGAATTAAAAAAATTAAAAAAATAACTCCCGATGTTGAATACAACAGCTTCGGAATTGAGAATATTGCTCTATCGCAGCATAATTACTTTAATTCTTTGTTGACTGTGTAGCAACTGGCCATGTGAACAAAAGACTTCAGGACGTAGCTTCCCGTTGACTCTGGATGCAATCAAATCCGATGAACATGCATTTCTAAAATAAAAAAAAGAAAGAGGCATCGGCTTGTCTGTCTCCTCCTCCAACTGAACATCCCCGCCGGTTGACCAGGCAATGTGATATTTAGCCCAAACAAAAACAACGCGATGCCTCTCATTTGCGCAAGGCCGCTCGGCCGGTTAGTGCCCAAGCTCGGCTCATCACTACGACCAGTTCTCTCCTCAGCAGCTGCAGCTTCTCTTGCTGCTTCTCCCCGACGCCCTGTTGGCATTGCCCTCCAGCACTTGGGCACCGAGTCTTGGAAGAGATTCTACGCCGACCACAAGCTAGACCTCCTCGCCCTCGACCAAAAATGGCGCCAGAAATGGGCCGAATCGAGCCGTGAGAAGGGCGCAAAGAAGGATGACGAAAAGAACAAATATGTTCTCCCTATGTTTCCCTATCCGTCGGGCTATCTACACCTCGGCCACCTCAGAGTCTACACCATTGCCGATGTGATTGCGAGGTTCCAGACTCTCCAGGGCCACAAGGTCCTGTTGCCCATGGGTTGGGATGCCTTTGGACTGCCAGCTGAGAATGCTGCCATTGAGAGAGGCATTAACCCGGCCACTTGGACCAAGGCCAATATCGCCAAGATGAAGGAGCAGCTGGATGTCATGAACGGCTCATGGGACTGGGACTGCGTGCGTATTCCACATCTTATGTGACTATGAAGCTTAATACTAACCCAACCCAGGAACTTGCTACATGCGATCCCGACTTCTACAAGCATACGCAAAAGATCTTCCTCGCTCTCCATGAGAAGGGTCTCGCTTATCAGGCGGAAGCCGAGGTCAACTATGACCCTGTCGACAAGACGGTGCTTGCTAACGAGCAAGTTGATGCCAACGGGCGCTCATGGAGGTCCGGTGCCAAGGTCGAGAAGCGCAAGCTGAAGCAGTGGTTCCTCAAGATCTCTGAGTTCCGTGAGTCCCTGCTCAAAGACCTCGACACGCTGGCCAAGGACGAGGCGTGGCCCGAGAGAGTTCTGGCCATGCAAAAGAACTGGCTGGGCAAGTCCAGGGGCGCTACTGTCAAGTTTCCCGTCCTGGCTTTTGGTCAGGGCACTCACTCTGCCATCGAGGTGTTCACCAGCCGTCCTGATACCCTCTTTGGTGTCCAGTACATTGCCCTCGCTGCTACTCACCCCTCTATTCAGCAACTGGCAAAGAGCGACCCCGAACTTCAGGCCTTCCTCACCACATTGCCCGGACTCCCTCCTGATTCCAAGGTTGGATACCTACTCCCTCACATCCGTGCCGTCAACCCTTTGGCCTATCACGAAGATACACCTGCGGACACCAAGGTCTCTCTTCCCATCTATGTGGCACCATATGTTCTTGGTGACTATGGTGAGGGTGCCGTTATGGGTGTGCCTGGTCATGATCTCAGAGACCATGCTTTCTGGAAGGAACACCATTACGACGTACCTGTTCGCTTCGTCCTAGCGGCTTCCGAAGACGAGACCACGACTTCCATGCCCAACGAGCCATTCACCGAACACGGCGTTATGAACGCCAACAGCGGTATCTTTAAGGGCAAGTCGTCCAAGGAGGCCGGTGAGATGCTAGTCAAGCTACTCGAGCCCGCTGGTCTCGCCAAGGAGACCGAGAAGTGGCGTCTGCGTGACTGGCTGATCAGCCGTCAGAGATACTGGGGCACACCCATTCCCATTGTGCACTGCGGCTCCTGCGGCACCGTCCCCGTCCCCGACGAGCAGCTCCCCGTCGTGCTTCCCGAAGTTGACGAGCACTGGGCTGGCAAGAAGACCGGCAACCCGCTCGAGTCCCAGACTGAGTGGATCAACACCTCCTGCCCCAAGTGCGGCGGCGAGGCCAAGCGCGACACTGATACCATGGACACCTTTGTCGACTCCAGCTGGTACTATATGCGCTTCATCGACGCCCACAACAAGGAGGCACCTTTCTCACCCGAGAAGGCCAAGGCTCTCACGCCTGTTGATCTCTACATCGGCGGTGTCGAGCACGCCATTCTTCATCTACTCTACTCGCGCTTCATCTACAAGTTCCTCATGACCTCCTCCTCCTTCGGCGGCAAGGAATCCGAAGCCACGTCCGAAGGTGCCGAGTCCGAAACCACCGAAGAAGTCTACGAGCCATTCAAGCGTCTCATCACCCAAGGCATGGTGCACGGCAAGACCTACACCGACCCCGCCACAGGCCGCTTCCTCAAGCCGGACGAGGTCGACCTCAGCAACCCGAGCCAGCCCAAGGTTGTCGCCACGGGCGCCATCGCCAGCGTCAGCTACGAGAAGATGTCCAAGTCCAAGCACAACGGCGTGGACCCGACGGCCTTCATCGCGCAGTACGGCGCCGACGCCACGCGCGCGCACATGTTGTTCCAAGCGCCCGTCAGCGAGATTCTGGACTGGGACGAGAACAAGATTACTGGCGTGACGAGGTGGTTGAGTCGTGTTTATGATCTTGTTCAGAAGACCGCTGCTGCTTCTTCTACCGCGTCCGAATCTTCCGTTAGCAGCACCAGCACCAGCAGCGTCAAGACCTTCTTCGAACAATACCAACAGCAAAACAACCTTTCCACCGACTCGGCTGAATACGACGCCTCCGTCACCGTCTGGCGCGAGGTCCAACGCACCATCTCCTCCGTCACCACCTCCTACAACAAAGTGTACACGCTCAACACGGTCATTTCGGACTTGATGTCTTTGACCAACCTCATCATCAACCCTTCCTCTTCCTCCTCCACCGCCGCCTCTGCCGACGCACACCCCCTAATCAAACACGAAGCAGTCTCCGCCCTTATCAGACTAATGGCGCCCATAGCGCCCGCCTTCGCCGAAGAATGCTGGTCCACGCTCTACCCCAACGGCACCACCTCCCTTTTCAACCCCCAAAATAATGAGCAGGCGGCGGCTAGATTCCCCGTCACCGACGGGACCGAAGCCATCCTCAAGAGCAGGAAACAGACCTGCGCGGTCCAGCTGAATGGCAAGACCAAGTTTGTGGTGGAGATAGGGACGCCGCCGGCTGGGTTGTTGGAGAAGGGTAAGGACGCTGAAGAGAAGTTAAGGGAGTTTATTGTCGGTGAGGTGTTGAGGACGGAGGAAGGAAGGGCTAAGCTGGAAGGACGCGGGGTAGATGTGAACAAGGCGAAGAAGGTTATTGTTGTTAGGGGGGGGAGGTTGTTGAATGTTGTTATGTAAATTCCCGAGACGGACGGACGGGTGGAGGGGGGAAAAGGCGTGGAGGGGTGTAAGATATGAGTAATTTGTATAAGCGAGTGAAAAGGGGTTTGAGGTACTAGACGTAAGTTGGGGAGAGGAATAGATCATTGCCATTCTTCATGTTCTTCTCGTTATGCTCTGGAGATTCATAGAGTTCTTTGTTTAGCTCTGTAGCTCCTGACGCGCTTCCCGTCCTCACAGTCATTCCTTTCCATCAGATCAGGCCGCTGGTAATCATCTCTTTCCTTCTCCGTACCCTCTTAATCTGCAACTCATAACTCCCAGCTCCCTACTCGGATTCCGAGCTCTTGTCCGGACCCTCTCATCCCATCCCATCCACCCCAACCTATCCATCCACTTCCATCCCTTTTGGCCAAGGCACTATATAATCCCCGTTCCGTAGCCTCTCTACCACAACGGGCGACCCTGTGGTCTGATGGAACAGTGGTCCCGTACGTTGATGAAAAGATTGCGGGGTGCGCTGGTAGGTATCCCGAGGTACAGTCTTCGCAGGTTTGTTTGCAGCTGGAGAGAGCATGGTGGTTCGGTCCAACCAAAGTCTCACTGGGCGACTGAGCTTTTTGGCAAGTTTGAGGTCTAGATTGCTTGAGGGATGATGTAAATGTGTCCTGTAATCTTTTTTTGTTTTTACCTGCTCCTTTGTCCAACCAAATTTCATTGAGATACTTTCTTCTCAAGAATCCAGTCTTGGTTTGAGCAGGGTCATAGTTCCGGACATGTACCTATGTCTGAAGTGGTCGATTTTGGCTTGATGGTTGGGGTATTTGACTTGTAGGAGGAGGAGGAGGAGGAGGAGGAGGAGAATGAGGGATGCTCTCTTGCCGTCCGTCTCAAACAGACGGGATCTACGGAGCAGTCTGGGGTTTGTTGATGATTTTACCTGAGAGGGAACCATCGTGGGGATTACATATTTTATAGGTACCCTCATGGTGTGCTACGGTGTGGTAGAGGTGTTGAGGCGTACTATCGTGTAGGTGATGAAGAAGTCCTGGACGAGGAGTGTTGTCTTTGAGGGAAGGAGCGCTTTTCTGCAGTTACCCTTCCGCACTTTTACTACAAAGTTCTTGGAATGTGGGCATCACCATACTTGTAGGTAAGCAAGGAAAGCACAGCTGCCATAGAGCGTGGCGAGGAGATAATCGACATGAAATGGAAGGTACGGTACCACACCGGATAGGAATCCCTTCCAAAAAATGCCAGTCACTCTGGAAACTTACCTTTTCACCCCAGCTTCTGGTATCTATCCCTTCTTTGCTGCTGCTGCTGTTAAAAAAAAATTGAGTATGAAGTGTGATGAGAAGCCCAAAACGTTTATAATGGAAGCTTTGAAGTCAAGCAGGACGGACGTTTTGCATATTCGGTGTTGTCTTCGGGGGAGGGAGCCTTCTTCTACATGAAACTTAACCTTCACGAGATATGGTCACTTCACGAGATATGGTCACTTCACGAGATATGGTCACTTCACGAGATATGGTCATCGTCATAAGCAACGAAACACGACCGCCGTCGAGCTTGGCATGATAATCAGTATGCAAGGTACGAGGCACCCATACCGGACAGATGGGTCACCCATCGATCACTCTTTGTCCATCAACGTCCATCACCGTCCATCCTTCAGCCCTGATCACCAAGGTGCTTCAGACCCTTTCTGCCGAGTACGTACATGGTTCCTTGCACTACACTACTGCATAAAGATGATCGAACTAATCGCATGGTACCTGCCCTGAGGCCCTGAGCGATGCTATTCCCGCCCAGACATGCAAAACCCGAACGCCGACCAGAGGTACCCTAAGATAGTCGATTGACTCGACGGCACCAACTTCTCCTTCAACCCTGAATCATCAGGGAACTTCAGATCCCTTCTGCCGAGCCATCTACCTGCATAGAAAGTGTGAGCACGATCCCTTGCACTACTGCCCATGAGCGGATGGTACCTACCCGGATGAGGCTCTGAATCATCCTATTGAGCCAGCCTGTCTGCTCTCATACCCAAGCAAGCAAACCCGAACGGATACCGACAAAACCACCTCAGGGTTCCCAGGTCACTCGTCCTTTTCGAACCAGATCATCATCAAGAAATCTCACACCTGAACCCCCTGTGACAAAGATACCTTTCGGTTGATCCGGTGATACATACCCTGGACCTGAGCTACCATCATCATCCGCGAGCACGAGAAGCAAACCCGAACACCGACATACCTACGGACTGGATGGCACGATATTCCTCTCATCCTAGTCTACTAGTACATTTCAAGGCTTTGCATGACACCTAGCGTAGGCGAGACATAGGAAGGCGGGGAGGCAACGTCGTCTCTCGGAGCGATCGCGGAGTGTGGTCCGTGTAGGACAGAGAGGAACTCCACATGGGTTCTCTCATGAAGTTCCTCCCGCGTTCCGAAGCTCCCAGGCGTGTCAGGGGAGCATGGATAGGCAAGGGAGGATAACAACCAAGCTTTTTTGGTGTCGGGAGATCAACCGAGGACGGCATTTTGAGAGCTTGGCGATGATGGTTTGGTGGATGTCTGGCACAAGGCATCCTGTCCTTCAAACCAGAAGGCATGATGAGTTGGGCTTTCGACATGTGTTGAGTAGGTTGTAGCAGGAAGTGCTATCATCACTTGTTGTGAAGACCGATTCTGAGACAATATGAGAACCATCATGAGGGAATGTCGGCGGGCTATCTCGTTTTCCACAGACGCCCATATCCGGTGCATATCCGTGTCCTGATCTTCGGGAGACATGGTGTTAAGGATTTCATGAGGCAACACCAAGCCACCAAGATGGCTGGCTAACAGTTCTCCTACCAGACATAGTGATGGAAAGATAGTATACTATTATCCAAGCCTAACAAATCAAAGTGTCCAAGCACAGGAACGTCAGGGGGAGGCGAGCGGGAAAGGCCAGCTGACGCGGTGCCTTTACCCCGCTCCAGACCGTATAAACCAGGGGCCAGGGGGGCGATGCCGAACCAACACCGAACAACACCTCCAACGTAACAAACTGCAAATCATCAACAATCAGACACCACACAAATACAGAACCCGAAAGAAGCCGCAAGCAATCTCGTACCATTTAGAATTCGGTACAAGCGGCCGCGCAAGCCGTGTTCGGCGCTTCTTCCCTCGTGAGGAGAGTATCTTTGTCAGCGTTCAACAATTCCCAATCTCGGGATCTACATACTCCTCTATGGGGTCCCGCGTGGTTGACAGACGCAGAAAGGCATACGTGTTGGCAAACGGGAAGTGCCAGACTGCCAATGTCAAAATGGAGGCGATGCAACGGTCAAGGTGATCAACGAGACTGGTGACCGGTCAAGATTTTTTTGCTTTGATGATCACATTCAAGTATTGTAGTCAGGGCGCTGAGAAGAGGATTACTATGGGAACTTGAGAAAGAGAGGACAGACGTTGAGAGTGTGTGGTTGTCAACAACGGACAGACACGAACGGGAGGGGAAGCCACAGAGAGCTTCAAAGCATCTTGGCATAAAGGCCAAGATGGACTAGATATCGAGGAATACGGTACTATCTTACGTACAGCAAAAGAAGTATTGCTTTGAAGGTATTTGCTCACCTCGACATATCGCATAGCTGTTGACGACTCGTCTAAAAAACTCCGGCTAAACACACACCGGGCATTCTTCTGGAGGTCTGCATCCAAATGTTGCCTGAACTAGACCAGGTTTGGCGAATAAGCAGCAGATGAAGCCAAGGTTGTGTTCCCTTCAGACCATGATTCCGAAATATTTCCCGCGCCATCTTCAAAGTCGGTATCCCACCGCAACCACATGAACTACCCCGATGTGGCATTCCCCACGGTGTGACATAACGGCAAAGACAGGACATGATTGGTCAAAGCTTCATGTAGACGATCGAATTGACCCTGTGACGAACGTACCGTACCCCGCTGTTTCTGTTGTTGTTCGCCTTTCGCCCTTTGGCTTCTCATCTCCTCATCGAAACTTAGCTAGCTCTAGCCAACGATCCCGGATGGCACGCTGTCGAGCCCGTGGCCGCCAGAAAAGCTGTACCTTGATGGACGGAGCTCATAATGATGGGAGGAAAGAAAGAGCAAGCGGAAAAGAGGGGCTCATGTAAGGATTAGACGATCGGTTCCTTGGCCATTTTAAAGATATAAATGTGAACATGTCCCTCTTTCATGGGAATCGATGTTCGTCTCGTCTCCAGTTCGTCACCACTCTTCACCCAAACAACAAACACTTCCCAACCAGGCTTTGATCTGCCGTATGTTACCTTGCTTCTTGCATCAACCATTTCCTCGTTACCAGGGAAAATGAGAGATATGCTGACGCCTTAGATACCACCCATCATCAACAGTTGTCTATCCCGTTCCCGATATAAAAAGACGTCCATCTCGTCTTTTGTCTGTCGACGATAACTTCGCATCTTTATTATCACGTATAGACAAAAACAACCGGCAAAATGGTACTTCTAGCCCGCTCCATCGCTTCTTCTTCTGCCTCCTTCTTCAAGCGCAATGCTCTCTCGTTCTCTTTTGGCTTCATCCCGTTTTTCACTGCGGTCCTTCCACAATGTTTCTCGAGCATCTTTTTGTTCACCTCTGAGAGCGTCCAGCCTTCGACCTAGTGTCCAGGGCTGTTCCTCGACGGGGCTTCACCAGTTTCAGCAGCAGCAAAGCCTACGGGCCCAGCAGCAGGTTCCCACAAGCGTACGATTGCTAACAACACGACGTGAAAAGGTCAAAGTCCTTGCGGTTCTCTATGACGGCGGCAAACACGGCGAGGAGGTAAGATCTACAATTCCCAAATTCCCACTTATTCCACCCTGTCCTGGGAGTGCCACCATGTTTCCTTGGCATATCCGCCAAAATTGTCTCCATCCCCATTTTCCATAATCCAGCCCTATGATGAGAACAGAAGGATGGAAAGATTAGATGAACTGAGCTGTCAACTGTTCCAAGAGAAGGAATTGCGGGTAGGCGTGGCTCAGAGGCAACACTGCATACTACCGGTAAAGTGGTTGCCCGTTGCATGTTCAATGCATGAGGTCACGGAGCGGGCTCGGGATCCATTCGGCGATGTGGGGCACTTACATAGTACCCCGACCTGTCTGAATGGCTTCCGGCTTGGCATAGCGTGGTTGTTGGCTTGGCTTTTTCTTGGTCATCTTCGACATCATCATGGACATAAATGGGAATGGAGACGACATGGGAAACACCAACCAGACAGAGAAAACACCAAGAACTACAATGGCTAACGGCACTCAACTCTTCAGGTCCCCGAGCTTCTCGGAACCATCCAGAACGAGCTTGGTATCAGGAAGTGGCTTGAGGATCAGGGCCACACCCTAGTCACCACCTGCGACAAGGACGGTGAGAACTCTACCTTTGACAAGGAGCTCGAGGATGCCGAGATCATCATCACCACTCCGTAAGTTGCCCCACACTTTCCATCTTCTCTTGGTGTTACTCACTGCTAACTTCAACCATAGCTTCCACCCCGGCTACCTCACTGCTGAGCGTCTCGCTCGTGCCAAGAAGCTCAAGCTTGCCGTCACTGCCGGTATCGGTTCCGACCACGTCGACCTCGATGCCGCCAACAAGACCAACGGCGGTATCACCGTCGCGGAGGTCACCGGCTCCAACGTCGTCTCCGTTGCCGAGCACGTCATCATGACCATCCTCGTCCTCGTCCGCAACTTCGTCCCTGCCCACGAGCAGATCCAGGAGGGTCGCTGGGACGTTGCCGAGGCCGCCAAGAACGAGTACGATCTCGAGGGCAAGGTCGTCGGCACCGTCGCCGTCGGCCGCATTGGCGAGCGTGTTCTCCGCCGCCTGAAGGCCTTTGACTGTAAGGAGCTCCTCTACTACGACTACCAGCCTTTGTCGCCTGAGAAGGAGGCCGAGATCGGCTGCCGCCGCGTGCACGACCTGGAGGAGATGCTCGCCCAGTGCGACGTGGTCACCATCAACTGCCCGCTGCACGAGAAGACCCGCGGCCTCTTCAACAAGGAGCTCATCTCCAAGATGAAGAAGGGCTCGTGGCTCGTCAACACGGCCCGCGGCGCCATCGTCGTCAAGGAGGACGTGGCCGAGGCCCTCAAGTCCGGCCACCTCCGCGGCTACGGCGGCGACGTCTGGTTCCCCCAGCCCGCCCCCGAGGACCACCCCCTCCGCTACGCCAAGAACCCCTTCGGCGGCGGCAACGCCATGGTGCCCCACATGTCGGGCACCTCGCTCGACGCCCAGAAGCGTTATGCGGCTGGCACCAAGGCCATCATCGAGAGCTACCTCTCCGGCAAGCACGACTACAGGCCTGAGGACCTCATCGTCCACAGTGGCGACTATGCCACCAAGGCTTATGGTGAGCGCGAGCGCGCTAAGAAGGAGGCTGCTGCTCTTGATCAGGGCTCTTCTTAAGCTTAAGCGGAAGGTGGTTTTTGTATGATTAAATAAGCGATTTTTGGTTTGTTTCGGTTTTTGGATGGATGGATGGGGTTTGGATACCTTTCATGAAGCGATGTCTTTTGGTATGAAGCACAAAAGATAGGTAGCGGAATATTAATGATCATGACCTAATATACGTTTCTCTATGTGTGGTGAAGATGGTGAATTACCAGTGATGAACCAGCGCACCTGTCGATTGGTATCATTTTAACCAGCATCCTTCGTCGGAGCATCGAATGTCGAGGAGAAGTTCGACTTGACATCCGACACTTGTTCAATATCTCACTTCCTCACCAGTACGTGTACCTAATTCTACGACGTGTCTTCAACATCTCGTCAAACTCTCTTCAACGTCTCTTCAACGTCCCTTCAAATACAGTCTACAAAATCCGTGTGGTTGTCTCATTGACCTCCAATCGGATAATTATCAACTCTTTATAGCACCTGAACATAGGTACCTACGGTACGGTAATGCTACACCAGCAGCAGTAGAAATGGGATGAGTCTTAGCTAACAAGAACTAGAAGTAGAATGTGGTATATCTGAAGAATCGAGGTTTGGTGCTTGAGAGTGACTGAGTGACTGAGTGTCCAACTTGGCATCTTTTTAGAAAGTGATTCCGATATTTATGCTCATCTCTGCCTGACCACTGAGCTTAATACTGAACAAGACTTGACTGATGATACGCAGTACATATATATCATTCATTCCTTCTAACAACGAGCAACGCTATATATGAACCATTTACCCATCCCATATACATATATCAGACACCGTTTGTACACTAATAGAGATCTACTCATCTAGTACTCATCTACTCATCTACACCCTCCCTTATCACGCTCATCTCGGTCATCTCGTATATCTAAGTAACATTTCCCATCCCGACCAGTCATGTATACGAACAACCGTGCCATCTACCTCTACCTCTAAACACCACACCACGCCCAACCATTTCAAACAAAGCCCAACGCTTCGCTTAATCAAGAATACTACGATACCCTTGATTCCCATGTCCCTGCCCCTGGCCTTGAACTCCAGTCAAGTTCCTCTCATAAGGCGGTGGAGGCTCCTGATGTCCCTGTTGCCCCCGACCAGCAGCCACAGACGAAAGGCTGTCATGCGCCGTATGGAAAGGGTTGCCAGAGATACTGCCCAAGACATTGGCTCCGTGCTGCTGTCCAGGAGGTGGTAGTGGTGGTGCTGGAAGGCTTGCTTGAAACTGCGACTGCGACTGCGACTGGGTTGCCCACATAGCTGTCATGGCCATCATTTTGCCAAAGTACTCTTGGATGAAGGACTCGCTGTATGTGACACTCCCGTTAGCATTCACTCAAGTATTGGGGTGAGAGGACAAAAAACTTACGTATAATAACTATGCGCAGAGTTATGAGGACTAACAAGGTTATGCGCCAACTCATGCGCAATGGTGACCCACCACCAAACCGTCGCCTCGGCTCTACCCATGCCCATGCCCATGCTTATGCCACCAGCAGCACCGGTCAACTTGGCCAGATGCAGCTGGGAAAAGAAGCGGTAATTGCAAAAGATACTGCCGCTCTTGTTGAACGCAATCGTCGGCCCTTGCTCATCGTAGTAGATATGCAGCGAGTGGGTAGGCAGGTTATACACGTTGGCCACGTCCCTGAGGAGCGTCTCGAACTTGCTGATGCCGGCGATGTTGGAGCTGAGGAATTGGCCCGGGTTGACGGACACGTCCTTGGCGAGGAAGACGCGCATGCCACCCGGTGCTTCGGCGACGAAGTTCATGTTGGTGGCCGGGGTGGAGTCGCAGTAGGTGGACTGTTCGGTGATTTCTGTCTGAGTAGGAGGGGCGAAGACACCGGAGGAATCGTGCGCGCGGGTGGACTTGATGGCACTGAGCAAGTTCTGCTGGACAACTGCAGGCGAGGTCACTCGTCCGTCGTTGTTGCTGCCACCAGTACCGGTACCGCCACCGCTGCCAGTGCCACTGCTGCCGCCAACGCCGCCGCTACCAGATCCCAATTGCTCAGGTGCACGAGTACCGGGTTGCTGAGCAGGCGGCTTGTTTGAATCATCATCAGCCTCGAGGCCGAGTTGCTTCTTGATGCCACTAAAGAGATCTCCGAACCTCTTGAGAGGCTGAGGAGCCGGGTCATGTTCAGGAGAATCATCAAAGCCTCCCGGCATCCGAGGCTGGTCGGGTTGATGAGGGGTTTGAGGGGCTCTGGCAACTGTAGTATCGGCGGTAGTCGCTACCTGTTGCTGTGCCCAATCCTTCTCGCGTTCACGGATTTTCTGCTCTTCCGCCTCAAGCGCCTTGCGTCTCTCTTCCTCGGCGATCCGGGCCTCTGCAGCCTTTGCTCTGAGAATGCGGTCAACGTTGTAGCCGCGCGCGCGGAGCTCCAAAAGGTCCAGCTTGAGGAATGGCTCGATGAAGAAGTAAGCCTGCTGACCATGGCGGCTCAGCAACATCGTGCAGATAGCCTGTCCAACCTGGTACAAGTCGGGACGGCTGTGGGTCGAGACGTAAAGGATCCAGTTGCCGTCCCTGTACACGGCGGCCGCTGAGCGCTTTTCAGTGTGTTGCTGGTTATATCCCTTGAGTGATCGTCTAAGAGCCAAGGAGGTGACGGCTTTGACCTGCAAGTTCTTCTCCAACCACTGTGCGTTGTGCTTGATGGAGGACTTCTTGTACTTGGAGTACTCGAACAAGAAGATCTTGGAGCGCTCAATGACAAGCTTGCGCATGGTGGCTGCAATATCCTGCTTCTCGGCGGCAGGGCCGATTCTGTGCTCCATTGAAACCTTGCTGCTGATCTCCTCGGACCCCAGCGCCGCGTAAAAGGCCTCGAGAGCGTCGTCCTCGGGTGCGAAAAGCAACGAGTCCTTGAAGAGACGGTAGCAGATAATATCGTCCAAGATCGTGATCTGCTGAGGTGAGGCGAGCTGATACTGCTTGATAGGCGCATCATAATCGCCCGAGTCGGGCTCCTCTTTGGTGTTGGAGATGTCGCGGGAGCCAAGAAGCCAGGCAGATGAAGTCATCTTCTTGAACAACTCCTTGTCTTTCTTGAGAATATTAATCTCATCTGCCAGAGACCGGAGGAGAGTAAGATATTTCTCCGAGCTCTGCAGGGTGCTCAAGAGCCTTGCCGGTTCGCTACATGCCATAAGGGCAATCTCCGGCTTGGTTGGTTCTTCCTTCGCACCGCATTTGAAAAGAAACACGTTGGCGTTGGGACCGAAATCGACAAAGTCAAAAATATCGCCGTAGGTAGAGGATGTTCCAAGGTAGCAGTTCGGAGGAGTGATGTAGACGACCTTGGTTTCACCCTTCTCGCCGGACACTTTCCGTCGTGTTACGGGGATAATGGCAGAACTCCGAATTTTAACAACGTGAGATAAACCCAGTTCTGCAATACGGGTTGTGAAATAGCTAAACACCCTGACGGCTTCCTGGTGATCCTTGGGTGGATTAGCGATTAGCCTGCCAACGCACTCCAGAATGCTTGGGTCACGCGCGACGCCAAACTTGCTGGCATGGTCATGAAGGTCTCTTCGCAGGATGTCGTAACCGAGAATTGCAGCATCTGGATTCGTGAAGCACGCGGAAGGGCGGACAAGCTTCTTCTCATTACCTTGGAGCGGCAAGATGGTATTGTCGATCCTAGACAGATTGTAAGTGCCATACTGGTTGAGTTGATAGTTATTGATGAAGTACGCCATGGCATTCTTCCGAATGTCCGCATCAGAAGAAGCCATCATCTCGATCAACTCAGGGACTGCCGGATAAGGACGCAACCCGAGCGAGAAAACGAAGGCCCCCTCCGGGCTGTTCGCCTTCCAGACGCCTGGCCAATGGAGAGTTGGGAGTTGCAAGAGCCGCAGAGAATCCTTGGGTTCGTAGAGCTCAGACAGTTTGTAGAGTTTCTCGGTACCCTTCCTAGACTCTGGTTCCCCGGACGAGGTACGATCTTCAGCAGGACAGAGCTTGGACTGCTTGAGCCTCTTCATGTCCTCAGCCGGGATATCGTTCTTTACCGAAGCAAGGTACTTGATAAGCTCGACATGACTCCATTTCTTGGCCCCAGCTTCTCCCTCAGCGGCAGGTGCGGGATTCAATAGCCTGGTGAAGATGGTTTCCAAGTCAAGAGTCTTGCGAACTCCCAAAGCCACCAAGAACTTATCTTTGAGTTTGTCACAGCCCTCGATGGTCGGAAGATCGTGGAAAAGCTTGACACTAGAGAAGAAAGACTCCTTGGGCTTGCGCATGCCCAGCTTTGTGGGAATGATGGTCAGATGTTCCAAGGCTGACACCACGGATGACTTATCGCTAGGGTTCAAGTTTTCCCAGTTCTTTGAAAGAACCGAAAGGACTTGTACAGAGAACTTGCTTGACTTTGTAAGATCATGCTCCTCATCCTTGCTAGATCCAGATGCGATCAAGAACCTAAGCCAAGGAACGATACCTAGAGGCTCCCAGCCAATCGACTGTAGCTGAACTTCAGGAATATTGGCTGTGAAGGCGACAGGTATTGTGGTTGGGGGGATAGGTAGTGTAGCTGGTATCCTGTTGTTGAGATAGTTCTTGATGGAGCCCAAGGCAATAATTTCACCACCATTCCCATCCTCAGAAACTGTAGCCACAGCAACATCAAGAACATGCTGGATTTCATGGTACTTCATATTACCCGAAGCGGCAGTCTTGGCTAGCCACGCCACGAAATGATGAAGTTGCTGTTTATCCATAGCCTTCGAGCCTAGCTCCTTCACGACATCCTCGACAGTAATCTGCTCGAGCAGCCCATAGTCTATCAGTTTCTGAATAAACGGTGCGGCTTGCATGTCCTTCAGTATGATCGGGATTCCGCTCAGAAACTTTGCGTAATCCTCAGAAAACAGCCGGACCTTGTTCGTCTGCAAGACACCTTGAGAAGAGTAAACCTCAATAGAAGCCTTCCGGTAAGAGGTCCAGAAGGCTTCCTCGATGATTTTGGCTACCTGGGCGCTCGGAGTAGAGTCCTCAAACGAGTAGGTCTTGAGGATATGGAGAGCCTCCGGCACAAACTTCTGGACGTCCTCAGGAGAATATCCTGAGCCCTTTTTGCTGTTGTTGGAACTGGAGATCCTCTTCAGTTTCTCGTTTAGGTCTGACATGTCATTGACGAAGCCGAGTCTTGCAATAATGCCTGCCACGCGAAGCATTTCGATGTTCCATGTTCGCACCCAGCGAGCATTCAAATCAATGGCTTCGCGCTCCACGGTCGGGATGACTGAAGGTGCAGAAATGTGCATGCCGGCACCAGTGGTCTGGGTGGTTGGGAAGCCGATGAAGACACGCCCACCAGGCTTCTTGCTAGGTAACACAGAGGAGAAGATATCGATGGCCTTGGCGGCCTTGTTGGAGGCAGTAGACTCCTCAGAAGCAACAGTCTCATCGTAAGATGAAGTCAGGAGAGCAATCCGTGTGGTTTTTGGTGGAGGCTTCTTTGTTGCACGCTCCAGTTCAGCTGCAAACGAAGAGGAAACACTGGTGGCTATTTGGGCTGCAGTGATGCGGAGGAAAATGGTGGAGGTAGAAACGGCAGTGAGGTCCTCGGCTATCGCTTCCTGTATTTCCTTCTCTTCCTTTGCCGCCTTTGTGCGCTGTGCCGTCTGAGCGGCAGACGAAGTAAGCCTCGAAAAGAACCCCTTCAGCCCAGAAGGTTCTGGTGTATAAGCAGATTCGGTTGACTTGTTTGACGATGCCGCTGGCTTAGGCTTCCAGCCCAAGACACTCATAAAACTGGCATCGATTTGAGTGCTGGTTTGTTCAGCTGCTGTGAGTTTCATGAGACCATCCTTGGTTCTAGTTTCAAGGTCCCGGGGGATAGAAATCTGAGCACTAGGTGATGACTTCTTCTGCAGGGCGAGAACTTTCCAATCGTCGATCCAGAATTCGATCTTCTGCAGGGAAACAAACGTCAAACTGGTTCCAAGGAACTGGCTGACGGAGAGTAAGTTAGGCAGAGGTGTTGTTGTATTCCGGTAATCGAGAACAAAGGCGGTCTCCTGACTATGCTGTTCAACCGGCAGCTGTAGCTTCCTGGTGAAGAGGGCGTTTCCCTTCCAGTAAAACGCCATGGCTTCCTTTCCTGAGCTGACGAATGGCTCCTCGCAATCGGCAAAGACGCTGTAAAAGCCCACACCAAAAAGCACCACTTGGTCTCATCCGGGTTGCCCTCCGCTATCCTCTTCAAGCGTGCCCAGTCTGTGTTGGCGAAGGGTTGACCATCATTCTGGACTAATAGGCGACGGAGAGTGTGGTGGGTGAGGGTGTGCTTGAGAAGCTCGGAGGGGTCCATGGTATGCGGAGCCGGAACACTGACGGAGGGTATCGTCTCCCATTTGATCTTGACCGTGGTTGCCTGGGCATCGGCGGCGTTCTGGATAAGTTCTCTGAGCGTTGTCCATTCTCCGGAGTATCTGGCCAGGACCTTGTCGATCAGGGCCCTGGTATCGACGGTGACTGCTTCTTCATCCTCGCCGTTCTGCAAAGCAGCGGCGCGAAGCTGTGAATAGTCCATCGTCTGTGACTATGGTCAAGAGTCCAGCCGAGATAGGCGGAGTGGCAGTTTGCTGGGTGAGGGGGGTGCCCTGCTCTATTGTCGGACAGCTCGTAGGCAAGCCCAGCGAGGTGGAGAGCTACGATATACGGTCGATGAGTCTATGATATGTCGTCTTCCCCAAATGAGAGCCTTGAGATGCTAGGTGAAGTGAAAGTGGTCGTATTATGAAGTTGTAGTAAGCTGTGATGTGAGTAAAGTATGCAACGGATCGTCTCCGTGACTGAGGAAAGTCGAAGTGGCGGATTATTGTTAAGGAAGTGTCCGGGAGGAAGAGGAGGCGTCCGGGTGGAAATGTCGCGGCCCAACGAGCGAACTGTTAATGTGTGACCGGAAGACACCAATCCTAGCCAGAAACAATCCCGTCGTGAGGTCGATGTAAGGAGAAAGGTAGGTAGCTGCATGCATATGTAGGAGGATGAAAGGTCTAAGATCGTGAACACCTCATCCCGTCATCGTCCTTTGAGTGTCCAGACCGGCGGACGGCCTTCCAGGGGTAAGCACGGCAGGCTAGCAGGGGCCCCTTTCAGCGCAGTGTACCCATGAAACTCCACTAAAGCAAATCCCCGCCATATCTTCCAGGCACCAGGCTGGCAAGAGGGTTGCGCGACAACGCCTTCCACTTGCCACTGGAAAACAACGATCACATGGGGCCAAAGAGCTTCCAGCGAAAGTAAAAGACGGTGACAGAACAACACCAGAAGTGGCAATATGGCTCAGGAACCGTTTCAAATCGCAAAAGTTCAGCTTAGTAATCCGTTAGGTGTACTAGGTATGCTAATGTTCCGCTATGAATACCGATGGGTAGACTGTATGATGATTGTTTACTTCCGTTGATGGCACACATAATTCTGATAGACCTCATCGTCGGTCATGCCTTGCTTTCCTTTCCCTGCTCCTGCTCCGACCAGGACTATGACTGCGTCTCCTGTGGTGGTGGTGTCTTCCACGGTCTCTGCTGCGATCCTGATCCTGATCCTTCACCCTCTCATCACGGTGTGAACGACGCTCCGGGCTCCGGCTTCTGCGGCTAGGACGATGTTCTCTCTCTCCTCGGTCCGCCGCCCCATCACGTCTCCGGTCACGACTGCGGCTGCGATGTCTATCCCGATCACGATGGCGCTCCCCATCATGCTCTCTTTCACGGCCATGACCACGTTCACGACTCCTGCTCCTGTGCCTCCGCTTGTGATGTCTCTCTGAGTCGCGGTGTCTGCCTCTTCTTAATTCGGTCGCTTGTGCTTCTTTCGGTGCCGGTGTTGTTGCCGGTTGTGCAGCAGAACCTTCCTCTGTTCGTTCTGGGATTTTGGAGTCTTGGACCTCAACAGCATTGGCGCCGCTGGTAGTTCGTGGTATGATAGGTAACCCCAATGCGCGATTGATGGCATCCTCCTCTGCTTCCTTTATCCTACGGATTTCTTCGCGGCGCTCGCGCGCTTCCTTCTCCTCCTCGGTCTCCCCAGCGTTCGCAGCTGACGGTTCTGCCTTGGCGTACCAGTTGAGATCCCGACCCTTAGCCCAGCGACCAACCGGTGCCTTCAAACTGTGGCCGAGGTAGTTCTCACGGTGTGCTGAGCTGGCGACATCGTCCCAGCTGAAGTTGACGCCACCTCGGGAACCCGACTTGCGGACGGTCGAAAGAAGATCCATTGGGATGTTATCGTGGATGAGTTTTTCCCGGGACTTTATGATCGCGTATCAAATGTAGGCGTAAATGTTCCTTGGTATCTGTCCCGTAGGAAGTCGGTGGTAGATATGTGATGGCCGGCAGGTCTTTGTAGTGACGTGAGTAAAGGTGTTGAATGGATGAATTGCGTCTGCGATTCTTGTCGTTGAACTGCGTACCCAGGCAGAACGGGCCCACTCCAGTGTCACTGCGGGATGTGGGGCCCTCCACTGCGACTTCCATTTTCAGGGGACAAGGTCCGCTGAAGGCTGCAGCTAGCGCGGGGGGTTACGGTGCCTGCCGGATCTTCCACACCCCACCCAAACGCGTCGACGCCATCCATTGCTTCCACTTCAATCTTTATCCGAATAGCATCATAGCAACACTGGGTGACTTTCGACTTCCACCTGCCACAGCTTCTTTGACTTCAACGGCGATCCGTCTCGCGCTGCTTAGGACTTCCTTGAACTCCCACCAACAAATCTTCTCGCCAAATACGCTTCTTGTTCTCGGATTCCTTCATCGAACTCTGATCCAGACACCTCTCGAATCGCCAACGTCCAGGCCGCGAACTTGCCTACACCTTCTCGCGAATCCCTTCGGCAGTATATATAGCACCAAGGGCAACCGGCAACTGCAAAACTCACAGTATAGCCATATTGCAGAGAAAATAGCAACAATGGCGTTCGACCCAGCGGCCAACGCCGGCCCTCCTCTCGACGAGATTCAATGGCACACTCCTCCTCAGTTCGAAGGTGGCCTCCACTCGAACAGCATCCTCTACTACTTCGCTCAATCGCCATTCTACGACAAGACTTCCAATAATGAGGTCGTTTTCCAACAGGGTCTCAACAACCAGGCCATGTCCCAATACCTTGCCACCAGGGAGCTGTTCGAGAGTCGACTAAGGGAAATGTCCGGGCTGGAGTTCATCGTTGCTCAGGAACCTGCCGAGACGGGTCCAGGAATGGGTACAGGCGTGTGGGTTATCAACAAGCAGACGAGGAGGAAGCGTCCACCGACAAACCCGGTAAGGCCTGAGGATGGTCCACCCGACGAGATCATCGTTCATTCGACTTACTTCGTGGTGGGCGAAAACATTTACATGGCACCCACGCTGGCAGATGTCATTAGCTCCCGAATTGTACGTCTTCCGAGAAACAAGAAGAGTTCCCTTCCAGTCCACAATACTAACACTTCCGCAACAGGGCGCAATCGCCTCCGCCATTACCAAGACCCTCCCCTTAGTAGACGAAGTATCAGACTGGGCTCCCGCCGTCGGCCGCCGCTACATCACTCCCGCCCAACCATCCACCGGTGCCGGCAGCACAACCAACTACGCCGCCTCACGAACCGCCACTCCTCTCCCCGAGGGTCTTCCCAGCACGACCACGACCAACAAACCCGGCGCCACCAGGACAGGCGGAACAACCAACGACCCCCTCCTCGACTCCCTCCTCATGGAAGAAGCCCTCCTCACGCACGAACGCTACGGCACCGAGTACATGGACGAGAATCCCATCACCGGTAAGCCGGGCGACTTCCACCTGACCTCGACGGGCCGCAAGGCGCCGCAAAACAACAACAAGAACGGCGGTGGTGGCGGTGGTGCGTTGACCCTTAAGGAGGCGGCGGCCGCGTTGCCGGCTTTGAACACGAAAGGGCTGGGAGCCGCGGGAAGTAATCCGCTTGCGAAAGGAGCGGCGGCGGCGGCTGCTGCTAATGCAGTTGTCGGCAAGGAAACAAAGAGTCCCAAGACACCGGGTGCTGGTGGACCACCGAAGCCGAAGAGGCGGAAGAGCAAGAATGTTGTTACTACCCCCAGTGCGGCTTAGAAGGAGCATGAGGGAGATGGAACAGAAAAGGAGAAGAAAAAGGAAAAGAAGAAGAATAGAAGAAGGACACGAAGGGTTCGGGAGAGGGGAGCGATTGACGTTGGACTTACTTGAGTCGGAAGAAGAGATGCATTCAGAGAAAGCGGCGTTGATTGTACAGCATGGTTGGTTGGATGGCATTTGGCTTTTTAGGTACGGCGATTAGATACCCTAGAATGGTAGGCAGATGGATGATTATGTCCATGATATTTACGCATAGGAAGCGAGCGTTCATGGAGTGACGAGGAGGTATGTAGTTGATTCTTACTTAAACGAAGTGAACACATCAACAAACGAACCATCGATACATGTATTTCTGACGTTTCTTTTCCGTGAGTAAAAAAATAAGCACACGTCACCGAAGAAAGAGGAAAGATCATGCAAAAGAAACCAACAATAAAAACGCCTCGATTACTTTTCAAACCCAATGAAACCTCAATCAATGCAGTCCATCTAACTATATACAACTCCCGTCCACAAAAATGACCATAATTTCCACATCTACATCTACTCAACAACCCACCCCTGCCCCACCACCTTCCTCTGCTTGACCTTCCTAGCCGGCAACGGCCATCCCATCCCGCCCTGCCCCTCGGCTCTCAAATACGGCACCACCCAAACCTCCCTCTCCTTCCCATCCTTGCTCTCGCTGCCCTTAACCTCCTTAATCGGCTTCCCGTACGTAACCAGCGGCGTGCCCTTGGCCAGGCTCGCCAGCTGTCCCGCCGTCAAGTCCGTCAAGGCATGCATCCTGGTCTTGGCCCGCTTCTGTCCGTCCGCGCCCGTGTTGCCTGCCTTTTGCAGGTACACGTACACGATGTAATCCGGACACTCGTCAACTGACAAGTGCGCGAGGGGAGACGAGGGGTGGATGTAGACTAGCTTATCTTCCAGGTCCAGCTTGTGCCCGTCTTCGCTTTTCTCGAGCGGGATTAAAGGAAGGTAGGGCACGTCGATGGCGCGCTTGGGCTTGCGGTACATCTCCGGAGGCGTGGGCGCTTTGTCGGCGCGGATGGCCACCTGGTCGATGAAGCCCGCGGCGACCATTTGCTTGAGGGCTTGCACCTGCTTGGAGGAGGGGGGCGGGAGGGTGTCGGTGAAGGAAAGGTTGGCGAAGGCGGGGATGTTGGTCCTCAATAAATCGATGAGTTGCTTCTGGAGCTGCTTGATTTCCTTGAGCACCTTGAAGCGCACAAAGTGCGAGTCGCACCAGGATTCCGTGGGGTCGTGCGCGAACTCACCGACGACTTGCAACAGCTTGATGGCGTCGGACTTGTCGTCTAGGTAGCAGAAGTTCTTGTGGGCGGCGTTGAAGGCGGCGCGGATCTTGGCGCGGCGGTCATCGGCTAGGACGTCTTCGGTGGTGCGGAAGGTGACTGCTCGGTTGTCCTCGTCTTCGTCGTCGGAGCCGTTCTTGGATTCTTGGACGGCGGCGGCCGGAATGGCTTGGTTCTCGGGGATGTATATCTCGCCGGCTGAGAGACCGGCCACGAGCGCGACGGTGTATGGCAGGCAGTCGTGGAGGTGGCCGATGAGAAGGATGCGGGCGAAGCGGGGAGAGAGCGGGAAGATCGACATGGTAGATCCGATAGGTGTGACCTGGCCGGTTTGGGAGATGGCGTTGAGATAGGTCAAGAGCTTCTCGGCCTTGATCAAGCTCTCGCGCGGTGGAGGCGTGGGGAAGGGGAAGTTAACGACGTGCTGGAGGTTCATGGACTTAAGTTGCAGCACGACACCCTCAATGGGCATGCGAAGCAACTCGGGTTCTGAGAACTCGGGGAAGTCTCTTTCATAGACGGCCGAGGAGTAGAGTCTCCAGCAGTGACCCGGACCGGTACGACCGGCACGACCAGCACGCTGCTTTGCGCTGGCCTTGCTGATCCAGCCAATCTCGAAACTCTGGACGCCACTGACGGAGTCGTACTTTCTCTCCTTCGACCTTCCAGTGTCAAAAACGTACTTGATACCGGGAATTGTCAAGGATGTTTCAGCAACGTTGGTGGCCAGGATAACCAGACGGTGGCCCTCTGGGGGCGGCTCGAACACCTTCATCTGCTCTTTCGTGGGGAGCAGAGAGAAAAGAGGTAGAATGTGCATCTTCAACGGCCCTGTGCCAGATTCTTCGTCTTCAATCTCGAACTCCTTGTCCTCCTCCTCGTCCGAAGCGATAGAGATATCGTCGTCGTCTCTATCATTATTGTTGCGGTCATCGTCAATGTCGCCAAAGTCGATGTCTTCAACTTCCATAGGTGCCTCGTTCGCGGAGATCCGCACCTTGGTGGTGCTGGCGGTGTTCACACCACCACCAAAACGCGCCTTCAACCGCTTGCTGAGCTGGGCAATCTCACCCTGACCAGTCATGAACACAAGCATGCCACCAGGGGGCAGTTTCCTGTGGCCCCTGCAAATCTTGCGGAATGCCTCATCAACGTAGTCGTGGTTTGTCTTCTTGGCAAAATGCATGGTAACAGAATGCTCACGGCCTTCTACCTCGATGATGCGAGGAGTGGTGTGGAACAGGTTAGAGTTTTGGGTGAATTCCTCAACTCTAAGGGTGGCGGACATGATGATTAGCTTGAGAGGCTTGATCGTGGGGTCTTCCTCCGCCAGCTCCCTCCTGAGCTTGACCACTCTGCTGAGCATCGCAATCAGGATATCGGTATTGACGCTTCTCTCGTGAGCTTCATCAATGATGATGGCAGAGTACTTGCGAAGAGCAATATCGATGGCCGCCTCACGAAGCAAGACACCGTCCGTCATGAACTTGATGGCCGTCTTGGAGTCAACGGTACCTTCGAATCTGATTTGGTAGGAAACCACATGCGAGTAGTCTCCCATCTCTTCGCCAACACGCTTCGACATACTGACAGCAGCGACACGTCTCGGCTGGGTGACACCAATCATGCCAGGAGTAGGTCCATCGGGAACACCGTAACCGGACTCGAAGAGGAACTGGGGAACCTGCGTAGTCTTACCGGAACCGGTGGCACCGCAAATAATGACAATGTCGTTGTCGTGAATGGCCTCCATGATCTTCTGTTCCTCTGCAACGACCGGTAACCTGAAGCGAGTTTCCTGGATCTCGGGTGTCCTGGTAACGACCACGGCGAAAGCCTTGCGGGAATCGTTCTTTGTTGGTTGCAGCTCGATAGGTAGAGGTTCTTGTTCGATCGGCCGGGGCGTAAAGTTGGCAGGTTTGGGTATCTCGAGAATGCTTGATTCGGCAGGCTTGTAACCCAAAGCTTCGTTCCTCGCCTGATGCGCCCAGGCCTTGAAGGCCGAAGACTTTGCCTTCTTGTCCTCCTCCGCATCCTCCATGTCCTCGTCCGATTCTTCCGCAGAATCATCATCTTCTGAATCCTCCTCGGAACCCTCTTCCTCCTCTTCAGACCCCTCCTCCTCTCCAGATTCCCCGTCATCCTCCTCCTCTTCACTGCCTTCTTCCTCGCTGCCTGAACCACTACCCTCTTCGTCTTCATCGTCCGAACCCTCTTCGTCTTCGCTGAAACCGTCCCATTCTACCACTTCCGGTACAGGAATGACTGCTGGAGTTTGTACTGATGTGAAGTTATGCTTCGTCTTAACACCTCCTCTCTTTTGTCTCTTGGCAAGTATTGGGCGACCCGACTCGTCGACCTCTAGAGGGCGCTTGAGACCAGCACCGACTGGTACTGGCAGGCTTGTTGTCGTTGTCGTCGATTGTCTTGGTGAAGGCTCGCTTGTCTCCGCCGGCGCACTCTTGGGCTTCTGGGCTGCTGTGTCCTGCTCATCTTCCTCTAAATCCTCATCGACCCCAGGCTTGGGCTTCGGTACTGGTGCACCTTGCTTCACCTCTCGCTTTTCGTAGAGTTTGTGGGCCACCTCCTTCTCTGTTACAAGTCCAGCCTTTGCTTCCCTGACAAGCCGGCTAAGCTCCTCCTTCTTGGTCAACTTTGTCTGGCCTAGCGACTTTGTGCTTGAGAATAAGGTGGTATCGATTTTGTTGGCGGCAAGCTTGGCCAGGAGTTCGCGGTTCTCGTCCTTCTTGAGCTTCGTGTCGATGTACTTTTCGAGTCTCTTCGCCTTCTTGCTGCTGACTTTGACGCCCTCGGGCCTCAGTTCCTCCCGTAGCTGGGCCTTCTTCTTCTCGGCATCTGTAGTGGTATCCTCTCCTTGGGCGATCTCGAGGACGTTGGTGTCTTCGGGGTCTTGTGTTCCCTTTTGCCTTGACTTTTGGCGATCAAGATTCTTGCGCTTGCGCTGACGCGGCACGTATTTCCCGTCTATGACAGCCATATTGTCGTTGGGTGTGCTCGTGGAGAGCAGTGTTGGGAGAAATGAGGGCCGGTGTCGCGACGGCAGGATGCAGCGAAAGATGGCAATGTCACTAGGTACCCTGAAGATTTGAAGATGAAAACTTGTCCGCCCGGCAGAATTCTTGGGCTAAAAAGTGATACCCCACGTTTTTGGAGCCTGTGCGGGTTCAGGGAACCCGGCTACAGTGCGCGTACAGTGTTTTATCATTCGGGGGTCCATCTTGAATGTCTGCAGGCCAACAGGCTCCATCATCAGCAAACATCATGATGGATCCCAAGTCTAGACTCTGAATAGTGACATACTGAGAAGCAGCCTACCAGAACTACTCAAGCCAAAGCTATTCACACACAATACAATCTTATCCTTGAGGCATACGCAGCTGGAATCGAAACTTCAACACATTCAGAGATCATCATGTCTGAGAACGCAGTTAGGGAAGAGCCATTCCCGGCACCCTCCAAACAGGCGAAGGGGCTTGTCAATGGAGTGGAAACTGAGGTTTCATCAATGAACTTCTCAGACAAGATCATGGTCACCATCTCTCAAGACGGGCGACTTGCTCAGTGGGTAAGTCAAGAGCGTCCGGTCGTCATCTCACTCACGATACTGACATGCTGCATTTTAGGTTCAAGTACCACTAGCCGCACCTTCGTCAGCCTCGGTTGACATGGCTCTTCCCGGCGCCGGTAGCCTGTTGCCATCAGAACATTTGACAGCAACAACACTTCTTGGAGGTGGGAATGAGGATAGGGAGACCATGGGCCAGCTTTATGCCAGCCAGATTGCCAGTCTCTTGACGTTGCGCAATCCCAATGAGCAGCGATCTTTGTTGCTTGGTCTGGGTTTGGAGAAGGTCGACACCACTACTAGCGATTCGTTCTATGATGTGGTCGAGTTGGTACAACAAGTCCTCTGATGATAATGGTTTGGAGCGAACCGTATCTGGCAGTAACAAGTTGGATCTGAGGATATCGCGGTGAGGGCTTGTGATGAGGTGAAGAAGGAAGCAGGAGCCGAAATGTGGTTGTCGGGAGTGAGCGTTCGAAAGTCAGTGGATGTGTTCGGCTGGTTGAAGCAGGGCTGTTCCGTCTTTAACGCGGGCTCTGGACAGACAGACTGCGACTTGGCCTCTTGGTCAATTTCGTCCTTGAGAATGTGTAGAACACACAAGAATGAAGGGCAGTGAGCCCGATCTTGCAGCTTTTAAAAGTTCTGTGACATGACAAAAAGCGACTCATGGCAGATCGACAGTTTAGAGCAAAGATCCAAACAGGATGATAGGATGAAGTTGAGCGCAAGAGGGGCTCGAGCAGACGAGCTGAGCGACAAGGCTTGGCCCATTACCCTAACCCTGTCAGGTCGAGGGAGAAATTGTGGCTGGTGGAACTGGGCAGGCTTACCTTGGCAGCCTACAATTGCAGAGGAGCGGTGTGGCTTGCGCGCGTGGTGCGGCTTAAGCCCGGAGCTTGGACCACCACTCGTGCCCACCAAAAAAAATACACAGCCCTAAATTTGACTTGTACGAGACCCGTGAAGCGAGTCTCTTGGAAGCATCAACCGACGTCGACAGAACGAGCTTCATCGGCACCACCAGCAGACAACATGGTATGGCAATTGCTGCACGACTATCGCAGGACGAAACGCTGATTCAGTCATTATGTAGCCTACTCGGTTTTCCAAGACAAGAAAGCACCGCGGACATGTAAGCGCCCCCTCGAACTTTGTCGTCGCCGATTTGACAGATGGCTGACTTTGGTGATTTCATAGGTTTCCGCCGGTAAGGGGTATGTCGCAAACCAATCGACCGACCGATAACGACGAACATGTATTGACAGCATTCTTCCAGCCGTGTCGGCAAGCACAGAAAGCATCCAGGGTACGTACCGCCGCTTGCATATTTGAATGGGGGAAATCATGATGCTAACAATGGGAACAGTGGTCGTGGTATGGCCGGTGGTCAGGTATGCCGATAGAAACTCCAACAACTCGATCTCGAATACGCGATACTAACACGACGAAAAGCACCACCACCGTACCAACCTCGATAAGTGTACGCAAACCCGAAAACAACGGTCGGCGCATGTTGGAGACAGGGGCATGGCCCTACATAACTTCTCCGACATGCGACCAGACTGTTCCCCCACGATACAATGAAACAAACGCTGACGATGACGGAATAGACCATCCTGGTTACTTCGGTAAGGTCGGTATGAGGCACTTCCACCTCCTCCGCAACCACCAGTGGGCCCCTACCCTCAACATCGAGAAGCTCTGGACTCTCGTCCCCGCTGAGGCTCGCGAGAAGTACGTCTCCGGTGCTGCCACCGAGACTGCTCCCGTCATCGACCTCCTCTCCCACGGCTATGCCAAGCTCCTCGGCAAGGGTAAGAAACAAGCGACTGCAGAGAACATCCAAGGAACGCTCGTCTAACAATCACTTTCTAGGCCGTCTCCCCGCCGTCCCCATCGTTGTCCGTGCCCGCTACGTCTCCGCCGAGGCTGAGCGCAAGGTCAAGGAGGCCGGTGGTGTCATTGAGCTCGTTGCTTAAATTCTGAATGCGGCATGATATCTTCAAGGACTGGCGATTTGGCATTACGGTACGAGGGAAACCGGAAACGAACCCGATGGTCATGGATCGAACAGTCGGACAGACGAACAACGACGAGATTCGGTCCCGGAGTCCTGGATGGGTCAGAGGTGGTTGAAAATCTCAGCGCCTCGTCTGCAGCATTTAGGGAAATGGCAGTTCATTTGCATCGCAACATTGGGTCCGGGAATTCGTTCACAAACCGTGCCATGCTGCAGACTGGCGAACTCGGGTGGTCCCGAGAGGGTAACCCGGGCCGCGGCTGCGTCGCAAACTGCTGATTCAGGGGCAAGTAACGAATAAATGAAGGCCTGCGCCCGACGGTCGGTTGATCCTATTTATGAGCGTTTCCTTGGCCATTCCATTGTGAGGTTGAAACATTCGTCCATAGGCCCTTTCCCAGAATGATATATCCGCGTGTTTCGTATGTCACTTATGCCGTTCTATATCTGCTTTCCTCAACGTCTACCGTTCGTTCATAGCCCGGACAAAGTCCATGTGATGTAAGTTGCATTGCACTCGGACCAATACTTGCTTTAGGATCCTGGGCCAAAACACACTAGCACCGACTTCGACTTATACATGCTGCTTCCCCGCTTCACACTTCATATGAGGGTGACCCCATGAGGGGGAGGGAACCGTTGATATTCCGTTTGTTGCCACTTAACTGTCCTTCCTCTACACATCTCATAGCTCAGTCAAGTTGCCCACCATGGCTTCTGGAAGCCCGCCAGCAGCTGTTAAGCTCAACGAAAACGGCATTCCCAACTTCGACGCTCTCCCTCTGCGACCTGGCGACCCCAAGTACTCCACATGGGGCTTATACGGAGAAAAAGACGAATTGGGAACTCTCAACAGGCTCACCGACGAACGAGTCGCCGAGGCAGCAAAGAACGAAATCAAGGCTGGTGTTAGGTACGTTCCTGAGCTCACTGAACGATTCGCCTGTAATCTATCATATACACTATATACATTCCACCTACCTACCCTTCCTGTTAGTTAGTTGTCTAACACCCAAGATTTGTATTGATAGAATCTCCCTAAACTGGCCCCTCAGCGCCCAAGCCCAAGCCCCAAAAAAAGACAAAGACTCGGACTCGGACTCGGAGTCAGTTGGCTTCTTCAACCGCAAACTCTTCCACCAAGACCTCTTCGCCAAGCCACCCCGGTGCGTCAACGATGACGTCTGGACATTCAACACGCAGGTGTCCAGCCAGTGGGACGGGCTGAGACACTATGCTTACCAGAAGGAGAGGTTGTTTTATAATGGGGTGACGATGGAGGAGATTCATGAGGATAGTGGGAGCGGGGTTAATGGGGTGCAAGGTGAGTTTTTCTTCCCTGTCCTGTCATCTTCCTCCCTTCTCTTCTCTTCTCTTTTAGGTACTACTCTACAGGTTTTTCGGTTGGCTTGGTTTGGTTTCCCTCCCCCTACTACGGCAGGATTGATTAGTGACTGGATGGACGACAAAAGGAAATTCTTATGGCTAGGAAGATGAGAAAGAAAATTGCTGACGGGGAAGAAATGACTGGAATTAGCATGGGCAAAAAAGGGCATAGTAGGCCGTGGCGTCCTTGTCGACTTTCACTCCTGGCGTCTGAAGGTCATCGAGGAGCAGCCGAATTTGAACCCATATCTGACCCAGAGATTGGTCAACTTTGATCACTTTGCCACTACGCCCATCTTGCTGGGGGATATACTGGCTTGTTTGGAGTACCAGGGGACGGAGGTTAAGTTTGGGGATGTGTTGTTTGTACGGTCTGGTGAGTTCGGCTTTTTATTTATTCCTTCCTTTCCTTCTTTCTGCCCACGCTTTTGTCTCTTCGTTGTCCCTTCTCTTTCTCCTTCTCTTCCACACTACTCTACTCCCTATTAAAATCACTAACATCCAACCAACTCTCTCCAGGTTGGATCCAACAACACCAATCTCTCTCCTCCTCCTCTGCCCTTCAATCCCACCAAAAAGTCAACCCCCCCTTCCTTCTGCGGCCTGGAACCCTCGATCCCGCTCTTCAAATACCTCTGGAAGAACTTCTCCGCCGTAGCGGGTGACCAGCCCTCTCTCGAATGCTGGCCGCCTGCAGCTATGCGCGATCCCGTTAATCACGGAGACGAGTTAAGTCTACACGAGGTGATGCTGGCGGGTGGGGAATGCCGATTGGCGAGCTTTTTGACTTGGAGGAGCTGGCGAGGGAGTGTAAAGAGCAAAAGAGATGGAGTTTCTTTTTGACGAGTGAGGTGTGTAATGTGAAGGGTGGGGTTGCTAGGTGAGTTTTGTGTTTGCTTTTAATTTCTTTTTCTTTTTCTTTTCTTAACCTTTCCTTGGCGGTGTTGGGGGGAAGAGAATGAGGAAGGGTAAAACCCAAATTTGAGGGAACGGGATGGATGTGTTGAGGTTGGGTGAGTTAAGTTTGCTGACGAGTGGGTTGTTTAGTCCTCCAAATGCTTTGGCGATCTTTTGAGGATGAGCTGAGGTCTTGGGATGGTTTATGGTGGATCATAGGTAGGTGGGTATCTTGGGATTGATTATGGGCGTGAAAGGGTTTTTATTTGATGTTTCGTTTACGATGATAACAACATATGGTTATGGTGAAACATTCCTCCACGGCTGAACTGAATGAGATGTTGTTCTATTTGGTAAATAGAACTCGTCGGGACTTCCCCGGGTTCACCCCCACACAAGGACCCCCATCCCTACCCCGCCAAAGGAGAAGCTTCCCCGTGGGACAACAGCAATACCTAAGAATTTTGTGTCTTGATATGTACGGACTTTCGACCACAGCTTGCTTATATTGCCATGTGTGTATACGCTCAAGATACTCCTGTCGTTGCTGCTGCTGCTATCTATTGCCCTCCTCTAACATCTTTGGAGTCAAAAGATATGTAACCTGAACCGTACAGGTGTCCAAACATACCATTAACACCAACAACTCCACAGCATGTACCGACTAACCCCAACACTACATTAGCTATGGTAGCATCTCGAAGCAATTCACCCGGACGATATAAACCGGAAACCCCTGATCACCAACCACAAACTGTGGTCCTGTGGATAGAAGACCCCGACTCTGATTCTCTCCGGTTGACGCTCTCTCAGTGTGCAACGACCGGACCGGACGAGAACAACTCAGCAGCTCCACCGCTGGCATCATCCTGCATGCCCCAGGGGTGCAGTTATTCACCCACGGGGCCCCTCACCTTCTCTCCCACTCTTATCCATTGCTCCAACCTAACCCTCCCCTCACTGAAACTCGTGTGAAGCCGGCGCCGATACATGTATGCTGGCACCCGGTGGATTACAGCGAACCGCTTAAAGTATTAACCAAAGATGACGGTTCTGCGTACCTAACCAAACATCTCGGTCGGGTATGGTCCGATACCTATGAGAGTTCACTTCATTCTAACTTCTGCCGGCTTCGCTGGTGTCGTCTTAGTGGATCTCCGGGAATGGTTGCAGCTTTAGACTGGACTTACAAGCTCCCTCCTGGGCCGGGGAGAAGAGGGGAATCTGTTATAATGGAGGAGGACCATTGCCTCGCGCCTTCCCTTCGTTTTGCTTTGTTATTGTAATAATTCGAATCCTTTTCGAGAGTTAGTTGCTCTTGCCTGCGTCACCTCACCGCAGGCTGCCTCATCAAGCCGATCTACCTACACTAGGTACTCTTTGAAGCTCTTACATCTACCTTACTCAACACTAATACAGCACAAACGCAACTATGGCGGCCGAGATGAAGGACGGAAAGTTCGCTCACGACATCACTGTCGCTCCCCCGTCGAACAGCGTCATGTCTCTCTTCTCCCTGAAGGGAAAGACTGCCATTGTCACGGGAGCTGCAGCTGGTATCGGCTACGGAGTCGCGGAGGCGTTTGCGGAAGCTGGCGCCAACGTGGCCATCTGGTACAACAGCAACAAGAAGGCGCTTGATGCGGCGGCAGATATCGAGAAGCGGTATGGTGTGAAGTGTACGTATTCCCCGAACTCATTTTACCTACAAAACTGTTGAATTCAGACCGTCTAACGAGTAACGGGATATGTTCATGTTCAGGCAAGGCATACCAAGTCAACGTAACCTCTCTCGAAGCCGTCGAGTCCGCCGTCACCGAGATCGTCAAGGAGTTCAACGGCCGTCTCGACATCTTCGTCGCCAACTCGGGCATCCCATGGACAGACGGCCCCGCGCTCGACGGGCCCCCCGAGTCCTACAAGCGGGTCATGGCCACCAACGTTGACGGTACCTTCTGGTGCGCCCAGGTAGCCGGCCGTCACTTCCGCAGACAAAAGCAGGAGGGGATGACGATCGACGGCCAGAAGCTTGAAGGGTTCACGTACGGCAGCTTCATCGCGACGGCGAGCATGAGCGGCCACATTGCCAACATCCCGCAGCTCCAAGCGGCGTACAACGCTTCCAAGGCGGCGGTCATCCATCTTTGTCGGTCGCTGGCGATCGAGTGGGTGGGCTTTGCGAGAGCGAATACCATCTCGCCGGGGTATATCAGGACCGATATTTCGCAGTTTTGCTCGCCCGAGGTGAAGAATGCTTGGAAGGACAAGATTCCTATGGGGTGAGTTGCAGTGCTTTCTTCCATTGTCCATCAAAAACAAATACTAACAGATTTTGTGTGCGAAACAGCCGTGAAGGAGAGGTCAACGAGTTGAAGGGCGCATATCTGTACTTTGCATCGGATGCGTCGTCTTACACGACGGGCACAGACCTTTTGGTTGATGGCGGATATTGTGCCCCTTAAAGAGGTCCGAATCTGTCAAAGAACTGCTGTATTATGACTGATGGCCTAAATAGACCAATTCATTAAGCGTTAAGAAGGCTCGCTGTCAATATCCGAATGTCAGCGTGGTGAATAAGGTATGTTGCAATGTTTCCGTGATATTTCCATTGGCGGGCACCCGAGAAGGAGCTTCTGAGTGGGTGTGGAGGAGGGAGCCTGGAAAGAGAGCCAGAGTGCCTTGTAAGAGTGCCTCGTGGGGAGCACATCTTCGGTGTATCTGGGTATCGCCAGCTGTCCGGCAGCTGAGTGGGGTTCAATATGACGACGAAGTGGCCGCGGCCTGCCAACCTGGCGGTGTGAGGGGCGCTCTGCTTGGGCGGTCAGAGTTCAGTTTTGGACTTGTCCCTGGCGGCCCTGCAGAAGGCCTTGCCGGGTCTAGACTGCGCTCCGCTGTATCATTGTTTTCTGACACTTGGAGCCTCACAACTCCCTTTGGCAGCATTTTCACGGCGCACAACTTGGGAAGAAGGAAATCCCATTTTGGCGAAGGAAACGCCAGATTAGACAACTGAATTTGTCAGAGGTCTAACATGCCTAGTCATATGACGTCCATCCTGTAGACTTTGCCGCATGTGAACACACGTCGCCATTCAGACAGTTCCCTTGTCAGGCGCATTTTCGCATCGAGGACGGGAGGGATCTGTCGAATGGCGTACCGCTGCAACGGAAACATTCCATATCAGACGAGAGAGAGAGCCCCTGTGGGACCTGAGGTGCCCTGTGCCTGGGCTTCCTTGCCTCGCGGTGAAAAGGTGCTGTTGCCTGCTCTGGGTGCAGTGTGTTTCGGCAAGCTTGACCAGAGAACCCCTAAAACGTGCCCGCTGCCTCTGCATACGGGGATGGGTTGTACGGCAAATTGTTGATACTGTAAATAGCATCAGAGAGCCTCCAAGATCTTGTCGAAACACCGAGGAGGTGATAAACGGGAATGTCTTTCATAGACGTACTCATGTTATAATGCCATTCTACACGCTCCCCGCTCGTCTCTTGTGTCCTATAACAAGTTGAATACACAGCACGCAACGGTAATATCATTTCGGTATCGGACCAAAAAGGGCGTTTACCTGTTGGTGCCTGTCAGTGGTTGAAGGACGGGAAGCAAAAAGGCAAGGTTGTACCCCTCATCCCACCCCAGCTTTGCTGCACCCTTCCATTCACTGGGCTCCCGTCGCTGGTGAACCACACGCCGCCCGCTGTTCAGTGCTGGTGCATGCTGGCTGCCACTCAAAAGTCGCCTCCTTCACAACTCCTCGGCCGCCCGCCCAACTCCTTCCTCCTTCAGCCCTACATTTTGGTTCGCAACCTTGCATTGCTCGCTCTTACTCCTCGACAACCCGTCTTGCCTCCCATCAAACCCGACCGTTTGGCCGACTTTCTCCTTTTCGCGACCGAATACATCGCACAAGTCAGGCGACCGACTCTAGGGATCCTACTACAGTACAACCCTGCCCAACATCTTCCACTCTCACCTCAGGCTTGTGCCTTATCACATACCATCCCGAGACACTCGACTGCTCAGTCTCTCGTTTGCCGCCGCCATTACCACCTAGTCATTATTCGTGACCAGAAGATATGGACGCCAACAACGGTACCGGCGCGCCCGGCGCCTTCAACAACCAGCAGGTTGACAATGCGATCCGCGCCATCCAGCAAAAGAGGCCATTGCCCGAGATCGACTTCACCATTCACACCATGGAGGACGGCACCCAAGTGAGCACCATGGAGCGTGTTTGCAAAGGTAAGTTTCTTTCCTCCCCCCCGCCACTGAGCCTGAAGTTGTTGTCAGGTCATGACTGTCGCTGCGACCTTACCATCACATTCCACTTACCCCCAACCCCCCGTTTCTTTGTACCGCGAGCTCTAACAGGTGCCGTCTTGGCCTCCTTTTCCAGACGTTCAGGCGCCTGCCATGTTCAAGCCCAGTGACGAGCAATTCTTCGAGGACGAAACCCACAGCAAGCCCGACATCCAGTTTCTGAAGCAACATTTCTACCGCGAGGGCCGTTTGACCGAGGAGCAAGCACTATGGATCATCAGGGAGGGTACCAAGCTTCTGCGCGCCGAGCCCAACTTGCTGGAGATGGACGCTCCCATTACCGTTTGCGGTGACGTTCACGGCCAATACTACGATTTAATGAAGCTCTTCGAGGTCGGCGGTGATCCGGCCGAGACCAGATACCTCTTCTTGGGCGACTACGTTGATCGTGGTTACTTCAGTATCGAGTGTGTCTTGTATCTCTGGGCTCTCAAGATCCACTACCCCAAGACACTCTGGCTGCTGCGCGGAAACCACGAGTGTCGCCATTTGACCGACTACTTCACCTTCAAGCTCGAGTGCAAGCACAAGTACTCGGAGGCCATCTACGAGGCATGCATGGAGTCCTTCTGCTGTCTGCCGCTGGCGGCAGTCATGAACAAGCAATTCCTCTGCATTCACGGCGGTTTGAGCCCCGAGCTTCATACTCTCGACGACATCAGAAACGTTAGTCCAACAGCCACTTGACTGCCATTATATGCGCCACGGGCATACTAACTCGATGACTTATGCAGATTGACCGTTTCCGCGAGCCCCCCACACAAGGTCTCATGTGCGACATCCTTTGGGCCGATCCCCTGGAGGACTTCGGTCAGGAGAAGACGACGGACTTTTTCGTACACAACCACGTACGAGGTTGCTCATATTTCTTCTCCTATTCGGCTGCTTGCCATTTCTTGGAGAAGAACAACCTTCTCTCCGTTATCCGCGCGCACGAGGCCCAGGATGCGGGCTACCGCATGTACCGCAAGACCAGGACGACCGGTTTCCCCAGTGTCATGACCATTTTCTCTGCGCCCAACTACCTCGACGTGTACAACAACAAGGCTGCGGTGTTGAAGTACGAGAACAACGTCATGAACATCCGCCAGTTCAACTGCACGCCTCATCCCTACTGGCTCCCGAACTTCATGGACGTTTTCACCTGGTCTCTCCCCTTCGTCGGCGAGAAGATTACCGACATGCTCATCGCCATTCTCAGCACCTGCTCAGAGGAGGAACTCAGGGAGGATTCTGCGACAACTTCTCCAGGTCCGGCCTCCCCGGCCCTCCCGTCTGCGGCTAATCAAGACCCCGAGTCTATCGAGTTCAAGAGACGTGCGATCAAGAACAAGATTCTCGCCATTGGTCGTCTGTCTCGTGTCTTCCAAGTTCTCAGAGAGGAGTCTGAGCGTGTCACAGAACTCAAGACCGTTTCTGGTGGTCGTCTTCCCGCCGGTACTCTCATGTTGGGTGCCGAGGGTATCAAGAACGCTATCAGCAGCTTCGAGGATGCCAGGAAGGTCGATTTGCAGAACGAGAGGCTCCCGCCGAGCCACGACGAAGTTGTCAAGATGCAGGGCGAGGAGCGCGCGCAGGCTTTGGAGCGTGCGACAAGAGAGGCTGACAACGATACGAAGTTGCAGACCCTCTCGAGGAGGCTTAGCACGTAAGTTCACATCCGCCCCAACCCCTTGAAACTTTTTTCTTGCGTCTGGCCTGTCGTATCCCCGAAGGTTTTCAGATGCTGACTTGATCGGTATTACCATAAAGTGACCGCAAGCGATCGTAGTGACCACGCCAATTGATGGGAAAGGATGCTAATCTTTTTCGGTTTTTATGGGTTTATAGTTCTTAATTGGTGTCAGGATACAGAACTACGTCAGGGAATCGAGTGAGGGTCTCATGGGACTTTTCTGTGTGGGAGTAAACAGGAAGGAAATAAGAGAGGACGCGGCGCGGCGGCTGACTGAGTGAAGACGTGTTATTGAACAGTGTCACATTCAGGGCTTTGACATTCATTGTAGCCATCTACCTACTTTTTCTAAATGTTGGCGGTTAATGGAAATACGAATGGGTATCATCAATAAGGATACTCTCTCCTGTCTGCCTGTTTCAAAAGGTTCTTGCTAGAGCGTTTAAACGAGTTTACATAACCTCATCTACTGACTGACTAGATACTTATTTATGTATTGGTAAATAGTAAAGATCAGTAACTCTTTTCTCACAAACTTTCTGCAACCTACTAACCCCCTTTCTAAATTGTCTTTTGGTTTCTTTGTGGATACGGACGTATACCTAGGCCGTGTTTCATTTGCCTCCCATGTCTAGAGCACTTTCTTTGCCATCGAAGTGCATCTTCTGTGAAATTTATGGAACACCGCATGAATGGCTTGTCTAACCCAGACAGGTAACATACATCATCTTAGTCTCGAGATTTGGGTATATGCTTTATCCAACAAGATATCATCTGTTATCCAACATCTACTTGCAAGGGAAGTAAGTGACCACCTGTTTCTTTCCTTACGGTACCGGCTGGCGAACGTGATATACTACTTCTAGTAATGTCTTTCTTAAACAGCCTCACAATCTAATACTCCGTTCGGATATCCGCCCTATGTAGGTAGGCAGGGCCTTAACCAGTAACCCTCGGAAGGACTTCGCTCCTAGGATAGTTGGTGTTCCTCCATCGAGAGATGAAGTCGTCGCGGTTAACTGTTGAGTCAGTATTGTTAGTTACCGACACCGGTCACACACACACACACACACACACAATAGAAAAGGGGGTTTCAAACATGAGCCCCATGGGAGGAAGGGAAGGGAAGGGAAGGAAAAACACTTAGACTTACTATACCCGCCACAAATCCTCCTAATACCCGAGAACGCGCTCCGTCCGTGAAGGACTCTCCAGTTGTCGAAGACTATTATCATCCGTCGTTAGCACCCATCCCACGTTACGGTCAACCCATCTTTTTTACAAAAAAGGAATAAAAGAAAAACTTACTCAACGGCTTCCCCGGCTCCAACTGCACCCACAACTCACTACTCCTCCTCCTCCAAAATCCCATCCCACTTCCTCGCCGCCTCGTACCACTCCTGCGGGCTGAACTTCTCCCCAAACGGCACCACCCCTCGATCGTCATTATTCCACCTAACCCGATGCAGCTCCCCACTATCCTCATCAAGCTCCAGCACAGGATACATCCTGTCGGGCGCGATCGTGATGCCCGCGTTGCCGCTCGCGTGCCAGGGAAGTCTGACCGTGCTCAAGATCTCGTACGCCTTTGGGTCTTCGGATTTAAGGATGCGCGCGGCGTTGAATCCGTCTACTAGTAGGGATTTGCCGCCTTCTGCTACTTCCTCAGTAGTAGAAGTCCCCGGAGCAGACTTATGCTCCAACAAATGAAAAGCCTGCAACCCCGCCGGTTCCGTAAAGTACGTAGTGTCGGTATGCGCCGGCAGCGCCAGGTTGGTGTAGGCGGTATCGGCCATGGCGAGGTCCGGGGTAAAATCGTAGAAGCCGCCGTAGTGCGTTACGCGGATGAAAGCGATTCTCTCCAAAAGTTGTCGGGTTATGTCCGGGTCGGAATAGGGGGTGTCTTTGATGAAGCAGAAGCCGAATTCTTTGATTAGAGAGGTTAGGTCTGCTACGCCTCGGAGGTCTTCTCCTGGCGAAGAGGAACCCATGACCCGGGCGAAGGACACGGTGGGTGGCCGGGACCGAATCTCGCGGCCCCAGAGGGAGATTTGGTCGTTTTCCGTGTGACCGAAGCGGGTGTTGGATGTGAGGTAGGAGGTTAGGAAGGGCCAGGGGTAGGTGGAGGTGTGGTTGTCGGACCCTGTTGTAAAAAGGGGTGTTAGTTGGTCTGGACATGAGACTGGGACTGGGAAGGATGGTGAGGGATAGTGAGGGATGTCAGGGACTTCATGGTGGTGACTGGTGATACTCACATTGGACGGTAACATTTTCCTTGGTGGCTTCAGCCTTTGTTGGGTGGATGTCGGAGGGGATCTGAAGAATAGCTGCTTAGCCGTGATGATCCGACTGAAGCGCGCGCGCGCGAGAGAGAGAGATAAAGTGCTGAGTAAGGTGAACTAGGTAGACTAGGTACTCACAGCAAAAGTGTTAAAGTTTCTTTGCAGAGTATCTTGGTTTACGCATTTCGTACACCGGCAGTTATCACTGTTTGTCGTCGTCGTGGTCAACCATCAAGTTTCATACAGAGTCAACTGTTGAGTTGAGTTCAACCTCCAGGAAGGAAGGCTTACCGTAACCAGAAGTTGGGCCTATACTCAGAGTCAGAGCCGGAGTCAGTAACTTGCCTCCCATAACCGTTGCCTATGTTTTCAACCCATGAAGGGAAAGGAAGGACAAACTTACAGAACAGTCCGCTTCCCATCTGCAACAGCCTGCGGAGGGCTCAACTCAAGTCCCTCGGCTGTGATCTCCGCCTTTGGCTCATGCTGTAACAACCTTGGGAGAGAAGATGAGAAGGCTCTTCTCGAGGTTTGAATAAACGACAAAGAGGACTTTGTGACAGTAACAGCAGCAGTAGCATTCAGGCCAGTTCTCGAAGAGGTTGTCTAAAAACGGAACGAAGGGCGAAGTTAGTCAGTTAGTCAGTCAAGGGTTGCCAGATATTGATTATATATAGAACGAAAGGGTTCACACTTGTTGACAACGGCTCTAGAGCGGAGGATCACTCCTACCACTTGTGGTCTCATCTTCGGCTATGTTCTTGTAAAGTGTCTTTGGAGGGTTTATGTCCTGGTCAATGACGAAGAGGGTCTGATGTGACGAAGCGGTAATTTTGCGTATGTATGTAGAGGCAGGTAAGGTATGTACGGCTAAAGCAGGGACAATGCAAAAATAAGACAAATGCCAATGTGAAAGATGCAAGAAACAACAGAATGCCACCCGTGATAGTTTGAGGAAGAGAAAAAAAGAAGTGTTACAAGAACAATCTGCCGATGAGTACTATATGTCGCATTTACATGATCACCACACCATCGTCTTATACCAAGAAACCAAGTAACTTTGTATCTTTCTTTTCGCGATGGGGCCCCTTGCTCCGAGATGGAGACGTTTCCGTCAGACTTCGAGAATCCGCTGCGTTTTGCCTCGGCTGGCATTTGGTTGGCTCCGCCGAGACGCTAAGCCGAATCGGGAAGTATAAGTCGGGACGTTTGAAGCCGAGAGCCTCATGATCGAGACATCTGATATTCCTATCAACATTAAGTAGTGAAACTCAGGAGTGATGGTTTTCATTTACTGTCATTGTACTATCTAGCTATATCCCATGATCTTCGGTCCAAAAAAGCAGGTATCTATGGCGCCCCAATGACACATGTCCCATATTCTTCCACCCATTCCTTTTCCTTGCCGGCCTCATAAACATCATGTCAAATCCCACTGTACTCAATCCTATCGGTACATTCAAACCCTATCCAACACTCAACATTCAAAGTATTTCTCCTCCTAGACGTCCTTCACCACCCACATCCTCTTAAGTTCGAAGCTTATCTCCTCCATGCGAACAACCGCTCCCACCACGAGCCAGCTGCGATAGCAGGCCTGACATCCTCAACAACGACCGGTGGGGAGAGAACAACAGTGTTCCAGACCTCCTCGCCATCGACAAACAGACGGTATTTCAAGCTGCTCTGATCACCTCCCTCGAGGTTCTCAATAGTGATAGCACCGAACTTGGAGTTGCCTTTGTTGATGTACCTGGAAGCTTCGCGTTAGCAACGTTATCCAAACTTCAACAAGGATACCATCGAGGGCTCAACTTACTTAATCTCAACATCCTCGCTATCTCTCTGTCTATACGTGCCAATAGGCGAGTAGAACTGGCTCAGCGGGCTAGCAGAGAACTCAAACACCGTGGCGGTTTCAGGCCAAGTGCTGTTCATCGGCGGCGGGAACTTGGTAGCAGCGAACTCGTGCCTGTCGCCAGACAGGACAATCACACCGATACCCCTGCTCGCGGTATCCCACATGGCCTCCAGAATTCGCTTTCTTTCAGTCAAAAAGCCGCCCCAGGTATCCTGGGTGTTGACGCCCCAGTTCTTGGTGAAGGGGACAGACGAAGCGACAATCTTCCACTTGACGCCCTTTGGCTCGGGGCGCCTGAGCCATGCAATGAAGTCTTCGAGTTGTCCGGCGCCCAGCATAGTCTTGGCATCGTCAGTAAAGGCAATCTTGTTGTTCGAGCGGTAGGTGCGAGTGTCAAGCAGGAAGAAGCTTGCGGGGCCCTGGGTGAACTCGAAGTACGTGGCTCCGCTGCGAGCGCTGAGGGCACCGGCCTTCTTGGCCAGGGGAGGGTTGGCAGCCGCATGGTAGTGGTTGTAAGGGTCAATGGCGTTCTGGTACACGCCGGTGGTGTTGGCAGACCAGTCGTTCTGAATTTCGTGATCGTCCAGAACGTGGATCCAGCTGAGGTTTTGACCGACAGCCTGCCAGTCAGGGGAAGCGTAGACCTGACGGTACTTCTTGCGGTATTCCTCGGTGCTCTTGGCCCAATAGCGCGGAACATCGATGTAGATGAAGTCTCCAAGGAAAAGCATAAACTGGGCACCCAGGCTAGGGAGGACCTTGGCCAGGTGTCGCATACCGGGAATGGCCAACGGATGGTCAGCCGGATTGTAGGGTAAGCGGCTCACGATGCAGGAGGTTGAGAGGAAGGTGAAAGGGCCCTCGCCGGTTTCAAACGCAGAGCCAACCTTGGGTGGGGTGGTGAACTCTCCGGTGTGGTTGTTTGAGGTCTTCCATTCGTAAGTTCGCTGTCCCGAGTTGCGGAGAGGAATCGTAACAACAGCAGTGTAATCGGTCTCGTTTCCGGTCCATCTGACACCGCCGACTGATTGCCACAGAGGGTTGTCGAAAGGAGGCTGGGGGTCCTTGAGATGAATTTGCACGTTGATGGGCATCATGGACTGATCAGGCTCACGGATCAAGAGCTTGGCTTCGTGTTCGCCGACATAGCCAACGCGAGCAAAGGAAAGGTCCTCGGCACCATAGTAACGCTCGCGGAACAACCGATCAGCAACGAAGCCAACCAACGCAGCGTTAATCAAGAAGGTCAGCGCGGACAGGGCCAGGCTCCGCGGGTTGGGTGCGCCGCTAAGTAGAGTGCGCAAAGCGTGCATGGGTCGCTTCTCGATGGAGATAGTCTCTTGAACATCTACCTGTTCGGCGATCACCTTTTCGTTACCGTTAGGAGTAGGTGCTCCAGGGCTATCGTCCTCCTCAGCATTGTCATCCCTGATGGTTGTTTCGGTAACAACCACGTCGACTTCGTCAACCAAGTTGTACTTGGGCTCCTTGCGGAAGCCAGACACGAAAGTAGGCAGATAGATGGCGAAGAGTGTGAAAATGAGCGCAGGACCAAACTTGATGTCCTCGTTAGCTTGAGATTGACCAGAGACACCCAAAACCTACTTACCGGAAGCATTGCCCATCTCAGGAAGAAGTAACTGAGGGCCCTTATCCCCATGGACGAGATGGCCGCTGCTCGCGTTTGTGATATCGCCATTTTGGCTGTCCCCTCTCTCACGGGGTAGCCAGGATGATTCTGAAGTTGTGTAGCAGAGAAGAGGGACAAGTCGTGTGTTTGTTCGGAATAGAAAGATGGCAGACTTTATGTCATTAATAGAGCTGAAAGTTGATGGATGAAGTTATGGAACCTATCATTCAGCTGTGGGGAATCACTAGAGAACCTAATCAGCTTGGTTGAGGTGCTGCTGCCCAAAATAATCCAGAACGACGTGGATAGCTGTCATACGCGTGGAGTTTGGAACAAGAGTTGGAGAAGCAGGAAAACAGTGCACAACACGAGCTGCGATTGAGAAATGACGGCAAACGCTAAGTAAGAGAGTCGAGACACGCTCGGTATCCAACTGTTAAAGGAAAACATGTAAATAACACCAAAAGCAATAACAGCAGCTGTGGTTGACGCTTTCTTTTTTATTCCATTTGCCAACTGACGCACCTGCTTCGAGTCCCAGCGGCACGTCGCATGTTGATGTCACTGCCCGGAAACCGACCCCGGTCGTGGTTCAAGCTTCTAAGAAATAGCTTGGCACAAGCTCCAAACCCATCTCCCGCACCAGGGGCTCCTTGAGCTCCAGTGCTCCTCCGTGGACACATGCAGGAGTTGGAAGGGACAGCCCACTGAAGCTGTTCAGGGGGCGGGGGGAGGTCTGGAACTGGAACTTGTCAACTGGTTCGAACCGTCAACTGCCCTGCAGCCACCTGGCCCATTGGATATCAACAGCAAAGGCGGTCAGGAAATTGAATGATCCGCCAAAAAAAAGTCCAAGTAATGGCTGTAGCCCGCCCAAGTCCCGGCCAGTCCCCAGGAGTGCCAAGACACCTACCCCGTGCTCCCAGTGGACAGCAGCAGCCCAGTGCTTCTGGCCGTCGTCGAGTTGCCCTGTGCTCAGCTTCCCTTCGCGACTTGGCACCCGTGAACTCCAAGTTGTCCTGAAGACGAAGCGACGGCAAGACGGGATCTGCAAAAGTCAATATCGAACACCCCCCCTAGGAACTGCAGGCAATTCCACGATCAGTTACCACGACACACAGCACATCATGAAGCTGTCAACAATAACCTGCGCCCTGTTGGGTCTGGCCAGCGAGGTTGCCGCCACGGCCCTGACTTACAAGCTCGTCGCCAACGAGAAGGCCTGCTTCTTCGCCACGACCAAGAGGGCCAACGAGAAGATTGCCTTTTACTTTGCCGTACGCCTACCCGATCGATAAATGCACGCGACCGTCATGCGCCGGGACCGAATGTGCTAACTTTGGTGGTTGCGCAGGTACAATCAGGAGGCTCGTTCGATATCGACTATGAAGTAACCGGCCCCGATGGCAACGTTATTATGGATGGACAGAAGGAACGCCAGGGCGACTTTGTCTTCACCGGCAAGCATATTGGCGACTACAAGTTCTGCTTCAACAACGAGATGAGCACCTTTGCCGACAAGTTCGTCGACTTCGAGCTTGCGGTCAGTACACCCGGACCCCCCTTTTACTCCACCACCTACCACTTATACTGACTGTGAGAGTATAGGTCGAAGAGGAGGCCCGCGTTACCATCCCTTCGAAGCAGGGCAGCTCCCCCGAGCAGACCTCGGCTCTCGAAGAGTCCCTTTTCAAGATCTCGATGCAGCTTTCTACCGTCACCCGTAACCAAAAGTACTTCCGCACGCGCGAGAACCGCAACTTCAGCACGGTCAGGAGCACCGAGAAGCGAATTGTCAACTTCAGTTTGATTCAGATTTTGCTGGTCATTGCGATGGGTGCTCTACAGGTCTTCATTGTTAGATTCTTCTTCCAGGTAAGCTTCACCTTTTGTCCAATGTTGCATCCTGGCGTCAGAATTCTAACATGTTTCACAACGCAGGGCGCGCGGAAGGGTTACGTATAAACGACTACTAGTTTTATGCTCTCAAGGAGCAAGATTGATTTGGTCTTGGCCGGGCGTAAGGCACAAAAACAGCACAGGTCTTGCTTGCATGGGGTGTATATTATAATGATGGCTTACGAGATGGCGAGGGAGAGGGCATAACAACAACATGCGCTTGTGTCTTGGTTTTCGATCTACATGTATGACTGATGGATTTACTTGGCGGTCAGGTATCTTTAAAACATAATAGAAGTTCACACGTGCAATGATATGCCATCTTGGGTGTTCGGCAGATAAAGTGTTCAGGCTGGAGGGTTCAGGCATGAGCTATTGCGACCCAGAGAGTCGTCAAATACCGGGCATGTATAGGGGAACTTCAGACTCAACATCCATTTCTCATGATATACCACCCGCGGTACACAAAGGGAAAAGGGTCAGCGTTTGGTGTTTTGATATTGACCCCTGGGTAAGGTACGTACCTTACATACAGTACAAGTCACTGATAAGGAGGGCGATAAGACTGCCCCTGTCTCGTCTACGCCAGCGCTGCAGTACCGGCTACAGGTACGTACCCTGGCGCCACACTGGACCTTGGAGCGTCGCGCTTGAGCCACTTACCGTTACCTGGAACTTCTTTTCGTTGCAGGCAGTGATGTCGAAGTAAACGTCAACTGTCAAACTCGATTGCATATCAAGGGTCCGATCTCGCGGCAATCAACTATTATCCAACAACCACATATCTATCGACTACCATGGCTTCGATAGCAGCAGGCCTGTCTCAGGCTCTTCCGAAGCCAAAGTACAGCGGCGAATACGAAGAATCAAAGTCACAGCAACGCGGTCCCAGAATTGTCGGCGCCGGCCAGATCGACGAAACCCAAGTTGTCCTGAGGGTCAGTAATCGATTCCTCCACCATCCGCTTTCCTGCAATCAAGATTTGGCTGATGCTAACATTGCGGTCTTACAGAGAACCGGACCACCACCGTATGGAAACCGACAGGGCTGGCGACCGCGGGCACCAGAGGATTTCGGCGATGGCGGTGCCTTTCCAGAGATCCCCGTTGCTCAGTATCCCTGGGGCAAAGACGCCTCGAGCAAGTCGAACGCGCTAGTTGTCCAGGTTGATGGAGAGGGCAAGGTCGACTACACAGCGATTGCGCGACAGGGCCACAGCAGCGACCGGGTCATCCACGCATCATTCAAGGACTTGATCCCATTGCGACAGAGGGCCGAAGCGGGCGATCTCGACTTGTCACGACCGAGCAAGGAGGAGGTGGAAGCAACGGCGGAAAGGACCAAGAATGCACTGGCTGCGCTGGTCAGCGGCGCCGTGGCGTCCCAGAAGCCCAAGAACATCAACATCAACACGAAGCGAGAGCCGACCTTTGTGCGCTACACGCCATCGGCGCAGATGGGAGACAACTCCAAGAAGCAAGACCGTATCATGAAGATTGTGGAGCGACAGAGAGGTATGTCCATCCATCCAAGATTTGGTAACTAGCTATGGGCGGCAGGCTAACAGTTGGCAGATCCTATGGAGCCACCCAAGTTCAAGCACAAGAAGATTCCCAGAGGACCCCCGACTCCTCCTCCTCCAGTTATGCATTCGCCTCCCAGGAAGTTGACGGCCGAGGACCAGGAAGCATGGAGAATCCGTAAGTTATCCACCTGCTGTCATACAGAAACCTTCCACTAACAGGCACTAGCACCTCCTATTTCCAACTGGAAGAACCCCAAGGGTTTCACCGTCCCGCTCGACAAGAGATTGGCCGCCGACGGCCGTGGTCTGCAAGACGTGCAAATTAACGACAAGTTCGCCCAGTTCTCCGAAGCCCTCTTCATGGCTGACAGACACGCCAGAGAGGAAGTCCGACAGAGAGCCATGATGCAACAAAGGCTAGCAGAGAAGGAGAAGGCACAGAAAGAGGAACATCTCCGCCAACTTGCGCAGCAAGCCAGGGCAGAGCGCGCGGGCGGTGGACGGAGCAGGAGATCACGATCCCGGTCCTACAGCGGCTCCGAATCTCGCTCCGGGAGCGACGACGACTCGGAGCGGGAGAGAAGGGAAGCGCGCAAGGAGAAGCAGCGCGAGGAGGAGCGCAAGTTCAGACAGTCGCGCATGGGCGCGGAGAGGAGAGCGCAGGTCATGGCCCGCGAGATGGATAGAGATATCTCGGAGAAGATCGCGCTCGGTCTCGCCAAGCCCACGCAGTCTAAGGAGGGCATGTACGACTCGCGCTTGTTCAACCAGTCTAGCGGTTTCGACAGCGGATTCAACGAGGACAACCCGTACGACAAGCCGCTTTTTGCCGCCCAGGACGCCATCAGCAGCATTTACAGACCCCGTGCCAACGCGGAGGATTTCGACGACGAGGCGGCGGGCGAGGGCGAGATGGCGAGGATCTCGAAATCGAACAGGTTCGGCGAGGCCCTGGGTCGTGGCACGTTCAAGGGTACGGCTGAGGCGGAGGCGAGGGAAGGACCGGTGCAGTTCGAGAAGGACACGGGTGCGGATCCCTTCAACGTGGACAAGTTCCTCAATGAGGTGGAGAAGGACGGTGCTGCTTCCTCTTCGAACAAACGCGGCTTTGGGCTGAATGACGGAGAGAGGGACTCGAAACGGACGAGGATTGATGATGATGAGGACTAAGTCCGTGGTTCCAAGGTGCTGAGGGGGCCGATCGTGTCACATATTGGCATGGGTTTATCGTACTGCATGCATATCGAGGAGTTTGTTCACACTGGCGCGGATTCAGACATGATGCGAGCGAAATAGGATATAGAATGCAGTCGCTTGGGTTCCCGATCTAAGCTGAGGTGATACATGTTCACATATTGCGCTTTCACATGCTTCATCTGAAGTGAAGGTTTGCAAATGCCATAGCTGACTATCAAGAATGGAGATCATGTTCATCTATTCGTCCCTAGAGTACCAGAGCCTCCCCCAAAATGCCGAAACATCCAATGCCTGTATCTTGTAGTATTTGTACATGTAAAAAAAAAAAAAGCATCTATGCCACCTTATTTAACGCCGTTTCCCATCGTGCCCATGTCCCAAGTCTTTTGTTGTCCATGTACACACACACACACACCCGATCTGCGTCTTACTGCCTTTTAAGGTCCCATCATCCCCTCCTCAGGGTTCAGCACCGAACCCAGTAAGTAGTAGTACACCAGAACTTTTTGTCAAACACAGATCTAACCCCTTCTCCCTCCTTCTGCTTCTCCCCATCATCCTCTTCTTCTCGCCAAGTGTCGCCACCCTTCCCCTTCTCAAACCCCCTTCTCATCACCCTCTCACTCAATCCCCACACCCCTTCCCATCAAACTTACTCCTCCTCAGAAGGCATCCTCATCCAAGCATTCAATAGCGGCCTAAACGCCGCAAAGCCCGCACACCCCACAGCAGCCGCCTGCGGGCCTCCATTCCTCGCCAGGATCGCGCCCGTCAGACAACCCGCCGCCACACCGTTGCCCAGATCATTCTTGGCCCTGAGCCCTTCAATGCCGCACTCGATGCCGCTGAACAGGGCGCCGACTTTGGCAAAGTTCTTGGCCGTGCTGTACGACCGCTGGCCCATGTCCTTGAAGCCGTGCTTGAGCTGCTCCTTCAGCGGCATCGAGGACAGGTCGACGGGCTTGTAGCCTGGGATTCCGGCGGCGGCGGGGTTGGCGCCGGGGCCGGTGCCGGGCGTGGTGGGGGAGTGGTAGGGGGTGTCGTAGGCCATCTATTAGTAGGAGAGAGGGGGTGTTAGTTATGGGTAGCTAGAGGGGAGGGAATGGGGGGAGGAGGGAGGAGGAGGGAGGAGGGAGGAGGAGGGAGGGGAAACAAAGGAAGGGGAAAAGGAAGGAGGGAAGGGGAAGACGAAAGGAGGGAAAGATAGGAAAAGGGAAAGGGAACGGCAGAAAAAAGGAAAACGTACCGAAGCCATAAACATTCCAAAAACACCACCTAGCGCAAAACCGGCGCCACCGCTCATGACTGTCTTTGCGAAGCACGATTCCATGGCTTTTTGCATCTGTGTTTGTGTTTGATCATCTCGTTAGCGTCATCTCCTTTGTGATCTTCTCTTCCGATCCTGACGTTAAGTAACCAAGTATTCTTCTCCGTCTCAACATCCCGTCCTAACATCACCCGCTTGCTAGACCTCTGCCTGTCAGGCTAGACCAGTCCAGTCCAGTCTAGCGACAGCCAGCCAAGATACAGACAGACAGACAGACAAGGAGGTGGACATAGCCAGCTGGTATAGACAGCTATAGCTGACGAGCAATCACCACCAATGTCACCATCACCACCGCCATCCACGCGCCCCTCCTCCCTTTCCTCCTCTTTTTCCTTCTCCTCCACAGCAATAAACAAAGGCTCGGGTAAGGTGTCTACTAACCCACTTGATATTCGGATCATTAGGATCATACCCTCCAGGCGCAGCACCACCAGCACCACCGCCGCCGGGCATACCAGGGAAGTTCATCGTGTTGTCTGGTTGTGGACGTTCGACGTTCGGTTCTTGGTTTTAGGTTTTAGGTTGTAGGTTCTGCGGGGGCTTGTCCGGCAAGCAAGTTCGGCGCAACGGTTGTTCGTTCGTGGAATCGGTGGAATCGAGGTTCGCGGCGATGGAGTTTGGTCGGGTCTGGGTTCAGTGAAAGGTAGGTATGGCTGATTACTGAAGTACTTGTTCGTCGGCCGGTATTCGTTTTCTTTTAGGTACCGTGGGCGATGTAGATAAGCCCGGTTCGGAAGATGGTATGAGATTGGAATCGTACGAATCGTCGAGATCCGGATACAGGACGATGGGTGTACAATGGACGTCTCGTTCAATGGGACATGCAATCCGCTCTCGCTCCGGTCGGTTGGTCGTTCACTGCAAGGATGGCGATGGGTCTATCAGTTCAACTGGAGCGCTGAGCGGGTGGGCGGGCGAGCGTGGGTGGGTGGATTGAATATGTTATCGCGAATCCTCCGTCCGGGGAACCGCTTATCGGGCAAAGGCAAGATTCTGCCTTGCATCACCGCCCTAATTTGAACATGCGCAGCACATGCGTAACCGCTGCCGGGGCCGTCCCTCGGCGTCGCCCGGGTCCTGCGGCTCGCCCCACCTCGGACATCTTGCCATGTGGGTCTCTCACCCGCGACCTTGAAGCCGTTGTGGAGCCATGTTCATCAGAGTTTCATCCTGAGAAGCCCTCAAGGTGCCCGTCAGTTAGAAAAGAAGCCATTTACACCAAAGACATCACCACACACTGAGCCTATGCCCTCGTTCCCCGAGGACATTGCTTTATTAATATCTATGTTCATTGTGTGTCCAATGCCTGGCAAGAAATATCTACTCGTCCCCCACGCCTTTGCCCATGCTTGCATGCCGTCCGTCGATGACATAACACGACTTCTAGGACTTTTAGGAGTACTGTATAAACATGATGATGGCAACGAGTGCACCGCAAAATGCCCGACTTAGGGACTTCCTGACGACAAAGACCGCATACACCCACAATTGCTCAACAGACGCCAGTGTACAAGCCAGCTCTTTTCCTTCTCAGCAAAACGAACAAGGTTATCGCAAGTGCCACCGCCCAAATGCCCGCCTGCTGCGCAATGTAGTGTACATACTTCGGCCAGACTGCGGGCAGCCTACCCAAAAAGAAACTTGGTCGGTAATAACTTATGCAGAAAACAGCAAGCTCACTCAACACCCCCAGCATTATCCATATCCCACTTATCCCTTAAGGAACAAGTCACCACCGCCATTTCGCGCAGACCTTGACCGATCAACATGATCCAAGCCAAGGTAGTCTTCTCGCTCGGCCGTATCGTACAGGACGTCATCTATAGAGGGACTGAGTTAGTCACGTCATTGGGGAGACGATACCGGTAGGGGTCACAAACCGTCTTGGAGATAGATTGGTCTTGAGAACTGTGCCCGTCTGACCACAGCGAACTTGATCTTCTCGAAGCTCTTGCCCTTGATTCCCAATCTCTTTTCAAGCCGCTTCTTAGTCTCCGAAAACCGCTCGCCCTGTGAGCACCATTTGGTTAGATGACAAACTGTTCAAATGGTGTTGCATGTGAACTTACCTCTTTGATCAAGAATCTGAACGACATTCCGTGAGCCCTGCTTGGTTCATTTTGGAAGTGGAAGACAGTTATGTACTGGTTAGGATCAGTAACACCAATCTCTTCCTCGGGTTTCCGTTCGGCCACAACGGTGGTGTATTCGTTAATCGAGATGACAGGGTAAGTCCTGTCGAGATCCCTGTACCACTTGTTGTTGCTGACCTCGAATACTCGGATTTGGCCGGCCTCCTCTTCACTGGGAATCTTGGCCTTCTTGACCAACGCCTCGATGAGGTCCTCAACCACACCACTCTTGGTTACAAGAAGATCGTATTGATCCTACTGCAGCGTTAGTAACGTAAAAGGCCACCAATTGTTTCCAGCCACTTACCTCTTTTGTGATGCCCTCACTGAGCCAAGTGACCTTGATGCTCTTCTTGGTGTCTAGCTCAGCAAGACTAATGTCAAGGACTTCATAGTAAAGTGCGTCTGACAGTTGATTGAGATTCATCTGCCCGTATCCCGGCGGGGTAAGGATCCTCTCTACCGTTTGGTTGGATAACCTCTTCACAGCCGTCCTGGGATTACCATTGGCGCCGTTGATGGTATAGAATCGGATATGAGTAGGATCAACACCTATGTGCTCTCCGACCTTCTCCGACATTTTGTCATAGCTCATCTTGGAACTCAAGACAAGCTCAAACTGAGGGTACTGCTGGACATCAGCCTTTTGGGGGTGGGGGCAAAACCTAACGACCTTCCGATGGAACAAGAAATCGTAATATTCCCTGGCATCCGTGATCTTGTCCGAGGATTTGGCGTCTTCAGAAGGCTTGCTCTCGCCAAGACCAAGTCTTGACTTGTGCACATGGGTTCGTTGGAAACATATTATGTCTCCGTCCTGCAACTCCTCGGCCTTGAGGGTTTCCTTGCCCCGCAGTCCCTCTACCATGGTTGGCTTGATCTCCTCAAAGAGTTGAATCTTCTCCCCACTGGGGAGTTTTTCGCCCAGCCCATCTTCTTCAGAATCACAGGGACCAGATCCTCTACTTTCTTGTCCAACCTCATGTAGACATGCCCGACTCCCCTCAACGTCTGGCTCTCCACGTCGAACGATTTCAAAAACAACAAGATGTTGTCCTTGACAATAGCGCCGTTAGCTTGCGCCTGGTACGATGGCCAGATGGGTTCGCCGTCCGCGTTGACCTCCTCAGCCACTTCAGCCCACACGCGCAAGGACTCATCCCTCTGCGCAGTAGCCTTGGAATAAGTTTCCTCCACTGTAAGCTGAAGATCCATAATCGGAGCATCCGGGCGAACCGTCTTGTTTTGACGATTGACCATTATCCACAAACGAACACGTCTAGGATCTTGTCCGAGGTCGACTGCAATTTTGGCAACCAACTGCTCCAAGGTATCCTGGCGAAGAACACGGTAATAAATTGGTGCCCCGGGATCTTGGTCAGGAGTCGCGTCGAAGGAGGTCAGATCGGTACCGCCGTGTTGCTGGAACGTCGCCTCGGTGACGGCCTTTACCCCAATGTAAAGGTGCTGTTCCTCCCTCTCTTTGCGTCGAGCTTCGCGAGCAGCCAGCTCCTCTGCGAACCTGTTGCGGAGATGTGGAGGCGTGTCCTCCTCGGTAACCGGGGTAAGGATTTGATCGACGCGGGACTTGCGGATATACACGAGCATGTAGGCGCTGTTGGGCCGCATGATTGGCGTCTTCTTTTGCGGCAAAGTCCTAATTTGTCCATTGGGCAGCCGGAAAGGACCGCCAAAGTTGTCTTCCAAGACCTCAAGCTTCCTGGCCTTGGTGACTTTATCATCATCGTACTTGTACCAATTTCCGTCCTTGGCGGGCTTCAAGAAAGCGTAATAGTGGCCGGTGTTAAGGTCTCCGCTGTGCACCAGCACACCATGAAGCTCGTATTCCCAAGGTTCCGATCGGTCGGCGTCTTTCTCGAGGAAGGGGGCGGCATCGAACTCCTCGGGAAACTCGTAGCGAGCATTGATCTTCATCATGGTGTCGCGCTGGATGTCGTATTCGAAGCGTTTCAGCTGCAGATGCAGGACATCGGGAAAGCTCTGGAAAATGACGCCCTTGTTGGCATCCTGGAGCTTGTACTCGTCGCCAGCATAGTATTGGTTTTCGCCATCCAATTTCTCCACCTGAATGTAGTCCTGGAAACTCTCCAGCAGATTCTTGTTGCCGCTGACGTTGAGTTGGACGTCCCAGAAATCCTCAACTCGGCTGGATTCGTACGGAACGTTGATGCAGGAGATGAATGTTTTGATCTTACCGCTGAACATCTGTGCCAGGGCTTTCTCGTGCGGTGTGCCCTTCATCTTCTCCTCCATGCGTTCCATCAGTTTCCGCGAGAGTTCCTGGACGTCTTGCTGTTCGAAAATATGACGAGTTTCCCATCCAAAAGACTTGGTAAGCTCACTGGTAGCCACGGCGCTATTTGATGTTTGCAACTGATAAAAGAGTCGTTGTAGAGTATAGGCGCTGTTCATCATGCTCTCGTCTTGCTCGGTAGGGATCTGGTAGATAATCTGCAAGCCAGTCAGCATGCGGGGGGGAAGCAGAGAAAAAAGAACAAGAGGTTGGTCTCTTTACCTTGCGGAAAGCATTCGTGAAATAGAGCGACTGTAAGAGCGAGTTCAAATAGCAAGTGGCGCCCTGGTTTTTAAGGCCAACATAGCCTGTCTCCTGCTTCGAATCGTAGTTGTTGAAGTTGTGCCACAAAACTCCTGTTTCATCCTCGACAATCCTGACGTAGGCGCTGATGTTGACGCTGTCGTTTTCGCCCAGAGGACGGGTTGAACCGTCATAAGGCTGGTTGAACAGCCTCCGGAGTTCCAAAAACCGTGTAAACCCCCAATCGCTCTCCTCCTTAGTGAAGCGGTGATGGGCGGAATGGTGGTGAAAGACGGACGGGTCGTTGGGATTCCATAGCACTAGCGCAAACTGGACGCAGCAGCTCCATTTCTCGGGCATCTCGTCGGCTTCGAATCCGTGTTCCAGGTATATCGAACATTGATCAACATTGTTGCCATATGGGAAAAGAAGGATCCGCCTTTAAACAATATTAGTATCCTTAGCAGATTGAAATGAACCACCGAGAGATACTGACCATGGGAAGCCACCGGCCTGGAAGACGGGGCCATGCTCCTTCTTGTTTAGGCTGCGCCAACCCTTGATCTCCCATGTGTGAACCTGATCCTCAAGGATTGGGGGTTCGTCGATTAGGGCCGGAAGGACGTGATCTTTCATGGTTTTGACTAAAGCAGCGTCAGTCGTAGAGCTTCCAGAAGGACGGGAGGGGGGGGTGCGTTGTTGTCGTCCAACTCACAGTCATTGGCGAGGACAGGAGCCTCCTTCTCGTCAGCATCCGGGGTGATGATTGCGACATCGTCATTATCGACGCCGTTTGGTTCGACGATGTGTTCCTCGGGTGTATCAACCAGCATGGAGTTGGGCGATGGGGCATCGGGGTTCTGTTCATCCTTAATGCCAATAGCCAGATTAGCGAGCCGGTCGTCAAGTGGCGGGGATGGCGAGGGAGTCAGAAGAGCGCGGGTAGTGGGGTTGCCCATGTTGAACATCGAGGGGCAAGTAGAGGCGGACGACAGAGAGGAGAAGGATAGGATGATCAGACAAGCTGGATTGCTCGCGGGAAAATCGGGTGCACGGGAAAGGTAGATGGTGAGGTCGACTTGTTCGCCGAGCTGTTGAAGGAGACGATGGAGGGGGGACAAAAGGTGCGCTGATGACGGTAATGGTCTTTGGTTTCCGGTGCGTCAGAGACTCACCATAATGCCAGCGGGCTACAGGAGCTGCAGAGGGCGAAGTTGCAGGAAGTTGCGGATTGTGTCAACGACAACGGACGTCCTGGTGGGAAGTGACGACTGTTGGAACAAGGGGACTACCTAAGGTAGGTATGCCTCGCTTCCGTTCTTGCAATCAGTGAAAGCTTCGTGGCCCAGTGTGTGCTCCTTCTCTTCTGACTTGAGTTGGTTTGTACTGCGACTTCCGGCAGGCGATGCGGAGTATTCGGTTGGGTGGCCGGAGGATACTCTCGAACGAATGACTGACTAAGAGCGCAGGTCGTGGGCAGGCGTGGAGAGGAGATCGGTCGTGGTAAGGAAAGAGCAAAGAGGATGAGAAAGGGAAGGAAAGGTTGGCGATACCTATGGAGCAACACAGGCGCAGGTGATGGTGGTGGTGGTGGTGGTGGTGGACTGAGTCTTGGCCTTTCTTTGGTGGATTCGATGGATGCAGGTCGTGCAGTGACGGGAGTGGCAGTGAGAGCAAGGTGAAAGTCGTGGTTGGAGAGGTCACGGTCTTTCTTGTTCTTGTTGAAACGGACTTCTTCGATACTACCTACCTCTAGGTCCCGTCACCCGCCGCGGTTGCCGGGCCGCGCGCTCTGAGTTGTTGAATGGCAGCAATGTATAGAGGTATGGAATGTCACTGCACGCAAGGAAACGATTCATTCATCTACATACTCTAGGTACGTACAGACATCTACAAGTTCGTTTCGATGCAGTCCATGTGTTGTGGGCTTGAATCATTGTTGACTCCTGGCACGACCGCAGTATTTTTGACTTGTTATAAGAGCACTTCTTCTTTATCATCTACCTCTACCAAGCACAAACGTCGCCTTACTTGAGTTCATACCTCTAGTACTGAATTCTATCATGGCCACACTTCATGGGTCATGGGCGACTTCCTATGTTCGACATTCAATGGGATTATCGTAGCTGTTGGTTCGGCCTGGAGAATCACCCCGCCCAGGTAAGGTATGTGTGCTGTGGGTATTAAACTGACCAGTCGGTGTGTTAGCCAAGGCCGGAACCTCTATCGCAAACCAGGCGGAGAATCACGCTGATATGTTAGTGCATAGTACCACCACTATCCGCCGCTTCTGATGGACACAAGGCTTCCAAACTTGAATGACGTGGGAGATGCCCGCATTGCTGTTGAAACCTGAGCTGGTTCGTTCGTGGCCTCGGACCTCTTGCTCCAGCTCACAGCTGATGTGTTCGCTGAACATTCTCACCAACACTTCGAGTGAGACCCAAAGAGTATTACCGTCTTGGTGGCAGGAGCATTATGGCCAACGACTAGTGAGTGTAGCGAAGCTCCAGTCTGTTTGTCTGCGCAGTCTAGACTAAGGATATGATGATTGCTCGTTAGGACGTCGGGTTGAATTTGCTTCTTCAAGACAACTGACCAGTGACGTAAGTATTGCCGGTTGATTGTTCGCTGCGTCTTCTTCAGAGGTCTCGGTGTATCAAGGGCACGGGCTCTTCAGTTTCGATGTACATGGAGCTGTTAGGTATACCTATAACTGCCTCTTCATCATATGACTGGAATATGGTAGTTTCGGTAGGCAACACTATCATCCATCTGGCTTGACTTGCAGGTAAAAGCTCGTTTCCAACAATACATACTATCAGTCCAGTCACCTGGATTCACCGGCTGTTTCCGATGTCCCTCTTTCGAGTTTCGAATGGCCGTCGGGCCGATCAACCCCCAAAATGCTCCAGAGTGTGGGGTCAAGTGCAACACAGCAGGAGCAACTCTTTCCCTTCGAATCGCCTCATGCAGTGCTAGGACGTTCATGGACAATCTGAACGAGGTGCCTGCCCTGATTGATGAAACTGTGAGCTTCAATATTTCTGACACGAATAGGAATGACCTGACCTGCTTCGTTGACGCCAACATCTGTCGTGTCTCCGTGACTACATTTCCAAGCATATGATCCACGGCAACCTAAAAAGCTCTAGGCCCCTGACCATTCATCCCGCGCCCCCCTAGCGTAATGTAAACACTAAACCAAGCTTGTGATAACCAGCGGGGCCCCCCATATTCCCTGGCCCGGTCCAGGGCCTAGCTTCTAACGTGGAGGTGCATCTTGCTCCGATTATCGCTCCCCAGTCCTGACACAACATTGTGACAGCCCAACTCTGAAGACTCCCTTTTCCTCCTTTTCCCCATAATCACATTTTTTACGCATGGCATCGACGGTATGCCGTATTTCTTGCTGCAAAATGTCAAAGCGCCCGTCCGGCTGATGAGCACGGCGGGAGTCCTGAGCATGGCGACACAAAGAGGAAGCCGAGGACAGCTCCTCAAGCTGGCCATGACTCGAAGCTTCAAGAGCTCTACCTCTGTCGTAACATCAAGACTATCATCAGCACCACCAACGAGCGCACGAACAATATCTTCAACCCTTCAGACTCGATCCACCTCTACTTACAGCCAACATAGTCCGAAATGGCGGCCGGTGTCTGTCCTAGATGAGTATGCGCACTTCCTGCCCTTGCCTCAGCGTAACCGCCAGGAACTCGAGCTTACAATGTCGTCTCTTTACTCTACAGATGGGTCGCAAAGGAAGCTCGAGCGGTCAGTTTGCGCCAGCTGATGGTCTTCGGCCGCTCCCTGAACGAGTCAAGGTTGATCAGCTCTGCCAACTATGTGCGAACGGAACTTCCGACGAGGTAAGTTCCCTCAGAGTCACACCCAATCTTCAGAACACGGGAGCTACAGAGTTCTGACCATGTGAACCATACTCACAGAATCGCCCACCGAATCCGCGACATGCAACGCCTCCCCTACGTAGTGGTAACCAACCCGCACATCAACCAAGTCTACGACCTCTACTACACAGCCTTTGACACCTTCCGCAAGATTCCCGAGATCAAGACCCTCGAAGACAACGACGCTCTATGCGCCACCATCCGCTCCACCCTCAAAGCACATCTGACCGTGATCCCCAACCTAGCCATGGGCATCCTAGAGTCAGCCGGGCTCATGGACGCAAAAGAGCTGGACAAGTTCATGAACATTCTTCTCCGGTCCCGCATCTCCCGCCGCGTCATCGCCGAGCAACATCTAGCTCTAACCGACACCTTCAACGCCCCCTGGTTCTCTCCGGGGGCCAAGCTTTCCGACTACGAGTTCATCGGCGAAGTCTTTCTCAAGTGCGTCGCCAAGGAGGTCGTCGAGCGGTGCGGCCAGGCCATCCGCGACATCGCGCAGCGCGCCTACGGTCCGGACGTGGCGATCCCGGAGATCAAAGTCGACGGACATCTGGAGGCCAACTTCCCGTATATCCTCAGCCACCTCGAGTACATCATCGGCGAGCTCCTCCGTAACTCGGTGCAGGCCGTGGTGGAGAAGCACCAGCGCTACAAGGAGAAAGTCGCCGCAGCGGGAGGGAACACGGACGAGATCGGCCCCCCGCCCGCGATCGAGATCACTATCTGCGAAAGCAATCAGCACGTCATCATCCGCATCTCGGACCAGGGTGGCGGCATTCAGCAGGACGTTCTCCCTTATCTGTGGTCCTTCAGCAAGGGGCCGTCGAGCCAGCAGCTGCTCGCAAATCTGGGACAGGTGCCCAAGATGGCGGCGACGATGCAGGAGCTAAAAGTCGAGGGTACTTCCTCCTCTAGCGGCGGCAACGAGGCCAGTGAAGCAACAACATTGGGCAAGATCCAACAGCAGCAGCAACAGCAACAGCAACACCAACACCAACAGCAACAGCAACAGCAACAGCAACAGCAACAGCAACAGCAACAGCAACAGCAACAGCAACAGCAACAGCAACAGCAACAGCAACAGCAACAGCAACAGCAACAGCAACAGCAACAGCAGCAACCCCAACAAAAACAACCCCAGCAACAACAGATCAAGGGAATCCATAACGGCCACAACTTCCCCGGCGATCCAGGCTACAGCAACTCCTTAGCAACACTAACCAGCCGCCCGCCAAACTTGCGCTTGGGCATGGGACTACCCCTGAGCAGGGTGTACGCCGAGTATTGGGCCGGTAACCTGGCGCTGCACAGTCTGGAGGGGTACGGGGTGGATGCGTTTTTGCAGATTTCGAAGCTGGGGAACAAGAACGAGCAGTTAACGACGCGGGCAACGATGGATGCGGTTTAGAGAGCATCCATCGAAGGACGAAGTGAGGTGGGCGGTGGAAAGGGACATGGAGAAGGAAATAATACCCATTGGTTGTTTTTTTCCCAGTTGGTTGAATGGTTCAGTTCAGTTCAGTTCAGTAAGCATGAGAGCAAAGGACGAGGAAGAAGGGTATCACAGTGACCTAGTGTTAGTGTAATGGATGGGTTATTCCGTTCGGTGTCATGGATCTGGGGTTATCCCGCGTTCCGCGTTCGTGTATGTGCAAAGTTGGGCGGGCTTGGTGTACGGAGCAAACACTCGTATTTTTTTTACGCAATATCGTTAGCTGGGCATGATACGTATGGAAATAGTAATTCACGATTGCAACGTATGCTAATACTGAGTCCGCCAACCTAATCATCGTTAGCAACTTACACTCAGAGTCACTACAGTCATGAAATCAAAGCTTGTACTCAAAAGTGGCAGCCTTTCTCATTATTTGGTATCATTGAAAGGGAGGCTGCTAGCAGAATTACATCGTAGCTAAGACGGATAGAAAAAAAAATGGCCGTGATGGGTAAAAGTTAAGTGGTAAAGGGTGGTGGTAAAATGTCAGTTGCCGCTCGAAATCCGCCAAATATCTGTAACTTTTTCATCCCCATCTCCTAGGACTCCCTGCACGACTCTGGTGGCTATGCAGAAGAGCTTGGGAAGATGGGGGAAACCAGGGCATGTGTATAAAAACATAAGGAGTCGCCCCTTTCTAACAAGCCTCGACTGATGACCACGCCAATCTACCAAACCGCAGCATATCCATGAACATCGTCTTCAAGGTATGTAAGTCGCCTAGTTCGTCTTCACGTAAACATGTCGAAAGAAATCGAGGCGCAGGTACATTAGTGCTCGATAGACCGGGAGACAGTCGTCCCCCTTGTGTTGACCGCTTAACGGCGACCGTGGCTGCGGACGGCGCTTCCCTGCAAAGACTCGAGCTCCATCTCGAGGGACTTGATCTGGGCGTGGGTCTGTTCGAGGTCCTTGTTGAGACGGTCGCGCTCGGCAATGAGCTTCTGCTCCCACTGCCTGAAGCGCTGCTCCTCGATCTTGACCTGTTCTGTGAAGCGCTTGCGGAGAGCCTCCTCCTCTTCCTTGAACTTGGGGTTGTCGAGCTTCCTTGGGCGGGCCTCGCCGAACTTGCGAGTCTCCATCTGTTGAGCGCGGTAAGCCTCGTAGTGAAGCTCCTCTGTTGTGTGGATAAGGTCCAACATGTGGGTGCGGATAAGGATCGAACGGAGCTTCTTGAAGTCGCAGTGTTCCTCGTTCTCGACCTCGGCAACACCCCACGAGTACTGACGACCCTTGACAATACGTCCATCGCTGGTCTTAACATCCTTCTCGGAACCAATAACGGCAAAGGGCATGGCGGCCATCAAGCTGCGGGCTGTTTGCGGCAGCCTCGTCATCCTCCTCAATAGGTGGCTGATAGATCTTGATACCCTGAGCTTCGATGACGGCACGGATCTAGAAACAACTGTTAGCGACGACTTGGGAAACATGTTAAGGAAAAGAGCAAACACTCACCCTGGACTTAAATCTCGCCAGGTCGGCGGGGCTGAGAGTGTCGGCCTTGGCGACAACGGGGATGAGGTTGACGCGAGAGCAGAGCCTCTTCATAACCTCGATATCTAGGGGCTTAAGGGTGTGACCGGTAGGGCGGATGAAGTACAAGCAGGCGTGGACACGGAGATCGATCTTGTCCTGACGGCGGGGTTGTTGCTCCTGGAGCATGTAAGACTCGTGCTGGTCGTCGAGGAATTCGATAATGGGCATCCATGAGTCGCGGTTGTTGACGTAGTCACCAAAGCCGGGGGTGTCGATAACAGTCAGGCGAACTATAAGCTGGTCAGACAGAGCTCTCGTATAAGTCACCACGGTCCCCTTGCGCAATCTGCTAGCGTACCCTTGAAGAACTTCTCTTCTAGCTCAGCCTTTGTGATTTCGATCTCGACCGTCTTGTCGACCTGCTTCTGGTGGCGCCTCTTGTGGTCGGCATAGTTCTTGATGGTCGTGGAGAACAGCGTGTTGATGAAGGTGGTCTTGCCGAGGCCGGACTCGCCAGCAACCTATAAATCCATCCACGCCGTCAGCATTGGGTCACGAATATGAGCTTCAGCAAGCTTTAGACGGTGAAGCGCACCATAATAGTAAAAGCAGCGCCCCTCTTAGCAACAATCTTGTGTCGCTGGTTAGGCAGATTGGCAATGCCAATCGGTGAGGCGCTCTCGCTAGGGGCAGGGGACATCTTCAAACTGGGCGAAACACACGAAGCTGGGAGATAATTATGTGTAAAGGATTAGGTCACGATCCCGTTGCTGTAACGGCGAGTAGAAGCACCGGCAATTGGAGAAAGAAAAAGAGGGTCGGGCGGGATGTGTGGTGTAGTATGTGGTGCAGTGGTCGTGGATGAGAATCGAAATTAGGTTGGTGTTGACAGTGGACGGGTGGGAGCGAGAGACAGACGAGGATGGAACTGCAGTCACAGTGGTGGACGGGGACCTGTCGTGGAGCTCTGTGCTTCGTTCAGGGGAATTTGCCTGTTCAAATTTCCAGACCATCCATCTGGCCCAACCCAACACAACACACCCACGCAGGAGAGCAGCAACGGGGACGGGAGCGCCAGGCCAAGCACTCCAGGGACTGCAGGGCCGCACGCAGCAGACGGAGCAACAAGCAGCATTTCCCAGAGGGCTGTGATGAGAAGGCGCACGGAGCACATCCATATTGGCACCTTCGAGCCCGGCAGTCTGCAGCAGAGCTGCCACGAAAGGCCGCTCTTGACTGGCTGCGCTGTAGGGAAATGAGTGGATCCTCCCCTTTTCCACTTGCTTCCCCAATTCCCCAGAGACGCTGGCAGCTCTCCACTGAAACGCGCTTGCCAGGTACCCTCGCCGAGCATTTAATCGATACGTGCCTTCCCTGCTAGCGCCATGTTTGCGGTGATCAGCCATTCATTGCCATTGAAACTTTGTCGACCTTTTTTGATTGCCAGCTCTGCCAGCCTTGCACTGTACATGTGACCGTGCACCCTGCTGTTTGGTCGGTCTGCGGTCGGTGAGGCTGCCAGCCATGCCAAGCTTTCTGGCAGCTGGTGTCGAGGCGAGGAGCTAAACCAACTCCATTCCCCGCCAAAAAGTTCATGAAATTTTTGGTTTTTGGCTGGCAGAATCGCCATTGAACGTACGGGCGGTCTAGGCGCAACAGCAGCCTGTAACCGAACTTCTGTTCCACTTATACAGACTCGAAAGAGTCCTCTGGTTCCTGTACATACTTACTTCATTCCTACTATCGGCGCATTCCAAACCCGGACTCTCCATCTTCAACACCCAAAGTCGAGGCATGGAATAGTGTTTGACAATGAAGACCGACTTCAAGTTTTCTAATTTACTGGGCACAGTCTACTGCCAGGGCAACCTTTTGTTCAGCCCGGACGGTACCCATCTCTTCTCGCCCGTTGGCAACAGGGTGACAGTCTTCAACCTTGTCGAGTACGTTATGTCTTTGAGATTCCTTCGCTTGCCTGGCGCATGGCTTGTATAAGCTGGCTAACAGGATCACAGTAACAAATCATATACCCTTCCCTTCTCCCACCGAAAGAACATTGCGCGCATCGGTCTCACACCCCAGGGCAACCTCCTACTCTCCATCGACGAAGATGGCCAAGCTATCCTCACCAACGTGCCCCGGCGCGTAGTACTATACCACTTCTCCTTCAAGGCTCCAGTAACAGCTCTCTCCTTCTCGCCATCGGGGCGCCACTTCATTGTTGGACTCGGCAGGAAAATCGAGGCCTGGCACGTTCCTTCGACACCCGACTCCAACGCCGACGGCGAGCTCGAATTTGCGCCCTTTGTTAAGCACCATACCCACGTCCAACACTTCGACGATGTCCGCCACATCGAGTGGTCCCACGACTCGCGATTCTTCCTCACATCTTCCAAGGATCTTACAGCAAGGATATGGAGTATCGATCAAGAGGAGGGCTTCACACCTACGGTTCTGTCCGGTCACAGGCAGGGAGTTATCGGCGCATGGTTTTCCAAGGATCAGGAGACGATTTACACAGTCAGCAAGGACGGCGCCGTTTTCGACTGGCAATATGTTGCGAGGCTCGGACAGGACGACGATATGGTGGACGATGATGACCTGAGGTGGAGGATTGTCAACAAGCACTATTTCATGCAGAACAGCGCCACCGTACGATGTGCCGCCTTCCATCCCGAATCGAACCTGCTGGTTGCCGGCTTCTCGAACGGTATCTTTGGCCTCTACGAAATGCCCGACTTCAACATGATTCACACTCTCAGCATCTCCCAGAACGAAATCGACTTCGTGACGATCAACAAGAGCGGCGAATGGCTGGCGTTTGGCGCATCCAAGCTTGGTCAGCTGTTGGTGTGGGAGTGGCAGTCCGAGTCGTACATTCTCAAGCAGCAGGGCCATTTCGACTCGATGAACTCCCTTGTTTACTCTCCGGACGGCCAGCGAATTGTCACAGTTGCCGATGACGGAAAGATCAAGGTGTGGGATACGGAATCGGGATTCTGCATTGTTACCTTCACAGAACACACCAGCGGCATCACTGCTTGCGAGTTCTCCAAGAAGGGTAATGTTCTGTTCACCTCGAGTTTGGACGGTTCTATCAGGGCTTGGGATTTGATCAGATACAGAAACTTCAGGACCTTCACAGCACCCGAGAGACTGTCGTTCTCTTGCATGGCTGTTGATCCTAGCGGCGAAATTGTGGCGGCGGGCTCCGTTGACTCTTTCGACATCCACATTTGGTCTGTCCAGACTGGCCAGCTCCTAGATCGTCTTTCGGGACACGAAGGCCCTGTATCATCTCTGGCGTTTGCGCCTAACGGTGGTCTTCTTGTCAGTGGTTCTTGGGACCGTACGGCCCGTATCTGGTCGATCTTTAACCGCACACAAACAAGCGAGCCTCTCCAGCTCAACTCGGATGTTCTCGACATTGCCTTCAGGCCAGACTCTCTTCAGATCGCCATCTCTACTCTCGACGGTAACCTGTCCTTCTGGTCGGTCTCGGAAGCTGAGCAACAAGCCGGACTCGACGGGCGCAGGGATGTCTCCGGTGGTCGCAAGATCGGTGATCGCAGGACTGCGGCCAACGTTGCCGGTACCAAGGCTTTCAACACCATCAGATATAGCACAGACGGCTCCTGCCTTTTGGCGGGCGGTAACAGCAAGTACATCTGCTTGTACTCCGTCACCACCATGGTTCTCCTGAAGAAGTACACTGTGAGCGTCAACCTTTCGCTCCAGGGCACTCAGGAGTTCCTCAACAGCAAGCTTCTCACCGAGGCCGGACCCCAGGGTCTCCTGGACGAGCAAGGCGAGGCCTCTGATTTTGAGGACAGGATAGACAGGTCTCTGCCCGGCTCCAAGCGCGGCGATCCCTCTGCACGGAGGAAGAACCCTGATGTGAGAGTAAACGGTGTCGCGTTCTCCCCCAACGGCAGCGCCTTCTGCGCCGCTTCCACGGAAGGTCTTTTGATCTACAGCCTGGACACCACCATCCAGTTCGATCCCTTTGACCTCAACATGGAGATCACCCCCACCTCCACCCTGGCCGTTCTCGAGAAGGAGAAGGACTACCTCAAGGCTCTGGTCATGGCCTTCCGCCTGAACGAGGCCGGCCTGATCCAGCGCGTCTTCCAAGCCATCCCCTACACCGATATCCCTCTGGTTGTCGAGCAGTTCCCCAGCGTGTACGTCGCCAGGCTGCTGCGGTACGTTGCCGCGCAGACCGAGCAGAGCCCGCACGTCGAGTTCTGTCTGCTGTGGATCAAGGCGCTGGTCGACAAGCACGGCGCATGGCTGTCTGCCAACCGCGGCAAGGTCGATGTCGAGCTCCGCGTAGTCGCGAGGGCTGTATCCAAGATGAGGGACGAGATCAGGAAGTTGGCCGATGAAAACGTCTACATGGTTGACTACCTCCTCGGGCAGGCGAGCGCTGCCAAGGAGACGAACAACAACACGAGCAGCAAGACCTTGGCGCTTGAGTGGGCGTCCGGTGCGGATGAGCAGCCGATGAGCTTGACCGGTGTCATGCAGCAGGATGAGGGGAATGCCAGCGAAGACGAGTGGATCGGTTTGGAGTAAATAGGTCCTTGGTCGTTAAGGAATGCTATAGGGTTATTTGTGTAACGGTAAGGAAGGGAGGGTACTACTACTACTACATAGGATAGGCGCTGATACGGAAAATTTTGTTGTCGCAAGGTGCAACCGGCATTCTAGTTTATACATACTTTTTACAGAAGATGATTTTGATACCAATTCATGGCAATAGAGAAAAGAGAGAGAGAGAGGATTTCGGGATACAAAGTACAACGCCACGCCAGGTGAAAAACTAGTGAAAGCTGTACTACCCGCGAAGCCTACAAGTAGGGACACGAAAGCATCTCTAACCCTTATGAGTGTGTCTTAGTCCAACATTTGTGGTTTCGTGGATTCCTGAGTGCTTTTTTTTTCACTCAACATCCGGAATCTCCTCCCACGCCTCATCAAACCCACAACTACGCACCCAATTCGGACCCGGTGCCAGGACCGAGTCAACAATTAGGTGGTAGATCTTGTTCCAGTACTCGTCGTCTCTCGTCTGGTAATAGAGCTGGCAAATCCGTGCAGCTCTGGCGAGCTTGATAGCATGGCCATCATCCTCGAAGAAGTGGAGGTTGGAGGAGATGATTTCTGAAAGAATCGGTCAGTAAGTAGTAGTAGTCTCAAGCTTGAAGAGAAAATCCGGTCATTAACTCACCCTCAGGAGTCCCAGATGCCTTCTTCTTCTCCTTGGGCTGATAAGAAGTAATAGCATCAAGCGACAGCTCCGGCGCTCCACGGGCCGCATACTGCACCAGATCCATCCTGATCTTCCACTCGAGAAGACGGACTTTTGTGTCGAATGAGATCCAATCTTGGGCGTTGACGGTGGTGAAGAATGGTGCTGAGGTTACGTGGTGCCTGTTTATCATCGAGAGAATCATCAGTCAGTATCAATCTTCCTGTTCAACTCCTCAAAGCCTACCCCTGAGTTCGGTCAATGGGCGCAATGCGTGGAACGTAACCAAACAGAACGCCAAAAAGAAAGACAAAAAAGAAAAAAAACTCACATCAAAAAGAAATCAAACCTCGGCGGCTTCTTCTGATCCCTCTTCACCAACGCCGCCGCGCTCGCCATGAACACCGCGGCATCATACATCTCCGCCGTCCTCTCATGCAGTTCCTTCTCTGTCGTCGCCTTGAGCTTGACCTTGGCCGCCAGCTGTATCGCCTCCTCCTTGGCTCTAACCAGCACTCCATCACGGATCTTATTGGCATCACCCATCCTGGCTGCTTTGGCCAACTTTTCATTCCCCCTAACACCCCTCTCCAGTAGATCCAGAATCCTATCCATCTGCTCTGGAGCATCAGATTTGGACTTGACTCTCGCAGCCTCCCGCTCAGCTCCCAAAAGATAAACACCAATATCATCCCCATGCACAGCCGCCTGCGCCAGCCCCTCGGCTACTATCGCCGGTTGCTTCCACTCCAGCCCGTACATGAGCTGGATCAGCGGGTGTAAGAAACCGGAGTATAGTCTCACCAATAAATTATCCGCCTCGGGCGTGCCGCTGAATAAGTACTCATTCACGACCTCTTCGTACCCCAGTTCCTTTCCATCCTTTTCTGTGCGCGCGGCGGCGGCATCCATCTCCCTCTTAAAAAACGCCAAAAAATCAGGGTAATACACCTCCCTACCCAGATACTTCTTCGCATCCCTTTTCCAGTCCGTGATAAGATCCGACACGACCTCCTTGTGCTCCGGCAACACGGGCCGTTGATACCCAGCATTCCCGTCGTAGGCTTTTTGTAAGGCCTCGGCGGGGGCAGAGGTCCCGTAGAGGGCGAGGAGGTGGTGCGGGATGTGGTTGTGGAAACCGTCCGTGTTGAAAAAGACGTGGTGGTGCGCCATGTCGGACTGGAGGAGACGGGAGAGGAGGGAAGAGGCTTGGGGGGGTTGGGAGGGGATTATGGGGCCGGGATAGGTTGATGGGAGGAGGGGAGAGGGGGAGGAGGAGGGGGTGCCCCAGAGGCCGGTGGCAGAGGGGGGGATCGAGATGCAGTGGGGGGTTGCTGCTTCCATGTCTGGTTTGGAAGACATTTTGAAGGTTGGTGTGGTGAGGTGAAGACGGCGAGTGGTGATGCTGGTCTTTGGTGCTGGTAGCCTTGGAGAAATGTTGATGGCCTGGCGAAGGAGGGATGTTTTGGTCCCGGCTGAGGTGAAGGGGCGCATGCACCACGGTGATTTGTATTGAAGTGCTGGCCGTAAACAGAACAATTTGGGAAACTTAGGATATTCCCAAAAAGATATATAGTTGGATTATATATGCTTTATAAGAACGGTTTTTGTCGGAGAGAAGTGCTGATCATCTAAGCCCGAGGTAATGCTGTGTTGTCTTTCGTGTCCATTCGATGGAGTAGAGTATCACGAACCCGGTTGCTATTGCTGTGATGTTCGCACATCAATGGATTCCGAAGTCCGAATAATGAGCGCCACGCCCGCCTATTATCGGTTGGTTCTCCCCGCACTGCACTCGAAAGAACGAAATCGTAGGTAATTTGTTTTCAAAGGCCAATGTGTGTAAGCCTATACTGTTCTTTACGAATCAGATTAGAACTCTTCGTTTGTTGTTGTTGTTCGGTGTTGGGAGAATGAAAAGTGAAGTCGAAATGGCCAAGCGTATCATGGCTACGTCATTGATCCCCTTTCAACCCGGTCTTATTCAACCATCCACATGAAGGTCTTGGCTACCTCCCCTTTGTGACTATCCGCCTTATCCGCAACCTATGATATTTCAGTCAGCGTGTAAAAGAGCCTTTCGCAAAGTCATAGACATTTCACGTTCGGAGACCGCATGTTTTCCATGTAATAAGATTAGGTCTACTATTCTATCTGATACTTTCTTTTCCCAAGGTCATCTCATTGCTCCCTTGACTTCCGTGCTTTCCGTCGACATTTATAATAGTCCCAAGTGCACTCCTGTTCCCAAAACACGATCACTGCCCATCACACATCCATCATTAAGCATGAGTTCATAGCTATAAAGCTGCCCATGACAAACTAGCAAAGATGCAAGGCAGTGTCGAGTGTCGAAAAAAGATGACCGCTTCCACGCTTTACCATTAGAAAAAAAGGCCAACGAGTCTTTCCTAACTACCTAAGAAACGGGGTAGTCTAGTAAACCCATCGATCCATCGATCCATCCATTCATTCATCCATCCGTCAGTTGCCCTAATGCCCACGCTCCTGCCTGTATCCTGTCTAACCAAAAACCCGATTTCCGCCATTGTATGTTTCTGCCTCTTCTTCTTGTTCTTCTTCTCTCTCCAGCTGAGTGTATATGTATATGCGTTGTGCTGTAGATTCACAAGTAGTTCATCATTTGTCTATGATAGAAAACGGCACCGTATCATGTGCTGTTAAGTGATCCCCTCCTCTTCAATTAGTTTTATGCTTTTACTACGCCTGACGTCGACCAGGGCTGCGGTTCATCTGCTTTCTTGAGGCCTGTTCCTTAATCAGTCGCTCAGAAGTGGCATCGTCATACCCAATGACTTGGGTAAGGTAGTAGTATCTGTTTCCGACGTGTTAGCATGCATGCTTGCTTCGCATCAGACGTTAAGAGGGGAGTAAAACTCACTTCTCAGCATGTGCCTCCTTAGCCCTCAAGTCCTCCCACAGTTGGTGACACTCCATCCAAGCCTTGGCCCTCCTCGTAGGATCGATCCTCTTGACCAAGAACCTAAACCTGCCGCTTACCGGCCTGTGATCCGACACCCGCACCTCGTGTCTCTTGTAGTCCAATTGTTCTATCCTGCCCCTGCCGCGGTACAAGAGTCTGTCGCACCAGGCCGGACTACGCTTCTTTTCACTTGAATCGTAGTTATCCGTTCCCACATCGTATTTGTACGTTGGCGCGAACGTGATCGGAAGCTCGTCGAAAGCTCTCAGCCGGAACCCGGGGTTCCTCCTCTTGGCCACAAGTAACTGGTCACGCTCGAGCAGTTTTATGAGGTTGCCCTGCTTGACTGCCGTTACTACCGTGTCGCGGCTCATGGTGTCAATACGGTAGTTGAGATCGCCGTTGAGCACGCATAGTTCGTGGTCCAGGATCATGGTGCCGTCACCACCGCCGACATAACTGTCGATACGCACAGCGGGGTCACGCTCGGATGGGAAGACGTTGGCATCAAGGATCGCGGCTACGTCGTTATGCCGCTGGTTGGCGCCTGATTGACCCGCAGCCAAATGGCAGTTGATGAAACAGAGCGAAGTGTCGTCGACCAGAAAGCGCACCACGATGGCGCCTTTGTTGCCATGCAGACCGCCCAGTCCGCGCTTGACCTCGTTGCTGCTGAGATTGCTGATGCGTCCGCGTAAGTCTGCCTTGACGAAGATACAGGTGAAGAGGCCGACCAGGGGAGCGGTGTGGAGCAGATGATTACAAGTCGCCCTGCATGTAATCATCCAGATTGCGAATGAGGAAGTCACGCCAATCGCGATATTGGTGGCTCATCCGCTCTTGATCTGACCCTTCCTTCTTCTTGGGTTTCAGGAATCGCTTTGCTGTGGCCGTCTTGTCCTCCAAATCCACCAGTTCCTGGAATCCAAAGATAATGATGTCGGGAGAGTCGGCGGACTGAAGAAGATCCCTGAAGAAATGGGCGTCCGACTCGGAGTATCGAAGACTGTGAGGAGTCGAAGCGCCCGCGTTCCACGTCATGATCAACACCTTCAGATTCTGGAATTCGCAGTATTCCACGTCTTTCCTCTTCATTTCGCCCTCGAGCCAGTCCTCCTGTAAGAGGGCGTCCCAGGTTCGTACCATATTATCTGCTCCAAGAGAGACAACCTGGTATCGGTCAAGCTTGTAGGAGCTCGAGCGATCAGCGATCAACTTGATGACGGGGTTTTCGTGGGCTGACCATTCCTTCTTGACAGTCCACGGTGTTTGTGTCACGTCGTAGACAGCTACTTTGCCGTTATTGTACCCAGCCCATAGGTACGAACCGGCTGCGGCGAGTGAGTTGATCTTGTACTGGCTGACATTCATTATACACTGGCATGTATAGTCTTTCCTGGAGTAGACGCTGACTTTCCCGTCACTATGGCCGAAGTAGACACTATCCGGGTCAGACGCCAGCAACGTTCCTGATATCACCTCGCCAGTATCTGGCTGACTTAAGGCCCTTAAAAGGACCTGGAACTGGGTCTTCCCGTCCACAGTGGGTTTGAAGATCCGAATGTCCTTGCCTGTCGCGTACCATAGCTCGTCTCCCACTACCATCGAGAAAGTGTGACCTCTAGGTACTCGGAACGACTGGCTGGGTCCGCTGGAGAGGGTCGGGGTATGGCTCTCGTCCGGGCCCCAGACATTGAGGGCTCCGCTTTCGTCCAATGTCCATACTTCGTTAAAATGCCTGTATATCCTTATTATCTCATACCGGCCATGCGCATTTGGTAAACTGTCCGTGATTCTCTGTGTGCCGATATCCGCCTCCAGCAACTCTCCAACATTGTTGCCGATCCACACCTTTGTGCCTTCGTCGTCGACGTGGGCCCCTGGCTTGAACACGACCGCGGTTCCCTTCTGCCCTTCACCCATGGACAGGCTCATAAGTAGTTCGCCATCAAGTAAGCTCCACACGCGTGTAAAGCCGCCAGTGGTGCATACGAGTTCACCGCATACATCGAGCATTCTAGTGTCGTACTTGGTGTAAATCTCATGGACGCCCTTGCTGATGTAGGGTTTGCTCCGGTTTGTGTTCGTTGCGTCAGGATATGCCATCATAACGGTTGGCCCGGGGTTGGCTATCCTGGATGAAGGAACTGGGACCGCTTCGGGAATGCGTTCAGGGATGCGTTCGGGGATGCGGTCGTGGGTGGGAGCGCTAACTGGGGCCGGCGGTGCGCGGAATTCGTTGGGAACGCGATTCGATGTCCTATCTACAGTCATGGACCTAACATGAGTTCTGGAGGGAATCGAAGGCTGATACTGAGTTGGTGTCGACACTATTCGTTTTTGCGATATGCTGCCGGGAGGGTTTGGATCCAAGTTTGTGTTAACACCCGGTCTTGGAGGGCGCGGTGGCGGCGCCATCATCATCATCCCATTGAGGGTGCGGCTGGTCTCTATGATGCTATGGGGGCGAGCTGGGAGTGCCGGTGGCTGGTTCCCGCCTGTCAAATGTGGCGTTAATGGGCCCCTAACACTGCCGTTTTCCTCTTCCCTGCCCCGCCTTTGTCGCGCTACAGAAGGATGAAGGGGCGGTGGTACAAAGCCCACGTGGAACGTCCGCGACCTCCGCAGTCCCTCCGGGTCTGGTTCCCTCTGTTGCTGCGCCCTTGGTCGCGCAGGTAGCATCGGCGGAGAATCATCATCGTCAGGCGTGCCATTGCTGCTAGGCGGACTGTTGAAAGGCGAGATTCTTTCCGGAGTACGGGTTTTGATATCCAAGGCTTGGCTTCTCTCGATCTGAACCGAGGCCCGCGAAGGAATTACCGGCTTTTCCGCCCTGTTGACGGGCGGCGGGACCGGTTTGGGCTTTTCAAGGTCCCGGGGCCTCTGTAGTTCGCCCGATCGTCGAGGAGGGGGAGGGGACGGAGGTTGTGTAGCGGCAAGTCGAGGCGATCTTTGCGGATCGGAGGTAGCCGGTGTAATAGGGCGGCTCGGAATCTTGAATTGGTTGCTAGCGGTGGCAGGCGACGCAGCCTTAACGAGCGAATCGGTCTGTAGAAACGAAGGGCGCTCCCCGACTGCCACTCCATCAACATTGCGGCTCGGTGGTGATTGGGGCGGTTGGACGTTGAGAGAAGGAGGCTGCGCCGGCCGAGGACCTAACGAGGATATCGGCGGAGGCACGGAACGGATTGGCGAGCTAGAATAGCCAGCACTAGCAACACTGACACCAGTGTACTGCGGCTGTAAACTCGGAATATTCGGCCTGTCCTTGGGTCTTGTCGGGATGGCGGGGGGTTCGCGTGCCCCTGAAGGACTCGGGTCCCGTAGCCGGTCGGGCTGGGGCGCAGGGGATGTCGTTCTGGCATTGGAACTGGATGGTTGCTGGGTGTCGCCAGTCTTGTTCATGTTTTCGAATTTCGCCAGGAGCGACGAGACTGGTTTCTAGTGCAGCGGTCAGCCAGCCTCTCCTTTGATGTCATGTCGCCGGGCCTACGGTATCCGGTGTCCGACGCCTATAGAGGCCGGCGGCCGGGTCCGGATCCGGAGAAGAGGGACCTCCGCAGACGGGATAGACACTCACAAGGGATGAGCCATCAGGCCCATCTTTCTTGGTCGGAGGGTCCATGACGGCGGCGAAGGCGGAAGATCAACCGAGACGAGCAGCAGCAGCAAGCTCGGGGTTGCTGTGCCCATCCATATACTATCCACGACAACCGGTGGGCTCTTTCATCAGACTCGGACCTCGAACTGGGGGCCTAGACGGACATGGGCACGGGCGGAGACCGGAGGACGGGGGGGGGGGGGGGGGGCGGGCGTCGAAGGCTGAAGCTGTCGCGAAAGCGCGTTGGCTCTGGGGTCTGGATTGGCGCAAATAAAATAAACTAAAAATCGAGTTATTATGAAGGACCGTGGTAGACCGTTTTGGCGCAGAGCCCAACACTTTTAAGAAATGGGTTTCAACAGTTTGGAGGGAGCGAAGGGCGGCCCGGTTGGGAAATGCGTCTGGGTTGAGACTTGTGGATTGCTCCTGGCGTTGGCAGCTGGAGATGGATGGATGACACTGGTGCACACAATTGGATCTCTTCCCCTGTCGTCTTGGGGGATCTGGGGGGTTGCACCTCACTTTTGGGGCTGTGTCCGGCTCGTGTTTGCAGGCTGTTTTGGAGATGACGATGCGCTGTGGACTCGCCCTTTTTGGGGGCTGGGTCGACTTGCGAACTGGCTGCCCTTCTGTTGGTCGAAGTGTTTGGAGGTTCGAGACTGGATGTTGAAGATCAGCGGGGTCCAAGGGGTACTGCAATCGCAAACAGGGGCAGGTACCAAGCGGAGGATACGTACCTCACCTTACCGTACTGTACGAACCCATTTGTGTCCCTTGCGCTAAATAGGACCCCACTTTCGCAGTTCATTCAGCAAACATGGCAAGTGTCTGCTGAGTGGAAACAAAGATATTCCATGTCTCTATTTCGTGTCCTGTGGAGCCGTCTGGCTGTTGGTTATCAAGTTTACAATTCTTTGTCTCAGCTTTCCTTCTTGGGAGTCGGGACGAAAAGCACGAACGGTTGGTTTAACTGCGACACAAGACTTTTAACAGATGCAGGTACCGTGAGTTCATGTGCTTTTCGAGCAGCGTCCCCCTTGGTACCCAATGCCTTAGGTTCAGCTATTTCCTATTTCCCCCCCTTTTAATTTAAGAACGATGTAACAACGTGGTGGAGAGTCAGTGTGAATTGAAGGACTGCTGGTCTGTCTTCATGGGTCTCTCCCGCCATTTCCAGGTCATTCAGCTGCCAACCAGACGTGTGTGTTTAAGCTCGCTGACCGTCAATTTACATATGTAACAAGGGAGCCCTCCGAGTTGACCATAGAAGGTGAAACCGCCAACGGCCCAGACAAGCTTCCTGACAAGAGTTCTAGAAAACCCCGCTGAACGATCTGGCCTTCCTGTCTTATTGCCCCAATTTCAGACAAACGCCAGTGTGTATACCTAAGTACCGAGTTACCAGTACACAGGGTCCGTCATATACCAATCCAACTTCCTCTTTCCAGGCCAACGTTCCCGCTCTTTTTTGGCCTTCTTTTTCCGAGGCTTCGTCTTCTTTTTCTTGGACGCCGATTTCTTCTTCGTGGAGGAGGAGTCGGACTCAGAGGCGGAATCAAAGTTGGACTCGATGGAGGCCGCCTTGGGAGGAGGAGCAGCAGCAGGCTTGGCGGACACCTCCGGCTCCGGCTTCGTTTTGGTCTTGGGAATCGCGGACTTCTTCTTGGGAGCTTTTTTGTCAGTCATCGGATTCGTTTTCTTCTTGTCGTTCCTGGTCATAGAGCCGGTAGCTTCAACGCTTTTTGCTTCTGCTTTGGCGGCGGCCGCCGCTTGCTGTCTCTTCTCTCTAAGGCGTGATGAGGAGCGAAGAGGTGGATTTGCTGTCAGCAGGCTTGATGATGCAACTTCTTTGGCGTGGACGGATGCAGTGCTCCTCCGTTTTTTCGAAGATGGTTTCGGCGAAGGTGAGGGAGCCATTGCGATGATGAGGTTAATACCGATGTGTAACTTGGTAGACAATGGGTGAGTTCTTATAAGGGTTTCGGTGTTGTTGAGACTTCGAGATCGTTAAATGGAAACCTGCTTCATAGGACTCAAACAGAGCATCGACTATCTTATTTAGAGGTAACGGGAGAGGATATGTGCGCCCGATTATGCCCGACATTGTAAGGGTTCGTGATAAGGTGGTGGTGGAATAGTTGCCTAGTGTAGACGTTCGTCGATAGTGTGCGGCTGTGTCCGAGTTAGCCCTGTAGGGCATTTATCGACGTGTACCTATCAACAGTCCACAATCAAGGCATTTGAAGGATATACACACACGCCAATTGCTTTTAGACTCCTCAAAACATCTCAGGTCTTTGTCGTCAAGCCTTTGTAATACACTCGCCTTCTCGATAATGCCACGAGTATATGTGAACAGACACCACCATGTGACAACACAGCCAGTTTCCCGCTTCGAAGCCTTTCTCTTTTAAACGTCATCTACGTCGAAGCCGAGCTCTACCATAGAGTCCTCGGCATAGTGGTAACAACCAGCAAGGACAGTGTGGCAACGTGAGCCCAACGTAGATACCTTCCAGGGCTTTCGTCTTCACCACTCTACGGTCGTATTCCAGCAAGCTCTTCGTTCTCTCAAAGGGACGCGACTCTCTATCCGGCGTTCGATGTAACTCCTTCTCAGTGTCGTCGGTGTCGTGTCCATGTCAAATTCTGCCTCATGCTAGCGCGATATGGCAACGCAATGGCTCTCCAAGAAAGATCAGTGGTTGCTCAAAAGCCCAGCTGCTCAAGAGCAGAGGATACCGGTAAAGGAAATGGTCATGAGAGACACATGCGCAACATGACACCATAGAATAGACAATGGTCTCGATCCCTGGGTAGTCTGTCAGATGGGGTTTCGTTCGGTTCTTGAAGAGGGAGTCGGAACTGGTAACTGGTATTGACTGACAGCAGCATTACCACAACAAAAGAAACACAAGCTGTTTTGGGATTACATAGACCCGCACGCGTCCCTTGACTCCCATCCGTCCAGTTGGTCTACGATATTCTCTAATCAAAGCAGGCAGGTAGAGCTTCATCCCCTTGTGGTCTTCTGCATCGCATGCCGTCGTAATCTGGACCCTGAAAATACACGCAAAAGTCATAACATAGTTGAAGTCGGATACCAAGGAACCTGTTAGCTAGCGAGGAAGGACGTTCTCTTATTAGCGTACAGAAAGTAAACAAACCCCTAAATTGAGGTGGAACTGTGGGTCAACTGAGTGAGACCAGGCGGGCATTGGGCCGAACAAAAGTGATCACGACATTGTTCCCTTGAATAAGACTTCTTGGGCAGTAGCTTTTGGAATATACAATGTTACCATTAATTCAAATCAGCTCCGTGCTTTGAAGCCATCAACAAGTGCGCAGAAGGAACAAAGGTCCGGTGATGAAAGGAGGAATGGCCCTGTTCTTGTCTACTTGGCCCATGACCTTATGCAACAAGCACTTGCCTGCCGGAAACGTGCTGCCTGCCGGGATCCTGCATCGTTCGACAGGGTCTGTGCAGTCTGCGCTTCTTATCCATCACATCACCCCATTGAGACTGGATACTATCAACAACTCCCAGGGTCCAGAGTCCAGACTAAAGAAGCGTCCGCATTAGTTGTTACTCTGCTTCTTTCCTGAACTTCCCGAAACAGTCACTCGATTCAAAGACCGATTGTCACGAATTACCGCAAATATGAACACCGTAGGTTTCGCCGGCGCACATCCAGTCTGTCATGGCAAGCAAGACGCCAAGCTAACGTCACACCTTTTCCTTCCGTCTAGGCTAAGTCTTTCTGGTGAGTGCGCCGTCCGCCGCGACACAACCACGCCGTCGCCGAAATCAATAAATCCTCATGGCCGGTTAACTAAACTGGACCCGGAACTTGGCAGGTTCGGTTGGGGCTCTCTGTGCGTTGGTACGTCGCAATCCCTTGCTGTCCATCAATGCCACAAACGACGAAGTGAAGGGAGGAAAGCTAACGCTCTTCTACAACTTCAAAGGTGGCGCCGCCGCGTACTACTTCGCCAAGAAGGAGATTGATGCCACACGCCGTACCCAGATCGAGGAAATGCGCCGCAAGAAGAGCATGCAAAACTCCTACGAGTACTCGGAGAACGTCCCAGCCCAGCCACTCTCCTCGTCAGCCATGGGCGGATCTGCCACCAGCAACGGCTCTCCGGCACGGACCGACACAGCTGGCTCACCCAGCATGGAATCAAGCAGCGATCCGGCGCCGACGAGACACGCCCCTTCGACCGAGCGCGAAAGAGTGTTTGAGAAGAGCAAGTACGAAGCGAGCGTGCCATATTCCAGCAAGAAGGGAGATCGATTCTCCTAGATCGGACCTCAAGAGGAACGGCCAAAAAGCAGGAGAGATACACATGTACAATATGACAGCAAGGGAATATGTTCTACCAAAAATTGGGAACTGGAATGCGGCTGGTTGGTTTTGATTCGGCATAGATTGAACTCGGGTTTCGCTGCTGTTTGACCGGTTGGCACCAACTGGGCCTCGTCTCGTATTCTCATTTTCCAATCAAGGAGCTCCATGGGATTGGCAGGTAGTCGGAAGAAGCTCTGTAATTTGCATTGATGGATGCAAAAGAATTAAAAAATTAAGAAAAAAGTATAACCGGCGCGAAGCCGATATCGTCCGGCGCGACCAGTGACGCCACTGTCTAAGAGCACAAGAAGAGCTTTGACCACTTTGTCCGTAGTGCACAATTACTATAATGCACTTGCCGTAAGAGGCTTAGGTGCAGAAGTTAATGCAGGTTCCGCTGGATGTGGTTGCTTCTGCCCAACCAGCGTCGCCAATCGCCCTTTGCATTTACGGTTTCCTACCTATTCATCAACTCCATCTCTCACCATCGCTGCCTCCGCGACGCGCGCTCGGTCACCTCACAACTTTATATCACAACTTGCTCTCTCCAAGACCCAGTATCCCCCAACACACACACGACACTACATCAGAAAATTATCTTTTTTATCCCGACTCTCTCGCGATGGCGTCGACGTCGGCAGAGCTGATCGTCGCCAAAGCGGCCCTTACAGGCGCCCTCTTTCGAGCGGATCCGCAGTCCTGTTCTCGCGACGAGATCGAGTCGACGCTCGCGTTGCTGAACACGGCCACCGCCGAGTGCTCACTCTCCAATGTCCAGGTTTGAACACACACGCTCAATGAACAATACACCTCTTGTCTATAAGGCCAATTGCTAAGTTGTGCGGCATATCTCTTTGCTCCGCGCCGTATGCTCAGAAATGCAAGCAATGGGCTCTCGCCAACCTGGTTCCGTCCTCTATGCGGATCGCTCCGTTCTGCAAGTACCTGGTCGCACTCGTCAACTCGTATGGCAAGAGCCCGGCCAAGGACCTCACAGAGAGCGAGAAGAAGAGGGGTCGTGAGACGTCGGTCAAGCGAAAACGTCTCCATGCCCTCTACCTGCTCAATGACATCCTCTACCATGTCAAGTTCCGCAATCACGACGACAGCTTCGCTCCAAAGCTTGAACAGGCGCTCCCCGCTTTGGTTAGGAGCGCCTCATCGTTCACCAACTGCCCGAAGCATATTCGCAAAATCCAGGACTTGATTTCACTATGGGAGGAAAAGGGTTACTTTTCAGAGGCTGTCATCAAGCAGCTACGGGTGGCCGTAGAAGAAGCCCCAGCATCAGTGCTTCTGCGCAGGAGCACTACGCAGCCAACTGTCACAACAACTACCAGCTCGGTACCCAAGCCCGTAAAAGCAGCTCCTTTCATCATGCCAGCCATGCACGGCGATCCGTCCATACCCTGGTACGACTTGCCGGCAGGCAACTGGATGCCCGTCCTAGAACCGAACTCTACGAGGCCCATGAACCCCGACATGATCAAGCCCCTTGTTCTGTACGCAGGCCCGGCAGAAAAGTCACTCGTGGAGGCGGTCAAGAAACTGCTCGTCGATGTTGACAACATTTTCTCCAAGGATGCCGCGAATCTCGATGGGCCTACACCAGAAATTGGTCAAATGGGAGAGGTCATAGAGACTGACGAAATTACTGGCGAGGTTATCGGAGGTGAAACCTACTACGGCTGGTCTCGAAACTTTTGCGAGAAAATGAAGAAGCGAAATCAGCGGGGAGCTTCGGGCAACGACAGCCGATCGCGAACCCGAGAAAGGACACGGTCATCAAGGTCGAGATCGCGCTCATTCAGCCCCAGTCGGAGCAGAGACTCGAGCCGTGGGTCTGATGCTAGACCTGCTTTCAAACGTCCGCGGCTGTCAGAATCACCAGAAGGAAGATATCGCAAGCGGAGTAGATCAAGAAGTCAAGATCGCAGCGTGAGCCGGAGCCGAAGCCGGGATAGGAGCAGACGTGGCCGTGGCTACGATTCACGCAGCCGCTCCAGGTCTCGCTCACGGGGTAGATACAGGTCTAGATCCAGATCAAGGTCAACAAGTCGTCCAGGCTTCCGACAGAGGAGTCCAACGTACGGTTCACGGGGTCGAAGTCGTTCCCGGTCTCCTGGAATCATTGGACTCAGGGGAGGACAGCACCAACCCCCCTATCATGCTCCTCTATCGGCTACCAGCTTTCCAACGGGGATGCCGCCTCGCCCACCGCAGCACCCGGGCGTCTTTGTCCCACCACCGCCGCCTCCGCCCAACCAGCAACCAGCCGGTAACTTTCATCCTGTCCCGCCGCCCATCGGCTTTCCTGTTCCCGTCCCTTCTCTCCCAGGACAACCTCACCAATTCCCCGGCTTCCCAGTCCCACACCCTCCGCAAACCTATCAAGGAGGCCAATGGCCGCCGCCACCACCTGGCCCGCCCCATCAATACCCTCAGCATCCTCAACATCCAACTCCTCCGTCGCACATTACCACTCCATCGCCGCCACCTCCGAACTTCTTCCCGCCCGGTGGCCCGATGGGCGTATCTCCACACCATCCTCCCCCATTTGCTGCTCCTCCAGGTGGTGCCTGGTCGCCTCCGCCGCCGCAGCACGCGAATCAACCTCCTCATCACCATGCTCAGCAGCATCAGCAGCATCAACCTCAGTACCACCATCAGTCTCAACAACATCAGGGCCGTGATTACCAAGGTTATTCCCAACATCAGCCGCGTGACTACCAGCAGCAGGGACGCGAAGGAGAGTATGGAGGAGGAAATGGATCGGGATATAGAGGTGGTGGACGGGGAGGTGGAGGAGCTGGACGAGGAGATTACGGTCGGGGTGGAGGAGGGTATGGAGGACAACGTGGTGGTGCGCCGCGGAGTGGTGGTTGGGCTTGATGAGTTACGTGAGTGAGCAGATTATGTATTGCTGGTTTACCTAGCAGACAAGTAGCTTATAGAAGGGAGCGGTGGTTGATGGTCGATAGAAAAAACTAGAGCTATGTGCTATGAAATTCCATTGCCAACTGTTAGGATTTCCGACCTGAGGTGAGCTGAAGTGCCTGGGACTGTGGATGTACTTGAAGAACTTTCTTGAAAGATACCGTGACCATCCTCCTGAGGAGAGGATATAAGCTCTACAGCAGCAACAAATAAGCACATACGACCATACCCACTGGAAAACTCGGGATCCCGTCCGCTCTCCCATAGATAAGCCAGTGAGGGCCAGACTAGTAGTTGGGTCGGTGACGACCAGCGAATCCCTGGTGTTGTATGTCTTTTTGCGTCTGTTTTTTAACACCTTCAGGGCTGTTTACCTGGTAATATTTCCTGCTTGTCACGGCAATTCCAACCGCCAAGGTAGTATAATATTTTTTGTAGCGGTTTTGTTCTACGTTTTCTCTTAAGGGAAGTGCGCTTGATTCATTCTGGTTTTCAAAGCTATTATTTCACAAATATTAATAACAGTCGGCTTCTTCTTTGTTCAATACGCGACTGAGCGCATGCAAGAAGACTAGTAAAAAGATACATACCGTCTAAAGCTATGTGTGAAGCGAGCTATGGGTGAAGTCCAGGCGAACAAACCAAGACTAGAGTGACAAAAAACCAGGGGCCCAAAAAAGCGTAAAAGCGATTAATAGTCGCTATACTCCTCATCATCCTCTTCGTCAATGTCCACATCCTCTTCATCCCACGCCGCCTGGATTTGGGGTCGAGGCTGGGGCCGGGGCTGTGGCTGTGGCTGCCTATGACGAGGTCTTCCCCTCTCCAACTCCTCACCACCATCACCCTCCATGTCCTCGTCCTCCTCACTCTCATCATCCTCCTCATCCTCTTCATCCCCAACCTCCTTATCAGTCCTATAGCCGTACCCTCCCTCAGTCCTGTAACCACCATCAGTGCGGTAACCCGCCTCAGTCTGGTAGCCCCCGTCAGTCTGATAACCCCCATCAGTGCGGTATCCGGCCTCGGTTCTATAGCCGCCGTATTCGTCGTCTTCTTCTTCGACCTCTTCTTCCTCCTCCTCGTCGTCGTAGATACCACGCCTCTCGTCGTCATCATCTTCTTCGTCCCCGAGAAGGTCGCCGTCGCCGTCACTAAATTCACCTCCTTCTTCGTCGTCGGAAAGACCTTCGAACTCTTCTTCTTCTTCTTCTTCGTCTTCGAAGATGTCTTGAAGGATTTTGGGGGCTTGGACTTCTTCTTCCTCGCCTTCTTGTGAAGCTTGTGGTTTGGCGGTAGTGGTTTGGTTCTTGCCATCGGTGGCGGCTGGTGATGGTTTCTTGGTAGTTGTGCCAGTGGTGGCAGTGGCATCGCCACGAGGTGATTCGCGCCCGATATTCGCTAGTGCTGGGTCAAGTGGTACTTCATCCGCTTCTTCCGTGCTTGTCGCAGCAGCAGCAGCAGCAGCAGCAGACTCAGATGGAACTTCGAGGTTAGAAGCATCAGCCGAAGCAGCAGCCCGTCTCTTCTCTCTCGGCTTGAGCCCGATGCCCAACAAAATCGCCATCTTCTCTGCCTCGCGCTCCTCCACTTCTTTCAGGGGGATTCTAACCCTGTAATGCGTCTTCTTCTTCCTCTCCTCCCACCGATCACGACCCTGCTTAAGACCTGGCTTGATCTTGTTTCTTCCCCTCAGCTGCTCGCACTCCTTGGCCGTGAGCTGCAGATCAGGCAGGGTGATGCCAATACTAGTCCCGCTCCCACCATCACCACCGTCATGCGGGCCCTTGACGGCTTCCAACGTGCACCCAAAATCGTCGTCCGACAGCGTGCGGCCGAACCGGATGGCGAGCATCTTGCACTTCATGATGGCTTTCGCCACCGACCAGAGCACGCGATGGTAGAATCCCGAAATCTCCGTGTCGCACTCTGGTCGCACCTCGGCGTTCTCGAAGAGTCGGCGGAGGAGAGGGTCCGTGATATCGCACACCTGCCAGACTTTGCCGTCGGTGCTGAACGATTCGCCCGTGAACACGTGCGTCTCGCGCGAGCGGCGCTCTGATCCTCTACCCAGATTGGCGCTCTCGCCGTAGCTGTTCCAGTACTTGCCAAAGTTAGTGACGCCCAGCTCAGACCGGCGGACGGCCTTCCACTCGCGGCCGACGGTGCCGATGCGGGTCTTGTGCAGCTTGAAGATCAAGGTCTGGTAGATGCGGTACTTGGGATCCGAACGGGGGTCGAGGCCATATTTGACCAGCGCATCGCGCCATGGTCCGCCCTTGAACTGGTATCCTGCGTATTGCAGGCAGTGCCTGACCAAAGAGCCACTCTTGGGCAACGAGGCGAACTTGGAGCCCAGCCGGTTCCACATGCTGCGCCGTGTCCAGATCGGCCGCTCCTCCATCGCCGCCCACATTTCCTTCATGATAAGAGCGACTTGTGGGTCGGCTAGGTTGGGCTGGCGTCGTGGAGCAGAGGGAACGGGGTACTCGTCGTGCGCGATGAAATAACCGGCTGCGGGCACACGGGAGGTGACGTTGACCACGCGCCGGAACTCGGCCTCCGAGTCGGTGTCGGAATTACCGCCATCGTCGTGGTCCCCTCGGCCGGCCGACGCCGGGGCTAATCTCCTTGGTGTACGGGTTCTGGGCGTAGCCGTATTGAAAGGGCAGGCTCATGGGCGTGAAATTAGGCGGTGGGATCAGGTCGATGTTCTTCCCGGATTCGATGCCCGGCTGGATGGCGAACTCCTTGAGCTTGGCGACATCGCCTGGCAGCACTTGGTCGACGAACCGGGACATGAATGGGGAGTTGCCCATGGCGTACTGGAAGTCGGCGAGGCCACGGTAACGGTGCGTGTTGGTGATGACGCCGATGGGCTCGAGGGTGTATTTTCCTACATTGTCGCTGAGCTTTTGGCGGAGGATGCGAGGGGCGTCTAGTCGGTCTCGAGAAAAGACTTCCTCATTGGGGTTGTTTGTCGTATTGTCGACGACGGGTCCCTCGAAGGGGCCATCAGTCCCACGTTTGCGCTTCCTTCCTGTACGCTTAGGCACCGTAACTTTGACGACAACATTGTGAGTGAGAGCATTGTGCGAGACAATTGGCCTCACTGTCGGGTCACTGTGTCGTAGATAAAGTGGGATCGATACTTGAGGGCTGGATGAGTCGACGATCTGAGGATATGGTCAGCACTAACGTCATACTTCATAAAACGGGAATTCTTACAGCCTCGAGTGAGTAGTGTGAAGGGAATGTGTTCATAGCCTTGTCCACATTTTTTATTATCATGGGATGCTCAAGCGCCCCCAATCTCCGAGCAGGGACTGGGAAGCTGGGCGCATGTTCTCGTTGATCGTTGAGCTCGTCCATCATGTCATTCGGAGATGTCGGTGATTGGTTATTCTGCCTGGGTATTACAGCTGATTATTGCCTGTAAGCGCTGCAAGGATAAAGTTTTAGTGTCGTTGTCGCTTCATCATCACCACCCGTAAAGAAAAGGCCGTGATGTTGTGGTTTGAATTGTTGTGGCGATGTCAATAAATTGAGATGCACAGTGAGAGTTATGCACTAGAGTTAAAATTGCATGGGTTTTTGCGGCGAAATTGTTTTGCGAGGACAGTGCGCATGGTGTAAACATACATGGTACCTTACAGGTATCAGCTCATTGTGACTTGCTCTTACCTGTCAGTCTGTGTGCATGCCCTCGTTATTCGGTAAGGCGATGATTCGCTCATTCCTTTCAACCATCAAACCAACCTGAGAAACCCGTCACCAACCAAACCATATCATATGCATTGTTCAAAGACTTTCGATGATTTATATCCAAACCACAGAAATCCTGAACCAAGCGAATGAGGCGTGAAAGAGAAGGACCTGAGGGGAGCACCAGAAATGGGCCGGCCAGACACCCTGCATGGCGCTAAATGAACGCCTGCAGTTCATTCAAGTGGAGACCATGACACCTGTAATTACCAAGACTGGGGCCACCTCTGAGCATGGACACATTGGCTCTGCCGTGCTTGTCATCTAGCATTTCTCTAACGCCTTTGATTGCAAAGGCTGAAGAAAGATGATAGTGTGATGATAGTCCAGCTTACACACCTCCGCTTCCATAGCACACCAGCAATAACATTTCAGCCTCGCCATCACATTTCCATTCCCTGGACGTTCTTTTGCCCTGTTCAAGTGATCGTCTCCAGCGCAACATGAGCGCGCTGCTGTATCCAGATTAGCTTCCCCATGAACGGTACTTTTTGTCAACTTGCCAACTTGCCGAAACTGAACTACAATATAGGAGAGAAAGCAATGCCGTTTGAAGTTCAGCCTCGAGCCTTCACTTTGAATGTTATTGCGTATACCACTGTTAGGAACACCCAATTCATTGTAACAACACCGACCATTCTATTTTCCAAACTATACCTACCCTTGGACTTTTAAAGCTAATAAGGCTCTTAGTAGCCTGTTTGGAGGTTCCAGGGTCTTTTTGGATGATCGTCACCCTCCCATTTACTTTATTGCCTTGTCCACGACTTTGCTACGTATTGAGGTACCTTGACAGCCACAGGGCACACCGCTCGGACCCCCAGCAATTAGTTGTCAGTGACCCTAACAACCTGCAAAGCTGGAAGTTGATCGAGCAGACGAGACGGTCTCTCTCGCAGCTCTTCGACTCCGCGTTGTACACTCCAGTCACCCAAAACTGGAAGGGGCAAGGGACATTGGACAACAGCCACATCACCTGGCACCTGGCACCCTCACACTCAGATTTGGGTCCCGCGATTGCATCCAGCCCCGCAGCAACATCCTGGCAGTAGACCAGTACTGACCTACCATTCAGACTTCCATTTCTGGCTTGTTTAGCGGTTTAGTGCTGGCGCTACCAGGTTCCCTAACAGCACCCTGCCTCTCCACCGAGTCTCGCACCTCGAACCTGCAAGTTCGTCCCTCTCTGTGGCATTCGCTTCATCCCCCCAAAGGTCCCAAAACACACTGGACACTGGACTTGGAACCAAGCACCAACTCCATTCCCACTCCCATCCGGCAACGTCCCTACAGCAACACCTACCACGCCAGCACGCCCGTCGTCGACGAGACACCCTGCGCTGTTGTCGTCACCTTGCCATCCGACCCGCGCGGCAATCATTCCTTTACTCCGCCAGTTCGCCGTGCGCCCTCATACTTCCTGCTACTGCTGCTGTAGCCGTTGCTGCTGCCACCACCATCGAGAGCGCGCGTCCCAGAACTGACCTCGCCGACGCCCCTAGCATCAAGCATCCTACCAAGGCTACCTCTACCATATTCAATCGGCCGTCGGGCATCCACACAACTCGATTGACACGCCGTGGCCTTACCCTCATCCAACGCCGGCAACGTCCCCAATAATAATACTACTACTGCCAGGCACTGTCGGGCTTGTGGTCAGAAGGTTGTTCTGACGCACTGCACCCCCCCTCCTCTTCGACTTCCAGGCGGGACGTAGAGCTTCATTGGACAGACGGGCCCGTTGGCATCGCAGCCTCCCAAACCCACGAGCTGTTCGGCACACATCCTAGCCTTCGGCTAGCCACCCCCTTTTCGTATCCAGCTATCATTAAGTCGCCGCGCCCTCATTACCCCTCCACCACCAGGTCGGGCAGCCTTCACTCGCCCCACAGGCAGAGAAACTGTTGTCCTCAAAGATGAAGCGGTTCAGCCAGAGAGTCGTAAGTCAAAGTTTGGGTCTTTTGCTGTGCCTGCGCTAGGCTGTCCCGTGGGAATGGAATGGATCGCTAATGCTACCCCGTCGTGCTAGCTCTCGAGGACGAAGGACAAGGATTCCAAGTCCAAGAAGAATAAGGATGCGAAGGACGGAACAGCTTCCCCCAACTCCCAAGGCTCCCGCGAGGCCACCCAGTCGCCCGTTCTCACCCCTTCATCGTCTACCTCAACACTTGTCAATGACAACCGTAACAAGCCATTGCCGCCTAACAACGCGGCCCATGGCGACCACGGCAATTCCATGCTCGGTTCTCAAGGCGGCAGCTCGAACCCTGGCGTACCGGATAGATTCAGCAGTGTCGGGGGGCAGCAACAGAGTGCCAATGGCGGCAGCACTCCTGTCCGTCACGGCACACTCCCTCCTACCGTCATAATTAGCCCCAGCGCGCCGGTAAGAAGCTCCCCTCGGATTGTCATACTTGGCCAAGGAATACTGACGATTGGTTGCCGTAGCATGTCCCACCTCCCGGCGCCGCGGAAACGATGCCACACGACCTCGCTCCTCCAAAAGCCGGACAGAAATCGCTTATGTTCGATCGTTTACACCAGACCCCCAAAGATGTCCTGGAAGGACTCAGGACGCCAAAGAGGCAGAACTCGTCGCGGTTCGACATCTCGGCCCATCGCGAGCTCGAGAAGCTCCCGGGCTTCCACGAGGTGGCGCCCAACCACCGCCAGGATTTGTTCATGAAGAAGATTGAGCAGTGCAACGTCATCTTCGACTTCAATGATGCTAGTGCTGACATGAAGTCCAAGGAGATCTCAAGCGCTTGGCCCTCCATGAGCTGCTGGATTATGTCGCTAATAACCGGCAAGTCATCACCGAGCCAATGTATCCGCGTGTGGTTGAAATGTTTGCAAAGAACTTGTTCCGCCCGATTCCTCCTCCCATGAACCCGCAGGGTGAAGCTTTCGATCCGGAGGAGGATGAACCGGTCCTGGAGGTAGCATGGCCGCATATCCAAGTTGTCTACGAGTTCTTCCTCCGGTTCATTGAAAGTCAAGATTTCAACACCAACATTGCCAAGGCGTATATCGACCATAGCTTCGTTCTTCAACTCCTCGAGCTCTTCGACTCCGAGGACCCCAGAGAACGGGATTTCCTAAAGACGACATTGCACCGAATCTACGGCAAGTTCCTCAACCTGAGGTCTTTCATCCGCCGCTCTATCAACAACGTCTTCTTCCAGTTCACGTACGAAACCGAGAGATTCAACGGTATCGCCGAATTGCTCGAGATTCTTGGGTCCATCATCAACGGTTTTGCGCTCCCTCTCAAGGAGGAGCACAAGCTTTTCCTTACTAGAGTCTTGCTTCCTCTCCACAAGGTCAAGAGTTTGAGCATGTACCACCCTCAATTGGCGTACTGCATTGTGCAGTTCCTCGAGAAGGATGCTTCCTTGACAGAAGAGGTATGTGACACACCATGTCTTTGCGACCTTTTCTAGACTAACGTTTGCTTCAGGTTGTTCTCGGACTCCTCCGTTATTGGCCCAAGGTCAACAGCACCAAGGAGGTCATGTTCCTCAACGAGGTCGAAGATATCTTCGAGGTCATGGACCCGGCTGAGTTCGCCAAGGTCCAAGAGCCCCTGTTCCACCAGCTTGCCAAGTCGGTTGCCAGCCCGCACTTCCAGGTCGCCGAGAGAGCCTTATACTTCTGGAACAATGAGTACTTCTGCAACCTAGTGAGCGACAACGTTGAGATCATTCTCCCCATCATGTTCGCTCCTCTATATGAGAACTCGAAGGGACACTGGAATAGGTACGCGTCTGAGCAGCTTAAAGTGTTTGTGTAAACCGAACTAACTGGGAATAGAACCATCCACGGCATGGTATATAACGCCATGAAGCTATTTATGGAGATCAACCCGCAGCTGTTCGACGATTGCTCCCACGAGTACACCGAAAACCAAAGCAACGCCCCCGCGAGAGAAGCCCACCGCCAGAGCAAATGGGCTCGACTCGAAGAGCTTGCAAAGCAAAGGAAGGCACCAAGTGGAGAAACCAACGGCGCCGGCTCTCCTCCAGCTCGCAGCACCGTGAACCCGCTGCCTCGCCTAGAAGAAGTAGACGGTACGGAGGATAATTCAAAGAGGTTGGATTCTTTGAAGTTGCAGGATGGCGATAGAAGAGAGCGACGGCCCGGGATGCATGAGAGGCAAAGCTCAGTAGGATCGTCCAGAAGTCGGTAATACGTCTTCGCAGGGAGAGCTGTCTTTTCGGGCGTGTTGTTCATTTTATTTTGGAGCTCAAGGCCACGGGCATTGTTCGGTGTCAAAGTCATGTATGGAGCTGGAAAACCCGTCATCATCAGACTGGAGGAGGAGGGGGAAGTGGAAAGGTAGGATGAAGAAAAAGGCTGAACAGGGGCTTGGTTGCCGCGCCGGTTTTATATACGTTGAAAAACCAGGACAAGAAGAGCGCGGACAATGATGACAAGGAAACGGGACAAGCAGGCGGTAAGAAGGCGGCAGCACAACAGACAGACAGCACACAACTTTGGCACATAGGTCTCAGGGACTTTAACCACCACTTTTAGAGAGTTTTTAACGGCGTCATGATTCCATTCCAGTTTGTCTTCTTAGCCGGCTCCCGACCAACCCAAAAGAAAATTTTTTGTTAGGACAAAGGATAGGCTGGCTTCGATTGTTAATATATCTACATCTTCGAACCTTTTTTTTTTCCCTGGTTTTAATGACTTTTAGGCGGGGGTTTGCTGGGTACTGCGGTGATTGAAAGAAGGATAGGATGGCGTGTTGAATGAAGAGAGAAATTGCTGGTATGGTATGACATTAGACAAGCAGTCGTAATGAAAACCGGATCAATGCCATGAATGGGCAAATTGTTGAATGCGATGACGGTCGATTTTTCACTCTGTTTCAGTGACATGTAATGCTTATGGTGGTTTCATGCTTGTTTTGACATCTACAACCAATCCATCAAAGTTGTACTCAACTTCAATGCCATGCTTGACCGACCTTGGTACATACGTACGAGAGAATGTGCCGACAGATTCACGTACCCATCTTGAATCCACCAAATGACAGTTCTGCGGTGCTGATATCTACGATCAACATGATGGCGATAATGAAAGCCAGCGAGCAGTTATGTTTAGTGAGCTAATGACCGCCAAAAAGGACCACAACCAGGAGGAGATCAGAGATCTATGATATATCATAGCCCTTTTTCATGTTTCACCAAACCCCCTTGGTCAAAGTGTTTTTTTCTTCATAAAAACGCCTAATGTGAATCAAGCATCCCTGGAAAAACCGAAATGAAATCCCTTAACGCCCATTTGAATGACTGACGCGATCGAACAACAGCAAGCAACTGTGATAGCTAACCATTTTCACCATCCGTGTCCACCGCATCTCTTCTCCGTTCAGCACCAACGACCATAATCTACACAGACAGGCGCTAGCCACCGTGAACACAGAAAGTACCGGGACCAAAAGCGCACTAATAGTGACCGCCGTTGGCACCACCGTTGCCGCTCTGCTCGCCCTGATCGGCGTACTGGCGCAGGGCAAGTTCCTTCTGGAACTCGCGTCCCAGTTGGCCGTACATGGCGACCAGTTGCTTGCAGGCGCCGACAAGGGCCTCACGAGGGGTGATACTGCCGTCCGTCTGAATTCGGATCATGACCTCTGGCACGTTAGGATGGGCGACTGTATGTTTTGTTAGTTTGCTGCTACTGTGGTACGGTTGTTGAAGGGGAAGTAAAGTGTAAACGTACTTTTATATCCAGCCATAAGGACATGAGGAGCCTGCTTGAGGTGCTCGGCTAGGAGGTTTGCAAGAGTATGGTCCTCCTTCAGGATCTTGAAGTCGGAGGTATTGCTCATGCCTGTGTGAAGGTGAGGGTCATGGTTAGTTCCCGCTTTTCTCTCCTTTCTTCCTGTCCACTTCTTCCTGCGGTGACGACGAGATGAGAGATGAATGATGGGATCGACGCAAACTCACCAGTGAACACCTTTTCCTCGATCTTCTTCTCTCCATCCTGGAGAAGGAAGAGTTCGAACCTATCGACCAAAAACATGTCAGTACATTGCCCTCATCGCCTCACGAAAGTGAGATATTGGTGATGATGAGTTAGAGATAAAAGGCAAGGCGGACCGGTTGGGCTCGCTGTTCTGCTTCTGGTTTGACGAAACCATCATGTTTATCTTGTTCCTGGTTGTTGTTGCCAGATGATGGAAGAGGACGTAAAAGTATCCGCTTGGATATCGTATTGACTGAAGGAGATAATCAAGTTTGAGAGCTTCACAGCAACGGCTTTGTTGTTTGCTGGTATGGCACTCTTTGTCGCGATGGACTGTTTGCTGGTCCTTCAACGGTATGATGAGTGGCCCAAAGATGCGTTGGTCTGATGATGGTGAGTGGTTGTTGTAAGAGGAGGAGTAAGTTGCACTCCTTTTATATAGTTGACGGCCAGCAACTCTCCAGGTTGACGTTGGTGAAGGTGAGTCCAGGTTGAATAAATCGCCAACTCCAGATTGTCCATCCAGTCCACCAGTCGCCGCGTCTGCCTATTGTTGTCTTCCATTTGTGTCCACGGTTCATGATCAGATGAAAACCTTCCCGCCTCCCATTCACTCGTGCTTGCGCAAACCAAAAACAATAGGCACCAGGCACCAAGAAGCAAATGCCGCCTGCCGGCCGGGGAGGAAGAGAGGACCGAGCTCGTAGACCGTGAATTGGGGACAGGTAACGTGGAAGACTGGGAGGACTGCTGAGTGTCTGTCTACCTGGGTCGATTTGTGTTCATTGCCGTACCAAGTCGAAGTCGAATTGCGATCCCCAGTCGATACCGGCGTTACCTGATGAACTTGGAACATCGTCGTTATGGCCTCTTGTCGAAAGCCCCCCTGCGAGATGAAGGGGAATCCAGCTCGATGGTTTGCAAGATTTGGCGTGAGGCGCTCCGACCAGAGCGAAAGGTCCCGGAAGGAGGGTTCATTCATATGAAAAGAAAGGCATTAAGAAACAGAAGAATCAACTAACCTATCAGGGGCGTTCATCTTGGCGACTGGCTCACGATATGACGAAGAGAGACTGGTGGTGGTTCGGTGGTGTATAGATTAATGTCGTCGTCCTCGTTGTCGTATATCGTGGGCTCGAGATGTGGTGGTGGTGGTGGTGTTGCGGGTGAGTGATCGAGAGGGTGTCAACGTCGAAGTCGTCGGTGCAGCACCTGGGGGAATTGGTGAGGGAGCTGGGGGGGGTCTGGCTGTTCTTAAAAGGTCGAGAAGGACGTGGACAATTGTAATACCCAAAATTGGAGCGTGAATGGGACAGACTACCGGAGGTTCTAGCCGTTAAGGTTTCGATGATTTGTCCTCTGTAGATGAAGGTTTCAGGTCTGGGTGAAGGAAGTTGGATGTTGACACAAGTGAACGAACGCACTTGATGTCTTCAAGGTCGACCAGGTTGCGCATCCACAGTGAGATGGAGGCAAGTGAGCAATGAACTCCCGGATTGAGGTACTTGCGGCTCGTGCGCTCAGGTTATTTTGCGCCATCCCGCTTTTGGATGACTCGACCGGTGGGAAAGCATAGGGGAGGGTTAGGGTTCAGATCGAGACGTCTTGGGCAAGAGACAAAAATAAAATGTACAATGGGACTACTTTGGAGACCAGAGCTCGTTGATTTTATCTGGAAGACATAAACGAGCTGAGAGAAGGTGATCCACTTCTCTCCGTTTGCATATGTAACGATTGTTGTCGTCGAGCGACCGCCTTCCCCAAGAGGCAGAGAAGCGGGAGGGAGGGATAAAACAGACCAGGACAACCAGATAAGCATGGGAACTGCCGTGACGAGTAGAAGATACAACTACAGTACCTGCAAAATGAAGCTTTAATGCTCAGAAGCCCCCAAGTCTCAAGAAGGCAAACACATTCAAAAAGAATGAAACACCAAAAAAAACATACAACACCAGGGATTCGCTGGTCGTCACCGACCCAACTACTAGTCTGGCCCTCACTGGCTTATCTATGGGAGAGCGGACGGGATCCCGAGTTTTCCGGTGGGTATGGTCGTATGTACTGGCTCGATGCTCTTGTGGAGCTTATATTCTTCCTCCCGACACTCCCCTTCTGCATCATCCAAGGAAGGGTCTCCAATGCATATAAGTATGACATCTCTTACCACCTGGGACTACGGGACGTGTAATGCTGAAGATGCCAGACTAGAGGTAGGTAATCAAGGTATATTCCAAAGCCAAATATCTCGTTGCATCCCTAGACTAGAGGTATAACTTGGCTGTATCAAGCACACAAAACAACAAAAACAACAAATCCGCTTCCTACCATAGCACCATGCAATACCTACAGACTCAAGATACGCCTTTCTTCTTCTCGCCAAGTTCGCCAACAACAGATTGCTCATCAACTCCCACATCAGGTCTACCTATAAGTAAGGGTGTGTATAGTTCCATGCCTGTCCATATATCTTCTATATTCATAACCCAATGGGAATATCTCTCTTGCTTCCATCCCCCTTGTCATCGACCCCGTATCGTATCGTAGGTAACACCATCGTTCGTTCGTCGTCTCTCGTCCAGTCCCATCCCGTGCCATCCATCTCATATAAACCCATAAAAGTAATCGTATCATCGGAATCCTTTCTTTCTCGTGGTAAAACTGGCAAGTTAATCAAAGGGCACAGACAGGTACTCGCCTGTTGCCTGCATGATTGCCTGCCTGCCTCTGTCTCTCCTTCATTCGTCAGCCCCTTCTGAGGGCCCCAACCAGCACTTGCTTTGGATGATAACCAATAGGAGAACCTGACTCCTTTCATCAAGGCAGGTACGTCTGTCTGTGCGTCTTTCTGCGTGCCTTACGGATGTAACAATTACAACCCCTTTGCATCGCAATAGCTAGGCGATCCTCCGCCCTCTCCGGCGTTAGCCCAGCTCATGACCGTCAGGGTAGTCGTGTACGCCATGGCGATGAAACCAAAGATGCAGAGGGCGACGTCGGAGAACTTCCACAGTTTGGATCTGGCGACGCTCTTGTAGTGCAACATTGGCTATACATAATTTGTTAGCATGAAACATTCTTTACATACAAAGGAGAAGCGGGATGTAGAACTTACCGGGTAGATATAAACCAACGGGATGCAAGCAAAGTTACCAACAAGCGCAACGAACTTGTCCAAGTTATCGGCGCCGGCCCACGCAACCAGGGCGCAGAAAGCCACCACAAAAAAGCGGAACACGTTCTTCTGCCACTTGATATAAGGGTTGTACTTGCCGCTCTTGGTGAAGAGCGCGTTCTCCGTGATCCTGATGGCGGGGAAGATCTGCAGCGGGGTGGAGAGCAGGATGGCGAGCGAGTACAGGAACTGCACGCCGTTGACCAGCTTGTCGTCCTGGGGCAGGTTGAGGAGCACGACCGTCTCGGTCTTGGAGCCATAGGCGGCGTACGAGACGGCGCCCATGACGGTGAACAGGGTGGTGATGATGATCATGACGACGCCCATCACCTTGGGGAATTTCTCGGGGTTGCGCATGGACTCCTGGATCGGGATGATGAGGCCGATGCCTTCGAAAGTGAAGATGGCCGTGCCAATGAAGAGCGTCCAGTCCTTCTGGTTGAACATGATGATATCCGCCAGGCCGGAGGTGTTGAGCGTCAGGACGTCGTAGTAGAAGAGGTAGGCGAGACCGATGACGATGAAGGCGTCGGCGATGAGGGCGGTGAATCCCAGCTTGCCGATGTCGCGCAAAAGCGAGAAAGGCAGGAAGACGATCATTTGCATGATGATCAGCCATGATATGGAGATGTAGGTCTTGCAGTTAGTGACCGCGAGTATGAATGCCTGCAAGTTCTCCGACGTGAAGACAATGTAGGCTGCCACAAAACCGAGCTGACTGATGACGATGGAGAACAGAATCAGGTTCCTCATCCACTTGCCGTAGAGAATACCACCAATGTCACCAAAGGATCCTTCCACCTTTAGGCGAGTGGTGACGAGGAGGACGAAGCAGTAGTAGCTCAGAGCCGCCACAAACAGGAGCACGGCGTTACTAAAGATCATGCCACCGTTGAGGTAGGCTCTGGGCAGGAAGAGCACACCAGTACCGACGAAGGACTTGAGGAGAAGCATTGCCGCGCTCATGGGACTATTTCGGCCGCTTCCACCACGCTCTTTCCTTCTCCTCTTACGTCGAGACGGCGTTAACAGCGTGCTGTCCTCCATGGGCTCGTGATCATCGTCAGAGCCCTCGTCGCTCCACCACTCACCCTCATCGCTTCCCGAGGTGAAGTATTCACCAGGCTTGAGCACTTCGTCGTCTTCCTCGAGTTCCTCACCGGCGAAATGTCCGTACAGAGAGAGGAATTCGAGGAAGCTGGTGGTCAGTAACCTCCGTGGGGGCGCACTCTGGCCCGCGCCATTTTCGGTGTCGTCAGGATGGGCCGAATGATCTCTCACGTGTCTCCGGAGGTAGTTGCGGCGGAAGCCACCAGGGACCTTGATCGAGTTGATATCCAGAACCTCATTTTCTGGTTCAGGCCTAGGGTAGCTAAAGGACTTGCTTCGCTTGGCCTTGTTGCGCTGTTCGATCTCCTCCGCCCACCGGTATATAGGGCGCGTGATGTCACCGCCCTGCAACTGCAGACTTGAAAATTCATCGTCGTCTTCGGCAGGCTGCTTGCCCTTGGACCCCTCGCCTGTATCCTCGGCGGTACTATCCCCAGGTTGGACCAAGTGTCTCTTGATAATCTCGGGGTCTTCGTATGCTCCAATGCCGTTGATACCCGTGGACGGTAGCCGCGATCTCGTCTCGAAGGAGCCATAGTTCGTGGTGGGCGTCGCGGATCTTTGGAGGTGGGCAGCCGAAGGAGCAGGAGAGAGGGCGCGGGCAGGAGGGGTGCCAAAGCGCGGTGGTGAGGCTCCGTAGGTGTTGGACAAGGCAGCGGCTAGAGCAGAAACACCAGGGCCAGCAGAGTGTGAGCCAGCACCGGGAAGCGGTTCTAAGGCGTCAGCCCCAGCGTCACCATCTCCTCCTCCCTCTATCGGAATAGGTGTTCGAGTGCCAGACGGTTGTTGTGGTGGTACGGGCGAGGCGAGGCGCGCGATGCTATCAGCGCGTGGTATCGAGGTGCCGAACGAGCGGGCGCGGAAGGAGCTGGGACGAAAGGAGCCGGGGCGAAAAGAACCGCTGGGCGAGGAAGAGCGGCCGGGGATATTACCCGGGGCCGGTGAGTTCCTCCCGAGTCTCTGCCCGAGGTTGACATGGTCGGTAAGCGGTAGAGGTGGTGTCTGTGGTGATGATGATGATGATGATGTAATGGTAGCCCAGACCTCTCTATCTAGAGCATATCGGGGGTGGAGATACTGGAGAGCAGTAGTTCAGTCCGTTCGAGTCTGGAGGTCTGTCCGTAGTGTCGGAAGTAAGGTCAAGTTTAGAGACTGGAGAGAGGAGATAAAAGATGGGAACTGTCTGTGTTTCAGACAGCCTCTCTTTTTTTTGTCTGGCGGTGGAGGATGCCTAGCCGACGCAGGATGATGGCACGTAATGAAGGCTTGTACAGTTCTTATTACCTAGGACTAAAGTGGCAGACTACCTAGTTCTAGGTAGGTCGATCTTGGGGTTGTCGCGCTGTCCGAAACACTGCTGCAGCACTTTTGTCGCTCTGCTCCGTTATGTTCTGCGCCAACTTCCTATCTGGGACTTTTGGGACGACAATGATAAGCGAGTACTTGAACAAATGAGTGAACTTGGTGATGTCGAAAGTAATCTGAGTTGTTTGTTTGTTTGGGTGGTAACATGAATATCAACAACGTCGAGGCCGGGATAATATCAACTCTAACATAAAAAGACGGAACATGTTCTTTCTCTTCCCTTTTGACGTCAAGTCAAGCGACTTGTACCAAGACGAAATGCGGAATCAAGAGACGGGCCCGTGTGACCTGCGCTGGCCGACAGCACAAGGGATTGGGGTCTTTGATTGGAGCACATCATGGCCAAAGTGGGCACTTGGGCCAACTGAGATAAGGAACCACGGGAATCTGATGAGCGCTGTGCGAATGAGAACGTGTCCTGGAGATAGGGACAGGGCACAGAGGGAAAACCCCCAACCTCATCAACTGTGAAGAGATCGTGGCTGCCTCGTTCAAACGCCGGTCGGGTGGGCCTTTTACCATCCATGACAGCGTCCTGCTGACACTGGGCCACTGCAGAGCACTCCAGCTGCGACGGGCAGACGCCTGGGTGATCCAGGCTGTTTCCATTGTTGGCCCTGCTTTGGGGAGATCCACTCTTTTGAGACCCTGATCTGGATGCGTTGTTAACAACCTGGAAAGTTGCTGTTACTGTCAACCAAAGAAGAGATCACGACTTCAACCTTCAACCTTCAACCTCTCACAAGACCTTTGGTCAACGATACACACACCTATGTAATGACGATCACGCTTCATAAATCAGGGCTGACTGCCTCAGGCTTCGAATACCGTATCAAGCTGCCAACACCACGGAGCACCGGACAGCATGACGGAGGTTCAGTTAGCACTTTTAGCTCATGTTCTCCGCTAACAATGACAATGAACCCCGCCGATATCCCCGTTGAATTATGCGCCGATACAATGCGGTGATGCGAACCGATGAACTTCCGGACGCACAATGCACTCGCTTTTTCGTGGCTACAATCCAAGTACCTTGGAAATGTGAGGTTTCTCTTACCAAATATCGTGACTTGAGATATCGGTACAACTGGATATTTCTTGAACAAACAACACGATGGAAACACGGCGAGGGCATCACCATCACTATCACAACGACCCTCTGGTCTCCAGACTCTGGGCTGATGCAACTCCACCGTCCCCCATAAACAACCGCAATGCCCTATTCTAGGCCCTTGCTGGCGATCCTGGCTCCCTGCCCGGTGTCATTGGAGCGGGCCGGCAAAGGCGGGGGAGAGGGTCGGCAAGACGGCAACAGCACTAAACTTTTGACTGTTGACTGAATGAGGTTGTTCACCGATCGATGCCCCTCTCCGCTTCCGCAGCCGGGACAGTTTTTGAGACGAACCGTGGAGGCCGATGAAGGAGATGGCTTCTCCAATCGTCAGGCCATGATGGTCCGAACATAACAACCCTACAACTAGCTCACCTATGATATCGACTGGAGTACCGAATGTTTCGGAATCAAGCAGGTTTTCCCTGGAATGGTGGGGTTGATGCGTTATTCTTCATTAGTTGTACTTGTACGTTTCTGTGTTTTTGACCTGTATCTCTCATTCGAGGTTGCTCTTTCTTCTCATTCCGCTTCATGCTCATCGTTACCCATCAAGTCCTTCCTTCCTGATCCGGAGTGTATCCTTGGAGCACCCCATCAAAGCTGTATCCACCTCTACCTACACAAAGTACATCTTCATTACTCTAGGCGTCTCGTCAGGGACCACTTCACACTGAAAAGAAAGACCTGAGACGCCATACCGTCATCAAGCTTCATGCTAGTGTTGAGAGACTACCCAGGGACGGAATAGCTTCTGATTCGCCAACACATCACCAAAATAAGTCGCCTATCAAGCTTGGCCTCTAACTTGGTTGGAAATCCCTTCACCACCGCTAGATTCCCATATACTCACCAAAAAAGCATCATGCCCCAGTACACTACATAGACGAAGCCTAAATAACTTCTCCGTTACTGTCCTTCGCCGATAGTCTCCTCGGGTTACGCTGGAGCTACGTCTCCCACACCACCGACCGTCGGTCCCTTTCCAAGACCACAGCATCCAAGGGATATATAGACACCGCAAGGTCTGAGACTGGGTAGAGCTGGCCTCTTTGCCACTTTCTCCCATCTTCCTGTTGGGTGCTTCACCCTAGAGCCGGTCTCACAGGACAAAACCACCAACAAGCTCCCGGCCTGTTCCCAATACAGCCACTTCTGCTGTGCAACACCAACACCGGAACCCATCCGCGAATGGAGACATGATAGTCAAACAATGACAACCATGGACCACGAACACCAGAGCAAGAGGCATAAACTGGGCGTCGTCTCGGGCGTCTACATCCCAGTATGCCTCAATATCCTCAGTATCCTCATGTTCTTGAGGTTCGGCTCCATCTTGGGTCAGATCGGTCTACTTGGCATGCTCGGTATGTCCTTTCCGGAGCTCACTTTGTACCACATCAAAGTCATGAAACTGACTTTTTATCAGGACTTCTCTTCATTGCATACTCGGTTGATTTTGTCACTACTCTGTCCCTATCAGCCATTGCCTCCAATGGTGAAGTTAAGGGAGGGGGTGCCTACTACCTCATCTCCAGGTCACTTGGCCCGGAGTTTGGAGGCTCTATCGGTATCCTGTTTTACCTGGCGCAGGTCTTGAACACTGCACTCAACGTCGTCGGTCTCATCGACTGCCTGAGGCTGAATCTGGGACCTGCCTTGCCTCAAGGGTATTGGTGGACCTATCTGTTCCAGACAGGAGCGTTGTTGATGTGCACTCTACTATGCCTGGCTGGCAGCGCCATGTTTGCAAAGGCGAGTAATGGCTTATTGGCCATTATGGTCATCTCTATCCTGAGTATCCCCATCTCGGCCATCTTCCTGCCTTCCTTCAACGATCCGGTCAGTGGCATTGAGTTCACGGGTGTCAGTCTCACCACTTTGCGGTCCAACCTGTGGCCGCACTTTGCTGGCGACGAGTTCAATGGAGCTGGCACCTTCAGAGATCTCTTCGGTATCCTGTTCCCGGCCACTTCGGGTATCTTTGCTGGAGCGTCCATGTCGGGTGATTTGAGAAACCCCAGCAAAGACATCCCCCGCGGAACTCTCTGGGCCATGTTGTCAACTCTTATATCGTACGTGCTGGTCATTATTTCGTTGGCCTCAAGTACGACACACGGCACGTTCCTGCGAAATACCAATGTTATCCAGGAGACGAATGTCTGGCCTCCCATCATCTTCGCCGGAGAGTTTGCAACATGCTTCTTCTCGGCTCTGATGGGAGTAATAGGCTCTGCCAAACTCATGCAGGCCCTGGCTCGAGACAAGCTGGTTCCTGGTATCTCTGTTTTCGGAAAAGGCACCAAGAAGACTGACGAGCCCTTACTCGCTATCTTCTTGACGTACATTGTTGCTCAGTTCGCCATGTTCGCGAACCTGAACCAGATCGCAACCTTCATCTCTATGGGATATCAAATGACCTTCTTCGTCATGAATCTCGCCTGCTTCTTACTGAAAATTGGATCTGCTCCCAACTTCCGCCCGGGCTTCAAGTTCTTCAGCTGGCAGACTGCTTTCGCCGGCAGTGTGCTTTCAGCGGCTGCCATGTTCTTTATCGACGAGACATATGCCACCACGGCCGTCTCACTGCTCGTCACTCTATTCCTGCTGATCCACTATTTGAGTCCGCCCAAGCGTTGGGGTGATGTGTCACAGAACCTGATCTACCACCAAGTCCGGAAATACCTGTTGAGGCTGAAACCAGAGCACATCAAATTCTGGCGACCGCAGATCATCCTGCTCATCAACAACCCGCGCAAGCAGACCCGTCTCATCCAGTTCTGCAACTCGATGAAGAAGGGCGGGCTGTACATCCTCGGCCATGTTATTGTGACTGATGACTTTTCCGCGGGAGTTGCCGAGGCCAAGCTCCAGCAAGCTGCATGGACAAAGTACATCTCGGAGTTCTCGAGGATCAAGGCCTTTGTCCAGCTCACCATGTCGCCAACCATCACCTGGGGCGTGAGAAACCTGATTCTCTCGGCGGGTTTGGGTGGTATGCGGCCCAATATTGCTGTCATTGGCTTCTACAACCTAGAGGACCTGCGTCGTTCGCGACCTACACTGAGGATCTCGCACAAAGCGCCAACATCGCCCGTTAAGGGCACTGAAACAAAACAACCCGTGAGGCAGCGGAAGAGAGGCGATACTTCGGCAAGACTGATGGAGGGGTTCTTGCCTACTGATGTGATTAAAACCGAGGAGATGATGTCGGTTACAGAGTATCTCACTATCCTTGAGGACTTGGCTCTGAGATATCGTCTGAATGTGGCGGTTGGTAAAGGGTTTGAGACTCTGGAGACGCCGCGAAAGGATGGGAGTAACACCAAGAAGTATATTGATCTTTGGCCTATTCAGATGTCGGCGGAGCTGTCAGCCGATGGCAGGAATGTTTTGACCACCAACTTTGATACGTGTAAGTTCTTGTAACTCTTAATGCTTTCGTCGAGGTTACTAACATGTACCAGACACTCTCATCTTACAGCTGGGCTATATCCTCGACACCGTTCCCGCTTGGAAGAAGGTTTACCGAGTACGCGTGTTAGTCTTCGTCGAATACGAAAGCGAAGTTGAGGAAGAAAGAGGCCGAGTCAAGGCTCTACTCGACAAACTGAGAATCGAAGCCGAGGTGTTAGTCTTCTGGCTAGCCTCCGGAGATCTCGGCACATACGAAGCCATTATCCACGGACATTTCCGCGACCAAAAAACAGAGAAACTAGTCAACGACTGCCTAGTAGACCAAGAATGGTGGGAAGATCTACAAAAGATCCGGGGAGCCCATGATGCAGAGACTTCACAGCCCGACATGAGTTCCGTACTAAACATCGTCGAGTCAACTTCGGGACGACCGGGGTTGTACAATCCGCACATGATAATGAGCGAGTCCCCTTCTGATCCGCAGGTGCGCGATAGGAGGCGCGCTAGCTGGGCGCCACTCGCCATGGCTGTTGATTTACCCAAGAAGCCCACAGTCTCACAGCTGGTTCGGCTGGGAGTCAGCATGGGGATACACACTCAGAACCTGGCGGCGAATGTGCTGGACAGCAGCAGTAGCTCATCATCAGACACGGACGTTGACGGTGAGAGCGACAGCGACAGTGATAACAGCTCGTCTAGCGGGAGGATATTGGATGGAGACTTCAATGATATGGCGAGTAACGGCCGTGGCCTTGAAGGTCTTGAACCGTCACGAGTTCCTCTGTTGGGAGCAGCTGTGAGACGAATGAGTCATGGAGACCTCTTTGATCGACTTAAGAAGCCCTGGAAGGATAGGAGGAGATCACGTAAGGCAGGACCAGGGCCGTCTACGCAGCAGCAGCAGCAGCAGCAATCTTATGGCTATGGCGCAGTGTCTCATTCGCAGTCCCAAAGAGATACCGGGTCCGGACCCAGTCGCAGCAATGGTTCGGAAAGTCGACTGAAGAAAGACGATCTTCTAAGCGTGGCCACTCCTGAGGAGAGGCCATCATCTCAGATGCCAAGGCCAGCACTATCACGACAAAACTCGTCCATCTTGAAAAGCTCTACCGCCAGAAAATTCACCAGCTCACTGGTTCCCGAAACAAGAATAACCAGTGATGACACAGGAGCACAAATTATGTTTGCGGAACAAGATCTAGATCAGGTTCGCCCAGGGATATCACGTCGGTCTACACCAGGAGCTACTGCACTCCTTTCAAGCAAACAACAACCACTGGCCAGAAATAACGACAATGAAGGGAGCCCTAGGACGGTCACCTTTGTTGAGCCTCGCTACGATGGTGCTTCTTCATCCCCCGATAAGTCCAGAGCGAACTCCCCACCAAGGACTTCTCCTGACACTGGCAGCGGGAATGGTGACGTCCTCCTCAACATCCCCGAACTCCTCTCTTCATACCGAGGGTTCCAGCAGCAGCAGCAAGACGGTACCGACAACGATGATGCGTTGGAAGCAGGCTCAAGCTACTCCACCCAAGGCCTCCCGCTTTCCTTCAACGACCTCCCCAGTCGCGCGCAGCATCTGATTCTGAACGAGCTCATGCGGCAGAATAGTACCGACGCGGCGGTTCTGTTGACCACGCTCCCCGTGCCGGAAGAGAATACGTGTCAGAGCGAGGAGGCTAGCTTGACGTACCTTGCTGATGTGGAGGTGCTTTGCGAGGGGTTGCCGCCTATGTTGTTGGTGTTGAGCAATAATGTTAGTGTTACTGTTAGTCTTTGAGGCTGGCTTGGGGGTTGAGGTGTAGGGGTGTAGGGGGCTGATACTGGTGGTGATGATGGCGATGGTTAGGCCCTGGGTATAATGCGTGCGTCATTGGGAATGAAAGCGACAGACATCGCATCGCATCGCATCGCATTAGCCCAAACAGCGGAAGGGGAAAAAAAAAACAGAGTTTGTGTGTTTCACACTACGGGCACTATGGGGCACTATGGGCATTGTTTTGTGATACTCGAAACATACCTTACCTTGCCTACCTTACCTACCTCTACTCCCATTCCCGTGCCTGAAACAAAGATTAACGAGACCTGGGTCAAGGTTAATTGGCAGCGGGCTTTCAACACAGCCGAGACATACAACAAGGACATAAGAGACAATGCCAGATTATGGTTTTCTTTGTTTGTTCAGTATGTCGAGGAAGTCACCGGAAACTCAATTCGGGTTTAACTCATGTACCTCATAACAAAGAATGGCTATGATGCCTTGCTCTTTCGGTGTCTGGGTGTTAGGAAGGTTCTTTGTCTCGCTTTCGTGGCGCGGCATGATGTGGTATGGTGATTCATTCGCTCGTTCTCGTTCTAGAGAAACGACAACCAGAGGAGGTGGATCGATCGAAAGGAACTGGTTCTTCTCTTCTCTTCTCTTCTCTTCTCTTCTCTTCTCTTCTCTCTTTCTGCAACAAACTCTGTTAGTGGTTAATTGGTTGTTGGTTTCTGTATCCATCCGTCCATACATCCATCGGTCCTTTTAACTTATCTTGTTTCCTTCCCGAATATTCCTCTTTTTTGGTTGTAGTCATGACCATGTCTTCCTCACGAACAAAGGACACCTTCAAGGACACCAATACCAATACCAACACCAACAACGACAACCCAAACCGTAAAACCCGAAGAAAGTCAAAAAGTCTCCGACTCTCCCAGAAACTCCGTGGCATCGGCAAAGAGCTGCGATTACGACGAGTTTCTGTCGACAACAACAACAACAACAACAACAACAACAACAACAACAACGGCAAACAACGACAACGAGAGTCGATAGTACAGGAATCGTCACCACAGGAGGACGGGGAGTATAGGATTGTTCATACACCCGATCGACCAACGCGGTTCGTATCGCCGATCGAGGCGCCGACCGAAGACGATTGTTACGAGGCAATTAGAAGTTGGCAGAGGGGTGCTGTTGCTGAGCGGGAGAGGAGTAGGTACGGGAGTGGGATTGATCGTGAGAGGGAGGGGATATATCGTGAGGTAGACGGAGTTGGGTATGTGAGTGAAAGGGAGGCTCAACAACAGCAGCAGAGTGTAGGAGGAGAAGAACGAACGGACACAGAGGAAGGACGAAGAGGAAGAGGGACCGACGACGACGATAACGACCGAAGTGTGAGTTAACCAACAGTCTACTTGTTCCTTCCACCATCTCATATCTTACAAGTTCTCTCTCTGTTGTTAAGAAAACATGTCTTCTTTCTTTGCCGTCCATCCAGAAAAACACGCGTCGTCGTCAGCTCAAGGTGTCACGATGCCCCTGACCACCTCTCCATCTCCATTTACATTTGCACAAACAAAAAACCCACAGAGATTTCCTGTAAACCTGGTGGCCCAAAAATACCCGGATGAATACGTTGAATATCTCAACAGACAAGTATCCCCGCTGACTCGAATTATTATCGAACAGCAGAAACAGCAACAGCAACAGCAACAGCAACAGCAACAGCAACAGCAACAGCAACAGCAACAGAGTGGTGGCCCTTTTGTCCCTGAACCCAGAGACGATGATGATCTCAAGACTCCGAAGGATGGGAAGGATGGGACGAAGTGGTGGGAATTACAAGATGTCTTTGGGGCTGGGGCTGAGGGGTATACGTCGGAGATGGGAATGGGAGCACAAGAGGTGGGATTGGGAGGTGGGATGAATCCTTTTCGTCGTCTTGAGAGTGAGAGTGAGTGGGAAAGATATGGATATGGAGGTCAGCAGCAGCACAGGAAGCAGCAGGAGGAGGAGGATGTGGCGCAAAGGCAATCGGGTATCTCTACCGTGACCGTGTGTCAGGTTCTCAGACAGGATACGGCTAAAGGAAGACCGCTTCAAAGGGGACATGTTCCCCCAAATATTGTGACTGGTACGTACTATAACTTCCGGTTTATCAGCCGGATCAAGGTGGCTGTCAAATGACTACCCAGAGAGACTTGAACGCTAGCTAACAAACAACTTCTAGACTTCACAGCCCTGCTACCCAAGACATACAACGCGAACGAGTCTGGCAGCAAGAACGATGGCTTCAACGGAGCCAATACAAACTACTACAGTCAACCTACCCAAGAAGAGTACACGCCGTCTGTTTATAGTCCACAGTATTCGCCATCAAGATCTCAAAGCCCAAAAATCCCAGGGGCAGTTACTCCCACACCCGAGATGTTTCCTAAGACACCTACGGGGACTACTACTTCCGGAAGTCAAGTACCGGTGCCAGTAACCAAACCTCCAACCGCAGCTCCAGCTCCAGAGCCATTACTTGGTACTTCTACCCAGAATACTCAACCCAGCTGTACTCGCACTATTCTCGACATCGACAATGAACCCCTTTCCGATGCACCGCCAGGAGGCCGCTACTTTGACGTAGACGAGGAGTACTCTACCAGCAGCACCAGCAACGGAAAACCGTCGATGGATAATACAGGTAATAGTGGAAGGGAATTTCAGACTCTCTCACCAAATTTCACCATCTTGAACCAGACACAAGCGCAGACACAGACACAGACGCAAACACTACACTCTGAACTTCTGAAGCTTGTATATAAGCAAAGTCAGGAACAAGAACGAAAGGGAAGCGGACAGAGCGGAGAAAGCGGAAACAGTGCTTTTTATAGCGCGTTTACGTCCACTTCTTCGAGGGCGGGGACGCCTGATGTTAGACCCCCTTCGAGACGGGGAGAGGAACCACAACAGTCACAACCAGTCTCAAGTCTAAGATTTACAGGAACTGGAAAATTAAAAGGAACAGACACAGGGACAGGAACAGAAACGAAAGCGGGATCAGGTGCAGGATCACAAACACCAGCAACTCCCCACCCAAACCCAAGCCCAAAACCAAGCCCAAAACCAAAGCCAAAGCAAACCCAACCCCAACCCAAGATATCAAAACCACCAATGACACCACCCCGCGGTTTTCTGAAAGATAGAAGACCGTATGTTTCTCCTTCCGGTACTTCCTCTTCTAAGCCTCTACCACAAGTACCGCCAAAGACTCCTGAAAAACAGCCAATGTTCTTACTCAACGGTCTCGATTTCATTCCGAGTAGACCTGTTCCTCCTATTCCCAATCAAACTCCCCTGAAGCCAAGGGTAAAGATGGGAACAGCGCTGGGACCGACGTTGGGAGCAGGAAGGCAAGCAGGATATCCCGATTTTAAGCCATCAAGACCAGTTCCTACTCCCACTCCTACTTCCACGAAGCCAAAGAATAATTCTATGGTGAGTTCAGGGATGGGAGGGATGGGAGAAACCAGAGGGCAAATGGGAGAACACATGGGAGGACATATCGCCGGGACAATGAGCATATCATCACTCTCATCGCTTACCTCACTTACAGGAAGTGGAGGGTCAGTAACGCCGTCTCAGGTTTCTCCTCCGAAGATGAAGCCGAAGATTGTTTTTCCTGCTCCTCATCCTGCTCCTCCCCGTCCTGCTAGTGGTGGTGCTGGTGCTGTTGCTGCTCCAGCTCCTTCGTCTTTTCCATCCGGAGAGGGAGAGGGAGAAGGAGGCGGGTTGTTTACCCTGCCGGCGACGGTGTATAGTGGTAATAAGAGCAAGGCTAAGATGCCGGTTGTTGTGTCTGTACCAGTGCAGATACCAGTACCGTCGCCATTGTCGAAGTTTAATACTACTCACTCGTCATCATTAGGAGCAAAAGGTCATTCAACCTCTAATCACCCACGGTTACCACATAACCATTATCAGATCCAGAGCAAGAGCCAGAATCGGAGCCAGAACAAGCGGCAGGAACAAACACAAACCCAGCAAACCTCCTCTGACTTCTCCCAATATTTCCACCCAGGGGCAAGAATAAGTGATCCCTTCATTGACCCCCCAATGACGACGACGACGACGACGACGACGACGAGCGACGTGGATACCTACAGGTATAGCATGCTTGATGATGATGACGATAGCAGGTTTTCCGTGGCAATGGTTAATGGGGTATATAACCCAGGGCAGGCTCATGCTTGGAAAGAGACGATGTCAGTGATGGGTCAAATTGGGATGCAGAAACAGGAACGGGGGATGGAAAGGCAGATGCAGATGCAAATGCAGAAACCGAAATTGATTCGGGTGCAGAGTCAGAAACAGCGGAGAGAGGCGAGAGAGAGAGTTCAGGGGAAAGAGGGGGAGGGGGAGGGGAAGGGGCAGATGCAAGTACATGGAGAGATCCCTCAACAGACTCAGGCACAGTTATTACAACAAGAGGAGGCCCAGAGAGAGATCAACTCAAAGACTTCTTCTCGTCAAACTCCTCTTCCTCTTCCTCCTCAAGCCTACCAACCCCGGTCGACACCACCACCCCAAACTCCATCTCCTCGGTATCTTGTGTTCCCACCCCAACAACCACAACCACAACCCCCATTACGCTCTCAACCTCAATCTCAGACCCAGAAACTACAACCCGCACCCGTACCTGTACCATCTCCCTCACCCCATCCCTCTCCATCCGTCTCTCTCCTCAAGCTCATCTACCCCGGAGGTCCTTTTCCCCAGTATCATCATGATATCACCCCTACTCTTTCCCAAAATATCTCTACAACCTCTCCACTTCCTCAAACCCCTCCATCTCACTCTCGTCTTCATCAAAGCCCAACTCAAACCCTCACTCAAAACCTCACTCCTCCTCGCCAGGATCAAATCCACCCTTCATTCCGCAAACAAAGTACGCCAAGCTTGGATGAAAACATTGGCTCTGAAGAGAAACAGAAACAGAAACAGCAGAATGCTGCCGTGGGACAACAACAAAGACCGATATCCGTAAGCAGTATTTCCTCCGACTCCAGTTACGAAAGTCTCAAGTTTTGGGAGACTAAGGGGAAGATGGGTAAGGGTATGGAGACGGGTGTCAGGGCGGGTATGAAAACAAGTTCAAATACCCAGAGGCATGTTGTTACTGGGCAACGAGAGCGGTTTGCTTTTAGTGACAGCGATGATGACGACGATGATGGTATGAACAGGAAAGAGAAAGTGAAAGAGAGAAGAGGGGATGAAGGGCATGGTGATGAGTTGGAGACTAAGACTGGCGTCCAGAGTGGGAGTGGAAATGGAAAGAGTGTGGTCAATGCGGATGATTACGAGCATCTTATTGATCAGTATGCTGGGGGGTGGAGGGAGACTATGTTCTTTGGGGAGCTGGAGGAGTAAAACCCGAGAAGCTATGAGGTTGAGGGAGTGATTGTTTACATTCCGGTGATGGAATGGAGATTTAGTCAGAATGAGGTTGAGATACCAAGTGGATATAGTGTGGTTGATGTTAATGTTTGTGACTTACCTGGACATAGCGAGAGTCGGCTGTTTGATCTTTCAAGATTTGTCTGGACGTGTCTATGAGACGTCTACTTCTAGTTGCTCCTATCAAGAGCTCTCTATTCTATCGTTAAAATACCGTCAATCGTTCACCATAACACGTCGCTCATCTTCTATACAACCCGCTGCCCCCTAGTTGACCTTGGTAACAATCAATTCACCCTTCACATCCTCCCCTTCGAGCTCCAACAACCCACCAGCCTCCAACCTCCTCTTCCACTTGGTGCTCTCATACCTAGCCAAGATCATGGTCATCCTCAGTATTGCCTCCTTGCTGGAGTCATGCTCCTTGACGGCGTCCCCAACACGCGTAAATGTCCACCTTCCAAACGCCCAGTTGAGGATATACCTCGTATCCGGGCCTTCGCCCGCAAATGTAGGTGGTTTGGACACCTTCATATCCTCATCCGAGTTCTTCAACATCTCCCACGCTGCCTTTGCAGAAACCGTCAACACGGCCTTGATCCTATACACCTCCTCCCTGCTGGTATTCCTCAGGAAAGCCAACAACTTGTTCGCATCCACCGTTGCCGCCTTTTTGCTCTCCGAGCTCTTGAGCTCAACACTTAACACCTCCACCTCAGTCTGATGATCATGCTTATGCTTGTCGTCATGTCCACACTTATCATCATGAACATGTCCATCCCCCGTGCCAGTCTCTTCCGTAAAACCCCTCGCCAACCCACCATCAATCCCAAACACCACACTCATATCCACCCACCCCTTATCACTCTTCACCCACGCGGTATCCACCCCCTCCAAATCGCCCAGCCTATCCAAACACTCGTCAAACCTCCTCTCCCCTTGCCCCTCCCACTTATTAAACACAATCAGATCCGTGTACCTCGCCTGGATCTTGGCCGTGTAGCTGGTATCCTCATACCCCTTCCAATTCTCAACATCAATGACACTGACCACACCATCCAGCACGTACTGCCCGCCCGTTTCGCGGGCCAGCCTGTTCACTTCGAGCGCCAGCGTGGCAGGGAAGGCAGAGCCGGACGTCTCGATGACGATGCGGTCCGGCTGGACGGTCTGTTGCAGCTCAGAAAGCGCGACGGAGAGCTGCCCGACTAGGTTGCAGCAGATGCACCCGTTGAGAAGCTCGGAGACGCCGGCGATTGCTGACGAGGAGGCTAGCTGCGAGTCGACGGCTAGGTCGCCGAATTCGTCTTGAGAAGGGCTAGCTTGTAGGAGGGGTTGGCGGCGCGGAGCTGAGGGAGGAGGTTCAGGATTAAGGTGGTTTTGCCGGAGCCGAGGAAGCCAGTTATGATGGTTATGGGGATGGGGGAGTCGCGGGCCATTTTGGATGTGGTTTGGCGGTTGTCGCGTTATGTAACTGCGCCGCGTGGGAGGCAGGTGTCGTGGATAGGTAGGTTGGGAGCGCTTGAAAGGTCGAGTTTAGGACTGGGACTTGAGTTGCACAAGGAAGTCCGAAGGTCGGTTCGATCAATCGAGTGTCGTGGAGCTGATTTGGGGATATGCGACCTATTAATGTGGTGGAAGGTCAGGTTGTCGCGAGAAATCTCGGGAAGTTCAGGATTGCAGGATTGTGAAAGAGAGAACTTGAAAGATATATTGGTTTCTGGAACTTCCAGCATCATGGCTGCCCTGGAGTCGGGTCTTGCCGCCGCTTGGAGGGGCACGACTCAAGGTGGGCTCGTGGGCTGTTCTGGGCTTCCCGCTCGGGCTGGCCAGGCCTTAGCGATAAGATCGACAAGGCCGATAAGGACATCCTCCTCGACGTTAACTTGTAGTCGACGTTGGAATATGTCGTAGTGTTTATCGAACATGATACTCTCCGCTGTCATGGATCAAAACAATGTGGACTCTTTCTGCAGGAACAGACAGAATATTGGATTAAAAGTTCAGACGACAAAAGCAAAACACACACTGTCTATTCGCACAAGGGACTTTGTGACGTCATGCCCACCTACGTACCACTTACACCTCTGCTTGTTCTCTCAAGTTGACTGAAGAAGCCACGAACCGTTTCAAGAGTATCTCCGGTTCTTAAAGCATTCTAGATTGATTCCTCCATATCTGTACCCCTCAACACTACATCTGTTTCAAATATTCTCCGAACGTTGATACTACCCTACCAACAACCCATTTCTCAAGATCACCACCATGTCAACCAACCCTAACAACAACATCAGTCAGCCCGGCGCTGAGGGCCAGGACCCTTCAGACTACAAGCCCCAGCTCGACGAGATTGCCGAGAAGAAGTGGCAGGGACCCGAGGAACAACAGCCACCCCAACAAAGCGGAGGAATCGTAGACAAGAGTATGTTACTTGCTTCATCTTCCAACATCCTCCTCGCCGTTTATGACATACAAGCTTACATACTTTGTTACAAAAACAGTCGCCGAATACGTCCCAGCATCAGTTACCGAAAAGATTGGACTAGCAAAGAAGCAGCAACAACCCGAGAAAGAGGTTGAGGAACCGAAAGAGGACCTCAGCGCTGTACCACCGCACCGTCCCCATCACGACGAACAGATCCAGGAGTTTTTGAGGGATCAGCATCGGAGTAAGGAGATTTTGGGGGATGATGAGGATACCAAGGGGATTTGAGTTCTTGATTCTTTGAAGAGAAATACTAGCGAGCGAGCGAGCGAGCGAGGAAGAGGTTGAAGTCCAAAAGTATGATGTTTGAAAGCTACCAAGTATTATCACATGCTTACTCTACATACAACCTACACGTTGGACTCTTGTCAATCGTCTTACTTGTCTTTATCATAAATCGCCATACTTTTGATATCATCCGTCCTCTGTCTTTTTACAGCCATGCCAGCAATAACAGCACCGTCGATCCCTCTTTTCCAGGTAGTACTTATCAAGGCGGCCCGCATGAAGACTCAACGACAGGTTCCGGGACGTCTCCGGCGTGCCGAACGGACAGGAAGCGTCAGCCCCGCCCCCGCTTTCACCACGTCCCTCTTGTCGTCTGAGTCGTCCCACCGTTCTCCTCTCCCAGTCTTCCGGCATCTGGCTACTCGGGCTCCTATGTTTCAAAACCGTTCGTAATCCCAACATAACTCAGTTTGCCCAACTGACATCGAATGGTCCTGACTTCAACTTTGCCCCTGATCCACTGATCTTCCATCGTTTATTATCCAAACTTGCTTCTTTGCTGGAATTCGGGCAGTGCGGCTTAACAGACCCAAAAGAAACCCAGAACATCCCGGACTTTCCACTTCGTCATCGTTTCTTGGTCATCTGCATATCGATAGATACCCTGAGCGTCAACCCCGGTTTCTTATAATTGCAAACAAACATTTCCCCTTACACCTCTTCATCTGATAGATTATCCCCATTCTTCATATCACCAGTCCATACATAACTCAATAGTTTGGTCTGATTCTCTCTTGCTACATACATACACACCAACCTCACTTACACTTCTACCCACCACCACAACCACAACCACCACAGCATCAACACCAAACAAACCAAACACCATCCACAACCTCATCCCCAGAACCTCCCGCCAAAATGTCAAACAGACATTTCATCAACGACCCCAACCACCTCGTCCTCACAGCCCTACAATCCACCACCCTCCTCAACCCGGGCGTCGCCCTCGACACCACCAACAAAATCGTCTATCTACGTCCCGGCTATGGCTCCTCTTCCTCCTCCCACAATGCCTCCCATCAAAAACAAAAAGTCTCCTTGATCAGCGGCGGCGGCTCAGGCCACGAACCCTCGTTCTCCTCAATGGTCGGCCGCGGTCTCCTATCCGCTTGCGTAGCCGGCACCATTTTTGCTAGTCCGTCTGCGGAACAGGTGAGGAGGGCGATCATGGGTCGTGTGGACCACAACTCCCTTTCTACCGATCATGGGGATGGTGATAATGAGCGGGGTGTACTAGTAGTAGTAATGAACTACACAGGCGACGTCCTCAACTTTGGTCTCGCCGTCGAAAAAGCCAAGGCCGCAGGCGTTAATGTGGAAATGGTAGTTGTCGGCGACGACGTTGGTGTCGGACGGACCAAAGCCGGTAAAGTCGGAAGACGAGGGATTGCAGGCACGGTGTTAGTGCAGAAGATTGCTGGTGCGTTGGCTAGCCAGGGGAGGTCACTAAAGGAAGTGACAATGGTGGCGAACTTGGTTGCGGACAATCTGGTCAGCGTAGGCGCCAGCCTGGAACATGTGCATGTCCCTGGCCGGCGGGCGGAGACGCACGGGGCGGAGGATAAGACGCTGAAGGAGGGCGAGGTGGAGATTGGCATGGGGATTCACAATGAGCAGGGGTCGAGCAGAGAAAAAGGGATCGGGTTGCGGGAGCTGGTGGGCAAGATGTTGAAGCAGCTGTTGGACCAAAGCGACAAGGACCGGGCGTTTTTGGAGGTTAATTCCAACGAGGTCGTTTTGCTGGTGAATAACCTCGGAGGCGTCAGCCCGTTGGAGATGGGCGGGATCGTGACTGAGGTGGTCACGCAGCTGGCGGACAAACCGTACGGGATCAAGCCCGTGAGGACTCTCAGCGGCACGTACATGACCAGCTTGAACGGGTTGGGGTTCAGCATCTCGTTGCTGAATGTCGTGAACACGGATATTGGCGGGCCAGGCATGATCGAGCTGCTGGATTACCCGTGCGAGGCGCACGGGTGGACGGCGCCCATCTCGAAGCTGACGTGGGAGGAGCAGCGGGATAACAAGCAGACGCGGGAGAACGACGCCAAATCCGAGGAGGAGGTGAGAGCCTGCGGTCTGACGTTTGCGCAGCCCGAGAAGGCGCAGAAGCAGCTGGTTGCTGGACTGAAGGCTGTCATTGCTGCCGAGCCCGAGGTCACCAAGTATGACACCACGGTGGGCGACGGTGATTGCGGCATCGGTCTGAAGCGCGGTGCTGAAGGTATGTCTCCTCTTTCTCTTCCTACCTTAAGTAACAGCCCCCTTTTTTTTTGTCTGATTACTAACAAAAAGCCAGCAATCCTGTCCCATCTCAACAAAAACCCCCTAACAGGCGACGCAGCCATCGACCTCTCCAAGATCGTCACCGTGGTCGAGCAAACCATGGACGGCACTTCGGGAGCTCTCTACGGCATCTTCCTCAACGCCCTGGTCGCCTCTCTCCATACTGTTGGCGGCGGAGGAGGGGAGTCAGACAAAAAGGCTGTCGACGGTAATGCCTGGGCCGCAGCGCTCAAACTGAGCTGCGAGGCCCTGTCCAAGTACACGCCCGCTCGTCCCGGTGACCGCACGCTGATCGATGCCCTCTACCCCTTTGTCGATGCGCTCGAGAAGACGGGTGATGTGAAGAAGGCGGCTGAGGCTGCGAAGCAAGGAGCCGAGGGCACCAAGGGTATGAAAGCCAACTTGGGCCGCACCGTCTACATTGGCGGGTCTGGGTTCGAGCAGGTGCCAGATCCCGGCGCTTGGGGATTGGCCAAGTTCTTCCTTGGACTGGCCGGGATTGAGAAGTCTGATGGTGGTGGTTCCTCCAATGCTAATAAGCAGGCGAAGGGATCGGATGATGGATGGGAAGAGGTCTCAAAGGAGGCTGAGCTGCCGTGAGATTGTTTTTGTCCATGATCTTGATCTTGATATACCCCCAGGTTAGGTAGTTAGTTTGCACACACATCATATTTCAATGACGTACCACGAATGAAACCATGATAAACATACCATTTTGAGGCTTGAGATTGTTTCTGTATATGATCTTGATATGCCCTTGAGGAGTAGTTAGTTTGCACACATCAACTCAATGACGTACCATGAAACCATGATCAAAGCTCCAGCCGTAGTAAGAGGCACGAAATCATGAAGACGTACGCGAGAACCTTAACACGGTCTGGGTATTCTGTTTGTTTGATCAAGTTACCAGAAATATAAAACACAACAAAAACCAAATACACGTTCAAACGCCGAGCTCACAATAGTTTTCCCTTTATATGACCTTTCTTCTTATAGCCCCCTTGAAAATCTGCTTGGGTTTATCCTCTTCTTTCCTCTTCTCTTTCCTGCGCGGCGCCTTTTTGACGGGGAGAACTTGCTGCTTTGGTGGTTGTGTCGTCATCATTGTCGATCGAGCAGCCGAGTAGCAGTAGTAGTAGTAGTAGTAACGTGGCTTCCGTGGTAAGGTCCGCATGCCTCTCGATTCGATCGAACCTGCCCGGTCTCATCCATTTGACCCATTAACCCGTAAAGTTGTGTTGCGCGCGCGTGCGTTCGCCGTGCGAGTGGGAAAAAAACAAAACCCTCCAAACTAAACATCTTGCCGTCGTGTAGATTCGAAACTAGCTTAGGAGGACAAGGATGACGGAGTCGCCTCTCAGGAACCTGTCAGGAAAAAAAGTGAGTAAGTCAGCCTGTTGATCTTTCCTTCTTCAGGTCTGGGAGAGAAGAGAGAATAAAGAGATTCCACAAACATCTTGCTGATAAACCTGTCCTTGTTTACCGGCTTGCCCTTCTTGCCGTTGGCGAGTCGGGGCGTCTCGGTCCACATCTCCTTGACGTTCTCCAGCACCATGTTCATGTGGCGATCGAAAGCTTTGACGCGCGCGAGGATCTTGCGCCCGTTGCGGACCGAAATGAGGACTTGGGAGTGGCTGCGGACGGCGGTCTGGAGGATGGACTGTTTACATGTCATGTTAGTCTCGGCTTTGTTCTTGTTTCACAATAGGCTGAAAGGGTAATAATATGTATGTACCAGAGGACCGGCGGAGAACTCGTGCTCTTCGAGGAGAGAAACTTCGTATTCACTGCGTCAAACGAGCAAGTTAGCTTCTTTGCTGTTTGACTGGACAGGCAGGCGTCATGGTCTCGGGTCGCAGATAGGAGCTGGGAGTAGTAGCAAGGCCGGCAAGGTGTCCGATGAAAGCAGAGGGCGGCATTGTTGACGAGAGGAGGGTGTAACGTACGTAAGCTCATTGCGAGGCTTCGTGAGAAGCTCCCTAAAAAGAAGACGTCTGTTAGTCAAGCTGGTCTCTTTTGAATCGTCCATGGGCTGCGCGCGCGCATGGGTTAATGAATTGCTGGAGGATGGGATAGCTACTAACTGAATCTTTGCGTCTGCTGTAGCCATGACGAATGTGTTTTGGTCTGGAGTTGGGTTTGGTGGTAGTGGAATATGGACGAGATAGAAAAGTCGTAGTTTCGTGGTTGAGTCTGGAAAGGTGGTTGTCGAGTTGGAGTTGTTGTTTGGATGTGGATTTGGTGGTTGGTGGTGGATGGTGGATGGTAGACGCCCGGACGATAGTTGCTGTAATGGATGCTATCGCTATCGATCATCAATCCACGAAATGTTGCAGCAGCGGGCGGCCAGGCGCGGCGGCGAGCGTAGAGCTGCACACGCGCCAAGCTTTTGGGGACTTGTCTCCAACCATTGGATGAGAAGCTTCAAGTGGATCCAATGCGGAAGGCTGAGGGCCGCTCCGGTGACAGATGTTGCCGGGACATCGGGGGTCAGTTGGGCGGAGGGTCCGAGCGTCAGTTCTAGAAAATGGTAGGTCTGAATGGATACCATCGGCCGGAGGTCCCGTCATTCCAATTTCTACAGCGATAGCGGATTCGGCAGATTCCACAGCTCCAGAGGTAGCTCCCCCGTAACCCCGCCCCGGGGATTCCATAGAGGCCACTGTATCAATCAATTGAACCGAAGCTGGAGCTCCCGTCCAATTCGACTGAATTCTGGAGCAGCAAAAAAGTGGGTTTTATTTGCAGATACGCTCTCTCGCTATCACTTATCACGGTTCCTGCATCCACGCGCGGCATTCCATTTGCGATCGCCCTGTCCATTCAGTTCTCACTTTCCCCAGGAAAACGAATCCCGAAAAAGTTGCCCTTGCAAGTCCCTTGGCTGGTCAATGATGCAACAGCGGTGCTAAACAACAGCCTCGGGGTGGATTTTGGACTATTTTTCTTCCATTCAACAGTTCTTGCATTACTAGTTATCCATGTTGTTCTCCAAGTCCATTGCCAGCCGCGCCGGCCTGGCTTCTGCTGTTGCTTCTCGCAGCTGCTGCCGACCAACCTCCCTCGCCGCCATGCCGCTCAGAGCCAAAGTCCTGTCGTCAGGCCAGAAGGCCCCAGTAAGACTGCTCCTTCTATCTTGTTAAAGACGCCGAGATGGACATGCACACAGCTAACTCGCTCCTCCCCGCCCCCTCCTCCCAGATCTCGACCCAAGCCGCCGCCGAGTTGTTCAAGCCCGCCGAGGGTGACGAGCCCGAGGATGTCCTCTTCAACAGTCTATACAACCTCCGCTCCATCGAGCTCAACCGCCCAGCCAAGTACAACGCCCTCAATGGCTCCATGATCCGCAAGATCGCGCCCCGTCTCCTCGAATGGGAACGCTCCGATATGGCCAACGTCATCGTCATCAAGGGTGCCGGAGAGAAGGCCTTTTGCGCCGGTGGTGATGTTGCCGCCCTGGCCGAGCAGAACGCCAAGGGCCCCGAGGGTGTCCAGCAGTCGGTCGACTACTTCGGCCTTGAATACAAGCTCAACCACCTGATTTCCACCTACACCAGGCCCTACGTGGCTATCCTCGACGGCGTCACCATGGGAGGTGGTGTTGGTCTCAGCATCCACGCCCCCTTCAGAATCGCCACCGAGCGCACCGTCTTCGCCATGCCCGAGACCAAGATTGGCTTCTTCCCCGACGTCGGCGCTTCCTTCTTCCTTCCCAGGATGCCTGGCCAGGTTGGCACCTACCTCGGTCTCACCAGCGCCATGCTCAAGGGTGTTCAGGTCTACTATGCCGGCATTGCCACCCACTACCTTCACTCGAGCAGTCTTCCTGCCCTGGAATCCCGCCTTGCCGAGCTTACCCCCATGGACTACTGGACCATGGAGCAGCGCCTTAGCGTCATCAACGACACCATCGAGGAATTCTCCACCGGTGTTCCCTACGACGAGAAGATCCATATTAGCGGCCCGGTCCGTCTTGCGATCGACCGTTGCTTCAAGTACAACACCATCGATGAGATCATTGCCGCCCTCAAGGAGGAAGCCGCTCGGGGAGGCGTTATGGGCTGGGCTAAGAACACCTTGGAGGAACTCACCCAGCGCTCCCCTACTTCTCTCCATGTTACGCTGCGTCAGATGCGCCTCGGCAAGACTTGGGACATTGCTAGCACCTTCCAACGCGAACACCAGATGGCTGCCAAGTTCATGAAGTCTCACGACTTCAATGCGGGCGTCAAGGCATTGCTCATCGACAAGGGGCAAAACGGGCCCGTCAAGTGGAGCCCAGCTTCGCTAGACGAGATCCCGCCTGGTGCCAACATCTCTGAGGATTACTTCATGAGCGACCCCGAGCTTCCTATGCTGAAGCTGCTCAACGGCAGATCCTACCGGCAGTATCCCTACAACAAGTTCGGCCTGCCCAACGACCACGACGTCAGGGAGACTATGGAGAAGGGCAACTTCACCCGGAAAAGCTGATCGACCACTTTGTCGAGACCAGGCGCGGCAAGCAGGGTGTTCGGGAAGTCGTTTCCGACGTCCTGGAACGCAGGGCCGTTCGGAACAAGGGTACTGACGATGTCCAATGGAAGAAGGAATAGAAAGGACATAGACGCTAAGAAGTGGTCGGAGAAATGCTCGTTGTATGATAACCCGCCGTGTTGATGATGACGATTGCCCCCCCATTCCCCGCCAGGCTACCTTGCTGTATCAGTGGTCCATCTGCCGCTTCCGTGTCGTGGATTTCCCGGATATGTAAAACCAAGGTCCGCTCAGCGTTACTCTTACGGATGATCTCCGGAATCCGATTATATCTCCCCTGAGCAGATCGAATGCCAAGGAACAGCATCTACCGCACTGTCGACCAAGTCCAGGAGATCGTTATATTCTCCACCATGTCAGTCTCAGTGGCAGATTGAACAGAATTCTCTCAAAAACCGTGCCTGGCATGCCAAGCTATTACAGCGGCGTTACTTGATGTGATGGGTAAGTTCAATTAAGTAAGGTAGGTATAAAATCATAGGTGTTCGTGCTAAAAGGTACCTGACAGGGGGGTTTTTACTTTTGCACGGAACCACAGTACAGTTGCCCGACTTTTTTTATACCGTATATCATGTTAAAGCGTTTTAGCTTTCAATAAATCTCACTCCGCCATACCACCGCTAATTTCACCTGTACACTAGACGGCTCAGAATACTCCTGTGGAATCTGTGCTCGCTGCTGCCTTGGATGCTTGCCCGCTAGCCATCCAAACCCTTGAGATTCAGGTGCCGTTCGTTCCACGGGACGGTGACCCACCAAAAGGGTTGGGGATGTGGTGGAAAATATATATATCTTTACATCGGTCCCGGGTCCTGTCGTACCTTACCCCTTTACTATCTACTGCCTGACAAGATATCTTCCCAGTACGAACCAAGATGGACGGCACACCTCCGACCGTGACGCTCACTACTCCCTTTGTCCCCAACCCGACATGTTATCAAACCGGGCATTTGAGTCAAATATCCGATTTCTCAGCATGCTACACTGAACAGGGAGCAGTTACCTGCCAACGGGCAACCTACGGCCCTGGGTACGATCAAGAGGATACGCCGAACACTGGTTGTTTTCCAGATAAAACCAAGACTGCCCTCACAGAGTGCCCTGCAGATCACACCGTGGCACGTAGGGCATTCCACATCTATACGCGATGGTCGGGAACCGGATACGCTACTGCAACAGTACAATATTGCTGTCCGACGTAGGTAGAAGATTCATTCGGCATTAACAAGCAATGGAAGAGTATGTACTAACCGTGGCGGCGGTTACGAACAGTGAATTTGACTTCTTCGTTAACCCGACGTCAAAGATCCCCCGGCTCCAGCCAGATGGGAGCATCAAGTGGTCTGAGATTATGGCTCGCGACCGCGATCAGGGCCTTTGCTTCGCCACTTCTGTCAAGCAGTTCAGTGGCACCGACCACCCGGTGACAGTGACACACGCGCAGATGCCAGCCATCTGGGATCTCAGTCCCGCAGAGCAAGACGAAGTCACGGATGGACAGAACTACGAAAGCAGACTTCGTAACAGTGCCAAAGTGGTCACGGCGGCATGGGACTACCACAACGGCGTCCTTGTCGCGCAGCCGCAAGAAGTCTTCAACTACGTCCACGGCGACGTAACCTACTGGGGCTACTACTATTATCATAATAGATTTAGCGCTAACGATTTGCCGGCGTCGCGGACGGGCGTCGCGGCCATGGGTACACCTACGGCCACGGCCACAGCCACGACCACAGCAACTGCCGAAGGGTTGGTGAAAGGCCCCAACGAGAAGGATGGCGATGGTAGCATTGCTTCGGCTACTTCCTCAGAGACTGTGCCTTCATCCTCTTCTACCAGTGCCGGGCACCAGAGTCTAAAGCTCAGTGGCATTATGCTGTGTGCTTCAGTCATGTGTAGTCTTGGACTTTTCCTCAGTACATAGTGGTATCATCGGCGTCTGGCAGTTTAAAGACCGTCTCGACATATCTCAGACCAGACGTATTTATCCCCTAGACTTAATGATTGTAATGACAACCGCATCATTTCACCCCGGCCCTTCTTCTTCTCATCCCCTCCACCCCGAGGCATCGTTCCCACTCCCTTGATGATAAAACCCTTTATACAACTCCCCAAAAACACTTTCACTCACACTTCCTCCACCTTTACCTTCACCTTCACCTTCCCCCTGACCCTGACCCCGACCCCGACTTTCCAAAGCCCTCTCAACCAACCCCCCCGGCCCCCAGGGCTTCCCAAACTCCACCATCTCCCCCCCTTTCAACACAGCCACCAGATCAAACCGTTCAATATACGTCAACCGATGCACCACGGCTATAACCGTATGCTCCGCAAACTCCCCCTCAATAACCTCCTGCATCACCTTTTCCGTCTTCTCATCCACGCTACTGGTCGCCTCATCCAGCACCAAGATTTTTGTGTGGCCCTTCATCAACACCGCCCGCGCCAGCGCCAGCAGCTGCAGTTCGCCCACTGACCACTCGGACGGGATCAATTCGGTGTCGAGCGTCGTTTTTTGTCCACTTTTCTGTCCCTGTCCCTGCTCAAGGCCGTTGGAGGCAGTCACGCGGCCGGGAAAGAGTGTAACCAGTCGAAGAACCGATTCCATCTTTTCTTTTGCTTCTGCTTCGGAGAGGTGGGAAAGGTAAGAAAAAGGGTCGAGGTTAAAAGCCAAAGTGGCGTTGGGTATGAAAAAGGGGTCTTGGGGGATCACGTTGAAGATGCGGCGGGAAAGAGGGATTTTATTGGTGGACAGATTGAGGGCGTCGATGGTTATGGAGCCGGAAGAGAGCGGGATCATGCGTAGCAGGGAGAGCAGGAAGGTGGTTTTTCCGGAACCGGAGGGGCCGATGACTGCGAGCTTGGAGCCGGCGGGGATGGTGAGGGTGAGATTTTTGAGGGCTGGGGGGCCTGAAGAGGAGGTGGCGGGGCTAGATGATGGGTGATGTTAGTTTTGTCTTGTTTGTTTACTTTATTCAGGGGTAAACACGACGAATTCGAAGGGGTGGGTGGTGGAATGGATACATACCCGTATCTGGCACAGATCTTTTCGATCTCGATCTCACCCCTGGAAGGCCATCCCGCCAGTCTATCACCATCACCTTCTCCATCTCCTTCTCCGTCATGGTCATAACTCGCGGCCGCCGGATCCTCCTCCTTGGGCGTCGTCCTAACAAAGTCCCTCACCCTCGCCACCGCCCCAATCGACGTCTCCAGCCTCGTCCACGCCTGCAACGTCTGCACAATCAGCTCATTAAACGTCATCACCAGCACCAAACTCACGCCCAGCGCCCGGCACTAACGGCGGCCGCCTTCTTCTTGTTCGACCCTCCTTTATCATCCATGTCCGGATCCGGCGCGACACCCACAGCAACAGCAACCAACACGACCGCCATCCCGCCCACCACCAAATCCAGCACCAGCGCCAACCACTGCTGGATGCACGCCAGCATGTAAAACGGCTTCTGCGCCTGATCCACCATCTCCCCAAGCCCCCTTTGCCATCTTTCAGTCCATCCAAACGCGCGAATGGTGACTACGCCGCCGCTCGTCACCGTCTCGAGAAAGTGCTTGTACACGGGCGCCTTGGCTTCGATGTCGAGCAGACGCAGCTGGCGCGACGAGCGCAGGTAGTATTTCTGCACGAGAAACAAGGTCGCGCCCAAAAGCGGGACGGCGGCGGCCAGGTATTTCCCCAAAACGCACAGGATGATGAGCTGCACGAGAGCGTAGGAGCCCGCCGAGGTGAACATTATGGCTTGGATGGGCAGGGTCATGTCTATTAGGTCCATGTCTTGGGAGAAGCGGTTGGTTATTGTGCCGGTGTCTTCTGGACTCGGTGTGTTGTCGTTCTCTGGGGTTGAGTCTGTGAGTGACGATGACGACAGGGAGAAAAACGAGAGCGGAGCCGACAAAACCGAATTCAAAAGATCGGTGTGAAGAGATAATGCCGTGTGGCTGATGATGTTGATCAGAAAGATGAAACATTCGCCTACGGCGCCGCTTTGGGCGAGCACGACGAGGAGCGTGTAGATGCCTAGGTAGTAACCTAGATTCGGGCGCGGATCGGGGTTGGAGGCCGAGGGGGTGCTGGCTGAGCTCCAGGTGGATATCCAGATGGTCATGTAGTTGGATGTGATGGCGCCCAGGACGGTGAAGAAACCCCAGAGGGAGAGGCTGAGGGCGCCGGCGCTGCGGGCGTAGTAGGCGTAGACGGACCAGCTGCCCTGGCGACGTTCGAGGTTGGGTGGCTTTGGTGGTTGTTGTTGCGTTGTGTCTAAAGGCTTTGGTGTGGTGCTGGAGGTTTTGATATCTCTTGGTGCCGCTTCATCTTCTGCGGACTGCCCCTGCTGCTCCCCGGACACAATGGCATCGTCGTCGGTCATGACCATTAGCTTGAGGTCACCTCGCGATTGGATCTCGCTGTATGGGCCAGTGTCCGCGATCTTTCCGCTCTTGAGCACTACTATCTCGTCCATGTAGGGGAGGAGGCGCGCTAGAAGGAGACCAGTCAGTCCAGTGACGGGAATTAAGCATATCAGTATCAGGAGAAGATGGGACTTACTGTTATGCGTGGCAAGTATAACCGAAACACCCGCCTTACGAAGTTGGCCTTGCCTGCTAAACAGCCTCGTAGTAATTTCCTTGGCAGTCGCCGGATCCAGGCCACTCATGACATCGTCAAGAATAATAACTGGAGCACGAGAGTATACGGCTCTGGCGAGGGACACTCTCTGCCGCTGCCCTCCGCTCAACGACGAGCCGTTCGTTCCGGCAATTGTTTGGTCACCCGCGATCATGCTCTCGAGATCACGCTGAAGCCCGCATAATAGGATACACGAATCGTACCACTTCTGGTCGATCTCATAGTCCTCGATGCCGCCCGTGATGTTGCGGCGGATGGTGTCGTTCATGAGCCAGGCTGCTTGTGGGCAGTAAGCTGCCCGGGAAAAGTTGGTGGCGACGGATCCGCGCTTGACGGTCGTCTCTCCCACCAAGCTCTCCAGAAGCGTAGACTTGCCAGAGCCAACAGGACCGATAATGGCTGTGAACCCCGGCTTGATAGCCAAGTTTACATCTTGCAACACCGATTCGGTGGCATCCGCTGACCAGGAGACATCGGCAGATATAAACGAGGCGGGTGTTATTCCTGGTGTTGTTGCTGTTGTATCAGAGGCCAACGGTCTCACGCTCCTTAGCTCTGTTCCACTCTCGAAAGAAGAGGCTCCCGCCGCCGAGGACAAGTTATTGTCCGATTGTTTCAAACCCTGTTTAGTCAGATATGTCTCGATACGCCCGAAACATGCCACGGCCTGCATCGCAGCCGGGAAAGCTTGACAGAAAATAAGCAAGGGCCCTGTCAGCAGGTTGATGAGCGAGAGGGAGGCGAAGGCTTTTGCTGCTAGCAGGTTTTGATCTTTCTTCACTGCGGACATGATGCCGTAGACGACGAAGGTCGCGTAGGGGGCGACACCATTTGCTGGTGCGTTGGCTTTAGAGGTATGCGTGTATTAGCTTTGTGGTCCAAGTCCTTGTCTTAAGCAGGAATTAGAGCATCCTTGGTTGACTTACAAACTTGGATCGTCCAGAGTAAATACTTGCGGAACTTCTCTGAAGTCTTCAACTCGGCTCTGCGTAGGCCGTCGATGATGTTGCCTAGCACGCCGGTGAGTCCCAGCATCTTGACGGCTTTCATGTCACCGAGCATGTTGGCCGTGACGGCGACTCGCTTTTGAACTCGTTCGTTCCATGCCGCCTGCGCAGGTCCGGTGCCTGCTCCGATGAAGGATGCTCCGACGACGCATACTGAGAAAAGACAAGGCAAGTGTCAGTCTAATGCCTTGGTAAGATGGGGTAGTATCGAGTTTAACTTACTTAAGCAGATCACCAAAGGAACCATAGCAGCATACGACACCTGGCGAGCCAACAACCAAATGGCAATACCAACAGCCGGTATCGATGCCCACAGTTCATGAACGTTCTTGATGCTCGTAACGATGCGTTCCACATCCGTTCCCATCAGAGTGACTGCCGCAGAATCCTTGACGTCAACAGCCCGGAGAGCAGTGGTATGCTGATAAACCATAGCAATAAGCCCCGACCGAATTCGCGCAATCATCCGGTTCGCTTGTCGCCAGTATATTGCCCTTGAAACCTACACACATCAACAGTCGTCAGCATATCAACCCGGTCAGGAATAACGGCAGCGATGATTCCACTCACAGCAATACCAACATACAACAACACAAACCCGCCCACCAACGCTCTGCCGTAATAAGCCGGTTGAGGCGCCTCGTCTTCATTTCCATCTTCTCCGTATTTCTGCTCCCTCGAAGCCAAATACCCAACCACCGCCTCGATCAGAAATGGTTGACAGAGACTAAACCCCATGAGCGCCAACCTCGGCACCACAGCTGACCAAAAAGGCCATTTGTTGGCCTCGTACGTCGCGCGGATCAATATCCATCCCTTTTCCTTCTTTTTCCCCTTCCCGCCATCCTCCTCCTCTTTATCTGTCTTCCCTTTCCTCATCACCTGCTCCCCACCACCAGCCCCATTCCCCTCTCTTAGCCGTGCCTGTGCCCGTACCCGTACCTGCAACCGTCTAAAAACCCCCTCCACCTCCCCCCCACAACTCTCAACCCTCAACTCCCCATCCACACCGGGTATATCCCCCATGCCCAAAATCTTTTTATACCCGACCTGGAAAAACGGTAACAGCCAGACGAAAAACCCCCTGCTCCAAAACCCGGCCGTCTGTTCTTTCGTGACGACAACATGTTTGTATCGCGGCTGGAGCAGGGAGAACTTGCCGAGGGATTCGGTGATGGCGACGAGGGTTGTTAGACTGAAGATAAAAGTCCAGAGGATTTGTAGGGGTAGTAAGTGGGGGATGGGGCTAGGGGAGAAAAGCAAAAAAAGGGTGCGCAAGCGAGGGATGAACAAGATGGTGGAGGCGGAGAAGTAGATGACCAGCAAGTCGGAGGGGTGGATGGTGCGTTGATCTTCGAGGAGGGAGAGGAGAGCAGAGGAAAGGAGGGCGATGGTGGTTAGGATTGTGGCGGGGAGGGAGAGGACGGTTTGGATGGATTGTATGGAGGAGGATTTGGTGGTGTAGATGGTGTTGAGGAGGTGGAGGATCAAGAGGGCTGAGAGGAGTGTCTGAGGTAAAAGAAGTTAGCCGTCTGTGGTTCTAACTACTTTATCTGTGTTTGTGGCGGTGGTGGTGGTGGTGATGAAGGACAGAACTTACCAGCTTTCCAATAGCCAATCTCCTCGAGGTGAGTTTAACTGGACTCTTCCATAACGTCCAGAACCGCCATGGAACAAAAAGAAGAAACAAAACCGCTGGAAGAAGCATGAAGAAGCCATCTTCGAAGAGCAAAGTGAAGTCAAACTCTCGACATGCTGCATCGACCTGGGGACCGAACTGTTTGTCTGCCTCAAGTCCAGATGGACACGAGGCATCGCCGGGCAGCAGTGGTGATGCCATGATGTCCGTCCGTCCGTCCGTCTATGCCTCTCTCTCTAAGTTGATGTTGGTGACGATCAGGATGCGAATACCTTCATTCCTACTGCCTAAGTCGCCTTAAGTTTTGATGACTTTTTCTCAGGACATATCTTCCTTATACGTTACTCGCAACTCCAACATATCAGGGGCGTATGAATCATGATAACTTTGCACTGACTTATAGGTAGGTAGGTATGCGTAAGCTCGCTAGCCCCCTGTCAGTCTGGCACAGGAAGGATGACATGATAGCAGCGCTCAGGTCGCTTGCGCGTCGGCAGCGGCCAACAAACTCTCTATATTGAACTGGATTAGGAAGGTGAGTGTAACTGGAACTTTTGGCCGAATCACCGCTGTTTCTTTTACATACCCTGGGGATAAGGCCTACGCGTTCTGGACCTTGCAGTATTACGAAGCTGTCCACGTAAGCCCGTTCTGGTTCTGGCTTTCTGGCTCTCGGTTGTTTGCCCTGCGTTTCGGTTTTCTTCTGTTCATGTGGTAGACTTTTGTAGTTCACATGTCAAAGCCCCTGAAGGTTTGTTGTTGACATTTGAAGATTTGGCCCCCTTGCTTTGACGGAGTGGCTTAGGGACTCGTCAGCGTAACTTTGGTGAAAAGACGGAAGCATTCAATTCAAACCCACCTGACGGTCTAGGGAGGATCGTTGATTGTTCCTGGGTACTGTTGCTGCGGTTTCGAAATTCGTTGACAATCAAGGAATCACGGATCTGCTCGAATAGACCGGACCCTTCGTGACAAATTTTTCTTGGTCTATCTATCTATTCATCTATAACAGACAGAAGCATCACAATCGCTCTCTACCTCAGATTCATATCCATGCTCTTGACACAAGTCCACAGCACAACCGGCACCACCACATTATCATTACCTCCCGTCAACACCGCCTCCGTGAGCGATGCCATGCAAGCACATGCCGCCGTCTTGACCACCGTCGTTGACCACGACGCCTGTGGCAGTTGTGAGAGCCCTTCCCATAGCCTCCCCATTATATCCATCACTAGCTCACCCACGCCCGTGCCCGTGCCCACTTCCAAGCTATCATTAAGTACCGCCTCCTGGGCAACCGTAGATGGCATACCATCAGTCGAGGGCCAGCCCCCAACGAATAACCAAATATTAGCCGTCATCAACCCCACAAACACCGCTGTCGCAAACGCAATACTCCCCTCGATGCTCTTGCCGCCTCCCCAAAGCCACTTCCTGTGACCCCATCTCCTTCCGATCAGGGAGGCTGCCGCATCACCGAGTCCCACGCATACGACTCCGGCGACCATGCTGATGTCCCGGAGCGGGACCTCCCATCCTACCAGAGGCCCTTCTCCGACGCGTGGAAGTGCGGCTAAGCTGAGCCAAAGAGGGATGGCGCATCCGATAAGAAGGAAGATGTGCGAGATAACGACGGGGCCGCGGAGATCTCTGCCGTCGACGTAGGGGGTGAGGAACTGGGCGATAGGTGTCGAGAGCGGAGGGAGCTGGCTCGCTCGGAGAAGGTCAACTAGAAGGAAGACGGCGAGAACAATCGACAAAGCCAGGGCGATGTAGGTTGGGTCAATGAAGATGGTAGGTAGAAACATGGCGACCATCATGAAGTGAAAGACCTTCCGACGTGTATCGACCTCGTAGATAGGCGACAGGCGGAACACGACGGCGAGGCCGATTATGATGACGACAAGCCAATAGCCACTGAGGAGAAGACGAGTGTTCGCTTCTCCAAGGATAGACTGCCGGACGAACTGAACCCAGCCGCCCAAGGCGTCGGAAGCCTCGTCATCGGTCCGTATCGGGAGGCAGATCCATCTCTCGAGATCCGCCTTGACAATCTCGAGCCTGAATTCTGGAATATCGCCAAAAAGGTAACCAAGCGCCCACCCTACCGGCTCGTTTTCGGCGAGGGCGTATCGTCCCACATACTCTCGTACGCCAACCAAAATGACGATCAATATGCAAATGTAGACCCAGCCGGCGTATAGCCATTTCCTCACAGTGGCTTGTGCTTGTGTCAGGGAGAAGAAGGCGCGCACACTGGAGGAGGCAGAACGCTTCCGGCGACCAGAAGGAGTGCTGGTTTGGGACCGAACAATGCTGGCGATTTTGCCTAGAGAAGGCAATGTGTGCCTTCGCGGGGAGAACTGCTGCGGTGATGGCGGCTGCTGTACATCAAAGCGAACATCGACACCGTTGGTCTGACGAAGCGAGTTCTCTTCAGCGCTGCTGATGCTATTCTCCCTTGTCCTGCCTTTCAAGAAGCTCGCATCCCAGGAAGGAGTTGCGGACCTTCGGTTGCGGTTATGGCCAGAAAGCCAATAGTCGGAGTCACTTAGTACCTCCTCATTGTCAGTTCTACCGTCAAAGTATGTACGTTTGGCAGATTTGAAGAACTTCCACAATCCAGACGTACTTCCAGCCTTGGGAATCGAAGGACGCTTGAAACGCCACTTCGGCACTCTGGCCAGAGATATGCCCCACTGGATGACTTTGCTACAAAGCACAATGATGCCGAGACCACCTCCCCAGAGAAGCGCCTTCAAGATGACCACCTGGGGAGATCGTGCCAATAAAAGGACGTTAATGAGGGCCACGGAGAGCAACTGCAGTTCGGCAATCAGAAGGCTAGTCGTGGTAAGTCGCTGTAAAAGCAAGCAGAGCGTCTGGTGCAAGGGATACAGTAATGTGAGGATCTCGGAATCCGTAGCAGAACTGCCCAGCACAAGAGGAATGCAAGAGAGAAGCCACTGTGTAGAACTGTACTCTTCCCAGTATCCCGCGCCGGGTATCAGCGGTCTCGGTAAAGAGCAGATGCTCAAGATCACGTTTGGCAACACAACACCCTCGACATTCTTTGCAACAAGAAGCGAGACGAACAGCGGTATAAGCTGTGGGTATAATGCCGGAGCAGGATCGAAGGAAGTTGGGACGGAAACGGGCAAAGGTTTCGACGGCTTGCCTTGGCGGTATGCCCAAGCTACGAGCCTCAGCGGGTAGAGGGCAAGTAGTGTCGAGAATAGCCAGCCGAACGCCGAGAGTTCTGGGGAAACTGGGTTAGCTGAGGTTATGACTGTAACAGCAAGAGCTCAATGTACCTTTTCGATGTGTCCGTATGAAAGGTTGCACGTCATAGTTTGACGCTACAAGCCACCCCTGACAAGCAAGCAGCAGTACCTCGGCACCACGGCGAACAACCTCCTTCCTTCTACGAGCTGTCTCGGCCTCACTTCTTTTTAGTCGCACGGAGATGCCGGATCTCGGGTTCAGGTCGGGGTCCCGTCCATCCTCGTCTATGGCGTTTGGAGAAAGTAGGGGTGTTGATGTTCCTGACAGCGGCTCGTTCCTCCCACGTAATCCCTTATGTAACCGAGTTTTGGGAGCCGGCAATCCCTTGAGGAAGTGTTCATCGTCCGCTTCGGTACCGCTATCGCTCGCCTGGTTCGAGCTGTGTGGTGATGTAGAGGAGGGCTGGGTCTGTGACAGAGCCACGGTGGCTGCTCGGTGTATGAGTCGCTCGGAGGGCTCGAGGAGCTCGAAGCTCTGACGGTAGTAGGGTTTCGGCGTTCGTGTACCAATCGTAAGGTCTTCTTCTGGGTCTTGGCCCTCGTATTTGGTGTCGGTTGCGTGGAGAGTCGGAGAGTGGGATGGGGCTGAAGCTGGAGCTGGAGCTGGAGCTGAAGGTCGGAGATGCTCTGACATGGTCGAGGTTCTGAACTTCGTTCTTCGTGATTCGGGGTTCGGGCTACATCGAAGGGATGTCGGTAAGGGCGAGGATGGTGTGTTAAGGCCGTTTGGTAATCAATGGCTTGGATAGGTAGATTGACGAGCTGTTGAAGTCGTGATCGATGTGTTGTGTTGTGTGTGTGTGGATGTTGTTTGTTGGAAGAACAGGGAAATTGTTTGGGGACCCTGAATTGCGTAATCAACTATATTTCAGAGAGAGTTGTCCGGTGTAAAAGGCCACATGTTTTGATCCAATGCCTTGACAAATGTGACTGACGGGTAGCCTGACGCTAACAAATGGTATTTTCAAGATGGGATGGAATAGCTTGTTGTTTCTGTAGTATCGTCCACTTTGCTCTGGTCTTTCCAGAAGCTACACCCACGATCACATGAAAGAGAAATGCCCGGTCCAGCGAGGGGGAGGGGGGTACTGTAGCTTGGACGCGGTTCTGTCGGTGGTCGGAGCAAAGTGGCATGTTTGAGAGTCCCACCTCCATTTTGGCGATCCAGGAACACGGCGTGGGCGACAAGGTTCGTGCCGGGCTCAGTGACGGGAGGCATGCCCTGGGCCACTATAGCGCCACTGCACTGCAGGCCGCCGCTACCCAGCGCTGAGCCGCGAAAGCTTCAGCCACACAGGGCATTATATCGTGAGAACTTCAACGACACGATAAAGATATCCAGGTGTGTCATGGCGGGTGAGGCATGTCCAGGAAGCAGCATGGCGATCTCATCATGTGTAAGTGGCCGGATACTCAAACTTTTTGCTCAGCAGGATGTTATGATTGCCAGTAAGGTATCTCATGAGAACAACCATGAGCCATCCTTACCATACGCCTACCGCAATACCTACGGGAGGTGTTCTGTACGTACCCCAAGCCCTTCGGCCAACTCGCCGAATCCCATCTGCACCCTCCGAGATGAGGCTCTGGGGGACATCTCGGTTATTTGGTAGTATCGGGTGATTGCTTGAAGTGGCTGATGATGGCTTTGCTCACGCCCATGTCGGTAGATAACACCACCTTTCAGAATGTCAGTTAGGTTGCTCTCCAAGGTCTCAACACCGGGATGTATCGTGGTTGAGTTGAAGAGAGTCGTTCAAACTGTGATGATAACCTGGACGGAATGGAAGTCCAACGCCGCACCCGCCATAGTATCCCTAAACCTCACCGTCGAAAGACAAAACAAACCCGCCAACAAGACTCGAGTTCAATAATTCTTCAAAGGGAACTGAGTAAGTATAAACTCGGAGTGAACCGAGAGAGCACAACCCTACAGCGCCTCAGAGCCTACCTACCCCCCGAGCGACCAGCCGTTCACGTGTAGCCAATCGACCGTTGACAGTGGTGAGAACCGCCGCGTTGGTTCCGACTTTGAGACGCTGTACCCGGCCAATCGGAAGCCGACAGTGTGTCGCTGGCCGCGCCGTACTGTAGCCCCCGCCCCAAGGATCCGGGTTCAGCGGCCGTGCTCTTCCGGAATTGGACCGCCTGGGCCGACGACACTCATCACGATCGCTGTTGTTCAGAAGGAGTGGAGCACAGTGAATTATAATCCGACTGAAAGTGGTCTCCAACCGCCTGCAAGCGAGATGCAAAGTGAGCGACAGATACTCGACATGACTTTGTTGGTCATCAAGAAAGGAGGTTGAATTGTTCGAGCATCGGATGGAGGCCCAATATATTTTGTTAACAAAACAGCAAAGGACACCTTCCCGAACAAAATCAGCTGGTCAGTATCTATTGGAGATACAGCATAAAAGATGCACTCAGTCGCCCAACAGCACTGCATGTAATAGTATGTAAGATGGTGATAACACGGCCTGTTATGACCTCGTAACATGAGTTTTTTTACGCGATACCACTTCGGTGGGCCGATGACGTTAACGACTTGCACACCGAGCCAGGAAGCCAGCAGACAAGGACAAGAACACTTTGCAATTTCCACACCTCGGTCTGCCGCTCTGCCGCTCTGCCGCTGTTCTTGATAATCATTCGGAATTGCTTCAAAACTTTTGCCAGCCGTGCCAGCCTCGCAATTTCTGTAGGGACGGCCATCCATCACTTGCAGGACTGTAAGCACACCGCACCTGCTGTCAGACTACTCTTCGGTGGGGTTCAATCCAAGACAAAAAGCCTCGAGATAAGAGGTTGACAGTTCCGTCCATGCGGCAGTGGCGTTGGGATAAGGTCAGACTAAGTCGAACAGTGTGGATGCGCGGTAGATCGGATCACACTTCATTCAGCTTGTCAGCGCCAGAAGAGAGGAGACTGCAGAGCGGCGAACGGAGCGACGTCGGGTCATCCAGCCATCCAGCCCCTCTGTTAATAACAAAGGAAAAGAAAGGAAAAATACGTCGTGAGGGGTTCTTCGTTACAGACATCCAATGACACAAAACACATCGCTATTTCGGAAGAATAACATCAAAAATGGCATGGCTGGGAAATCTGGAAACAGACAACATTCGACCCGGCTGGAGGTAGCAGGTCCATACTGTAGGTTCTCTGCCAAGCTCAAAGTTTAGGTGATCCTCCCCGCCTCGTAACAAAGGAGCATCCAGTCCGTATCAGGAACCCGCCTCCCGTAATCGTGTGTATCCCTCACAAACCCGATCGAGCATGAAGCTCAATGAGGGAGGCTGTGACCTGCAGTGGCAGCTTTAGCACGTGGGATTGGTCCATTTAAACACGAACGAAGCATCAGATTTCTCGAAAGTACGAGGCCTCGGGAGTAGAGGAGTCTGGGCCCGCGCGTCTCTCGGGTAATGATTGATGCTGAGTGGAAGATTCCAAAAGGCCAAAGGTGTTTTCAGTTCAGTTCCCTCTTCGGCTTACTGATGTCGTGAAACCATCTCCTCTTTTGGGCAAGACAACCCCCCAAAGCCTGGGGGAGGGAGGTGCCGTGGCGCACAAATGGGAAGCAGGCTTCGTAGGAGCCCGTAGCGGTAGTCAAGCGCACCATCATGGCTTCCCGCGTCTTCTCTGGGTGGCCGTTTCAGCTTTTGCGAGCCGCAGAGGTTTCCAATCCTGGTGGGTTCGTCGGATTTCTTTGCTACCGATCAATCTTGGCGCTTGGAGTCTTGGGTTTCTGGGTGTGAACCTTGGCGGCTCCCAGGCACTCGTCTGAAAGATAGGTGACAGCTGCACCTTATCCACAGACAGCACCTCACCAAAAAGTAAAGCTCCCCTGCCCCTTGTCGCAGGCGTCCACTTACGCCATGTTGGTCCGATCAACAGAGGCTAAAGAGCGCCGCAACAACAACAGCCCCTGTATGCCGTCTCGCCGTAATAAACCACTCAATACGATTAATACGGGCCAGTGCCGTCATGATGGCAGGGAAAGTTACCATGCTGGGTACAAGCGAGGCAAGGAAACTCCAGCTTGGTCAGACCAATGGGCGGAAAGTTGGAAAATCACACAAGTTGGAAGAAGAAGGAGCTAGGGGGATCTTGGAGATCAAAAAGAAAATCTCCATCTTTATTTTCATGTACACTACAGACCATAACACCGTGGAGCCAAAGGAAGAGAGGCAGGAGCAACCTGTGCACAACATTTAAAAAGGCAACTGCGGAAAGAACAGAGCAAAGAAGGAAAGAAAGATAGCAAAAAGTCTCAGCCCCTGTGGTCGTTGTTGTCTCGGTAGTGCAACGTTAGCCAGGTAAGCATCAGCAAGCCCTTCCCTCCCTCACCCTCACCCTTTGAGTCGCCCTTTCTCCGCCAACTTCAGGTTTTCTGTCCCACCTCGCCCATCGTCACTCAACCAGTCTGAGCTCTGTGATGGCTCACGGCTTCTCCTCCTCCCCAGGCTCCCTTGCCATTCCCTTCCCGTTGGACTTGGAGGTTCTTGCCCTGTTTTTGTCTTGCTTGGCTTGACTCGAACGGTACGAGACAGGTACTGGCCGTTATTTCCGTTCTGCATCACGCATCTTCCTGAACCAGTTCCATACAAGAAAGATACCGAGTCGGGACGATCACAGTGCTTACAAGCCGATGCAGGACGACCGCACTAAAATAGTCTCCATTGACTCTCGCTGCAATCAAAGCTGTCTTCTCGTGGAGTCGGTCGACGGTTCTCAAGCTTTTTGAGTTTCAAGTCCTGCAGCTTCTTGATACCTTGACCGCAATCTTCACTCTCCAGGACCGGAACCCAGCCCTGACGGGACTCCAGAACGACCCCATCAGCCAGCAGCTTGCAGACGATTCCATAGGGCAGCCGCTGTTGATCGCCACACATCACCACCGTTGACCATCTCCATTTGCTGCAGGACAAGGCCACCCAGACTTCCTCTCTTTTCTCGGCAAGCCACCATGGGGCAAAACAAAACCCACGATATGCCCCCTCCCGGAGCCTCGCTTCTTCCCATTGACGTTGAGAAAGCGGCATCGGAAGACGCAAGGACACGTGAGACGAGACCAGAGGAAGACCAGAGACTACCAACCAACAACATCGACAACAACAAGATGACTTCGTCAAGGCGCGCTCTCCTGAGCGTCACCCTGTGCCTCTTGTTCTTCTTCGGCTTGACATCGGCCGGCCCATCGAGATGGCAGCAGAGGGTTCAGTGTCGTGAGGGACATGCTTCGCCACAGAACGAGAACTTCCAGTCCATGGTGGATGCGGCATCGACAGACTCTCTTCACAACATCCTTCACAAGACCTTCCCTGGGCGGTTCCAGCACGGAGTATGGGAGTCGGAGAAGCAAGCCATCGAGGCCGTTCACCGGGACAACGCCCCTCTTGCGACAGCCATCTTGCGCATGGCCAAGCGTGATGACTCAAACACCACCATCGCTTCGACGTCTCAGCAACCTACTCCTTCTTCGACCTCATCCAGCGCTCAGGTTACTCCGTCATCGAGCTCCGCGCCGCCAGTCGTCAGCTCTTCATCGAGTGAACCTGCGCCTGAGCCGTCAACCACCAGCCAGGCTCCTCCTCCCATCATCACCACCACTTCCACCACTTCAATCAAGTCGACATCCTCCTCACCTCAGCCTAGCCCCAGCTCAACTGGTACGTCCGTGAGCGAGAGTGAGAGAACTCTCGTTCCTTTGTCAACGTCGTCTTCTGTGTCTTCCGTGTCGTCTTCTGAGCCGTCTTCTGAAGCCGGAGTGTCTTCCACCACTTCTCCTTCATCTGGTTCGTCGTCCACCTCATCCATATATTCTTCTTCTTCTTCTCTTGAACCATCATCATCCACCTCACCCACCACTTCATCTTCTGATGTCGTGTCATCGGTGTTGACGACAGCGTCGTCCACATCTGCTACGACCATTTCTTCTGGTTCGTCGTCCACGTCCATTTCACGTGCCACCTCTTCTTCTTTTTCGACGTCCTCCGCATCCCAGGAAGTATCAGCTTCCTCGGTTACCGTGGGCTCGTCGGTGTTTCTTCTTGACTGTAAATTCCCATAAAACTCCCCACCGCTTTCCCTATTGAAGACACTCCAGTGTTCAGGGCTCGGCTCATCTCACAACCCTTTGAACTTCAACTAACATGGTATTCATAGTTTCCTCTACCACCTTGACCACCACCTCCAAGGCCAGGCCCCAGACCGTCGAGCCACCTAAGACCACCGAGCAACCCCAGCAGCCCGAGGAGCCCATGACCCCCAGCTCCATGGTCATCGTCCAGACTTTGACCTCGACCTCGGACGGTGTTGAGATTGTCGTCACCCAGACCAGCACCGTCCGGGTTGACCCTACTCCTACAGCGGGCACCGGCGCCGCCAAGGCTTCTCCAAGCCTTCAGAATGCGGGTTCTGCTCTCCAGCCATCAGGCCGCTGGCTGATGATCGTTGAGGCTGTTGTGCTGGGAGCGCTGTTGATCTTCTTTGTGCTTGCTTGAACTTGAGCGCGATTGAAGTTGTTTCCTTGTTGTTTGGGTCTTGCAAATTTTGGTTCTATTTTTTGGTTTTGGCTCTGACTTTTTCAAAGTTTGCGTCTCGTTTGCTTTAGCACTGCATTGCGTCGGTTACTTACGTCTACGTCACTTTACATTCTTTTTCTGTCGTTTTTGCATTCCGGGGTTCAGAACAACACACACACATATGCATACACATGCATTCATTTCCGCAATGCGCGCCAGCAGCGCGCCGGCGATGTATGACCACATTCTTTTTTTCTGATCAAAAAGGGCAATATGGCTACACTTGATGACAAAAGTAGGAGGAGGAATCTTGGTATAGGAAATGGATTATCATGTATAGAATTTTGGGTAGGCTATCTACACTCCAGTGTGTTGGGAAAGAGGAGACTTGGAAAGTCTGGTCTTGGTCTGTATGGATCATGTAGAAGACGAAAGGGGCAAGATGAGTTTTGTCACTGGGAGAAGATCTTCACGAAGTCAAATGGATGGATGGATATAGGATTTAGGTATATATAGGAACGGACACAACATGCGTACATACACACATAACCAACAACTGGGTTGATGGGAAGATGTTTTGGATGGAATAATGGAATCAATTAGACGTCAAAAGCTGGTTATCACACCAAGGAAATGGAACTTGCACCATGACACGATACGCACTTGTGAATGTAAACCAGACCAACGTCCACCGAGCGCGAGAACAAAATGCACAAAAACCTCGCAAGAACTTTGGGTTAATCCGCACAGCTGAGGTTGACATCTCGCCCGTAAGATGGTTGATGTGTAGTGTACGAGAAAGAATTCTGATTGGTATCATGACAAATTTTTAAAAATAGAAACTTTCGCGAGTAGTGTGTGTACCTATCTGCAGCCTCTCGGGGCATGCCCGTTCCCTTTCCCATTCATCCCTCCATCAACTATGTACTAGTATCATGTCATCAAGCACTGCACCTTTCTCACTAAGTTCTGTCAGGAAGACTGGAACAAGAACATGCCAACATGCCAATGTCTAGCATAAACATATCTTCGAGATCCAGCCCTCGCGACATATTCCCGCTTTTGAATGACTTTCTGTCTGTCTGCCGTCTTGCCACGGCTTGAAGGCCATCCCATCCATCCCATACCATCATATCCATCGCGCTTGTGACTGAGTATCGGGTAATCGGTTCTTCCTCCTTTCCTCTCCTCTCTTGTCTCTTCCTGGTACATAGATAGGTATGCCGTCGAATGCCATGCCATGCCTTCGCTAAGCTGAGTGTGCAAATCGCATCGAGCTGTTGCCGGCCAGCCGGTTGTTGTACATTCCACCTTCCACCCAACACATTCCTGGCCTGGACTGGTCTGGTCTGGATTGGTCTCTTTCTGGTCCTTGCTTTCTTTCCCTCTCCTTCTCTCCTTGGGTTTGCCGCTCTTGCGAATCTCTTTTACAGTATTAACCAGGTCCGATCTTGGGCATATCGTGATGCTCGCTCAAGCGCGATAGGTGCGCGTTCAACTCCTCTACGCGCTGCTTGTGCGTCTTGAGGAGCTCGGGGCGGACGCGGCCGGATTCGGTCATTTCTTTTAGCTGTTGTTATAGGAAGATTAGTGTCAGTCAACATCTCCAAATAATGCTGCGTTGTGTGCCAGTGGATGGGACAATAAAGGGGAAAAGAAAGCCTACCCTCTTCCTCTTAGCCTCCAAAAACCTCCTCTCCGCCTCCGTCTTAGTTTCATCCTCCTTCTCTTCCTCCCGTTCTTGGCTTTGACTTGTTCTTCTCCTCGTTCGTTCCTGATTATCTACTTCTGCGTCTGCACTGCTGCCCTCTCTATGTTGTAATTGCTTCTTCTCATCGTCATCGTCGTCGTTATCGTTCGTTACTGGCGACTTGTTGTTGTTGTTGTTGTTGTTGTCATCTCCGGTCGATAAGTTCTTCTCCAGGTCCGTCTTCTTGTCCTGCTTATTCTTTTTCTTGTGTTTCTTGACTTTACCCCCGGGCCCAGCTACGCCCTTGAGCTTGAGAGGCCCGCGGGCAACGCTGGTGTAGTCGTCTGAGGGCATCGTGAGCCTAGACACACGAGCGGGCGCGGCTCGAGGTTGCTGATGATACTATGGGAAGTTTGAGTTCCCGGTCGCGATTGGGGAGTGCGCTGTGTCGCGAATTGGTTGGTGACGGATTGATTCGTAGATTGAGCGGCGGCTGCAAACTGGACACTGGCTTGAGATGGACAGAGAATGTTGGTGAAGAGTTGTATTTGTTAAGCTATGGATTGGATTCACAATTGGGGTCGTCGAGGTTCTCGTCGATTCTTCGATGAAAGCGACGAGCGCCAGGACGGACAGCGACCGCTTGGTGTGGAGCCACTTGCTCGCGCTGCATTGCATTGCCGGAGGCAGGTGGCCGTGCATATCGGCAGGCAACTCGGCGCATTGCAGGGCAGCTGCTCGCTTCAATTATCTGCAAGCCACACATAATCCCGAGCCATCACGCGAAAGCCACTGACTGTACTTTTGGGGCCACTTTTGCTCACCAGCCATAAGAACTCCACGCAAAAACGGTCTAGCCCCAGAAGCCCCACCAGAAAATCTGTGTGGGCCAGTGCAGTGGGGCGCGTCCCCTTCCCCCCTCAAACAGCGAGGGTATAAAATACTCTTCAGGTGCCCGTCTTTTGCTCCCTTTTTCTTCTTTTTTTCCTTAGATCAAAAAGTATACACGAAGCTGCCACGACCTTCACTAGAACCAACGGTGTCGAGTTGCCTGGGGTCCTCTTTAGGACTCCGCGCTTCGGAGATAGATATTCCTTGATAGGAAGTTTCACGCCCTTTCCACTATGGGCGATGAAGTGCTGATAGATTGGAGACATTTTCATACGCTTGCAAGTTGTTATTCTCTTTGTTCAAGTTGTTGATACGATCTGGGGGGTATACTTTTTGATTGACTGCTTTTGCTTTGGCATTGATGCTCATGTTAAGAGCTTGCTGAGCTACCTTGTGCACGTTTCTGTGATTGCAGTGAATTGTCGCTGTGTTGTTCATTGACATGCCATGTCTGTTGCTGTCGCTGAAGTTCGTTACTCGAGTGCAGATTTTTGGTGTGCGCGATCCCTACGGTCCGTGCATCTGATCACCACTTTCTGTCCGTGTACAAACCTCCAGGACTTGGAGTTCACGATGCATACCGCGACATCTTTACATGATGACGTGCACGCGTATTCTGTCAAATGCAAAGAATCAGTTATTTTGATTGGTATCCGTCCGTTGAACTTCCTCAGACTCGGAGCACATTCACCGCTCGATGCTCTTAATTTCACGGTCTCAGTCCTCTCCAGGAATATCACCACTGATGGTGTGGATTGTTTGCAGATGATGCTGGTAAATGTTCGGCATGCTCTTAATCCGCCGCGCACATGGCTTTGGTCGTCATCCGTTCGGTCTTGGGCTTGGGCAGCAGCTGAGGAGGTGAGACACCAACAGGAAGTTCGGAATGCGGACAATGTCTTCCCATTCCACAACCATCACCACCGGCCGCCGAGATGGCTGGCGAGAAATGCTTCCGGGCTGTGTTCTCGGTCAGCAGTGAGTGTAAACAACTGCACATGGAACTCAAGTGAGCGAGGTACAAGATCACAACGACAAGTGGTTGCGGTATAAGACCTTGGACGATGGTGAGCGTTGATACTCCTTCCTTTCTGCTTTCCCTCTCCATCCATCTATCACATCGTTCTACAACGACCAGTCACTCGTTTTTTCAGTGAGCTTTCGATCAAACAGTTATCGGGCTCTCTTTCTGTCTCTTTTGAGCCTGTCATCAACAAGTCCCTCTTTAATTAATTATCGTACTTTCACATACAAGATGTAGTAAGTCAACCCAACAACTCTCGCATAACACCATAGAAACCCAATCACTAACACACATCACCACCACAGCTCCTGGGGCGCTCCCGCCGTATCAGCAGCCGCTGCCATGTCCGGTGCTGCTGCTGCTGCTGCCGCCGCCGCCGCCTCCCACGGCCCTCTCACCTCCGCCACCTTCTAGTCCTGCGACGCCGACGTGCCCATGGAGACCCAAACCGCCGCTCCCGTCTTCACCACCGAATACTGCGTCACCCTGCCACCACGGCCCAGGCCCTTGCCACGCCACCTACACCATCACCGAGGAGTGCACGGGCGACCGGGACTCATGGGCCCAGCCCACGGGCGTCGTCCCTCCCGGCTTTGTCGTCACGACCGTCACGAATTGCAATGCCTGCCCGGGCGGTCCTACACAGACTTTCACGGTGCCGGCTAATGGTCCAACCGGCGTCGTACCTGCTCCTGGTCCTTCGGGGCCCCAGCCTACGATGACTAGTGTCGTAGTGACGGTGTCCAGCCAGACTCAGACGGGTGGGCAGATGCCTATTCAGACGGTTGGTGCGCCATCCGCAAAGGGGACGATGAGTTTGAAGACTAGTGTGGGGTTGTTGGTTGGTGCGGCTTTGGCGTTGTTTAACTTTGCTTGAGTTTGGAGCAAGTTCTCTTGTTTCTTTATGTTTTTGTTTGTTTTCGGGCTGGACTCGAAGTCTTTTTGTTCATTTTAAGTATGGGCTATGGGCTTTGGTTTCTTGGATACACACACGCACGCATGCACACATCATGTTGGGCTTTTTTAAGGGGGTTGAATTTAGGTTTATAACGAATGGCATATCATGACTACAAATGTTGTTTGTGACGCTTAGAGCTAGCATGTTGTATGTGATGCCGTGTAGATTCAATCGGCGGTAGCGCCTATAGGATTGGAGAAAGATCGTAAAGGCATATTGCACTGGTAGACCCATGTTCTTTCCAAACGTGAAATATCTTCTGTCAGGGAACTAACATGCTTTTGTTCTCTTTACTTGCCGAGTTAATCATCATTGATCGAGAAATAAGGGCGAGCCTCGAGACGAGAAAGGTTGATTATGTAGTTCAAGATTCAGGAGGTATTTCCGCTCTTTTGAACAGAGACTTCGTTCTGTTCAGACATCTCCGCCTTTATTGATTTCAACTTTGATCATGTTCGAAAGTGATTGGTCTTACTGACTCCCGAACACCGTCCTTCACGACCTCTTTTCCCCCAAAATCGGTGCTCGGCTTGCCCAGGGGTTCCCTTTTGAATATCCAACTCCCATCTTACTAGATCACGGGTAATACAAACGGTCAACTCCCTGTACGAACCTCGTTTTTACACCATAGTTCTAATGATTTACCTACCTTCGCCGTGGATCTCTGGACTGTTGTCAAAGGTTACCTACATGTGTCGGTATGTTATCAGTATAGGGGAAAAAGAGGGGTGCTATACCATATATCCTTGAGTAAATCGATATTATGACAATCATGAGAGCCTATCATTTGAGCACTCTTCCGTGGCTTTCGGTCACTCTGCTTTCACCAACACCAATACCTGCCTGGCGAGGTAACTATTTGTCACCTTGTTCCAAGTCTTTTCTAATGGCACGCATTAGTCGATAGCCTTTTTAGTGATATAACCTTCGAGTCACAAAGGAGAGATAGTTAGTTGCTCAAGGTAGACTCAAAATCCGTGCCAAACGCCACATATGTTGCTCTTCAAGACAATCATGATACCTAGTCAAGAACGAAGAAGAACCTGAGAATTATCAGCTTCACACCAGTATGTAAACAAAGCCTCCGACGCTGAAGTGAAGTGAAGCCTCGAACCAGTATTTTGATCAAACAAACAAGAAACTACCTCTAGTCAAGATAGAAAGAAAAAGAAATTGAAGCCTACATTGCCTGCCTGCCTACCTACCTGCCTGCCTGCCTGCCCATTTATCAAAAAAGGCATCACATGGCCCGCGAAACCTGTCTAAACCACAAACACACGCAGCCGGGCTAGAGGGCCAGAGGGCTAGAGAGCTAGAGGGTTAGATAGTCAAAAAGACGCTCCCGCCCACAATACTAATAGCCAAAATCGCCGTCACGATACCTGCGCCCACCCTATCCGCCGTGGTTATCGGCTTCAACGCCGCCAGTCCTCCCCTGCTCGCGGGGTCCGTCACGCCAGCTCCCGGGTCACCCTTGGACGTGCCACCAAGCTTCTCCGTAGCGGGGCCCTTGGCCGCCTTGCCCAGCCCCTTGTGCGTGAGGGTGTACATGACGGCTGAAAGGGCGTTCATCTGCGCGCCGACGCCGGACCACCCGTCGAATGGCTCCGCCCACTTGAACCCGCACGCGGTGCCGTCGATGCCCCTAAAGCCCGGCTGGATACCGCCGCTGTCGACCTGCGGGGCGGCGGCGCCGACGGGCCCCGTGCAGACTGCGGCGGCGGCGATGGCGGTGGAGCGGATCCAGGGGTTGATGCGCTCGTACGTGAAGGGTGCGACTTGGGAAGTGGAGGAGAGCCAGCGCAGCAGGTAGCCCTTGAACGTCTGCTGGTCGATGTTGCACTGGTACGGGTGTCCGCGGTCGGTGAAGCCGGACTCGCAGTACCATTCCTTGATGATCTTGGTGTCGTTGGTGAGGAACTTGGACTCGATGGAACCCAGCAGGCCATCCACGCGCGTCTTCCATGTGTTTTGCTCCTCGCCCGTCGTCACGTTGTACATGAAGGCGGCGCCCTGCAGGAAGACGCCGACGTTGTAGGACCAGACGTGCGGCCCGGAGTCGTTGCGGCACACGTGCGTCGTCACGTCGAAGTGGGCGCCGTCCTTGACGTCGTACTCGTCCGTGATCAGGTTGATGGACCGCTCCCAGTCCCAGGTGCGCGTGGCCCAGTCGCCGTAGGAGCTGTTACCGGTGAAGCGCGAGAGGCGCGCGCCGAGGTTGAAGAAGAGGCCGTTGGAGATACTGTTTGCAAGTCAGCATGACAACGCAAACAATAACGGGACCACCAAAACGTCCCGCCACAAGAGTCCCACCTCGCTCACCATCTTCTACTTACGAATTCTTATAATCCTTGCCCGTCTGAAAGTCGTTGATGGCCCATCTGAGGCCTCCACCGCAGTTTATGTCGTCCCATCGCGATGCCATCTGGTTGAAAACGGCCTGGACGAGCGCCAGCCATTGCGGTTGGTCCTCAGGCGGATCGGGGAACGCGTCCTCGGCCGCCGACATGGCCGTGAGAGTCCAGAAGCCGACGTCGTCGTTGGAGGATGTTCGGGACTGGTTGGCGGGCATGAAATCTCGGGTCTCGGATGCCTGATGTACGATGGCTTGTGATGTCGCTTCCACGTAGGATGTGTCGCCCGTGATCCACCAATAGTCGACCAATGCGCCAAACATCGCGCCCGCTTCCCACCAGTAGTAAGGGTCCGGCAAGTTTCCTGGTGTGTCGCCGGTTTGGTTGCCCGTGTAGTAACTCATCATTCCGTACGCTATCGTGGCGGCGGCATCCTTTACCGATTCTAAACAGCACCCCGTGTTAGTCGCGTTCGCCAAACGTAAGGGAAGTTCGGTGGTCGAGGATCCTTACGGTCATTGTCGATATCCATCTTGATGGCCGTCGCAGACTGGGCGAACAGGCCCATCAGGCCAGCGGCCGCAACATTCCACCTCATGGTGGGGAGAGCGAACCGAGAGAGCGAGGGAAGACTAAATCAATAAAGCGTATAGCGAATGACGGGGAAAGGCGCTTGAAACGAGGGACGATGAGCGAAAGCCTTCAAGTAAGAAGTTGTGACAGCTGCGATAATCACAGAAGCGGCATACTCTTTTCACAGAGTATGTATGTCGTTCAGTTAGAAAAACCAGTAAAAACAAGGAGAGAAAATGAAACTAGCGAAAGTAGGAACTGGAATGACGATAATGATATGAAAGGATGGAAGTTTAGACTGTGCTAGCGAAAGGAAGCACGCGGTGCAAGACAGACAAGACAAGCACTCCCAAAACCAAGTTGCCCACCAACACTTTGCGGTCCAGAACAGCCAATACAATGGTCACAAAGGCAGCCAGAATGGAACCCAACAAAGAGAGAGAAACACCGACGGCCACGGCACCGTATGAGGACCAGCATCGGCAACAGGGGACCCCCAAGCCGCTAAAGGACCCTTGGCGAGCACTAGCTAGACGCCTGTGACAAGTTTGATGAAAGGATACTGTGTACATGGTAGTGTCACACCTGCGGCCGTGGTTTGGGCCGTTAAGACGGTCTAGACTGGTACCTTTTTGAGTGTACGATCCAGGTAGCTAGGTAGGGATGTAGAATAGGTAGACCATCAGTGGGATCTTGGTGACGGATGGAGGATGCGGACAAGACTTGAAAAACCGGGAACGCTGAAAACAATAACAATCTGAGCAATGCGACGGCATAGCCACAGCTCGGATTCGAACACAGATTGGACAAAATTGGGGTTGGCAAACCAACACGATAAGTGCTCGTGTTGAGCCAAGCATTGGCAAAAATTGGCATAATCGGCGAGTTTGACAAAGGATGGAAGAAGCAGAAGGCAAATTCTGGAGAACACAGGAAATCACAAGTCTGCCTTTTTGTGATGTTCGATCTCATGTGCAAGGGGAGATAGCACGTGGCAAAGTAGGGGAAACTCCAGTGCTTTCGAGATCTCGACTGCTTCATCTGAACAATTTAGGACGCCAAATTATCCACACTGTACAGCTTGTTAGTGCTGTGTGTAAGCGCTTGAGCGATGCCTCTCTCCCAAAGAAAATGACCCTGTAATTTCGAATGCTCACTCATCGCAAGTATCCGGATGTGCCGCTTGTTTAGGCTTGGGCTCACCTCGTTTCATGATTTGCGTACTTGGCGAGACCAAGGGAATCCGAGACTTGAGCTGGGTTTTGGCAGAAGAACACAGCCACAATCGAATGGCAATATCTCCGTGTAGAAGTCGCGTTTCTTTGTCTTCACTCATGACCGTGCAGGAATCCAAGAGGGTGGGTGAAACACCAGAGCGTGAAGTTCAGACCTCCCTCGCCGCCAGTGTGTGGAAACCCCTGAACCGTGCATAATGTGACAAACGCCTGGGTTGTGTTGGTGACGGGATGTTTAGCACGAGGGCTAGAATATGCCCTCAAGATTTGTGCAAACAGAGACTCACCTAGTTAAATTTCAAGCACAACCTGAAACGTACTCATGACATCTAGATGTCCCATAACAGCATTTTCGGTCGCCGACAACCTGTCAATAAAGGCCAGCGGTTCCCCAGAAACTGCGATCCTTGTAAAGCCCTGTGAGGCAGTTTTAACTTCTGCCAAGACCGGACGTGGATCGAACCAAAAGGTAGGCCAAGGGTCACCTGGCGACTAGCTTCGATCACAATGCTGCATGCGATTCATCACCTTAACCTCATGATGCAATCCATGTGGTTTGTATTGCTGATAAGCCGTCCTAGTTGGCGTCTTTTGATCTTAAGCTGCGAATTGTTTTCAATTTGTCGAGACCGTACAGAAGGTACACGCTTCTGTGTGTCAAGAGTACCGTATATCCTCAAGACATCATTCCTTCCGTCCCTTACGCCTTGCGCTTCTTGGCCGGCCTGGCGTCGGCATCGTCGTCCTCATCCTCCTCTTCAGCATCATCGTCGTCGTCATCTTCAAAGTCATCGTCGCTCGCCAACTCCTGTTCTTGCGCTTGGGCTGCGATGTGTTAGCAAAAGTCTATCAATAAGGAGTGATGTATAGATGTTTCTTACTGAAGTACTTGATAGCACCGGGCCACAGGTCGTCTGAGAGGGCAAGCGCGAGGCTATCGCCATCCGGGAAAATCTCCAACTCGATCTCATCCTCCTCCTCCTCATCTTCCTCGTCGTCTTCCTCGTCTTCCTCCTTCTGGCTCTTACCATCCTCTGTGGCAGCCTTTCTGGCTTGTCGCTTTGCTTTGAGTTGCTCAATGGCAAGCTCGCTCTCCTTGGCAGAGACTCTCCTGCCCCTGTAGCCGAACCAGGCAAAGAAGCTGAGGCCTCCGAGCCCAATCTTTTCGATCTGGTCCTTGAGCTCCTTTTGCTTGTCCGTGAAGTTCTCGCTTTTGACGGTCGACCAATGCTTGCCATCAACCTTCTCCTCTTCCCAGACGGCGTTGACTAAGCCGAGCAGGCCACTCGTAAGGTCCTTGCCCTTCTTCCACTTGATGTTCACCGGCTCGCTGACCAATCCTGTCCAGCCGCCCTTGCTTCTGCGCGACCAGAACTTCTTCTCCAACACCTTGTCCTCGAAGTACTCGTTCTCGGCGAATTCGAAGCGGAAGAGGACGCTACGGGGGTCCCCGGAGCCACCATTTTCGATTTCGAAGTGGGAGACGGAGAAAGAGATGAGGGTTGAGAGCAAGAGAGCGGAGTCTTGAGGTTGGATGTACTCGTCAATGTCTTGGGGCGCCTGCTCGAAAACCAAGGGCCAGAAGTTGGGGATCTGGGCTACGACCTTCTCGCGCTTCTCGTAGAGGGGCCGGGACAGCTGGACCTGCTGGCGGACTTTCAGATGAGATACGTTAGCGATGAGTGATACCCAAAAGCAAGGAAGCAACACAGATGACACGAAGACGAGAAGCACGTTGAAAAGCGGACTTACTGATCTCAGTCTCGACATCCTCGAACTCGATCTCGAGGTCGCGCAATTCCTCGTAAGTGACGGAGGTTTCTGCCGGGGAAGCCATATTGCTAAGTCGTTCTTGGAGGTTGACGCGTGGTATTCTGAGACGTTACTGCCACCGAAAAGATGAAAGAATGAACGCGTGAAGAAGTCGTGCCTCGAAGAAAAAACGTTGTAGTTGTCTTCCGTCGATCGCCTAGTCCTGTTTCATGCTTCGGCAGGCAGGCACGTTCTGTGATGCGGGTACCTTTGCGGTTCACTGCGGGGTGCACACACAGTAGCTCGAAAATAGCTTCCCGTCGTTAGTGGAGGTCCATTTGATAGACTCCACCGTTCAGCCGTGTAACCGTTCCACTGGGATTTGGTCCAGGGGTACTGCAGCTCACTGAATCGAGCTCGAATGGGGTGACGATGAATTCTTATAGTGCAGTGTGTTAGCGGCCGCCAGTGTCAACCTAATCGGACATGAATCTCAGCTTCTTCCTCTTTGGAACGAAGGGGAGCGGAAGGGTTGTGACCCTCATATCGTGACTGGACTTTGATGAACGACGACGTTGGCTGTCGACGGCCGAGGACGCGTCCCCGGACACCCCCCCGAAGACCGGGCAATCACCTCACGATGTCTATTCAATGGCATCTACCTTGTAGGCACCCGCTGATTTTGCTGTATGTGTGATTGGTGATGCTGAGGGCGCCTTCCTCTCGAGTCTCGAGGCACAGCATAAGGCGCCGTAGAGGTTTCTCAAACTTCAAAGCGGAAGGAGCTTCCCATGAGGGCATCTTGTGCAAGCAGACCTGGATTATCTTGTTTTCCTCCTCCCACCAACTTTTTCGCTTCCCGTCTGCTCTTTCGAATTCTTCTCCTCAAGGCTTCCTTAGAACACACTGGTTTCCCTGATGCGCAAGGCATACAAACTCTTTCCAACTCTCTCCGAATCTCATGTCAACCCGTCGCGACTACTCGTTCACTGGGCTGGCCAGAGCCGGTACCTAATCTGACATGAAGTCTTTGACCGACGACGTCCGCGCCTGTCGGCGCTGGATCGGCTTGATGGGCCATGATCGACCTCGGCGGCTCTGTCACAACTCCCGTCCCATGCGGTACCTGCAGCCTTCACTACTGACAAAACCCCAGATCCCACCTTAGCAAAATTGCGTGATGGGCACATGACAGAGTGCTAGTGCCTTATCAACATTTGCCATCCACCCCGCCTTATCAACGTCCTGTCATCCAAACTGCCAAAGGCAGACACTTAGGTTTTCTTATCTCCAACCTGGACGGGGTCCCCAGTGTCGACAATGCATCAGTGCAGCAGCAACGTGCTTTGGCATCGACAGTTTCTCCAACCCTCGTTTCTTCCTCCTGCCAAAATGGATGTCCGAAGTCGGGCTCGAATTGATCAATCACCTCCAGTGTCGCGGCTAGGTTCGGGGGGCGTCTGTTCACACCTTCTGAAGACGTCGCTAGTCTGCGGATCCGATTCCTTTGTCCAGTCGGGCTCGGGCCTTTGACTTTCTGTTAGTAACAGACTTCACCGTCCCATCCCACATGACTGGTTTATTTTCAACCTCCTTTGCGTCAACCTTCTGTAGCCGTCACTTTTTTGTTGACCGGTCTTCTCGAGAGTCGTCACATAACGCCGAGCTGGCATCTAGGCTTTCTCGAAAGGTGTGAATGAAGTAGAGATCTTCCCCTGCTTTCTCACTCTGCCACCTGCTGCGAATTTGACCCTGGCCAGTCACTTTGGTACCAAGCACTGTTCGATCCCGAGACCGCTTCTTTTTCTGAGAGCTTCCAGACCGTCGTCTCCTTGATGCTGTTTGCTCATATCGGACTGAACCATCTGGATTGTGTCACCGCCTCTATTGGTTGCCTTCATTGACAGAGTCGTGTGGTTATTGTTCTGTTGGGTGGTGCTGGTGAATAGGCCTGGAATTGGACTAACAAAACCTTGATAGGGTCGGATTGTCGACCGAGGTCTCTCCGGCCACTGGTGCGTCAAAGTTTTTTTTCTTCTTAATATAAAACCAAAGGGAGCCACTGAGGCGAACTCGACTACCTTAAAAGTTTCCCAAAGGTCGAACAACAAGAGAAAGTGCCAAACTCGACAAGTAACGCCCTATCGACACCATGGGGCAGGTTACGTTCATGGAAGGGAAGAATCCCGAGGCTCACTACCCCGAGTCGAGGGTGCTCATCATCATGACAGGCGGTACAATATGCATGCAACCGTCTGCAGATGGTCTGGTTCCCATGACAGGATTCTTGGAGAACGCTATGGCCCCTCGCCCTTCGTTCAACGATCATACCGCTCCGAATGGTAAGTTCGTTGAGTATTTGTCTATATTGGAAGCCCTCGCTGACGAATTGTAGTTCAGCTTCGAGCATACAAGAACGGGGTCAAGTTGACGTTGGACAGCCTGAGAACACCAGTCAGCGCATATTCTCGTCATATCCGATATGGCATCCTCGAGTTTACTCCATTGCTTGACTCAAGCTCCATTTCTTCCATAGGATGGACCGAGATCGCACTTACCATCAAGGAGAACTATCACTTGTTCGACGGCTTTGTGGTATTGCACGGAACCGATTCCCTGGCGTACACCGCCTCAGCCCTTTCCTTCATGATGTCGGATCTGGGAAAGCCAGTCATTCTGACAGGATCGCAAGCCTCCATCTTTGCCCTCCAATCTGACGCAGTCGACAACCTCCTCGGCTCGCTCATCATTGCGGGGACGTTTGTTATCCCCGAGATCTGCCTATTCTTTCATCACACCTTGTACCGCGGCAACAGGACGACCAAGGTATCGGCTTCTTCCTTCGAGGCATTCGCCAGTCCTAACTGCGATCCGTTGGCCAAGGTCACAAGCTTAGGGGTGGATGTTCACTGGGCGTTGATACGACGGCCCACTCGAATTGCCGAATTTCAAGTGACAAAATACCTCGACACTGCACATGTGGCCTGTCTGCGTATCTTTCCCGGAATCAAACCGGAGATGGTCGATTCCGTTCTTCGAGTTCCAAACCTCCGTGGTTTGATTCTTGAGACGTTCGGCATGGGCAACGCACCGGGCGGCGTTGATGGCAGTTTGACCAAGGTTATCAAGGAAGCAATCGACCGTGGCATTGTTATTGTCAACGTGAGCCAGTGCACAAACGGCTTCGTTTCGCCACTCTATGCGCCCGGAACCGTACTAGGCAGAGCAGGCGTGGTATTTGGCCATGATTTAACTACCGAGGCGGCTCTGACGAAGCTATCATACCTTCTGGCACTGCCAGACCCCACCTACTCTGAGGTCACGGCACAGATGTCGCACTCGCTACGGGGGGAGATGACCGAAATGGCATTGCCCTCTTTCTCACACCCTGCAGGAAGCATTGATTCGGCTATGGCACGGTTGCCTGCTGCAGGTATGTACAAGGCTCCTTCAAAATACTACATACGACACCAACTAATTATTACGTGATCAGACGCCGCTTTCACGGCTCTTGGCTACGCCATACGCAGCGGCGAGGTTCGGACTGTTCGCGAAATCCTCGAGGGTGACGAGTTTAACCATCAGCTACTTAAGAGGGCTGATTATGTCGGCAACACCCCTGTGCATCTTGCTGCAGTTGGGCCCAATCCAGATATTCTTCTTGAGTTGCTGACTCGTGGTGCTAGTGTACATCCACGTAATCATGCAAACCACACACCTCTTTATCTTGCAGAGAAGATGGGTAACATGGAGACTGTAAAGTTGCTCAGGGAGGCTGGTGCGCACTTGTGGAGGACAGAGCCGCATTCAGGCAACGCATCCGAAGCAGGGGACCTGGCGAGTACGACGGATGTTGCTTCAGTTGGTGCCGCAGAAGATGAGAAAGATGTGGGGGTCCTTGCTGAACGTGAGTCTGACGAAAAGGAGCAGAAGACAAGTGATCAGGTGGCAGATACGGTGGCCCCTCGGCGCGGATCGGATAAGAGTAGTCTGGTTACAGACGAGTCTTTGGTCCATGGGCTGAAGAAAGTGGATATTGGCAAGTTTGTCAATTAGAGTTGGGTGACATTGGGCTGCGAGAAGGGAAAGAAAGGGAACATGTGGGATGGAATACGAATCATATCAAGCACAAAATACATATTCTACAAGGTGGTATATCCTTTTTCAACAAACGTCCTTGGCTCAAATGAAATTCTGACTCTTTAAGGCTCACAAAATCCGACCAACACAAGTCAACGTGTTCAACGTCAACTGGGGACACTGTACACCCGGGTGCCCTTGCACCATTGAGCATACTGTTGGGTATGTTCATGGCCTGGATTCAAGATAAAAGCCCAGCTTGGAGTGCGACCTAATACACTCTATTCAATGATCATGGAGCTTACATACATGCTATGCGTGGGCGTAAGGCCAAGACAGCCCAATCATCAATGGCTAATCACAGTCATTCAAACAACTAGTTCTGAATCTATCACCCCGTGACATCGCTTCTTTGTCGCCGACTTTCCTTTTCTGTGGACCACAACAGCACGATAATGCTAGGTAATCCAAGTCATACAGGTTGTTTTGAACAAAAAGCGGCCACATGAAAACGAGGTTGGTATGAATTTTGAGCCTCAACTACAGGGTTACATGAACCGCCTTTAAATAACCTTGCGGCTCACATCATGTGTTGAAATCTACTGCAGGAACACTATTACTGGTTCGCTTCGAAGCTATTTGACCTTTTTTTTTCCCCCAGCCACAAAACCAATGTCCATCATCCACCAAATATGGCTTAATGTTTTGAGGCTCTGCGAAAGTGACAGATGTAGGTTCGTGGCACCCTATCTCGACTAAGCGTGTGAGCCAATACGAGAGCCTCAACTCTCGTCCCAAGCAAGCAACTGTTCGTTGATGTTACTAGCTTGTAGCGCGGGGTAGTAACGAACGTACCACTCTAGAATCTTTTACGATTGGAGCTATCACCCGGCCTTGTGATATGTCGTTCAAGGAGCAACTAGTTGCATTGGTTCGGCAAACTTCCCAAGTTGACCCGTGTACACAGAAGCAAGCCTCATACAAGACAAGCATCTTCACCATGAAGTACCGGGGCATCGTGGAACCCCTCACAGAGGTCAAGGGAAATACCGGGTCCTGGACCCGACTAACCGATATTCACAAGGAAAAGTCGTTGCTGGACTTTTGGTCTCTTTTTCGATATGAAAAGGCAGGATCGTTTCTACAAGCGCTTTGATCACTCGGGTTGATACTAAGAGGAAAACGGCGTCACACCTGTTTTTTCTTCAGGTCCGTACCTTCACTCTGCGCCCGGCTGTCTACTTGCGGCCATCTTCCCGACGGGCCTTTTCACGGGAGACTGGTCCCGCGTATAGACCGGGCCAGGCTCCCCATCTCTTTGGGAACGAAATGATAACGGAACTTGCCAGTCCCGACACATAAGGAAAGACGGCGACATGTGTGCGGGGGGCAAAAGGTTTGGTGGATAGCGACAGAGACTGCAGGATAGCTGCCTTTCTATGCTGAACTACGTTGTAGGTTGGATACCTAAACACCAGGAATCTGGCTTTGCGCTGAAATGGGCTCTAGACCAGCTAGGACACAAACATCATGTCCCGGAGGTCAAGCCCGAGAAGATTCCGGAGCGGCGAGCAGCTGCTTTATCTGATGTTTGTCTATCGGTGCGTCCTACATTTTCCCTTTCTTTGATTGCCTTCTTTCGGCTTTCGGGTACATCAACACAAGCAGTAGTACACATTTGTTGTTGTGGAACTTCAAATGTGAAGAGAACGTTGGACAGAAAGAAAAAATACTTGAAGGATAGCCCACTCTTCTTTTACCTCGCACGGTACCGCATAACTGGTAGCAGAAGGTTGGGTGGGAGATGATGGATGCTCGCCTCCCACTCCCCCCTTGATCGTTACAATAGTTGCCATCCTGCATGACATATGGACTACCTAACATTATAGAAGGCCTGTCGGCAAGGCTGAATATTTACTCCCGCTCTTCTTCTTCGGGAATCAACTTTCAGCGGCTCAACTATCAGCCCTCCCCCCTCCTGGCCATCACGAGGCGTCTAGCCATAGATCAGCAAAGGACGAGGTATAAGTTCACTAACCCCAACGCCTCCATGACATCTCCTGAAGGACTGTATCGTCCATCACTGCATATATCACCATCAACGTCAACCAGCATATCGTCTTTCGGTCAATACAGGTCAAGATGAACTGCTACATGCTCATAATATGGGTTCTCTCCACGCTGGTGGATGCCTCTACCGACAGTGGCGAGACCATCAACATTTCCACCACGCCCATCAACGACACCACCCAGGCCGCAACAGTGTTACTGCCCGACAACGTCTTAGCGAGCCTGAGCCCCATGTTGGACATGTATCTTCCGCCGGCCGTCAGAGATTTTCTAGTGTCCTGTCACCGAGCACTCACCAGCTGGCTCGGCTTTGATCCCACGATCCTGCTTTCTCTGGGCCCTATCGTATGGGCCGCCAAAAGACTCTGGTCCGAGATGAAAGTACTTGTGATCGACGACATCATCTGCAACTGGTTCACCGCCAGGGTCGAGGTTGGCGACGACGACCCCATCTTCATCCACATCATGCGCTGGGTCGCCGTCCAGCCCAACTCGGCCAAGACGCGCTTCCTCCAAGCGGACACCATAGCCGGCAGCGCCGACGACCATGATGAGGATGATGAAGCCGGAGCCGTAGCTGCTGCTGGAGCTGCGGCTGTCAAAGATGCTGGTACTACTACTACTACCACCAACACCAACGCCAGCACCACGAGCACCACAAGCACCACAGGCACTGCCGCAGACCCTTCCAACATCACGGCCACCACCACCACCAGCAAGAAGAAAAAACAAGCCCCCATGCTCCTTCCCAACGGCGAAGTCTGCCTCAACTTCTCCACGCACAAGCACCAAAAACCTCCCCGCTTCCTGCCGGCAGTCAACGTGCCCTACACGTTTTCCTTTGGCGGGACCTACTTCTGGCTGAACCGAACGCGGTCGCACATCGCGTCGCAGTCGGAGTGGCGCGGTCTCTCGATGCGCAAGGAAGAGAACCTTATCATCACCTGCATCGGTTTTTCCGCGCGGCCCATCAAGGACTTCATCCAGCTGACCAAGGAATGGAACCACAACCGCCAAGCAGCAACGACGGTGGTGCGGCGCCCCTCGCGGCCAGAGATGCGATCGTGGGGCGGCCGGCACGCGTGGGCCGAGGTGGCGGATCGGCCTATTCGGCCCATGGATACCGTGGTGCTAGACGAGAGGCAGAAGCTGATGGTGTTGCAGGACATGAACGAGTATCTGCAGAGGGAGACGGCGCTGTGGTATGGCGAGCGGGGGATCCCGCTGCGCAGGGGGTATCTGTTCCATGGACCGCCGGGCACGGGAAAGACTAGCTTGAGCTTTGCGCTAGCGGGCGTGTTTGGGCTGGATATCTTTGTGATTTCGTTGCTGGATCAGAATCTGACAGAGGACGATCTGGCGCTGTTGTTCACGAACTTGCCGAGACGGTGTGTGGTGCTTTTGGAGGATATCGATACCGCGGGACTGGTGAACAGACGGGATGCAGATGAGAAGAGTGACAGTAGCAGTAGTAGTAGTGGCAGTGATGGTGATGGTGACGGGGATGGGAGCAGTACTGATAGTGAGGATGATTATATAGTGAGCGAGAAGAAGAGGGCGCTGGAGGTGCTGCATCTGGGGGGCAAGTTGGCGAGGTGGAAGAAGAAGGAAAATAAGGGGAAGAAGGGGAATGAGAAAGGGAAGGAGACAGAGGCCCTCGAGAAGGAGTTAAAGGAGAAAGCGGCTGAGTTAGAAGAGATGCTTAAAGATAAGGAGGGGGGGAGTGATGAGGAGAAGAAAAAGAAGGACGGTGAGAAAGATGAGGCTGATGCTGATGAGAAGGTTACTACTGACCAAGAGAAAGTTTGTACTGACGCTCAGGAAAGTACCACACCTGAAAGGGCAGGAGAGAAGAGGTCTCCTACCTCGACAGGCGATGATGATGGCGGTGAGAAAGGGGAGAAGCCGACAGAAACCACCGACAAGAAAAAGAAGAAGAAAACCATGACGGCCAGTGAGAAAAAGGCCAAAAAGAAGCAAAAGAAAAGAAAAAAGGCAAAGATGCTCGCTGCCGAGGTTACCCGTGACATCGAGTACATCGGGAGACAGTACAGTCGCAGACGTGCCTCCCCATACGACCGCGAACGGGGTATTTCGCTATCAGGTCTGCTCAACGCCATCGACGGCGTGGCCTCGCACGAAGGCCGCGTGCTCATCATGACGACCAACAAGCCCGAGAAGCTCGACGAAGCACTGCTCCGACCGGGCAGGGTGGACCTCCAGATTGCCTTCCTCAACGCCACGCAGGAGCAGGTCAGGGAGCTGTTTGAGAGGATGTACGAGGCTGATGTGGTGGACCCAGCAACAGCGACGGCGGTGACTTTTACCAAGGTTGGGAATAAACTCACGGCTAGCACCACCACCACCACGGCGGCAGCTACTACATCGCCTTCGGTCGTTCATTCTTCTCCTCCTCGTACAGAGATCACTTTATCCCCTGGCATCGCTGCTGCTGTTGCTGCTGAGAAGGGAGACGAAGAAAACACCAACAGCCCCCTATCATAGACCCCAAGATCGTCGACCTCAAACTCCTCGACGACGACAATAACAACAACAACCTCGGCAAGTCCTCCGTCAGCAGTTGCTCTAGTGACGCAACCGTCATCGGAAGCGAGGAAGACACCGCCACTCCTTCTCCTTCCCCTTCTCCTTCCCAATCCCGACACCATCCCCTCTTCCTCTTCCACCACCAACAACATCCCCTCTTCCACTACCACCACCACCACCACCACCACCACTAAAGACACCCAACCCCAACCCCAACCCCAATCAACAGTGAGAAAAGACGAAAAGAAAGAACCCCCCAATCCCCCTCCATACCACCCCCCTAACCAGATCCGAGCTCCAAAAGATCGCCAAGCAGTTCTCCCTCAGGATCCCGCCGACGCAGATCCTCAGCCCGGCGGAGATCCAGGGATTCCTGCTAAGACGCAAGAAGGACCCGCGGAGAGCGCTGGCAGAGGTGGATAAGTGGGTGGAGGAGCTGGTAAAGGCGAAGGAGAGTAAGAGCAAGATTTTGGATGCTAAGGCTGTTTGATTTTGAGGGGATGGGGGGGGGGGGGGGGGGGGTTGATGGTTGATTTGGATGGGTTGTTGTGGGTTGGGTGGATGGTGGAAGGGAGGGAGGAAGGTTTGAGAAGGTTTGGTATTAGGAGGTTTTAGGTTTCCATTCTTTGGCTTAGTTTTGCAATTCGGTCGAGTTATGTAAGGGGGCGGATGATTGGGTTGGCTATGTTGGTGCCTTTAGTTCAGGTAAGTTGTACTAGCTTGTAATTCGTTTTGTTTTGTCTCAGTTGAAAGATATGTCCAAAAAGCGTTTGGTGACTATGGTTGGGAGGAACTCCTGCCCAGTTTTGGCAAGGGGATTATCTGGTCAAGAGGATGGAATGTAGAATGGGGGATTATGTGTCAACCTACCACATGTGAGCTAAGTATGGCAGCAATATCTCTGAGGGCGTTTTTCGATTAGTTTAATTACCTATTATCATTGACTTTTTGTTCCAAACAAAAGCGTCCGATAGAGGGAAAAGAGACGTCCAAATCGTATTTCGTGATATGCTGATGCTGATGATTGCTTCCCCTTAACGTAGCGGATTCGTGACCGCCCCATGCATCCTCCCAACTCTTCAGAACTAGGCCGATGCCGCAATCGGACCTTCACCACCTGGGATCAACTGAGCACGGCCGTTAGCTATTTGTGAACATGAACATGGTGACGATGATAACCCACCATGCAGATGTTGTTGCCGTTCAGCAGGATCTTCTTCAGCTTGGTGTGGTTGCCAGAGTAGTCGCTGATCCAGTGAGAGTAAAGTTAGCAGTCCGCTTCATGAGAATGATCTTCAGAGTGAGGAGTTGGACATATCGTACAACTCAGTGACGTCCTCCAAAACCATGTCTATCGAAGCTGGTTAGCATAAGGCTCCATGAGAGGTCCATGAAGACAGCAAGGGTGAGGAGATGTTCGCTACTTACTAACGTAGTCATCGAAACCGACAAGAGTACCGGAGAACTCTGTTTGTTCCATCCCATCGTTAGTCAACACATTCATAGATAGATAAAGCCAACTGGGGGCAGCTGGGATGGCATGACGTGCCCTTGTCTCCCTTCATGACGACCCAGATGCGGGAGCCGACACACTTGTCGATGAGCTCTGTGAAAATGCCACGTTAGCTGTTCTGATTTTTTGACATTGGAGCAGTGACACCCATATGACCTCTCTCACTTACCGAGAGGAAGTAGTTGCGAAGCCATGTTGTATGTGCGGGATGATCGAGTCTTTGAGTCTGGATGTTGAAAGGACGTTCAGTGGCCGTTCACTGAGCTTCGATTGTGAGGCCAAGGCGACGGGCGTAGCTGCTGTACAGTGAGAAGGATCAGTAATTCTCACAGTGCCAGTGTGGGTTTTGGCGCAAGAAGCTGAATGCTTATATCCGAGCATATGAAGATAACCCGTGTATCTAGGCCTCAGCACCACTCAGCAAAGCGACCGACGTGGCAGCGCTGTGCAGTCGAATCAGTTTACACCATTTATCCCTTGTGAGCAAAAGCAAACACAGAGTTCGTGATCATTTGTTGGCGACCAAAAGACGCGTTGCTGCCTGGCAGGTTCCATCGTCGCAACAAGGCATACTTTTCCGGTCAAAAGAGGTCTTCCTTCCCTTCTCAGGTCTCAACATCCACTCCTCCTCCTCCCCCGACTTCTTTCCCCCACTTTTGGCCCAAGAAGCATATCAATGCCCTGAAACCAGCACTTCTTCGTCCCGTTTAAACCGACAGGTCATGGCGCAGTTTTCGATGCCTTGACAACCTACAACATTACTACCGCGCGTACATACCACCCGGACGCACTCACTCCCGTCGCAGCTTATTCACCTACCTGCGCCTGCCACCTATTCACAGACCACTATAATGAGGTCCCCGCACCCTATACCACAAGCCATCGGTGCTGGTGCCAACGCCGTAAACAGCACCACCAGCTTGAGTCTGAGGCAATGCCGCCGCCGCTTCTTTGCTTCTTCGCCATCATCCTCGATTCCTTTCACGTCCCGTTATCCAGTGTAGGTGAACTGATCCTTACCTACAAACTTTCCGGTTTCATTTGGCTGACCAGAACTCCAAAAATCAAGACATCTCAGCGCCATGGAGAGGAAAGATCAGACATGGAATTCCAGCCGGGGCATCACATTTGCTGGCGATACTAGTCGCAGAGTAGTCGGATACCCGCAACTACCCTCTTTGACAAGATATCACAGCGACTCGGCAGCGTCAACAGCCTCAAATCCGGAGCCAGTTCTTCCCCTGAACGACGCGCCAGTACCTCTGGGAAATCCTAGCGCCACTGGAACGACGTTGGACTCTCAGGGGCGGGAGTTTGTCGATGCACAGGAAGCACTGGAGGAACAGCTCGAGGTCATCATCGAGGACGAGAACGTCAAGTCGGAAGATGAGGGTGCTTCTCTCAAACCCCCGTTCACACCACTCAGCTTCACCATGACCGAGGATCTCTTCAGGGAGGCAAAGAAGGCGGCTGAGGGCACGCCAGGGTCTTACTGGACTTACAACCTGTATCGTGGACCCGATAAGGACGGAAACATGAACGAGAAGGTCAAAGTTCATTATTGCAGAAGTGCTAACACCACCGAGCGAGTTTTGAAACAATATTTCATGGACGACAAGATCCTGGGTCTTGACCTCGAATGGGAAGCGAACGCTAAGCCGACCCATGGCCCGAGGCAGAATGTGTCGGTCATCCAGATTGCTTCGGAGAAGCGGATTGGCATTTTTCACATCTCGCTCTATCCAAAGAAGGATGAGCTGGGTTCACCGTTACTGAAGCAGATCATTGAGGACCCGGATGTGATCAAGACTGGCGTCTGGATCTTGGGTGACTGCACCCGTCTGGAAAAGTTTCTCGGGATCAAGGGAAGGGGCATCCAGGAACTCAGCCACTTGTACAAGCTGGTCAAGTACTCTGCTTCCGGCGAACATAAGCTTGTGAACAGAATGGGAGTGCCATTGGCAAGGATGGTCAACGAGATCCTCCAGCTACCCATGTTCAAAGGATCGGTGCGAACAAGTGCATGGTCCAAACCCCTAAACATGGACCAAATCCTCTACTCGGCATCCGACGCCTACGCCGGCGTACAGCTCTTTGCCATGATGGACCACCAACGGAAGCAACTCAACCCCACCCCTCCCTCTCCCCCACGCTGCCGAGCTCAAACTGCCCATTAGACTCGCCGCGGACGTCATCGTAGAAGAAGCCGGCTTGTTAGATGAGCCGCTCCCAGACGAAACGGTCGGCGCCGCCGCTCTATCAGCCGACTACCTCTCCACCGTAGGCGACAACATCAACGTCGAGATCGAAGGCGACGGGAGCACCACCCTCGGCAGCGAAGATACAAAGACTACCACCAAGAAACCCACCACCACCAAAAATACCGCCACCGACCCTACAGAATCAACAGCACCAACAGCATCAGCAACGGCAACAAAACGCAAACGCACCCCCTTGGTCCTAACAAGCCCGTCGACCCCCTAGTCTCCGAAGCCACCCTCTGGGCCCAGAACTACATCCTCTCTCACCAACCCCCCAAACCCAAAGAACCCAGACCGAAACCGCAACCCGTAGCCCCCGATTCCAATCCCAACCCCGACTCCGTTGCCCCTGCCGATTCCCCCGCCGCAGCCCCCACCACCACCCCCAAAACACCATCAACATACATCCGCCCCCCCCTCTCCGTCCCCTACCTCCGCGCTTACTACCTCTGGTCGCGCAACCCCTCGCTAAACTGCGCCGCCCTCGCCGCCCTCTTGGGGATAAAGACTAGTTCCGCAACGAGCTACATCCTGCGAGCGATCAAGGCCGAGAAGGGAAGACTTGGGTTCGAACCAAAGAGGATGCGCGAAGAAGTTTTGGAGAGCGGGGCGATTCCTGCGACGGATATGGCGATGCGGTGGAAGAGTGTCGTGCAATTGTGCGAGCTTTATGAGGCTGCTGAGAGGAAGTTGGAGATTGGTGATCTGGGTCACCAAGGGGGGAAGGGGGAGGAGGTGGATGGGAAGGGGAAGGGGAAGAGTGAGTTGGAGGTGTTGGATGAGATTTTTGGGCAAGATAAGGAGGAGGAGGGGGAGGTTGAGGTTGAGGGTGAGGGTGAGGGGACTGAGTAAGCAGAGGCAGGTGTGGAGGCAAAGAAGGAGGAGGCAAAGAAGGAGGAGGCAAAGAAGGAGGAGGCAAAGAAGGAGGAGGCAAAGAGGGAGGTGAAAAAGGAAAGTGCAGAGGATGTGATGAAAGCTGCGTTGGAGGCTGCTGAGGATTTGGACTTTGATGATGAGGAGTTGAACAGCAGCTCTCAAGAGACGGTCGATACAGAAGAGGTGGAGAGGTTGAGAAAGATGTCGAGGAGTCACTGAGTTAGTTCAGTTCTCGCCTCGTCTTGAGCTGGCTGAGACTTGAGTGCGAACAAGAGAAGGAAGATGTCGAACCTATGCCTTTGCCTTTACCTATACCCCAAGGCCGATGGAGCTACTCTACCTTGATATGTTGGTAGCTAGCTCAATCTTGCACAAACATTTTGAACAACGTCTGACTGGGCTCTGCAGAAGCTGGTTAGATCTACCATAATGACCAGTACATCACTTTAAAATAAACCCGTCATGGCTGTTATTGGCCTCGCCCTTTCTTCATGATAATGCAAGGTACCTTGTACAGTATTCACATTGCCATTTTGTCTATCCTGGGTATATCATAACAACCAAGTTCTTCTTGTTCTTCTTATATCTCCCCTCTTTCCTTTCCTTCTCTTCTTCCTCCGCCCTACTCAGCATTCACACCCCTCCCCTTATTAACCTGCACCTTCTTATCCTCGCCACCGCTAAAGATGCCCAGCTGGTCCCACACGACACTAAACACCTTGCAGCCCTCGCCCGTGATGCTGCTCTTCTTCTTGCTCTTGCCCTGCTGGCTCTCGCGCTCAATGACGTACACGGGCTCGCTGACGCTGCCCATGCCTCCCTCGTCCTTGGTCGCCGGCCGGACCGACCGCAGATCCCAGATCCGGCACGTCCCGTCGTGCGACCCGGACACCAGCGAGTACTCGTTCTCCGGGTTGGCCGCCAGGCTGACCACCTTGTTGGCGTGTCCGCGCAGCGTCATGACGCTGGTCGCCGCCGTGCTGGTGCGCGGGTCGACGAGGGTGATGTGTCGGGCTGAGGTGCCGCAGGCGAGCAAGGGCGCAGAAGCAGAAGAGCGCGGGAGCGCGGCGAGCGAGAGCAGCGCGTGCGAGGTTGTGAAGGTGCTGACGACGGACGAGGTGGTCAGGTCGAGGGTTTTGACAGTGTGGTCCTGCGACACCGAGTAGGCGACGGTGCGGTCGCGCGGGTCGAAGACGGCGGCCGTGGCGGGCGCGTTGTGGATGTTCATGAGGGCGAGCGGGCCGCGCTGGGCGGCGGTCACCGACGTCGTGAGCTTGCGGCGCTTGGAGGTGTGCGCGCCGGGGAGCAGCGAGGCGTCCGAGACTTCGGGCGCCGACGCCTTGGAGGTCGTCCAGAAACCGATGGAGCCGTCGGCCGAGGCAGTGAGGATGCGCTTGGACGCGCCGTCAACCTCGAGCGAGTCGATCGACGACGTGTGTCCGTACAGCTCGAGCGTCGGCTTCAGCTCGCCGCGGCGCTCGTACGACTCGCCCGACTCAGTGTACTTCCATACGCGAACTGTGCGGTCCATGCCGGCCGAGGCGATCTGGGTGCTGGAGAGGAACTTGGCGGCTTTTATGCTGGCGGTGTGGCCGCCGTGGCTGCCCGAGGGCGAGGTGCCGATCACATTTCCGGAGGCGTCCCATATCCTGAGAAGACCGTCGTACGAGGCGGAGAGGAGGCGGTCCTGGCCGCGCTGGAAGTTGTCGCCAGACCAGCGGCCGGCGGGGGAGGTGGCGGAGAGGACGTCGACGGCGCTGACCCAGTCGTCGTGCTCGAAGCTGGCCTCGTATGTTGGTGGGATCAAACTGCGGACGTACTGGAGGGTGAGGTTGGTTTCGAGCGAGAGGCCGTTAGCGTTGAGGTACTCTTCGAGACTGCCGCGCAGGAAGCTGCCGTTGACGAGGAAGTCGAAGGGGACCGAGTTGGTGTCGAGCATGGACTCGGAGTTGAGAATACGGGAGAGGCCATAACGGCGAATGTCGGCGGGGACGAGGAGCTGGCGCTTGCTCTCATCGAGCTGGATGTCCTCCTCCTGGGTGGTGAAGGTCACCCGGACCTGGGCGCCTGATTCGGTAGCGTGGTCCATGGCAGTGGTGCCTGTGCCTGTGCTGTGAGATTATGTGGGTTGTGTAGTTGCCGTTGTCTGGATGGGAAGGGTCGTGGAGTGTCAATGGACAAGTAAAAGTCGGGTTGGCTTGAATTACTGTAATTCTGTAAAATAGAAGAGTGGATGTTTACTTTGCAGCAGGGACATCACAAGGCCACCATGGAGGTGTCAAATCGAAAAGACTCCATCCAATTTTTTCTGTCCAGCCTTGCAGCGCAGGGGTCTGGAGTGTTCTAGCTACCCCACGTTCGCTATCTTATCGAAACTTTATAGCGGGGCGATCTGGTACCGGTGTGGGGCTGATCACTGTGCTGAAGCGGCGCTGAAGTGCCTGTCACGTTAGCTTAATTGAACCCACTGAGAGCTACGCGTCTCCAAATTGTCAAGCGCGTCGTTCGAGTTCGTCCTTTGAAGTTACTTTCCGACCCAGTTCATCACCAGGACACCAATTGCTTTTGTCACTCTTGATTTCCGAACTGCCATCTGAATCGGCAATACGATGGTCACCTTAGACGAAGTTCTCGGTAGCGGTCTGCTACAGAAGCCCTCGTGAGTGACAGTGGATCATCCATCTTGAACTGACCATCACAGGCTAACAAAGTCCACGAAAGAGGCCATGATGCGCCCGAGGCTCTTCAACGCCAGATCACCAACTACAAGCCCCTTCAGACCTTCAAGCTCGAGAAAACCCGTCCGTACCAACAACAATATGCCGACATCTACTTCCTACGTCTTACGAAGATCAGACCTGCCGTCGAGGCAGCCGCCCGCGCCGCTTGGGAGGGAACAGTGCTTGGTGGTGAGAAGGTCAAGAGGGTTGAACGTGTCCTAGACGTTCGCCAGGGAGAACTATGTTGGGTAGCAGGAACAGTATACATGGACATGCCTCTGAAACCTTCGATTCTCGAGGACGTTTCCAAGGATGTGAGTATATCATACCTTGGTTCTGGCACATATCCCTGGCTGGACAGCAGATGGCTAACATGGTGCCTCCAGCGCTGGATTTCCGCTCCCACCTCGATCGGTCACTACTACTCCGGCAATGGCGACGACTCGATAATGCTCGAAGATGACTCCGGCCGTATCCGCCTCGTCGGCAACGCTCTGCAAGACCACTTTATGGTGACCGGCTGCATCGTAGCCGTTATGGGTACCGAGAACACCAACGGCGAATTCGAAGTAATCGATCTCCTCTTCGCCGAACTACCACCGCAACCCGAGCGCTGGTCTCTCTCAAAAGGCAAAAAGGAAGAGTCAGAAGACGTCGAAATGATGGACGCCTCTTTCTCTGGACACCCATCCAAGCCACCATCCAAGAAAATCGCCATCGTCTCCGGCCTCGAGTTCTCCAACGCCGACACCTCCTACGCCATGGAGCTCAACCTGCTCCTCGAGTACCTGCTCGGCGAAGCTCTCGACCCGTCCACGCAGCGCGACGAGCTCTCGCACATTACCCGCCTCATCATAGCGGGCAACTCCATCTCCACCACCGCCAACGAGACCACCAAGGCCGCCGCCTACGACACCTCGACGCTTAAAAACAAGTTCCAGCCACAACACAAGAAATATGGCTACGACAGCAGCTCCTACAACCCAATCCCGTCCCAACTCTTCGACAACTTTCTATTTGAACTCCTCCCCACCATGCCCGTCACTTTGCTCCCCGGCGCCCTCGACCCGGCAAACGCGAGTTACCCGCAACAGCCAATCCACCCGGCTATGTTCCCGCAGTCGCGGACGTACATGTCACCGCCCAAAGTCGGGGTGGGCAAGGACGGAGATGTTCCAGAGGCGGAAGAGCCGGGGTGGTTCGACAACGTGACGAACCCGTGGGAGGGCGAGATTGAGGGGTGGCGGGTTTTGGGCACGGGCGGCCAGAATCTCGATGATGTGTTCAAGTACGTGGAGAGCGAAGACAGACTGGGCATGATGGAGGCCATGTGCAGGTGGAGGTGTGTGGCGCCGACGGCGCCGGATACGCTCTGTGAGTTTCTGTCTATTTTCCCTTTTTTTCTGTTTACCCTTGACCCCTACCTTTCCCCGTATCTCCGTTCCATGTTTCCTCCCCCTGAATAGTTTTCCCCTACCCTGCCTACTCCCTCCTTCCATTCCATCTTTCCTCTTGGCCACCCACCTCGTCAAACGGCCGACTAACCAAAACAAACAAAAACAGGGTCCTACCCCTTCCAAGAAGACGAGCCCTTCGTAACAAAGATTGTCCCCACCTCTTCTTTGTCGGCTGCCAGCCCGAGTTCGGCACGAAAGTGGTCCAGGGGCCCAATGGCCAAGCGGTCCGATTAATTGCCGTGCCGTCGTTCTCTGAGACTAGAGAGATAGTGTTGGTGGACACAGAGACGTTGGATGTGGAGAGGGTGAGGGTTGTTGCTGAGTAGAGCTAGTAGGACGGTAGTTGGATGGTGATGGATGGTGTTGATATCTATTGATTTGGGATGGGTGAGTGAGCGGGTGGTGGGTGGTGGGTGGGATGCTATATCCATCTTTTTTTTTTTTTTGCTGCTGTCTTTTGCTTTGAGCAGCATTGGGAGTTAAGTTAGGTTAGGTACAGGGAGAGAGAAAACTACGGGAGTTCTTTTGTTTTGTTTGAGGTACTATCCTACGGATGAGGTTGGGACTTGGGAGTGATGGGTATCGGTGTTTGGTACATAGGTATCTGGGAACCATTGCATTAGATTCATGATCTGTTTGACACGATCTGGAACAAGATGAGAACTTTTCTTCAAGTGTCAATGTTAAGATCAACGCAACGCAACTCGTGATAATGCTATGGAGGTCATGCAAACTTGCTTGATACATCGGGCTTAGACGAATGAGCTATTGAAGGTGTTATTGTGTGCCTGAGTGGTATTGTCGTACTCCTTGCTTGCTCAACTCCTTCTGAAGGAACTCGATAGACCACCAGACCTTTGGTAAGTATAAGAAGCAACACTCATCCCTCCTGCCTTTTCTTTCCCTTGTTTTGGAATCCTCGAGTTATCCTTCTTGCTGTGAACTTGTACTTGGATACCTTGTGCAAAACGTGACAAAATGTCCTCGTCGATAAAGATGTCTTTTTCCACTGAAAGAGCAAAAGCGTCATGCTCGACCTGAGATCCATAGTCTCAGGATCGTTCGTGCATGAAAAATGATGAACCTGTAAGTCGCTCCCGTTAATGACCAGTTTCCTCCCTTTTGGTAGATACTCATGTTTTCCCTTTCCCCAGCCTCGAAATCCCTCCCTTGCCTTTTCTCCCATTTCCTTACGCTGGCCAAGTTATGGTCCACGGCTGTGGAGCTAACAGGACCTCAAGTCCTCAACTCCGATCAAGGTGATGATACTGACTCTTTTTTGCCGATAGATAAGATGCCCCGTGTTAGTTCCTCAGCCCGGGTGGAAGCCCTCTTTCATGGGCAACGTGATTCTGGGAGATAATCAAAAACCCATGAAAAAAATTGTGGCAGAAAAGCTCAAAAAAATCAAGACCTGCAAGCAATCAACACATCAGCAAAACGTCTTACAGAAACCGGCAAAGAATCTTCATACCGTCCACGGCCGCGAGCCGGCTGTTTCCTCTTCTTTGAACGACTATCGTAGTCATCGTCGTCATTGTCATCTTCATCGCCCTCTTCATCAGAGGATGCTTCTTCCTCATCGTCGTCCTCACCATGAGCGTCGTCCCTGGCTGACCGGTCAACGCCGTCGATACGGGCCTCGAATTCAGCTCTTTCGTTTTTGCGACGAATGTCGGCAGCGGTATGGTTCTCCCAGAGTCCATCTGCGACGGCCTGGTCCGGATCTCTGCATCCCGCGTACATGCGCTCCTTCAAAAACCTGAGCGCTGCCTCGGCCTCTTCACCCCGCTTGACCCGCTGTTCCTTCATCAAGTGATCGTTTACCTAAAACAAACCACTGTTGTCGGACTGCTCAAGCTTTATGAGGTGACGCGAAAGGAAGCGCAGGTCAAGGGTCGTCTCGAGATGACGCTTTCCAGTTTCTGGGCTGACCGCGAATTCGTCTTCCTCCTCATTAGCGCTTTCGTCAACATGCATGTTGACTCTCAAGAACTGGGTGTCGATGCGGCAGAGGGCATGCATAACTGGTGATCGGCTACCAAACAGCTCGATAGCGCTCGAGGCAAAGGTCGGTTCTTGGTTGCCATTAGGAGAGCTCCTGGAACTGCGACGGTTCTGGTCGTTCTCCGGTGATATAGTGATGGTTAAGGTATGAAGGAAGATTTTCGGCGTCTTCCCGTTCACCACTTGGCCAGCAAGCAAGGTTTTTGTGCCCTTTCTGTCGGAGCTGGCCAGGACATCAAGTGCCCGCTCCATTAGTTCCCTGTACTCTTGGCCAGTTCGATTCAGCTCGAGCTCAATGCTTAGGTGCCGCACCAAGTGGCCGTATTTGGCGATGTTGATCTCGTGTAAGCCGTAGGTCCCAGAGTTGAACTGGGAGGCTGCTTTACGCTTACGCTTGCCACGACCCAAGCTTTCCTCCAAGGATTCCTTGTGCACCTCCTCAATCATGGAAGCGAAATCGACTTTGGCATGGGCAGGATCTCGCAACAGGTAAACAAACTGATTCTGGGAGTATAGAAGCGAGCTGCCCTCTGCCAGCATTTGACGGGATGTTCGCAAGATGGCCGTTTCGATGGTGTGCTCGCTCATACCATTACCCCAGTGTCCTCGTCCGCGGGTACTGCGGCGGGTGGAACGGACCTGTTCAGTCCAAAGACGCTTGACGTATACTGGCTTGTCGGAAACAAGGAGGTGCTGGAGAATCTTTTCACGAATCTCATATGGAAGCTTGAGGAACGGAAAAGGCTTTTCGGCGGCTTGGTCAAGTGCAGCAGTCTCAAGATTTCCTGGCACAGCTGAGGTTCGTAACACCTGTCGAGAAGAACGGGTTGGTTGTCCGTTGCGGGTTCGTCTGTTTGTTGGCTGTTGTCGGGGCTGTGGTGGTGGCGGAGGAGGTTTGATTCTGGGCCTCTTGGCCGAGCGCACCTCGAGGAGGCGCGTGAAGCTACGTCTAAGGAATTTGTCCGAGGTGTCGTCAATCTCGGGGTCCTGTTCTTGGTGTCCGCCGTAGGAAGCGGTGCGTTTGGAAGGTCTGAGAGGTGGCAACATATCGAGATGTTGGGAGTGTCTAGGTGGTGTTTGGAATATATTAGACCGAGTGCTTGTTGATAGGGCTGGGCTCATCCGGATGGATCTTGGTGAGTCGACACTGGCCATGGCGCCGGCCTGTATAAAAGGCTGTTGGTTGACGAGCCATCCATACACCTTGTGCTGTGACAGGTGTCCGCGGTCGCTACGTTCTTGTTCCAGGCTCGACATGGCTGACATTTTCGCTGAAGACAGTAGGGTCAGATGATCCGTGTTGAAAGTCGATGATGGTGATTGTAAAAGAAATTCGAGAAAAGGGCATTCCCAGTCAGGGATCTTTGTGGAAAGTCGATACCACTGGTGGTGTCGGCGATGCTATGACAATACGCCGGTGCGGCAAAAGGGGCGACGGTAGGATGCAAAACAATAATGATGTGTTGCTGCCCCTGATGACAGAGGGCCAGGTGCGACGAGATGGCTTTGCTGGGCCGTAGGCTGAAGGTTCTTGCCGTGTTATAGGGACACCTCAATTAATTGTGGTGCTGCCGTGCCGCGGAGTGAATAGCAGAGCGAGAAAAAAAGGTTTCAATGCCTGCTGCCCCACAAGGACTGGTGGTGAATGGAAAATTTCGGGTCGTGATCGTATGCGTATGGTGTTGACCCAGACAAGAGCAAAACCTGGTTGCCGTAGGCAACGACTAATCAACGGATTGCAGGCCGGACAGATGAAGCCACCGGGAGGATTGATCCAATGGCCTTCAATCTCTAGCTGACCACAAAGGTTTGAAATCCTTCAAGACCTGGATCCAAGTTAGTGATTTGAATCAGAAGCTGGTCTAATGCAGGTCTGCTATGACGCCCCATGAAGGTTCACAGTATGGAGAATGTGACTTGGGCTTGGTATATCAATGGATGCGACTGTTCCGTAAATGATACAGCCTATCCCGCAGATGACTTGACGAGATCAAGCGTGCCCAGATGGCTTCATGCAAGATACACGACGCTCGAGTTTGGGAAGATGGGTAGTTTTGTGAATGCAATATCTGTCCACGAGCTTATCTTTCCAGAGGAGAATTACCGTGATCCCCTTCCACCGGGAGCAATACCAAAGGTGAGGACGACGAGAGATATGGCTGAGGTTGTAACTGGTTCAAAAGGAAGGGCCAGCTGAAGGAAGATGGAACGTACCTTGATGTATCAAGAAAACAGTGTGTGTCAGGATTCCAGCTGTCTTGGGATGTTACTGAAGATCGTGTCCAAGTGCTGCTACCTAAGCAAGCAAGGACCCGAGAAGCTGGCCTGTTGATGCATGGAGAAAGTTCCTCGACGACCGCGAGAACGAAGTAAATACTCTTTTCCAGCAAAATTCGCCACAAGTCGCAGTCCCGTCATGGAGCTGAGTGGATGTGGTCTGGAGGCAGAGATGACCATTTCCGTTGCTGGTGTTGATTCCAAACAAAAAGATGGGATGACGGAATGAAAAGCTCGCAGAACACCTCTGGCCTGCTCGTTTCACTCCTGCCACATCGTCGCGATAATCTCCACCAAACAACCTCGAAGGATGCCATCCTGGAGTTGAACATACAGAGATTTCGGTACACGTGCTACTGTACTCGACTTGGGCAAAGTATATCTATTCTTGAAACCTTTCGGTTTCCGGGCACTCGCCATCTATTCATCCCATGCCCCTAGAGTGGTGGTTGAAGTGAGATGATTTGAGAAACTGTGAAAGAAACACAGAGAAGCATGGCTGGAACCTGAGAGATGAGTTCGAAGGTGTATGCGATGGGGAAGACACACAAAGCAAATGAGGACCATCATCGGAGATATGCTTCAGTGAAAAGCAACACAAATATTGGCGATAAGGGGAGAGGTTTAGTGTCATAACAAAAGCAGACGATGAGCGGGCGGCTCACCAAGCTGGACTCATACTTCCACTTGAATGCTTTTTGCTTGAATAGCAAGCCGGACGTGTTGGTAGTGTTCGACGACGTTGAGTCCAGGTACGAGGAGAATGGGAAGACTCGGAAGGGGGAGATGCAGGACACAGATCCTGGGAATGACACGTCCATCAATCCTTCACATTGGACATGATCGCGTTCATTCCTTCCCCGGAGTCAACGCAACAAAACACCTGACATCAGGATCGCGACTTCCCATCACGTCTTCAAAGATAAGACGGGAGCTGACGGACTTCCACGCAATCGTCGAGATGCGGCGTCTTTCGAAGTTCGACACTCCCCAGTAGGGAATTCATCTGGTGTCTGATAGTACAAACAAAATTCAGATGAGGGCTAACAAGTGCGCAAACAGTAATTCCGAAACGGTCAATCATGAATCGAATTCCCACCCATTCACCAGAAGTCGTCATCTTCGTCAACACCAGAAAAGAATGAACGACGTTGGAGGTCGGACGTTCCAAAAAGGAAGGCCCAGCCCAACCGACCCACATCTCCGGTCTCGGACCCACCTCCCATCCAACGCTGCAGTGCCGTGCGGCGTGCCGCTCGGTTGAAAAGAAAAACGTTTAACATCGGTTCATCGGTACAACGGACGGTACGAGCCGCTCATTGCTAAAAACAAAACAGAATGCACCGGGGTGAATGCATAAAAGAGGCATTCCGGGCTTCCTTATCGGGGCTCTAAGACAACTTTCTCTCACGGACCTGCATGACTGCATGTCGGGTCTGCACCATGGGCATACAAGGGCGTGTTTCCCGCCCTATCAGTGAATTTCAAGGGCGTAATCTCACCGTATCGGCGCCTACCTTGTTACGTGATGATACCGCCTGGCTGGGTTGATCTTTCTCTTGATGGACGAGATGGACAAACTTCGGCATGTCGTTCTCGATTCTTTCCTGTTCCTTCTCCTCTTCTATCTCGCCGAAAGAGGCAGCTATCATGGCCTCCAGGAAGGCACGGTACCTGTGGTACTGTGCAATAGAAACAGCTATGCCGCATCATCCGGACCTTTGACAAAGAGACTTTAGAGCCGTCTGGGGAAGCCCTTACTGTTTCCAAGCAACAAACATCAGCCTGAGATACACAGATGCAATTCAAGAACGCCGTCTTTTTCTTCCATACAATTAAACAAGCACTTTAGCCAGATCCGGCTCCTTCCCCGGAGAAAGGCATCCTTGGTGAACATTTTCGGCCAGCCCAACGAAACCATCTTTTCCCTTAAGCGCGCTATAGGAAGGTCTGGAACCGTGTATCCACCTTCTGCTAATGGTGTAAGACGATAGGGAAAAAAGCAACAAGAGAAGATTTTCTCTCAACAGAGCAAAGGGTCAACCACAACAGTTGGGACGGTGAAAAAAAAATAAATAAAAAATAAATTATTTTATTTACAGTAGGTCATGGGATCTACCTACCTTCTCTGGCTTATTTTTATGTAATAACACATCATCACAGGACCAGTCCAAGTTCTCCGACCGACCTCAAAGCCAGTGCCGTTGTCTGTCGTTGCATACCGGCCGGGAATATTTGACACACAGTCACACTCGATCTTGACCGATCAATTGACAGGTATTTTTGTTTCTTTCCATTCCGTAATGTCTTTTTCTAGCTTCACGCCCCCAACACGCCCATGAGCCTCAAGATCGTATCGAAGCCGCCACATGGGTTAAGTGACAGGTCTTGGTGAGTCCAGGCCAGGGGGGGAACAGGTACCAAGTACACAAATCATGGGACCGGCAGCTCCAAGCGGCAAGGGACAGACGCCCAACAACGACCGCCACCCGGCTGGCCAACCGGCCGAAGTCCGGGGTTCAAATGAAGCAAGAAAGATGGGGAAGAACACCATCGAGCAGTGAACCTATGGGAACCGTTCGTATCAAGATGACCAAGTGAGAGGGTGAAGAAATTGTTGTCGATATACCCTACCCACACCCCAGGTACACGGATATATCTTGCCCTCCAGCTTCCCCGGATTTTCGAAACTCGACCTATCTTCTTGGCTACTTAACTTTTCCTCTTTCATCATTGTTACCAAGAGCTTCTAGAAGGAATCAATCATAAATATCTACAAGGAATCACTAACAAACACTTCCCTTTCAAGCCCTCAAGAAACAACAACAACCTCCTTCCAGTTCACCAAAAAATCAACAAACACCAAAGATGGGCTCCGTAGCATTCCCCTCTCCCTCGGAACCTCCCAAGCCCTGGGTTGAAACCCCCCTCATCTATTCCGCCCAACTATCCAACACCGCCGGTTGCAACATCTATCTCAAGCTCGAGAATGTCCAGCCGTCAGGGTCTTTCAAGTCTCGGTATGCTCCAACTCACCACCTCACTCAAATACTAAACAGTTACTAATACCCCAAACAGCGGCATTGGTAACATGATGCTCCGCTCCACCCTCTCCTCCTCTTCCGAGGAAACCCCCCAGAAAAACCACTTCTTCTGCTCCTCCGCTGGCAACGCCGGCCTCGCTTGCGCTACCACCGCCCACACGCTCGCCTGCCCAGCAACCATCGTCGTGCCGACCTCGGCTCGGGAGCCCGTCCTCCGTCGTTTGCGCCAACTAGGTGCTTCAGTTGTGATCCATGGTAGCTCGTGGTTTGAAGCCGACACGCACCTCCGCGAAGTAGTCATGCCTGCTTCTGCCGTCGCCGATAGCAGCGACGGAGAAAAAGTGAAGCAAGTCTACGTGCCCCCCTTTGACCACGAAGACATCTGGGCCGGAGCAGCCACTCTGATGGACGAAGTCGCTGAGCAGATGAAGGTGGTGCATCGCGCCTTTCTCGACGCCGTGGTGTGTAACGTCGGCGGAGGCGGGTTGTTGAACGGAATCATGGAGGGGGTTTGGGGTCCTACCCGCAACAAGGGAGGGAGAGGGATGGGTAAAGAAGTAGGAGGCGGCAAAGAGCCGCGGGTCTTGGCCATTGAGACCGTTGGAGCCGATAGCTTCAACCAGTCTGTCCAAGCAGGCGAGCTGGTCAAGATGAAGGCCATCACCAGTATTGCGGCTAGCTTGGGCGCGCTGCAGGTTTCCCGCAAGACGTGGGAGTGGAGGCAACAAGTCGGCGGGAAGAATCTGGTGAGCGCGACGGTGACGGATGCGGAGGCCGCCATGGCGAGTGTGAGATTTGCGGACGAGCATCGCATGTTGGTGGAGGTGGCCTGTGGCGCGACATTGGCGACGGCGTATAACGGGGATTTGAGAAAGTACCTGGGGAAGGGACTGAGTGAGGAGGAGTGGAGGAACTTTAATGTGGTGATGGTGGTTTGTGGAGGGAGTCATGTTAGTGTGGATGTGTTGCAGCAGTATAAGGAGGAGTATGGGAAGGAGGTTACTTGGGCTTGAGTTTGAGGGTAGACGAACGGGTCATGGATGGATGGGTGAAAGTAACAAAAAGCACGATATGGGGCGTTCATTGGTTTTGTTATTTTTATTTTTGTTTATATTTCTATCAACCAGTGCTTTCGTCTTCGTCCTTAACCAAGTTCACTTCTCTGCAGTCGCTGATCGACACCTCTACCACTCATCCCCAAGTTCAACCAGTTTAGTCAGTCGCCCTCTCTCAACATCCTGACTTATTCCCCCCGTTCATAAACAACCTCCCTATACCCCTCCGGCACATTTATCCCCGCAACCCCCCCCCAAATCCCTCCAAATCATCTTGACCTCCCCAAAGTAGTTGACCTCCCCTTCCTGCTCAAACCCCAGACTCTTGAAAAGCGCAATGCTCTGGCTATTATCCTTGTTGATCTTGGCCATGAGCATCCTCAGTCTGGGCTTTTTAGTGGAAGTACCGGCCTGCTGCTGCTGCTCCTCCTGCTGCATCTCACCAACATAATACTCCCTCAAAACCCCCTCCAGGTTCCTCGCGATATACTGCAAAAACGCCGACACCACCGCCTTTCCCAGTCCTTTGCCGCGGTGCGATGGGGAGGCTATCATGATGTCTACTTCGGCTATGCATTGGAAGCAGTCATTCTCGTCGTCATCTTCTTCATCGTCGTTTGGGTACAGAAACAAGTTGACGTCGCCGATCATTTGCGAGGGGGAGTCGACTTTGCCTGCTTTTACGGCTTGTACTGAAGCAGGTGGTGCTGAATCTTCAGAAGTTGTGACGGGAGTGACTGGAGCGGTGGAAGTGGAAGTGGAAGTGACGACGGAAGTAACAGGTTGGCAGATAATAAAAGTTAGCTTATCATGGGAGGACCGCCATGATTGCTGGTTCTCGTATTCTTCCTCGAGGGTGAGAGGTTCCGAGGCTGTGGCTGCTTGGATTGCCTTGTTACTGTTTGTTAGTTTTTCTGTCTGTGTGTTTTCATGCAGTGAGGAAAGAGAAAGAGGAAGGGGGGCCGAATGACCGTACTTACCGGATCTTCCATCCACTGGTGATAGGTAGGAACATGTCTGCTCTCGTAGGGGACGAGGAGAGCTCTTGTTGTTGAAACGGCTATTTAGGTAGGTAGGTTCAGGTTCAGGTTAGCACCGAACGGCATTGGTTTTGTCATCACATCATGAACTACACTACGGTATGTATGTATGGGTGGTATGGGTGGTATGGGTGGTATGGGTGAGTGGTATGGGTGGTAGAGAAGGACGAGGAGTGAAAGGCAAGGCGGGGTCAGAGTGAATGCGAGGGGGAAAATCGAAGGAAAAAAGAGGGAGGGGGGGTTTACCGGTAGATTCGTTGAGTTTCATTATGATATGACTGGTAGGTATGCCTCGCGATTGGCTTCGTGAGACAGGTTGATATGATAAATGAGGTTTTTGGGTTGTATGAGTCTACGAATCGTGCGGATGGGTTTTGAACTGAAAGTAACATAATTCAGGTAAGGATACCCACCCATCTGAAGTGTAAATTTCGTAACGTCTGTCAAGCCCCGTTATAGCGGTAAGATCAAGTGCTCTATTGGCTTGATCCCCCTAAGAAGAGTTTATTGCAACTTGCTTGACTTAAAAACACACACAAAAATGGAATGCAATTTAACAACATCCTCATATGTACATCTGGGTTCTAGCTAGTAGGGTATCTTGAGCTACAAAGAGGCAGACTATTAATACATCCGGAGGGCAATGAGGCCAGACTGGATCAGGCATATACGGCAAAAGAACACCGACAGGCCACACAATTTGGGGTTTGAAAACCAAATCAGAAATCTTGCTTCAAGACTTCTAATGGCCTGTCCTTCTTGTTGCCGGAGCTGTGCTTCTTACCACTGTCGGGTTTCATGTCCATGATGTCGTCCAACATAGGAGGAGGGAAAATGCCTTCCTTCCCGAACGTCCTGAAAGCAGTGCCGTATGTACCATCAATGAATACCTTGGCATGAGAGAACGTCCTCTTGTCGTTCTCGACTCCCAATAGATCAAGAAGTTCGGCGGCCTTTTCAGGCATGAATGGCTGGAGGAGGATGCCGGCAATTCTGAGACTTTCGCCTGCGGTGAGAATAATCCGGTCGACCAAGGCCTCAGAATCAGGCTTCTTGACTACGACCCAGGGTTCCGCGTTGGAGATGAAGGCGTTGGTCTGTGAAAATGGTTAGTAACTAAATCACGGTGTATGGAGCAAAGGAAACATACCTCGCCAATGAGTCCCATGATCTTTTGGAGGGCATGGCTAGGGTTAAGCTGTAGCATTTCATTATCGACAGTCGAGGCAAGCTTGTCAAGCCGGGCAAGGTGTTCAACGCAAGAATCGTTAATCTGCTCCCCCGTCGATTGGAGACGCATGGTTCCATCGTTGTAAGACTGGACTGCTCTGCGCAAGCTCCATTGCTTGGGTCTTGTTACACGTGCGCTGAGGTTTCCTACTCCGTTTTGCAGATGCTTCTTGTACTCGACAGTGAGCCAGCCATTGCTGTAGTCCGCGTCGTTGGAAATGCCGCCATTATGGACCATGTAGAAACGCATGGTGTCGATGCCAAACCGCTCCATGGCGTAGAACGGATTCACGACGTTGCCGATCGACTTGGACATCTTCTTCTTCTCCATAGTCCAGTGGGCGTGGCTTAGGATCCTCTTGGGCAAGGGAAGATCCAAAGCCAAAAGCAGAGCAGGCCAGTAGATGCAGTGGAACCGAAGAATATCCTTGCCGATGACATGAACGTCAGCTGGCCAGCCACCTGCGTGCTCCAGTCCTGGAGGCCAGTTGGGTAGCCAGCCTTGGTAAGATAGTTGATCAGGGCGTCAACCCAAACGTATATGGTCTGGCTCTCGTCATCAGGAACGCGAATGCCCCAGCTCAACCGAGAGACAGGTCTCGAAATCGAGAGATCTTCCAAGTTGTTTGTAACCCAGTCCACGACCTGGTTCATCCGAGTATGAGGGACGATCCAGTCGGGGTTGTTCTTGTAGAATTCAAGCAACTGGTCCTTCAGAGCGGTCATGCGGAAATGGTAGTTCTTTTCCTCGATCCACTCCACCTTGTTTCCAGACTCAATGGACGCCACGTAGACCTCGCCCGTGAAGGGGTCCTGCCTCTTCTCAAGTTGGGACTCGGGGTAGAAGCACTCGTCGCTGACGCAGTACCAGCCCTCGTGCTTGGCCTCGTAGATAAGCCCCTTGTCTTTCAGTAAGAGCCAAAAGTGTTTGACAGCCTCGACATGGTCTTGATCGGTAGTGCGGATGAATCGGTCGTGGTCGATGAGGCATGCGGCAGCCAGTTCCTGGAACTTTGCCGAGTTCAAGTCGCAGAACTGCTTCGGGTCCATATCGTTGGACATGGCAGCGCGCTGCACCTTCGTTCCGTGCTCGTCGGTCCCCGTACACAGAATGGCCTGGTTGCCCTTGAGTTTCTGCCATCGCTTCAGCACATCGGCCAGAACCATGGAGTACATGTGGCCGACATGTGGCGCTGCGAGGGGTGTTTAGCATGTCGCATGCTCCCGAGCTCGAACACTGGTGGTTGGTCCTTCACGTACAGGCATTGACGTAGAATATTGGCGTCGTGACATAGAAGGGCTTATTGTCTGGCGTCTTCGTCGCTGTCGATGTCGGTGTCGATGTCGCGAGGGTTCGTCGAGGAGCTTTGGGCGCGACAAACTGGCTGCTGCGGCATGACCGGCAGACCCAGCTGTTCCTCGCCAGGATGCCGGAAGCTTGCCATTTGAAAGTGCGGCGAGCTGATGCCGTTCGGAGGACATCCATTGGCGCGGTTGGTTCGCCGGGGCGGCGGGCTTTTGTTGTGTGGTTGCTGGCGCTGTCCCGCCAAACTGAAGGAAGAGGGGAGGAAGAGTTTCCCCAAAAGTGAAGCTACAGTGGAGGTACGTACATACCTGACGGCGTGATGTGGGGGAGCCAGAACGAGGGAGCAGGGGCAGTCCGCAAGGTCCCCGTATTCATTTAACCGAACAAACAGCCCCATTATATGCACCTACTAGGGCACGATTCGTCCTGTTTTCCAGAACTGAAGCGCTTCAACTCTTCTTCAATATGTTAAGTTGGTCTCTTCAGAATTTCTTTGGAGACATTTCTAAAGTCAATTCGGCTACACACCGTGAATGTTACCGAAGCGCCGAAAATGAGCGTCTGCTTGTAACACCAGATAGATGGCTGCATATCTGGGCTTCCACAAGACAACCCGCCAGAGTCCAGTCGAGTGACGCTTTCATGGTAGGGTGGTCCTCTTTTGAAAATGGATCTTGGAGGTCATGACGAATGACGAGAAAAAGCGCCACTAGCTCTGGAACGTCGTACTAGATGGCTCCTCGAGTTCTTGAGCAACTTGCTCGGGGGTTCACTCATTCATTCAGACGGTGTTCATCCGATATTCCGGCATGATTTCCAGGGTCCATCCGAAGTCAAGTCAACTCTCAATAACAGCAGAAGAGATTGGTGGCCGGAAGAGGGATTCACATTCACATCCGAAAAAGCTGAATGTTTACCTAAAGTCGGGCTATTCCAGTTGGACGGTGTTGAAGTCCAACGCAACTCTGGTTCCTCTGATGTCGCATCCCGTGCTGTTGGAAGGAACAGTCGGGGCCTGACTCCAAGGGACGGAAGATCTGGCTGCCCCAATGCGGTTATTGTCATACTAAAAGTACCTCACTAACATATTGGCAGTTGGCGCTGTTTGTTTCTTCGTGTTCTTCAAGAAAAACAAACACCATGAAGAAAAGGCCAGAACGACAGAACTGGTTTAATTTGTCTGAAAATGAAGCAACAAATGCCATGCCTATCACGGACAATCATGTCAAGGTGTCTCCTTTCTTCGCTCTCTCAATCTGGTAACCACACCAGAATCCTCATCAGATAGTCCGAAGCGCCAGGCCTCCCACTATCCCTACCCACCTCTATGGGCCCCAGGCGTCAACAACCGGTTTCGTGCCTTGAGCTTACCGGAGTACGTACAATAATACCCCTCATTCCGGTGATTCCTTCCTTGGGATTTCAAGCATGCCATGCCCGGCCCAACAACCTCACTCACTTAGCACCTCGTGACAGGAAGTAGCTGAGGCTTATACACCGAGCCCTCACTGTCTCCTCCCCGACCGTGACAGGAAAAAAAAAAGACACACACCTTCTTCTCAGTTCACTGTACCCGTGTATCCCTTCCATTCTTCCAAGAGAGCTGGACAAACGCATTTGGCTCCAATACCGCGCCTCTCAACCAGATTGAACACCTGACGCCAACGTCCACGTTTTACCTCAGGTCAGATACCAACACCCGCCATTGGCCATCCTACCCGTCCCTGAATTTATGCTGCAGCCCGAGGTTAACTGCGGAAGATTTTGAAGAAAGAATCAGAGAGAAACAGAGTAGCTGGATCGACTCATCGAGATCCGGAACCGCCCCCACCACCCCTCGGTCTACTTTCCATCACTGGTCCTCGCTGCTGATCACTGTTGCTCACTGTTGCTCGACGCTGGTACTGTATCGCAACATCTGTGTACTTCAAGAGACGAGTATCTCCTTCGAATCAGAAAAAAGAAGCTGTGCTACAGTTCGCGTGCGTCTCCTTCGCCCAATACCGACTGATTCGGCAGAAGCCCTCCCAAGTGTTCAACCCTTCTTCTTGCTTCTGGGAGCCCTCGAGGCCGCTCGTGTGCTGCAATTCATTACCAGCACATTCTCCAAACACCACGCAGGTGTATCATGATATGAGATATATTCACAAACTATTGGCCCAATCACACACTTGGTAACCCTCAATCATGGTTGGGATGGACGCTATTAGCGCGCTCCTCGAGACGGGATCGTGGAGGACCTCGCGCTCAAAGAGTCAGAACCCGTGAGTCTGTCCAGACACCCAAACATCAACCTGGGTTATATGCTGATCTTTGTTGGACTCTAAGCTACTCTCGAACTCCCCGTCGTACTGATCCACTCTCTGAGCTGGATATTCATGTTGACAAGCCCTCGGAAACACGAAGACGCATCCCGCGATTGCCTCCACCTACTGTTGAAGACGAGACCGAGTCTCTAGCCAAGGAACATGGAAGTCCGTCGGTCATTAGCTCTTATGAGGATGAACCTCCCAACCGCGGGGAGGTTGACCAGGAAATACTCATGGAGCCGGTTTTGGAAAACAATCCAGAGCGTCGCTTTGTAGTTGTCACGGGCCCAGGGGCTGGAAAAGAGGGCGAACCAGCACCCAGCATCGTTGCGACAACACCATCCAATCCCGAGAAAGAGGAGACCAATGACTGCAAAAAGTTTGTTCTTGTTCCTTCCGATGAGACCAACGACGGAGACAAGCAAAAGGAGAAGAAGGTATCGGAACTCGGGAAGCGAAAGAGCCACCAGGATCTGCCACGGTTGGATACCCACGTTCAAGAGCCAGGCATCAAGGACGTTTTTATTGAACCACCGAAGGACAGACGAAGCCCAGAGAAGACTCCTGTCTATCAGGAGGATGACAGAGCGGCCCGGATCAAACGATCAAGCAGCCGCAGGCGCCCAGAAGCATATGCTGATGAAGAGGACGCCAAGAAAGCGTCCTTGAAGCGAGCAAGCAGCCGTCGGCGCCCAGAGGTTCCTCCAGACGACCAAGACTCTGCGGATACTTCCATCAAGCGATCGAGTAGCCGGAGATACAGAGAGCGGCCCGTCGACCATGATGCTAAGGACTCTCCTATCAAGCGATCAAGCAGTCGGAAACCCCGAAATCGACCACTTCACGACTCTGAGATCACCGCTGATTCTCCTGACAATGTGAACCCAGGCGCAAGCGACTTTCCTGCTAGCGTCGTCACTGAAATGGCGGGTGGTAGGGAGCGTGCGTATTATGATTTGAACCAAGCAGCGGACGGGCTTTCCCATCGTCGCTCAAAATCCAAACATGGTGCTCGAATCACACCGTCAAACAGTAGGCAGGCCTACCACTTGTCTCCTCCACAAACACCAGGCCGACCGCGCCACGACCGTGTGGCCTCAACACCTGACGTGCCACGAATCGACTCCAGATCCCTTGAGCTGGAAGGACCTGGAATAGCTCCGCTATCGATGTACCGATATAACGAGGCGGATGACGCCATGGCGTTCATGGTACAAGAAGACGCCATCCTCGATCACGATCTGACTAGGAAGTCTCCGCCGCCGAGGAAAAACCGCAAAGAGAGCCCACCACCGTATCCCTCAGGTGCAGAACGGAAGAGGATGCCAAGTCAGGCTGCTACTAACAGGAGGCGACGCAACTCTATGGCTGCCCCTCGTGACCGCAGAGAATACCCAATCGATGACGATCCTCGTTACCACCATTTAGACCACCAGGAACAGCCCCAGCCGTTTCGCCCTGTGGTCGAAGAAGACGCCTCACTGATGGCCCTTAGACATCGTTTGGGTGCAGTGGATATGGGTTCAGAGTCCCAGGATATGGTACCTCATCCTTCCGCCCTTGCACTAAGGCAGCAGGATCAGTTTTCAGAACCAAGTGATCCAGGAAGCTCGAGAAGCGCCACATTCTCGGCCGAAGGAGATTACCGGAGGGGGAGGGCCGGCACCTACTCTTCGACCTCTTCCCCCCCTAACGGTAGACTGGCACCGCGGAGGGAAGATGAGGGCAACCCGAGGACCAGGCGGCGAGCTCGTTCACGGACTATGGGCACAAACCCCTATTCCAACAGCTCTCCAATCTTGTCTGTGTCCGGTCATCTTCCTTCACATGGGAATATGGCGCTTGCAAAAGTCTCTTCACCATTGGCATCCCCATCTCTTACTCGGCAAGAACTTGTCAGTACCAGGCCATCAGCGTCTTTCTGGGACCCGAATCCATTCGAGCCAGCGGGCCGTAGAGCTCCAGGCACCAGACCGATTCTCTCCTTCCGGACTTATTCAGAGGAGGTAGAACACGGACTCTCAGCTCCTCTCCCCACCTGTCCTTGGACTGTTCCTGGTTTACCTTACAGCAGAAACCCAGGAGACCGTTTCTGGACTCTTCGCGGGGCCGAGAATTTTTTGGTATGCCCTCATTGTCACTCAGAGCTTTTTGCGAACAGCCCGTTCAGGCACGAGTTCGTTGCGACCTCCTTGCGACCCGACAAGCACGTTGTGTGCGACATTGGCTCCTCATTCTGGTACCGCATGGCATATCTCATGACACTCAAGCAGCGCTTGCCAGATTTGCAACTGGTGCGAAACGTAGCTGCAATTTCAGGGCTCAATCCGCCCTGTAGTGGACCTCAAGAGAAATCTCGCATATGGCACGGGATGTGGGATCCGTATAAACGAGAATATGTGCCTCACTTTGAAGTCTGCGTGGGCTGCGCGAAGATGTTGGAGGCAGTGTTACCGAACCTGGTCAATACGCTATATCCAATGAGCTTAGAGCCATTCACAGCATATTGTCAACTTCACTACGCACCTGGAAGGAAGCGTTTTATGGACTATTGGGACCTTTTGGAGACGACTTCGGATATCGCACTCAGCCACCAAACCGAACCCGACATTCGTGTGCTCGCGAGCGGGCTTCGCCGAATCGCTAGAGTCAAGGAATGCCCGCCGTGCCCACAAGATCAGGCGCTTGTAAACGCATATTGGCATGTCATGCAATTTCTTCCGGATTTTACGGTGTGCGAGGAATGCTACAGGGAAGTGGTCAAGCCCATGCTTGACGCCAACGATACTAGGAGCGACATCCCTTGGAACTTCCTCCCCGACAGACTTGTGTCCAAGCCGATAGCCTCTTGTCACCTCTCCAGCGAACGGATGCGGGAAGAATTCCGCGAGGCATGCCGGCTTAATGATTATGGCTACCTCGAGGGCAAATATATCGAACGGATGGGGACTCCAGTGACGCCTGTGTCTAGGTGGTAGGGGGATCGTTTACCGCGGCAAGGCTAGGGTTTTAGAAAGAAGGGTAGACAACAACATTTGTACTGGGAAGATTGTGTGTTGGAAATGCGGTAGAGAGTGAGTATGTCAGAGGTCTGTAACATGGCACTGATGGAATACAGATGAGGGAGAGGGGAAAAGTAACAACGAGATTTGCCGGATGATACCACTTTCCTGATTCCATGGTAGCTTGGGGTCAACCTAGCAAAGGCGTTAAAGAGGATAGGTTAGACACAGGTGTTGAAGGGCATAAAAGCAAGAAGCATGTGTCAAACCCTCAAGCGCTCATGAGAACTGAAAGTGTCGGTACCTACTTGTCTGGCATTTAATCTGCAACCCGGATTGATTACGAGTTCTGGTTACCATAACCTACCCTGTATTTTTCCACGGCTGAAGCGAGACGGCTCGCGACATGGTACGGCACATTAGCCGAACAGCAAGATACTGGTGGAAGTATTATATTTGGCAAATCATCATCCTAAGAGCTTGGTATCTCAGTTGCCTAAAGACCTTTATATCTAGCCTCCTGGTGTGTGGAATAATCTTCTGCAAACATCCAAGTAAAATGGAAGCAAAGGCACCACGGCATGGTGTTAAAAAGGATCTGTACAGGCATGATAAACATTGCAATAAAGTCTTTTGAAATACAAGACTCAACCTGTCCACCTTCCCAAGAACCCAACAACGGGACATGTTCCTTGCCACTCGTAATCATACACAGCAAGATGCGTTTTCCCACCTCAACTTCAACCTACCTCTACCTATCTCTTGCACTCTTCCTTACCATCATCATCATCACCTCAGCCGCTGTACCAGTAGTCAAGGAAGGCTCAACCTCCATCGTCACATCCACCCAAGCCCAAGCCGCCGCTACCGTAAAGAGTATCATCGTTGTTGATCCCACACCTCCTCCATCAAAGCGAGACATTGATGACATTGGCCCGTCGTCATCATCGGTATGGGAAGACGATGACGACCCCTACGCCCATCCTGCTCCTGGCTCTCCTGGTGCGCTGAATCATTTCCCACGTCCGGCGCCCTCCTCAAAGGGCGGCGGTGGCGTACTTTGAACCTTTGCTGTACAACAGCAGCAGCGGCGGCGGCATAGGAAGCAACGCCAACCAGCCAGACTACGTCGAAACGCCGTCTTTGAGAACGTCGAGCTCAACGATAGCAGCAACGCCGCTTCGATCAAGACTTACCCAGGCCGTGGATATGTGCGAAGCGTCACCTTTCGCAACATCCACTTCGGGAATGTCAACCAACCTGTATACGTTACCTTTTGTATCTGTACGTGCCTGACCACATCCCTTCCGTTTTCATCCCAGTCTCTCCAAGTCAGACATGAGGCCTAACTGCTCACCGACAATAACACACGAAAAAACTCGTACTCAAACTGCGACTCCTCCCGCATCCCCATCACCGATATCCGCTGGAAGAACATCACGGGAACGGCTCGATATAATGTAGTTGCCGGCCTCCATTGCAGCACCGCCGCGCCGTGTGATAACCTCAAGTTCTCGGGTATCGATATCAAGCCGTTGAAGGGTGGAGGTATCAAGACACTGTGCTCGAATATCAAGAATCCGGTTTCGTCAGGATCGACGTGCACGGGGCCGTGTCCGGGGAGTCATCGGGGAATGCATGATACTGAATCCGAGGGTTGTTTTGGTGGATGAACTTGACTGCGAGTTCAGGTCGGGTGGGCATGAAGATAGTGAAGCTCGGTGTTTCTTTGGTAACAGAAGAGGTGTGAGTTGTGAGCTTTGCCTTCTTCATGACCTCGGCGCACGACGCGAGCTCCTTGCTGTGATGTTGTCAGATAGGATCTTCGATAAGGTGCTGAGTGACCCGCGTTGTAGCTTCGTTTCATCGTGTCAAGATATCATTCCCCATGAGAAAAAAGAGTCATGACTGGCTGCAGCTCCAGCATCATCATTGAAATTCCCCTCGAATGTATTCCCAAACATCGTCCACCTTGTCGAGTTCAGCGTGAGGTGGTTGATGACGTTGGAACCTGGAGAGCTGCATTTGGCGATGTCCAAATGCCAAGAAATGCCATGTTGCACGGGCCCACAACCCCAGTCTCACCAGCTGCCGCGGGGTCGGCCAGCTGCAAAAGAGCTACCTTCTTCCCGTATTTGGGGCTAGCGGCTGTTAGGGTCTGCCAGGAGCGCCCCAGGCTGGCCCCACGCGCGCACTTTCGACAGCGAAATATCCAAAATTTCAATTGGGTCTCCGCCGGATCTTGATCTTTTTTCGCATCCCCCAACTTCCTGTCAGGAGCACAGATACAGGTACGTACGGTTGGAAGAAGCGCCCTCACGATCCCCTTGACGAGGCCGGATTCTTGCAGAAATTATTGCTGTTTGAAAGAGAAGGCAGGGAAAGTCCAGAAAAAAAACTAACTTTTTCCTTTTTCCGCGAAACAACAGCGGACACAATGGCCTCCAGACCTACCGTCACCATCATCGGCGCCGATGGCAAGGCCACCGGCGCCACCGAGGTCCTCCCCAAGGTCTTCGGCGCTCCCATCCGCCCGGATATCGTCAAGCACGTCCACACCGGCATGGCCAAGAACAAGCGCCAGCCCTACTCCGTCTCCGAGAAGGCTGGTCACCAGACCTCCGCTGAGTCTTGGGGCACTGGTTAGTGAACACCCAGCACGCGATTTTGGAATTACACGAAAGGAAATTGAACCGAGGTCGGAAAAACGGAACGATGATCGATGGAAGGGATTCGAGATTTTTTTGATTGGGCGAAGAACTCGATATCACGAAAACGATCACGAAAACCGCGACTTAGGGGAATTCTTTTCGACGGGCAAATTCTGCAACACGATGTGGAGGAACACTTTGAGCTGACCGTGATTCTCAACACAGGTCGCGCTGTTGCCCGTATCCCCCGTGTCTCCGGTGGTGGTACTCACCGCGCCGGTCAGGCCGCTTTCGGTAACATGTGCCGTTCCGGTCGCATGTTCGCCCCCACCAAGATCTGGCGCAAGTGGCACGTCAAGGTCAACCAGGGCCAGAAGTACGTGCTATCAAGATATCAACAAGGGGAAAAACAATCATGGCTAACATTTGTCTAGGCGTTTCGCTACTGCCTCTGCCCTTGCTGCCTCCGCTGCCGCTCCTCTCTTGATGGCCCGCGGTCACCAGGTCTCCTCCGTCCCCGAGGTTCCCCTCGTTATTGACTCCGCTGCTTTCTCCGGTGCCAACAAGACCGCCAACGCCCTTGCCCTCCTCAAGGCTGTTGGTGCTGGTGCCGATGTCGAGAAGGCCAAGGCCTCCAAGAAGCTCCGCGCCGGTAAGGGCAAGCTCCGTGGCCGCCGCCACCGCCAGCGTCGCGGTCCCCTCGTCGTCTACTCCGCCGAGACCGACGGCAAGGACCTCGTCCAGGGCTTCCGCAACATCGCCGGTGTTGAGACCTCCCCCGTCGATGCCCTCAACCTCCTCCAGCTCGCCCCCGGTGGCCACCTCGGCCGCTTCATCGTCTGGACCTCTGCCGCCATCAAGGAGCTTGATGCCGTCTACGAGTCCAAGAAGGGCTTCCAGCTTCCCGTCAACGTTGTCGCCCAGGCCGACCTTACCCGCCTCATCAACTCTTCTGAGATTCAGTCCGTCCTCCGTGCCCCCAAGGGCGAGGCCAAGACCAAGCGCGTCAACGTCCAGAAGAAGAACCCTCTCCGCAACAAGCAGGTTCTCCTCCGCCTCAACCCCTACGCCGCTACCTTCGCCAAGGAGAAGCTCGGCGAGATCAAGGAGGAGGGCAAGCCCCAGCGCGTTCCCGCCACCTTCAAGACCCTCCTCCAGGAGTAAATTTGGCCTTGATGGGAAAATGGATGGCAGGAAGCTGTGGGTGCGAATTCGGCGTCATGGATTAGGCATGTGTTCACAATATACACATCAATGAATTCTGAAACCGAACCAAATTTCCTTTTCTTTGTTCACCAAAATCTCGGTACTTGAGCGAGTGACCTTGTAGATTCAATACCCCATTTGTTTGCATGCTACGTCCTTTGGTGTGATCATGACAATCTTTCACCTTTACGTAGGTAGGCAGTGAAATGCAACAGGTACCATGCTTGCATTCGCGACATACATCAGTTTGGTGTCCGTATTGCTTATTAAGTCGTGCAACTTGAAATCTTGTTCAAAATCCGTTACACATTATATCCCATTTATCGTAAATCATATACGCATTGTCTCCTTCATCACAACTATACCCTCTAAATCTCATCTCTAGACATAACTAGCACCCCAACCAACCCCCAAGGTTATTCATCCCCTCCGCCGCCCCAGCCTGTCCCATCACCTTCATCAGATTCAGCGCCTCACCCCCAGACGCATCCAAATCGTCCCCCAGCTTCTCCACCAACTTCTCGATCACCCTCGCATCCGTAATCTTCCAAAACGCCCGCACGCCATCCACGAACCTCTGCGCGCCAGCATCCACGTCCTCCTCGCTCACCGCCGCAAAACACAGCCGGAAATACTGCCACCCGATCTCCTTGCTGATCTCCGGCGTCGCGCTGAACATGTTCCCGCCGCTCACCAGCACCAGGTGCGGCTTGAGTGTCAGGAAGAGCATCAGCGCTAGGGAGAGCGTCGGGCCGTCTATTACCTTTGTTTTTTCCCTCTCCCCATTTCTGGCGAAGAAGAGGGGGTGTTCCCACAACGGGTGCGTATCAAAGTGCATCCGCAACCAGATAAACATGCCACCCTCCGGCCACGAGTAAGTGTACAGCGGAGTGGTGGTGATCACGTCCCAGTCGCCTGGTGTGCCAGAAGTAGAATTGGTAGCGCGCAAACGGGTATTGGAGGAGATTAAGGAAGACCCAGTGTCGAGGATCGTGCACATCCTGTTCATGCGCCGCTCGTACATTCCCCGGAGACCTTCGAGCCAGCGGATCCAGCCGGTCATTTGCCAGCCTTCGCCTGGTGAGGAGGGGGTTTCTTTGGATGGCTTGGGTTGGGCGGCGGGGGTGGTAGAGGAGGAGGAGCGGAAGAGGCTCCAGGAGGAGGTGGAAGAAGGGGTGGAGGTGGTGGAAGAGGAGGGAGAGGACGAAGAAGAGAGGGAAGCTTCAGGTTGCGGACCCATCACCAACTCCGCCACCAGACTTTGCACGAAGCCCGAAGGTTGCTGAGTAGAAGTCTCGGCGATGCGGGTGAGCCGGTCGATGAGCGCGGGCTGGGCGGTGATCCAACCGAGACGGCAGCCGGGGGCGATGGTTTTGGAAAAAGTGTCGAGGCGGACGACGCGGCCGTCGACGTCAATGGAGATGTACGAGGGCGTGAGGGAGTCGAGGAAGGAATAGCCTGTTGACACGGTGCGCTTGGTGACTTCAGGTTCAGCGGATTGGGTTTGTTGTTTGACAGTGCCGGTCTTGGCCAGGTTAGCGGCCGTGGCGGAAGGAAATTGCAGGTACCAGTAGGGCTCGTCCTCGACGATGATCACGTCGTAGCGGCTGCAGATGGCGTAGATTTCCTTGCGGCGGGAGATGGGGATGACGAAGCCGGTTGGGTTGTGGCCGAGGCTGTTTTTTGGTGTGTTAGTCTCCAGTCGTGCCTGCTAAAGGCTCTTGGGGGTAAAAAGAGGATACTCACGTAACAGTATACATCAAATGCGGCCTCCTCCCCTTGGTCACATCCCAATTCTTCAAAACATCCTCCAGCCCACCGGGCCCGGTAGCCAACATACCCTTCGCATCCGCCTTGACCGGCACGATCTGCACGCCCTTCGGCTCCGCCTGGCTGAGGATGTTGCCATAGACAAACGTCTCGCACAACAACCCCGGCCGCTCCCGCGGGTCGTTCAGACCGTCGATCCACGGGTTGACGAACATCTCCAGCGTCTTGGCGAAGCCGTCAGTCGAGCCGCACGTGAGGATCACGTCGGGCCCGCCGCTGTAGGGCGCATCCGGGTGGAGGTGGTCGCGGGTGAACTTGCAGACCCAGTCGAGGAGGGGAGGGTAGCCGTTTGCCTGGCCGTATTGGAGCGCAGTGGCGACGTCGACCTTCTTCATCGGGTTGGCCTCACCGGAGACCGTGGGGACGGTGATGTGAGCGGGCTCGGCGGCGGCCGGGTCTTTTTTGTTGCTATCCTTGTCGCCTGGGTGGTTCGGCGTGGGTTGCCATCTCTCGGGCTTGGCGCTTTGAGCTTCAAGAGTCTCGAAGGGGAAGAATTTGGTGTTGGGGAGACCTTATCTTGGTGTTAGTTTTCTTATAAAGACGGTTTGTGATGAGTGTTGTGTGGTGGTGTTTGGTTGGAAAGTGTGTCCCAAAGTTGTCAAAAGTGAGGAAAAGAGTGACAAAGTGAAAAAAAAAAGGACAAACCGCCAGCAAGATTCTTGATTCCGGGAATCTGAAAGAATCGATAGTATTTTTTTATCAAGCTCGCCTGGCGACGCTTTGTCACTTCGGAGAGATGATGGGTGAAATCGAGCGGCAACGGCTTGCCGTCGGCACCGAGTTGGGGACCATCACGATAAGCCACTGAGCTCTCAGACATGGTCAGACTTGACGATGAGTCAGGAATAATGGGGATTATCCTCGACATTTGGATTCTCAAAGCTTTGACCTTTTCTCCAGGAAGATGGGTTGATGTTCGGGGATAAGAAACAGTTTATGAAGGGATCATAGATCCGACTCTGGGGGGTACGTTCAAGGAAAAAGGATAGTTGATTACAAACCTTCACGGTCACGGTGGGAGAGCCATATCAGAGTTGTTGGCCAGTAACAACCAGTCAGATAGTGCGAAGCAAGCCCTTTGGCGGTTACGTTATCAATTCGTTGTCCACTGTCCACTGTCCAGGACGAAGGATGGCTTCCCCCTGCTTCCTCCATCCCCAGAAAAGCCAAGGCCCCGCCGTGTCCCCCCTGTCCGCCTTTTTGGCTGAGGATCGTGCCGATTCCCCGGAAATAGTCCACCTTCCGAAGTGGTTGTTCTCTCTTTATTTCTTTGACAATTGAGCGCGCCTCCCGATGGTGTAAAAGATGTTGTAGCACTATCCAATGATTCTTATCATTGGTGGTGTTCGTGCTTAAGCGACGAACTGTCGTCTTTTGTGGCACTTATCAAAGCCGTTGCTTGTCTTACACGAACGCCCTGTCGACTCCGGAGCTTTCTTCCACTTGTCTCAAATGCCACGCACCCGAGGCTTTTGGCAGGTGGCACTGCGTGTCTCATTCGCTGACATGGGACTTCCAGAAGCCTTCCTATTCAAGCCTCACCGAACCAGTCACATCGAGTTCGAATCACAGCAGAGTCTCTGTTGGCGTCGTCGTCTTCTTCTCGGACTCTTTCTCTTCAGGCTCATACTTGAAACCGAGCTCTTCGAGAGACTTGGCTTTCTGGCCATCAATCTCAAATTGCAGCTTCGCCTTGAAGAAGATTCCTCTTTGCCACACCAGCTCATCATTCCAATAAGGAGGCTCCTTCCCTTCTGTGCCTGACTTTAGGATCCAGTCATGGACCTCGTTGATAAAGTTGGCATCGCCAAGTTTGGGCCAAACGTGGAAAGCATGGCCCCTTTTCTCTGCTTCTTCATCTTCCCACTTCTTCATTTCTTCGACTGAAGGAAGCGGTAGCAAATTCGCCCATGCCCTGGAGAAAATCGCCGCCTGACTTTCTGTAAAGGGGAAGGGGACGACCTTGATGGGAAGCCCAGGAAATACTAGTGTTGGGTGATCAATGTGAATCAGGTCTCTGTACAGACCATACACGCGTCGCCCGTCGTTTACCAACGGGGGCTGTAGCGATTTGAGGAAAGGGAAGGTGAAGAGGTAGCCGGTTGCGCAAACGATAGCATCGATATCCTTTTCGACCCGTCCACCCTCGAGCCTCACACCCCGTTCCTCCACCAAAAACTCTTCAATGACCGGGACCTCTTCTCCGCCAATCCATTCCAAGTGAGCCGGTGGTGTAGCGGAATGAACCGACATAAGCAGTGGCTGCTTGCTAACGCGGCTGATCTGAGCCGCGACGTCAATGCCTGATGCTGAGTTGCCAACAACAATCACCTTCTTGTTTGCAAAGGGCTCGGGAGTCCGGTACAGCTTGGAGTGAGTGATGACATTCGGATGTGCCTTATGAAACTCGGCGATGTTCTTGATATCGGGGATAAATGTGGTATAATAATGACCCGAAGCCACGACGACGGCATCATAGGTCGCGGTGGTAACCTCGCCCGTTTCCAAAGTGAGCGCATCCACATCCCACTGATCCCGGCCGTCACTGTCCTGCCTGAGACGGACATCTTGAACCAGAGTTGAGAACCTGATAAGATGCCGGATGTCTTTGGCATAGTCCACCACATACTCTTGCACAAGCTCACGGGACGGGAATATGAGCGAGTCTTCCGGGAACGGTTTGTCCGAAAACTGCATCAGATGGCGCGGGATGTTGGTGTGCAAGACCTCGTACATGGGCGAAGGGAAGACTGGAGGCTTGCCTTCGGGATGAAGAGGAGGGTCGGGAGGGCAGTAGGCGCTCACTTGAGGCACATGTAAGGTGTGTGTCGGTTCCTTGCTGTAGTACCAGGCCCCTCCCACTTCATCTTGCCGTTCAAAGATGACGATGTCTTCGAAGACTTTTTGGGCGATCAAGAACTTGGCGGCAGCGAGACCGGAGGGGCCAGCCCCAATGATTGCGACCCTTTTGACATCGAATCGTTTCGGTTCTGTTGAGCCCATGACGTCTGGAGTAGTAATATGACAACAGAGGAAGAATAAGGGGTCAGTCTTGAATTCCGAGGATGAAGCGATCATGAGATTGTATTGTTGACTGACAAGAGGAAAGAAGCATGCTCCAAGCGCCAAGCCCAAGGGATGGAAATTGTTAGTGAGAGCTTGTCGGTTGGGCTTTCACCGCCTTCCCTTTCCAGACGGAAGATGCAAACGGCAAGTCCAAGCTGCCCGAGCTGTGGCACGCGCAACTGCCCTGTCGCACCGATATTTTTGGCGCCTGGGGGAAGCTTTCATAAAGCATCACCAACTGCCCTGGAGCAAACACCGAGCTCAGCTCTTTGAAGCTGCCATCACCTCACCGGGATACTCCCGTCCATCCACACTATTTCCTCTCCCTTTTTTGCCTTTAGCGGAGGCTTCAACTAAACATCTCGTCTGGATGTGAAAACAAATCTTTGCTTACAACTTGTCCATTGTTTGGTTGATTCCATCTGGACAATCTCAGCAATCTTTCGTCTCAGGCACCTTGCTGGCCCTGTCACTGCCCGTCACTGCCCGTCACTGCCCTGATCCCGGCGCTGAGCTGTCAGATCTGCCTGCCTACACCTACCTACCTATCCGATCGCAGTACTGCACGCTGTACTGCTGCCACACCCTTCGCGCTGAGTGGCTTCGCGACGGGCTTCAATGAATGTCATAATTGCCTTTTTCTCTATTTTTCAATAATCACTAATTTCTGGCCCCGGCCAACTCGACTCGCACGAAAATGGCATCGGCCGATGCGATCGATGTTGCATCCGCCGTAGCTCTCGAGTCGCGGACTGTGACGCCAATTGCGCAACTGGACCCAGAACTCCCCGACCAGAATTCACGAAGTGTCCGAGGCGAGGTCACCATCACATGGCCGTATAACAGGGTCACCCATACTCTCGCTTTCCTCCTTGCCGAACCCGATGTGCGCCTCCGTCGAACCAAGGGCCAAGTGCGAGTCCAGCTCCATGGACCTAGCGCAAAGACCGTCGCCGACTGTGGACTGGGAGCTTTCGATGAGGTGCTGCTCAGTCTCGATGGCGTCGAGTGGACAAAGGACGAGTCACCCGGGCGCATTCCTGGGGCTCGAGTAGACTGGCAGTTGCAGTTCAACCAGAAGCTGGTGCTTCAGGTGAAGCTCAACGGATCCGACCAACCGAAACACATCAACGTCGATAGCACACAAACCGAGGTGCCGAACGAGCTACCGGAACCATCAGCGATACAGCACCTAGAGCAGACCGTGAATGAGCCTGAAGAGGCCGTTATCGACACGCTATCGGCTATTCGCAAGGTCCCAGATATTGCCTTGAACGAATATCCATCGCCTGCTTTCATCAAGAGGGCTAGAATCTCATACGGCTCCCTTTTCGAGGACGGACTGGACATATTCGAGGAGGATGGTGGCATCAAGGGCAAGGGTCGCAAGCGATCACGCTTCGCGCGGAAGAGCAATGGCTGGAGATATTCTAGTAAATCCCCGAGTCCCGAGCCGGAACCTGCGTCCGATGAAGACCAAGTGAGCCAGCCACAGTCACCGAATCACGATGCCATGGAGGAGGATACGGTTGCAGAAACGCCCGCGCCAAAACCCACAATGACAGATGGAGCTTCACAGACGGTTGAATCCGAGATGACGCCCATTCCACCAGCGGAATCCGAGCAAGGCCCAACAGAAAAGCCGGAAGCAGTTTCACGCCCGGCCACTTGGGGAAAGGTAGATCTTGGAAACCAGCAGACATTAAAGGACACCACGCTTCAGGAGACAGAAGTCGCCCAGGCCGCCTCCCACATTCTTGGTATGGCAAATGGAACCTTGAATCAGTCATACCCATACCAGCATACCGACAACCAAGCCCATCCGGCAGCTAACTCCTTATTTGGATCTACTAAACCCGTGGTATCTGGCCTTTCCATGTTCGGCACACCGGCTAGTGTCCCTGTTGAGTCCGATTATGGAATCGCCGACCAAGTGAGGTTTGGTTTTTCCCACACACCTCAGGTTCCCCAGTCAGGAGTTCCAGAACCACAGATGCATGCTGCGCCAGAGTCTGGACCATATCCGGACTCTTACCTCGACCATTCCGTCCCCGCTAAGTACGAGGGCATGGAGTCGTACATGAACATTGCTCAGAGCAACCCCGAACTGCAACATGGCCAGGATTATAACCTAGTACCAGGGCCAACAGGTACGGAGAGTTTTGAGCGAGGCCAGTGGGAGATGGCAACTCAGGCACCGCAATACAACCCAATCGAGGGTGGTCACTTTGGCGCCGATGCTCTCAATGAGGGTATTCCAGCTGTCATCGAGGATCCTTCCTTGCATGCCGACCCGACTCGTCCAGATCAAGTTCCGGAAGGCTTCAGGAGCTACGGCACGGGCAACGAAGGGCCTGTTGGTTTTGAAGAGCCGGAGTCACAAGCAGAATCTGAACAAGATGCAGAGAGATCTGAATTCGAGGACCTTGTGGAGAACGAGGAGCTTAACGAGGCCGATGAAGATGACATCGGTGTTGACAACGATGTCGAATACGACGAATATGGAGAGGAAGTCGAAAAAGGCGATTACGATCAACGCGTATACAACAAGCCCGAAAGTGATGACGAGGGAATCAGTCAAGATGATGATGAGGTTGAGCTGGAGGTTGCGGAGCGATATGGCGAGGGTGACGTCTACAATGAAGATGAAGACGAGGAAACGGACGACTATGCCGAGGACTGGGAGGCAGAGCGCTCCCAGTATGACGATGAGGATGAGTACGAGTCCGAGGATCATGACCTCGGTCAGCATCCCCCCAGGCGTGCACCAGCTGCCGCCGCACCGGCGGATCCAGTCGTTATAAGCTTGTTGTCAGATTCGGAGGACGAAGATGATGATCCTCCTCTACCACCTCAACCAGCTCTCCCTACGAGCAGACCTATGATGGCTCGACAACTCAGCATTCGCCATTCATCTCCCCTTAAGCCTGCACCTATGTCTACCGAAGACACCAGTCCTCGGCAAATTGAGAAATCTCCGCCCGTCAAAAAGGAAGAACCCACTGTTGAGCAACCTGGTGTGAAGGATGAGCCTACTGAGAATCAAGCAAAGCCATGGGTCGGGCACGTGAATGAGCCATCCCAAGTCGATAAGAACGACCGTGACCGTCAGCCCAAAGACGACGCAAAGCCGTCGGAGTTCGCAATGGAAATCGTCCATACAGAACCGGCTACGGGCACGGATGCTGAAGTGATTCCAAGTTCCAGCCTCGCTGATGTTAAGGACACTACCAGTGAAGTGGAAAGTCTCGCCCAGAGCATTCAGCTGCCCAAGACCCTCGACGCTGAGTCGGAAGCACAAGTCGATAAGCACGAATCTGACTCTAAATCCGGTGAAGAGGCTGTACCCAAGGCGGAAGATGATCAGCTCGAAGAGCAAAAGGAAAACAAATCTGAGTCCGAAGCCAATGACGAGACATTCCAAGGGTTCTCAAGTGATGCACAAAGCGTTGAGCGACCTGAGGAAGAGTCCGAGTTGGAAGAAGACGACGAGTTACTTGACGAGGATGAGGAAGAGAACAGTGAAATTGCGGAGGAGGATGAAGAACAGGATGGCAGTCAGCAGTTTGTGGACCTGCTTGACACGACTAGTGAGGAAGAAGATGAGGAGGATGAGGAGGAACAGGTGGATGATGATACTTTCGAGCCAGTTGAGAGCGAAAGCGAGGATGACGGGGATGGGGAAGCCATTGAGGTGGTAGGAAAAGACGATAAAGAAGATGTCGTTCTTGAGGTTGAGGAGGAGAAGAAAATCGAGGTTGAACAGAAGGTTGAAGAGAAGGTCGAGGAGAAGAATGCGGAAGAAGGGGAAAATGTCGACGAAAAAGCTGTCGCCGTTGAGACCACGGACGTCGTTGCGGAAGTCAAGGAAACCGATAAGGGAGTTTTAGAGGTCAAGGGCACCGAACACGATGTTCAAGAGGTCAAAGCCGAGAAGGGCGGTGTCAATAAGACCGCCGAAACCGCCAATGAGACCAAAGAAGAGAAGACTCAAGCTGATCAGGGAGAAGCTCAGGCCCCGGCGAAGTCGCCCGTCGCTGTTGAAGAGACGGCGCAAGAGACTGAAGCCGTTGAGGAGGAGCAGCGACTGAAGACCAACAATGTCGACACCGCTCGCGAAACTGAGGTGCAGACATTGCCTACGATTACTGCCCCTGCAGATGAAGGGGACAGAACACCTCGTGTGGAGGAGGCTGATGAAATGGAAGCAATCCAGCATCAGCTCATCGAAGACATGGTCCGTGCATCCAGAGAAGCCAGCATGATGGAAGTCAGTGATGTCGAACACGTCTCCGTTATGTCGCAAGATACCCCCAGACCTATTCAAGTTGACTCGGATGAGGAAATGAGAGATAGTGACGATGAGGACGTGGAGATGGCGGACGCGGCGACTCCTAGGCCCGAAATCCATGCCCAGGAAGGCCAGGTGTCACAGGCAGTTGAAGTCGAAATGACGAGCGAGACCATCGAAGTCGACTCGGATAGCATGTCAGTCACTCACGAAGAGTTGGTCGAAACTGAAATCACCGGGGCACCGCTTGGGCAGGATTCTGCCATGGAGGATGCCGAGATGATAGTCGAGGTGGAGGAGGAGACCCAGGTCACTGTCGAGCAAGAACTCACGGTTACGGAAACTACGGCATCCCAGCAACCGCAAGCAAGCCTATCTGCGACTGTGGATGTCGTCGATCACGCACCTCAGCAGGCTGCTCTTCCCTCTAGCTCTCCCTCGAGTCGGCCTTTTGCTAGCCAGGTCGCAGAGGATGAAGTTATGCTGGTTGGGTCTTCCTCACCAGCAAAGGAAGCGGTCCACGAAAAGCCACTTCCAACACCTAACCAGAGCGGTGTGCTTGATCAGAAAGTGACCGGATCCTCGCAGCCGGAGGAGGCTCAGGTCGCTGCTGACACAGTGATCGAGGAGTCCACAGAGGTTGTCACTGAAGTTGAAATCATTGAAGAAACTGAGACGGCCACAACAGAACCTCAAGTAGCCACTACGGAGGAGGGTGTTGAGACCCAAGATGAAGTTTCCCTGATAGTGGTTGAGGAGGTCTCTGAAGAGCAGACTCAGGGCCTCGTTGAGGATCAAGCCGAGGAGACGGATGCCGGTACTCAACTGCAGTCGATTTCCCAACACGGTTTCGAGGAGGCAGACGAGTCAAAGCAGGCAACTCCCACTGCTGAGCCCTCCGAGGAAACCACAGTGCAAAAGGGAGCGTCATCCGAGACGGCCGTCACGCCTGACCAGTCCCAACCAGCCGGTGACAAAGATGCTGGCCCCAGCGTTAAGCCCGCCAAACCGGCCGTGACAGCTTCCGCTAAGCGCGGAAGAAAGCAACAGCCAGCTCTCGAGCCTCTACGCACAAGCGCGCGTATTACCCGCGCCCGCTCCGGAAGCGTCCCCAAGAGCGCCACCACCGAAGAAAACGGCGGAGTCACCAGTACTGCCGCCGCGCTAGCCTCGCCTTCCAGGCGCAGCTTCACTTCATCCCTCAACTCTTCTGCTGCCGCTGTCGAGGTCGCCGAGACCGCCTCGCAGCAGTCCACCTCGCATCCCGACGACAACACAGCGAATGGACCTCCTCTAAGCAACGACCCGGCAGTCCTTAAATTGGATCTCTCCCGCCGTTTACGTTCGGAACCTCAATTTGCCAACTGTCTAACCCTAAAATCCATCCGCAACCACCTTGGCCAAAACGTCGACATCCTCGCCATCGTCTCCTCCACCCCGACCAACCCTACTCGCGCCAAAGGCGGACCGAGGGAGTACATGATGAGTTTCAACATCACCGACCCTTCCACCGCCCCCAACCATGTGGTGGAAGTGCAGATGTACAAAGGCTATAAAGAGCAGTTGCCGATTGTCACGCCCGGCGATGCGATTCTGCTGAAGCAGGTGGAGATTCGGTCGATCTCGGGAGCGGGTAAAGGAGGATTTGGACTTAGGACGGGAGATAACAGTGCTTGGGCTGTTTTCGAGGCTACTCCCGACGAAGCGAAGGCGGATGAAGATGAGAAGGATAGGGAGAGTGGGGATGCTGCTGCAATGAGACCACCGCAGATTAAGGGATTGCCGGTGAACAATTGGAAGGAGTTTGCTGGGTACATGGTTATGCTTAAGAAGTGGTACAGGCTGCTTTTGAAGGATGAAACGGCCAAGGGGAAGTTGGAGAAGGCGGTTAAGAAGTTTGAGAAGTAACATGACGGGATGTTGATGGTGGCTTGGTGGCTAGGTGGGTTGCCAATTAACCTGGTCTTGGAGTTCACATGCAGTATATCTGTATTTGAAAATATTTGCATTGCGATGATGGAAGATATGATTGCTCCAGCCCGGACGAGTACATGGTTGGTGAAAAGAGTTCTTTGTTCGTTGATTATGAAATGCTAGTATCTGCAGTGGAAATTACTGAGGGGCAATGTGTTATATTAACATCGCATGTCTCATTCTGCAAGGTATTGCGCTAAGTTTAGCTAAATCCCAGTTTTTCTTTACCTACCTTGCTCTCCATGTTTAGGACAGCGGAAAATCATGCCGGTGTGATCGGAAAAGATAGTCAACTCCCAATGACAAGTTGTTCAACGTGTGGTTTTCAGCCTCCAACGGGAGTAGCAAGACTTTTGCACCCAGCTGAATGGATCAAACTGATATAGGTTGGTTCTTTGCGCTTGATTAGTACATACGACCATACCCACTGGAGAACTCGGGATCCCGTCCGCTCTCCCATAGATAAGCCAGTGAGCAAATACACAAGATGCTCGAGGCTGGGGGTTGCGAGAAGAGGAATCCCCCTAAATTGCAGCTGAATAGGTACCAGTTTGTTAATCCATATTAGATATACTTGGCTAGAAAGTCTTAGTGAAGCGTATGTGACTGATATTGTATATGTGTATTGGAATCCCTTGGTCATCTCTGTGAGATGGATGCAAAGTCTTACGGAAATGCGAATAATGATGGACGTAAAACTAGTAGATCCTAAGACTTCCCCGTGTACCTCCGATCATTCTCACGTGTATTTCAGTAAATATACCTCCGGAGCCTTTTTTTAGGTTGGCTAACCCGGTAATTTGTTCTGGAACATGGGCATTGTGGGCTTGGGTTGACAAAGGACGCAGACTAAAGGATAGCTGGATTTGGTGTTTTTGCAATGGTTCTACAGCGCCTCTTCGATGGTGATTTCCCTGAGCACCCTCCGACCAGCGAAGTCGCCGGCTATACGGTTGGCGACGGTCCCAACTTTGCTCTGAACGTGAGATGTTCAGCGTAATGTATTGTGTCGGGTTACGAAGGTATAGACTAAAGTACCAAACACTACCTCTAACCAGGGACGTACCAATGTCCTTCGGGCGATCTTTGGGGGGTATACTTGGGTCCTCAATGGCTGACAGCAGCCACCATCCCGAAGCAGGTTGAGCCGCTGTTTGGTCGTCTTCCTGCTCAATTACCTGCATGCCCATCGACCCGCCCACAAAAATCGCATTGCTAGGTACATGCGGGTGCAAAATGACCGGGACTGTAACTACGCCCGGCGGCACCCTCTTCCGCTCAATAATGGGAAACTCGACACCTCTAGCGTCAAGCGACAATATCCGGGCCTCAAGATTTTCGAGAGCTGTTCATCGGTATAGCTCGGGACTCTCTCGCCACCAGCCCCCCACCAACAAAACGTAGTCAGCCACCCCGACAGGCTCACAATGCCGCCAGAGCTCTTTGCTTTTGTCTCATGAACTGTGCGTGCCCAAAAGTTCTTGACATCGGTCCCGTCTGGAGAGTCGAAGCTGGCTACCATGTAGGTAAGGACTTTGGTCAGCCGGATGGTCCACGCGTCCGTCTCCTCGTGATCAAGGGTCTCGAACCAGGCCACACGCCAGAGGGAGCTGGTACGTGATTAAAAGACCCGTTTCCTATCCTTCCCGCTCCCATAGATAAGAACACTGAGGGCCAGACTAGTAGTTGGGTCGGTAACGACCAGCGAATCCCTGGTGTTGTATGTGTTTTTTTTTTTTTTTTTTTTTCTTTCTGGCAGTCATCCACCTTCTTTTTTGCGCAACGGTCCATTTTTTTTTAATACATAGCCCTTCTCATTTGGGAGGTTTTTTTTTCTCGCGTTGGACTTTCTGGTGATCATGCCTGGTTGACTTTTTGCGACTCAAACCCCGCTCATGGTGATTGTTAAAAGGGAGGCGACATTGACATGGTTTGTCTCTTTCCGACAGGAACATTTGGCAACGTAAGCATTCAGATGTGCTATATGTGAGCGGAAGACGACTTAGTTATCAAATCGATGTATGTTTTTTTCATCTAGCTCAGATGCTATCAGCACTTTCTGTATAATCTCGGGCCATCCACAGCCCAGACACGTCCATGTTTGCGGACTGCTCGAATCACCCCGAAAGACCGAACCAAGGCGCCCAAGTTGCGTCTGTGCAATCCTCATCGGTTTGAAGCCCATGGTGTTCTTTCAAAGCCCAAACCGCGGATACCCCGGGATTATAGTATTTCGGTTACGCTGGGTGCCTCCGCGCAAACACGCTTTTGGGTTTGTGGTGCGATCATGGTACCTTAGCAATTCCTTAGCCGCTTCCTTCAGCTCGAGTATCCACGAAAGCTCTTCTACTGTATATGACCTGACGAAGCAGAAAAGAACCGACACTGCGGATTGTTGAAAGCGTCAAGCACCATCAAAAACCCAGAGTTCAACAGTCACCTTCGCCTCGTTGAGGTGTAGCCGCGAGTGTCACCATTGTTCACACAGATCACGTATGTAGAGCGTCCTGTCTCGTTTACCGCCTGTGTATGGACAGCAGAAAGGTGTTTGCGCGAGACTTCGGTTGAAGGTTTTTCGAACACTCTGTATCAATCGATGGTAGCTGGTGCATGGTCAGTCATTAGGTCGACCCTGTAGGCTGGACTGCTCGGTCAAGTGGTATTTTCATAGTCTCTTCGCGGTGGCGGGCAGACGTCGGAGGGGATGAAGCGGCTCTCTCGAGGAAACTGCTGCGGGGATGTATGTGTCAGCTTAACTGGCGTCTGCAAGCGTGCCACGCAACACCGAGATCCAACTTTCTCCCAAATCACCGCCAGCAGATAGACAGCTGTCCTGGAGGCGTTCATAGTTGAGACTTACCTGGGTATGAAACCTACTTGGAGGAAGTCGCTGAGGGTTTTTGCACAGGAACAAAGTACACAACTGACCAACGAGTCGTCCATGGCAAGTACCCACTCTTACCAAAGCCTCGACCGACCGCATGTCTCGGAAGGTGTCTCGGAAAGCGCTGAGAGCTCTTCCATGACGGGGACGGAAGGCGGGAGAAGTCTGGAGATGAGACTGCGCAACGCGACACCCGTCGACTCGGACCTGTTGATGTTGACCGCGGCCCTTTCTTGCACAGAATTCGACTGTTGAAACGTCCCGGCGGCAAGGGCGGTCTCTGTCCGTTGGTGATTTACCCATCCATTGAGATTGCCCTTGACGGCTTCGGCGAGGATGGCACGATGGGTTGCGGGTTTCGGTTGAACATGGCACTGATGGGAGTTGCTTCTGTCGCATCCGACGAACTTGTTCGATCTGCCGACATCTTTTGGACTTGCTTCATCAAACCGACCGAGATTGTGGATGTCACGGATCTGGCCACCCTCCCAAATTCTGTTGGGTCTCACTGACTCTCAACAAGTGTCCGAGGAGAAGTTTTTGCCTTTCAACCCCCACGTTGCTGCCAACAACAGGATCTCAGTATGCTCCTTCCATCTCATAGATCGTGAAGCTCGGCCAGTGGACACCAAGCGGTTGCTGCGGCCTGCTTGCAGCAAGGTAAGAACCTTGATGGCACCTGTCAGCTGATGAGGGAAAGGCAAGTGTAAACCGGACACGATCTTCCGCTAAGCTCAAAGGCGAATGGTTCCTGCCTCAAAGCTTGGTCCGTTGGTTGATGGAGATTGGTAAGATTGGATCGAGCTCGTCCAAGCTGCAACTCATCGCCGATTCATTTCATCTTTCGGGCCAGGCTCGGCAGGCACAACAACACAAACTTGGATGAGGAGCAACGTTGAATGGCCGGGCCTGGATCGTCGCATAATTGCTCCTGCCAATTGGATTCGTTGCTCGCGTTCGGCGAGCTCGGTTTGGGGTTACCCCTCATTGTTCTTTCTGGGAAATTCACCCAACATCTATTGCACACGTTGGCGAACGCAGCTTCCTATCAGATGAGCAGGTGCTCACACTGCATGAATCGCAGCGAGTTTGCCATGGAAAACCAGGATGGGAATCTGGCAAATCTCGCCATTGCTCTTACCAGATGATCAACAGAGGCAGGCGAATCTATCAACGCGAGGCCTCTCTCGTACGTTCACAAACAAGATGCCATTGCCCTGTCAAGTGTCAATGCAAGTCCATCACCCCTAACAAGCCGACCGCAGCGGCTCTTCCCCCACAAGTTTAGCAGAGCTTCGTCTCTTGTGCGGGGCACCAGTGACGTACATTCACATCAATAGCGCAGGATCGATCAATCAAAGTCCTTTCTGGTGAGCCAAGCCGCGCCATGCGTCACTGGCAGGGATAATAGCCTTGAAGCCTCTTTCCATTTCCGGAAGTTTGTGTACTTTCGCAGTTTCATTTCCTTGAGATGTGATCCCCAGGCAACGACGCGGAAGGTTACTGCCAAAGTCGCGTCTCGAATTTGCTGTAGGAAGGACATCTCATCAGCGTGAATGGCAAGAGCATTGATTCCAATGGGTGTCACTAACAGGAGGCGCAGTTGGGAACTCAGTGACCGTGCACTTTAGGGACGTCGAAGCAGACGAGACAAGCAGCTTTCAACAGCAACATTACATGCCACGGCTACGCGCGGCCTTCAGTAATAGAACAGCACACAGACATCGATCGTGACATGATCTCTGGCAATGCATTGGGTGGTCATCCCAAGTCACTCCTGAGTGGAGCTATTGTTCGGTTTGCACCTGCTGCGGGGAGGTGTTTGGGTTCAAAGGGGTGTGACGTCACGTGTGACGTCACAGTCCGCTCGCTTGCCGGCAGACAACGAACATTGCCTCACTTCTCTGCCTGCAAAGAAAGCGCTCGTCTGAATGCAAGCAAAGTAGAGATGAGGGAAGACGCCCGCAAAACGCCTGTTTGCAAAGCTCAGAAGGTACCTCGCAGTGTGCAGGTGTCAAGTGTCAATGGAAGCAAGGGTTCCTGCAAGCCAAAATTGGCACTTCTCCTCCCCACTTCAAAGTGCCCCACCCACACCATCCCCGCTGGGATATGACGTAGCTCCTTCTTCTTCATGTGATTCCATCCCGTTGTTGCTTGTTTGTAGGCTGTGACGGAGATCGTGGATGCCAGTTTGGGCCAGGCAGGGCACCAGGCATCCAGGAACACAAGCTTCCGCCTTAGTCTTCTCGATTCCCGATCCAGGGCACCAAATGGCTATATAAGACTGTCCTCCCACCTCCCCAATACCAATCTTTTCTTCTCCATCATCAGCCAACAAAGCAATCACTTCTACACTCAAAACAATCAACACAACACTCAATCAACTTTCAAACCCCCCAATCAACCAAAATGGATACCATCAAGAACGCTGCCAACTTCGTCGGTGACAAGGTCCAGGGTACGTCTTCGACTCCCAGGCTCAGCTCCTGAGCACACCTCCGGCATCTTCATAACAACAGTTTCACTGACATCTAACTCTCACAGGCGCTACCGCCACTGCTTCCAAGGAGGCCAACAAGGACGTTGCCAAGGACTCCAACGCTGGCGTCGGCACTCGGTAAGCTCCACTCATTTCCCACTCACTTGATCATCAGACACTAATACCGTCTTCCTCTCAGTCTCAACGCTGCCGGTGATGCCATCTCCGACAAGGTCTCCGAGAACAAGCACGACGCTAAGGCCGAGGCCCACAAGCAGGGTGCTACCCACTAAGCGACTTCACCAACAGTCGTCTTCCATTTCCTTTTCCTTCAATCATGACTTGATGATAATGGCCGGTTAAGGAGTTCGCCAAGGGCTTCTTCATGACACACTTGGCTTGGAATTTCGAAGGGCAGCTTTAGCATTGCACCAGAACCGATACCCCTATTACATAGGCATGGACACTGGTCCGTTCTAGCTAGGAATTGACCCGGCTCATTGCCGATTAATACCTTTACACTGACTTTTGTGCTTTTGTGACATTGAATGTGTTTTTGCAACTTTGATCGCTTCGAGTGATATGGTGATGAACATGACTTTCTTCACAATGCAATTTCAACATCGGCAAACGACCGAAATGGCACATTGCACTCATGATTTGACATGGCAACAGATCCAAAATATCGATAGCCGCCAAACATCAACAGTTCACACGTCTTACATGAGTGTAGATCCAAACAGCAAGCTGTGGACACTAGCAGGGGTTATGCACGGACCACAAGAATCAACTTCGCGACATCGTGTCCTTCAAGATTTCAGAGCCATTCGGTTGAAGCCCAACAACATTCCGTCAAACTTATCAAACAGACACAGTTGCAATTACAAGATGGCGTCCACAACTGCCCCATCGTCATTGGAATCATTCCTGAACACTCTTCCCCCAGATCTCTTTGACCAAACCACGCTCATCTCTCTCGCTTCCACGGTCGCCATTCTCGTGGCAGCTTACTCTCTGTCCCGCCTGGCTCTCGATCCCAAGACCACCACGTCTTGCTACCGGTTCCTCTTCATCTGGCATGCCTTCGACGCGCTAATCCACTTTTGCCTCGAGGGCAGTTTTCTCTACCACTGCTTCTTCTCGTCCGCGCCCCTGGGCCATTTGGACCCCAAGGAGGTGTTCGTTGATCCCTACAACTACCTAGGAAGAATTGATAAGGTGCATGGTGCGCAGGCTGTGGCTGGGAGGTTTGTTGAGGGGCTGGTGGGTGGTCCCGCGAAGGCGGGTGCGGTCGATGGATTGGATGGCGGGTTTCTGGAGAAGATTGTAAAGGGGACGGCGGAGCTGTGGATGGTTTATGCCAAGGCTGATAAGAGATGGGCGGGTGTTGATTTGGTGAGTTATTCCTGTGATTTATTGTCTAGTGTGGGAGTGAGATTTAGGGTGGGATATGATGGGGATGGGGGTGGAGATTGTGGTGAGGGGATGGGCCACGAAGAAGAGAAGGGGCGGAACAATGTTGATGATGCTGATGCTGCTGCTAATGAGGCCCGCCATGGAGAGGGCCATGGAAAAGCAGTTTGGAAGTATATATGGTGGGAGTCATGCTAATCATCCTCGCCCACACAGAGCGTCGTCAGTCTCGAACTCCTCACCGTCTTCGTCGTGGGCCCCATGGCTTGCTGGGTCTGCTATGATATTGCCAAGAAGAACTCCAGGGTCAACATTATCATGATCATGATTGCTACGGCTGAGATCTACGGCGGTAAGTACCTTATTGTGCCTCCTTTCTCCTTTTCCCCATGCTCTTTGTTCTCTCAATTCGGCCGGTGCAGCTGTAGCTGACTCGTTAACTTTACTATCTTACCTAGGCTGGATGACCTTCTGCCCCGAGTGGCTTGTCGGCAGCGTCAACCTCGACACTAGCAACTGGATGTACCTGTGGCTCTATTTGACCTTCTTCAATGGCCTCTGGGTGGTCATCCCCGCCTATGTCATCTATGTGGCGTCTGGGGAGATTATGGATGCCTTCAAGGTCCGGGATGCTGCGGCCAAGGTCAAGAAGTCTCTGTGATTTGGAGGCTCGCCGACGACAAAAAAGGTGGCAGGCTTTCAAGCACTTAATGGGTAATTAGCGCAGCAAAAGTGCCACCCTTTTGTCAGGAACGAGGGGGGGATGTGGTGCCGGATGGTTAAGGAACCTGAGGCGGTTGGTGAGTGGACGTCTACTTGCGCCTCCCTGGGGGGTCCAGACGCAACTTATCAGTCGTGTCGGTGTAAATCGCCATCAGCAGGGCGTTGCGAGCACGACATCTCGTTGCACAGCAGCTCGTGCGTACGACTCTCCGCTCTCTTGCGTCATGAACGGCGAGAAGGATTGAACAAGCTGGCTGGGAATCGATCAGAGGGACTCAGTGGCAAGGTGGAAAAAATATGTTTCTCTTGCCGTTTTGCCTTCTATATCCCTCGCATATATGATCCTCTTCTTCGAGTTTTGTTAATCCTCTGCATGTTTGCCAGGACGTGCACTCAGGAAGCTCGCCGACATCTACTGCCATCCATCCCAGCGAAGATGATGCGGATCAACAACTCGGAAGGCAAAGTTATGATGATTTTAGATCCAATAGTCGCATATATCAGAAGCGTAGTCGTAGTCAAGCTGGAGCGAGTTTTGACTCGGAGAATATGGCACGATGTTGAATTCCTCCTATCGCGAAGAGGTTCATCTGGTTTGATCTCCACAAGGATCGTTCTGAAGTTCTGGCCCTAGGGTTGTGTTAGTGACCCCTGGATGCTACCGGTCTTGGCAGGAACGCTCCACATTTAGGCCTTGGACGCACAGACTTCAAGCTTGGCGATAGGGGACGCTGGGGTCATCAAGCAAGGGGCTCTTCTGTTCCAGAACTGCCTCAAGTCTGAACTTCAACCTTGCAACAAAAATGGCATATCCCATGCTTCCTACACGCCTCCTCGGCCTCTTGCCGAACCAGATGGTATCTCGCCGGTGTCCATGACCTGGATCTCTTCTCACATTTGGCCCCGATCTCACACCGGATCTGGGCCTTTCCGTTGTCTCCCCCAAGGAGTCCCAGACAATGGCCTTGCTTGCCCAGCCCCGTACCCAACGGTGATGCTTGTTCAAGGGTGTCGTCGAAGTCGAAGATGGATACGCCATCGAGGCCTCTTGGCCACTGGTCGAATCTGTCGTCAATCATCAGGCCTTGTCCGCGATCATCATCCGTCATACACGCAAGCTATACGTGCTCGCAGTTGATTCTTGCCTAGCTCGAGCTGGAGGGAGGAAGAGTCAAGAACATATGATTGGCTTGCGAGTGCAAGCCCTTGAGGAGTCTCAACGGCCTCAGACGTGTGGGCCCAATATCATCGCTGGTCGAGAAACTGAACGTTCTCTCGATATCCCCAAGTCCGGTCTCACTACGACGTCGTTGGGAGCCTCGCCTGCAGGGGTTCATGACCTGAGCCGGGCATTCTGCCCTTCGATGATCCATGTTCCATGGCCGGCTCTCTTCTGTCCGTCCGGAAATCCATTCCCAGTCCGGATTCACCCGTGCGCTCTATGCCATGTCTCTTGAACCATCGTGTGTGCTTCTGGAATCAGTGCTCAAGAGTTCAGGGTTCGTTTCGTCCAATCCACGGACAACCACCACGTGTGGTACCCCCTGTCTGGATCAAAGTATGCTCACAAGCCTTTGACACTTAGCAGCGCATGCTATGCTTGATCTACCCTTCCATCCCATGTTTCTTTCTCTCCATTCATCCCACCTTGATCAAACCAACTACGAGTCAGCAAATCCGACGAGTTGGGTTTTCATGATTTGACGACGACACGGTCCGAGGCCACTGCTGCGGCTTACCGCCATCGCCAACCTTGTGGTTGTCTTACAACCATCCCGATGTCGCCATTTTACGCTTTGGATGGAGGCGGCGGCGGGTGGTTAGAGTCGCGGGTCGACACGCAATGGACGCCGGAAAGTGATTCGAGCCGGACGGGTTATGGCATGCTCCAGTCGGCGACGAACTCGGCAACGGATTCACAGACCTTCACCCAATTCCGGTTTGCCGCCGCCAAATCCATCAGAACATCCACCATCATCTTGGCTTCTTTCAATACCATTGCCGCTTTGGTGACGGCTGTTGGGATTTTGACCGATACCTACCAACGTGAGAAGAAGGAGAATAAGAGGTTTAGGTTTAGGTGAGGCATGGCATGGAACACCATCATTTTGCAACGTGCTTACGCATCCCTTAGTCGGAATGGCTTCTCCTTTGTGCCCGCGACCGAAGCGTTCCCGCTTATCCTATCCGCCGGTATTGTTGTCCAGGGCATCACATTTGCGGTTGCCCAATCGACGGGACTCGATTCGCTCTTTGGCTCCGGTTGTACCCTGATCGCCATGTTTATGTTTCCTGGTAAGCTCATATGGCGTCAACAATCTGCAGTGATCCTGTCTGACGATTCCCAGCTGTTTTCATCGTTCCATATATCCAGTTAGTGTTCGGGCTTGAAGTCACAATAAGGAGCCTGCTAAAGAAGCCGTTTGCTCCGCGAGGGAGGTGGAACGTGACAATCTGCCTTTCCGTGGTTGGCTTGCTTCTCCTTGTGAACCTATTGGTAGCTATTCTCGACCGCTCGTCCAACTTTTGCATCACTTCGCTTTTCTGGTTCCTCGCACACTATTCGGTCGGGTGTTTTGGTCTTCTTGTGGGCATATCTGCTTTGCTCTTGGTTTGCGCCGTGGTCGTCTTCGTGAGGTTGCACCGGAGCAACAAGGTCGAGCTCGTCGAGAGAGCTGCGGCTTCAAGGATGGTTTATTACATGGCACTAGCCATCATATCTGAAGTAAGTCTCCCATGATCATCCCGCTCTTCAGGTATACTTGTATTCACACCTCACTAGGCTTTTATGATCCCATATTTCTACGTCATTGCTTTTGGGGGCCAAAGAAGGCACGCTCTCAACTTGTCCATGGTTGCTGCTGTTGTCGCCAATATCTCCGGCTTGATGACAGGAGGTTTATACTTGTTTCTGAAATTCAACGCCTCATCCACGATCGGGCCGAAGAACAAGGATGCCGATTACGAGAATCGAAGGGAAGGGTACAACAAGGCCGAACGATACGAGTCGAGCGGATTGGACTTCGACAGCCACATCATGCGACCGGTGACGAGCCCCGGCAGAGTCCGCCGCTTGGGCAGCAACGCCAGTCTAATAAGGACGGCCAGAGATGAAGAAGAAGAGAACAGCCCCACAACACCAACTATCCTCTTCCGTGCACCCACGATTCCAGAGCCCGCCCAGATGCCCTCGACATCCTCTGCCGCCGCAAATCATATGCAAAAAGAGTCCTATTCACTTTTCCCCACCCACCCAGGGGCACCGACCGCAAGACCATCCGCCGCCCTACTATCATCTACAACATATACACCTGTCTCTTCCTCCACACTTTCAGACGCCAGTACCCTCAAGCCCCCACCATCAATGGGTTTCCTCGCCGCCCGTGGGCACCGAAGGAACTCTTCCCTAGTCTCATCAGCAACAGTCCAGATTGGCCTGCGTCTCTCGTCAGTTGAGAACGTACCTCCACTCCTCAGTCCCGGTACCGACGTCCACGGCATCAACTGCCCCAAGCTCGATCGGAAGAACACGATAATACCAGAAAGGAAACAACAGCCTCTTTCTCCTCGGTTGATAACGGACTTTGATAATAATACGCCCGTTGTCAACAAAGAATATCTGCGGAGGGATTCAATGACGTACACGGAACCTGAGGCCGAGGGCGAGAAACATGAACAAGAACAAGAACAACTCGAGACGCTCAGTCCCACCATCTACAACTCAAAGAGTCCCGCAGATGAGCCGGTGCTGCTTAGTTCAAAGGTTTATACGCCTGCGAGTCCGGCACAGAAGCTGGAGACACTCAGCCCGAAGGTTTACTCGCCAACTGGCCCGGCTGCGGCTGAGGAGGTGGTGACGCTTAGTGCGAAGACGTATTCGCCTACGACTCCTACCAAGGCTAAATTACCTAGCCCGCGAAGCCCCCAGGGTGATGATGGTGGGGAGTTGTTGTCGAGCGCGAGGTATACACCGTGACGAGGCCGATGGTGATTAAATGAGAGATATATGATTATCGGATCGGATAGAACTTGGATATACACGGAGATGATGGAATGTACGAAATGTCAGTCGACATTACCCAGTGGTTCAACACACAAAAGACATGAAGTGTCCTTGTTTTCTCTTTTCTTTCGCTTTTTTTTTCTTTTTTGCCTTCTGTCCCTCCTTTTTTGCACGGCGTTACGGGACAATCGTTCATCTGGCTATCATATATACCTAGACTTCACCGTCCCTTTTCACTTTCTCTTTTCCTTCTTTTCTTTCTTTTTTGTTTGTGTGTCTGTTTTATATACCCTTCTCCAGTTTGCTGGCACATTGAGGGAAGCTTGTACCATACCATTTCTATGTACCTACCACTTGTACTTGTTCGAGTTAGAAATGTATTATGAATGACGAATAAGAAGAGTACCATACACTTGAAGGATAAGGAAGTCCCTTTTGTCGTATTACCCAGGAGACGATAAGAATGTGGTCAATTGTGTCATTATAGTTCGTAAAAGAGTACCGTTATCAAATACACTCTGGATGTGATACAGACCAACCAGCATACTCTCTGGTTCATGGGTGTATATGAGTCTCACTTGCGGCGAGCTTCCTGTGCTTTAACCCCCGCCCGATACAGTCTTGTGCCTTTTCTTCCCGCTAGTCCCCGATCGTCCTCCCTCAAACCCAATCTTCATCTTCCTCCAGAAGAGAAGTTCCGACCCCAAATATCTCGTCGGCCAAAGTCCTCGGCTCCACTAACTCGGCTCGAGTTGTGTGGTATCCGGCCAATTTCAAGCCCCTCTTTCAACGTGCTTGGGCGTGTAGTTACGCGACGACCCAGCAAAAGAAGGTGTAGGTACGCCGGTGGCCTCGTCTTATCTGCCGCTCCGGGATTGCCAGACAGTTGGAACCCATTGAATATGGCTGGCATAGCCATCCAGCCAAAGAGTCCAGCTCAGATGTCGACCCCATGCATGCCAACGCAAGTCATTGAGGACCCAATAACGCCATAGCTGGCAGCTGCTGGCCGCTCCCAGTTCCCAGTCGTCCTCTCGGGCATCCCAAAGTAGGGGAGAAGTCTCGTCCCGGAGTCTAGCTAACCCTGTCCGTTTCGGCCTTTTTCGTTCTCCAATTTCCAAAATCATTCATTCACCCGGTCCCACCCTTCTTTCTCACCTCCAAACCCCCGCCCTCCTCATAACCCCATCAAACTCCTCCCTCCTCACACCCCTCCCGACCCCGGCTCCCCCATTCGCCTCCAGTATCATATCCCTCAACAACTCGTCAGTGACATTTTCCTCCTTCAACACGGCCGCGACCCTTTTAAGATGGGCGAGTGTTATCACCGGTTTTTCTTGTTGTTCTTCTGGGTACTCCTCCTCTTCCTCGTTGTCGTGATCATCATTGTAGATTTGTTCGATTTCTTCAACCGAGCGCCCAACAAACAAAGCAAACGCCTCGTCCACCTCGCGCATGTGCGCTTCGCTGGTGCGGTCGCGTGACGAAAGCTTGATGGCGCAGATGGCGAGGAAGGACGGGTAGGTGGCGAAACCTTCGTCTTCGGGGTCGAGAATTGAAGTGAATTCGCGGAGTTCGTGGTTTGTTTTGGGCGAGATGCCTAGGGCGCTGTTTTTTTTGTTTTTTTTTGTTAGCTTTTGTACGATCTGGTTTCCAGTGTGCGACTGATTGGTAGGAGAATTGGGGAAAATGGAGTCAAAAGGATAAGTAGTACGAACATCATAGCCCGCCTAACATCCCCTATAGGAATAACCCCTTCCTTCTCGCCATCCATTGGTTCGGCAAACAAACTGAATGCTTCTTTGATCTCGGCTTCTTCTTGGGCGGTGATGTTGTTCTCTTTGGCTAGTTTCGATTGGCGCGGTCCGGCGGCTTTGGATGAGGAGGAGGCTGTTGCTGCTTTGCGCTTTGCTGGGGGCTGTATTGTATTGCAAAGTCGGGATGAGGTCAGCGCGCTTGCCAGGGACTACTACGTAAGGGAGAGAACAGGTTAGCATGTGCGGTGGTTTACCATTTTGTTCTTTTGTATTTATTTGATGTTCTTTTGCTGTTTGATTCGTAATGTCTGGTAGTATGGAGCAGGGCGACAGCAGGCGATGGTGCGCAATTGATTGTATTTGCGATCGAATGCGACCACGACGGCGACGATGATGACGATGGTGACGATGATGCGCATGCGACAGGCGCGCAACGACCTGTTAGGCTTATCTGACGGGTGGATCCAATAGCCGATAACATAGGAGGAAGTGGATGCCGTTTGCAGTGTCGAAGACGCCTGGTCACGTGTGTGCGCGGGTTGGCGGAGCCCGCTCAAAGAAACCAAGACCCACATCTTCCACCAGTTTGGAGTGGAGACAGAACAACGCCCAGATAAAAGTCTGCCGAAAATCCATTGGATCTTTGCTTCTTCTCCCAAAACACCAGTCTTTGTCAAAACAAAAACCGATCCCGACAGCAACACCATCACCAGCACATCCATTGTAACCGATTCTTCTCAATGAACGGCTTGAACGGACGCTTTTTTTCATCCCTTGTTCGTCACAAAGCAGAATCCCTCCCTCCCTTTTTCTCACTGTCTAGTGAAAGAAAGTAAAAGGAGTACGGCGGGCCAGTCAAGTTCGGCCCCCCTTTTGGTTATGCCTACTCTACTTTTTTCTGTGAAGAAAGAGGGACCGATGAAGCTTATGATGATCATGATACATAACATACCCTTTCCTTTGTCATCTCTTCCCTTCCCCTTACCCAAAACAAACACCCAACACAGCTTCATCAATATGCTAGAGCTTGTCGCCTTTAAAATAACCCCAGGGCGTGCGAGTGTGGACATTGAAGCAAGAATAAATGTACGGCTGGTTCATTCCTTCAAATGGCCACCCTCCGTCAAGCCATGAATCATCTTGTTTTGCCCGTCTCGGGCCTTGATGGCATGTGCTTGCGGATACATCTCGAGTGACACATGAAGCTTTTTGTGTAGATTGTGGAATGAGTTGATGTGCTCGGTTCCTTGGGACGAGCATGTTGTGGCTCGAATTCTAGAACCAACCGTTGTTGCAGCGATTGCCCCTGGCCATTAAAAAAGGTCGTTCCTGCAATGTTGTTGCTCGATCGCATGTTCGTTCAGATTTTATTTGGAATCGAGCGTCACAGCCTCACGGATGAACAATGACGATGACGACGAGGACAGAGAGAGGGTCTTGGGTACTTCTTTTATTCTTCATGATTCATGAACCTATCCCAACGCTCACTTGAAGCTGTTCTTCATCTCCCTCAACTTGGTCATGATAGCGACCGGATCGGTCTCTCCCGTCGCCTTCTGGATCACAGGGTCCTGTTGAACGACCAGGTTAGCTGCTGTCTTTTCCTCGTGATAGGTAGTCTCCCGGGTAGCAGTGATTGACTCTTTCTTACCTGAGGCCTCATAAACACATTGTGCTTCTTCTCGTCACCAATGGTGAACTTGCCCTGCGTCTCCTGGTTCTTGTCCGCGAAAGCGCTAAGAGCCTTGACGGCCTCGCTCTGCAATACTGACATGCAGAACTTGACGTTGGATTTGGTGTATTCGTGACCGGGCTTTGATTCAGCTTGTGTCAGATATACATTCTCTAGCATCGTGGTAGAGATAGGGACTGAGTGGACTTACGAAAACACGAGTCTCATCCGGCAAAGCAGCAAGCGTCTCGTTCAAAGCCTTGTGCATCTCCGCACCATTTCCTTCGAAGAAGCGACCGCATCCTACGTTTGCCAACTTGTCAGTCTCACCATGGCTTTCATGTCAACCCAAACAACACTCCAGGGCCCGAGGCCAAAACATACCTCCATGGAAAAGCGTATCCCCAGTAAACACAACCTTGTCATCCCCATCCTCCATAAACCAGCATATGCTATCCTGGGTGTGGCACGGCGTATGCAGAGCCTTGACGGCGATGCTGCCGATGTTGAAACCTTCGCCGTGGGCTGGGGTCTTGTTCACCTTCTCGCAGTCTCTGCCGCCGATAATTTCGAGATTGGGGAGGCCGAGGGCGGTGCGCTGTAGATGTGTGAGTAAACCTTGCACCCGCAACTCTTAAGGAGGGAATGGAAGGGGGGCGTACGAGCTTGGTGTTACCGCCGGCGTGGTCCCAATGGCTGGAGGCGATGTTAGCCTGTGAAGGTAATTTGGAAGACAGAAGGGAGGTAACGCACTGATGGGTGTTCACAATAGCTGTGAGCTTGATGGAACCATCGTCGATGGCCTTCTTCAGGACTGGAGCGACCCTTCATACGGAAATTGCCTGTCAACAGATCTCCTTCCCACACCGAATGTTGAATACGCGCATATTCTGGTCTTAAAGCTAGAACGCTGTGAGACTCACTCCTCAGGGTTCGCGGGATCGATGATGACGGCATCTTTGGATTTGTCGTCAACAACGAGGTAGGCGTAGTTGTCACTACTGCCCGTCCCTGTTCAATCCGTTAGCATAGGAATAACACAACACGGTTTCCTAAAAAGAGAACCGTTGAACTTGACGGGTCTGGATGGAAGATGACATACACATGGGAATCGACTTGATATGCATTTTGCGGGTGGTGGCAGCGAACTGAAGTTCCAACGAAATCAGCACTCTAGATCCATTCATGAAAGAAAATTGGGAGCTCTTCCTACCTGTCTATAGACGTGTCGTGGAGCTAGAGATGTCCTGACGATGAAGGTGTTCATAGATGCAAAGCTGTTTTGTTTTTGGTGATGGTCTGAACCCCGCAGTGAAGCTCCCCGGAGCTCGGTGTTAGCTCTTTCTTCTCTTGCATTGGGCGATGTTGGAGATGACGGCTGACTAACCCACGTTTTTCTGTTCACCACACTTTTTCCGTAAAATAATGCAACTTTTGAAGTTGTCCTACACACGCGAAGTGGAAAGGTGCAATTGTTGAGGAAGAGTTGAAGTGCGTTAGTGCTGCCCGTATGACGTTATCACTGCTTGGATAAGCTCGCTCGGCAGAAAAGGTTCACGGAGATAACATGCCATACTCCGCTTCCAGGCGGGTAAAGTCAATACCAAACGACATGTCCAGGTTCAGTAGCGATTGAAACCAGCTTTTTGACGGCCGTATGGAAACTGCTGACCACCACAAGGTATCGCAACTTAAAGACTCCGACAGATGAAAACATCGCCAAATCCACCCAACAGTCCTAATTCAAGCCTCAAACAGCACCAATAGGCTTAGGCACCCACTCATCCTCACTATACAATCGCCACGCCGGTCCCTCATCCTCATCACCTCCATCCTCACCACTACCACCCTCATCCTTCTCGTTCCCCTCCTCCTCCTCCTCCTCATCCAACATAATCACATCCTCACCCTTCACCCTCTTCTCATCCTCATCCTCCACCTCCGGCAAATGCTTCCAATAATACTCCCAAATCCACTCCAGCCCCTTCTTCGCCGCGGTCCTCAGCCTCGTCAAGCTCGGCAGCTGCTCGTGCGTAGCCTGGTGCCTCAGCTCGACAAAAGTCGCGGGAAGCCCGACGCTCTTGGCGACGCCGTACATGGACATTTTGCGCTGTTTATCTTGATGGGAGTCTAGGAGGCCTGTTACGAAGCTGTTTTTTGTCGTTCGTTAGCCTCTCGACACACACCATAAAGCAAAAGAACAGAGGAAGGAGGGGAAAAGGGTTTAAAGGAAAAGGGGCTAAGGAACGAACAAAGGACAGAAGGGAATAGAAAAAAGAAAAGAAAAAAAAGGAAAGAAAAACATACCGACTAAAAGCAGCAGAATAAGCCGCCCGAACCGCATAACTAGAGCTCATAACTCCTATCCCATTGCCGCTTCCAATCCCATTACCAACCCTGAACCCTTCCACGACCCTTCCCATACCCATACCCATCCCCATCCCCGAAGTCCAGGAACTGCAAGTGCCCGAGGAAGAACCAGCAATACCAGTCTGCTCCTCATCCGACAAAATCGCCGCCATGAGCAAGGCCGTCGACTCAACCATGTGCGGACAATTACCGCGTTGCATCCACATGGAGACGCGAGCGACGGCTAGGCGGCGTTGGTCTCTTCCTCTGTCTTGGTTTTGGTCTTGAGCTTGAGCTTGTCGGCCTTCATGTTCATCCTCGGGTTGCGTGCCGCCGCCGCTGGCTGAGGAGCCATTGCCGTCATCGGTTCGGGTGCGTTTGCGGGTGGTGGTGGTGGCGGTGCGTTGGGTGTTAGTGGTTTGTGCTGCGCGGCTTCGTTTTGATCCTGATGCTGCTGCTGTTCCTGACCCTCCTCGCTGCGATAGTTCTTGTGGTGGTGGTTGTGGTGCTGCCTGAGTTTCGTACTGATGCGGGTAGAACTGCCGGCGAACGGCGAGGAGTTCGCGGCGGTCGCGCCAGGGCGTGAAGATGTACTGGACCATTTTCTCTTTTATCCTCCTTGACTTCCGGTAGTAGTAGTTGTGGTTTCGTAGGGTGTCAAATCACGGTATTTTGGCCGGTATTTGGACTTTGAAGTGGTTCACCGGATTCAAGGTTTGAGCTTTGAAGTCGGGATTAAATTTGAGTTTGCGGCATCGCGCGGCAGTGGAATTTCTGTCAAAAAATCCGTGTGATGAATGAAGCTCATCCATAAACACCAAAACAGAACTTGAAGCCGGTACGGATGGTTTGTCTGGGCGTTTGACTCCTCATCATATCTTGACGGTTATTATTTCGTTGCTTTTTGGGTGGTGGTGGGAAAATACACTTTTTGTGTCGGACACGGACCCCCAGGCATTTTCGACTGCATGACCTTTTCTCAGATCTTGTTCAGTTTTGAAATTTTACGACTCTATACTCGACCTCACGACCGCCGTTTTCATCTAATCACCTCAAATGATAATAAATGATGGAAACAGGCAAATAATTAAGCTTATTAAGCGGTTCAAGCGTCAGAACACAGAAACCTGCCACTGCAGACGGAATTTCACATGGGGCTTCAACATGCGGTGTCGATTCGTGCAACTACCTAAATCCATGCCTACATGCCCGCAAAACCCAATACGGCATGATGACATGCCTCCCCATGAACCTGAGTGTATGGACATGCCACCTTCATGAGGCGCCTGACTTTGCCGGGCGAATTCCCTTTCTTTTCCTCCTTTTTGTTTTCTTAAACGCCGCGACTTTTTGCTATCTTTGCATTTCACCGAAGCAACGCCATGCACAACCCTTCTATGTGCTCCATGTCCGATCGGGGATAAACCCCTTTCGTCTAGTCCAGTTGACTTCGCCCACGGGGATTTCCAACTCGGCGTCCTAGTCAAAGAGAACACCTTTTCTTGTTTTCAACATTTTCCAGTTGACCAAAGAGCTTTTTTGCTCAAATAACTTAGGAGATGGTCTTCTCAATCATGGTAATACCATACTTCTCATGGAGCTCCTTCATCAAAGGCTCGGTGATGTCAGTGCTCATAGGAGCCAAAACACCCTTGCCAGAGATCTGGCCGCTCAGGACCTGCTTGACAGCGACGGCGCAAGGAACACCGACGGTCTTGGCCATGGCAGAGTAGCCCTTGGGGTCACCGTACTCGACGAGGGTCGAGGTACGGGTCTCACGGGAGCCATCGGCGTGCTCGATCTCGAACTTGTGCTGGAGCATGACCAAGTCGCGCTCGCCCTCCTCGAACTGCATCTTCTGCTCAAGAGTGGCGCAAAGAGTGTCGAGAGGGTTGCCGCGGGGGGTGATGGTCTCGTCAGAGAAGAGACCGATCCAGCGGAGACCGCTGAGGATGCGCTGCTTGTCCTCGGGGGATTCGAATGTGGCCTTGGAGAGGATGGCGGCCTCGAGGTCCTCCGGGCTGGAGGAAGCGGCACCAACAATCTCCTTGGTGGCCTCCTTCCAGGGGGTCTGCTTGCTCAGGCTTTCGCGGGCGGTGTCGTCAAGGAAACCAATGTCGACGAGAGTCTTGATGAACTGAGGGAAGCCCTGGTAACGGAGAGTGCCACGGATGACGGTCTGAGCCTCGGGGATGTTGTAGCGCTCCTTGTAGATGGTAGAGTCGCGGTTGGGGTAGGCGACAAAAGCGTAGCCGGGGTAGATGAAGTAGGGCTTGGCCATCTTCATAAGGTCCTTGCCCTCAACCTCGACAATCTTGCCATCCTGCCACCACTTGCCGGCGTTGCGGAGAGCGAGCAGGACACCACGAGAAGACCAGGAGAACTTGTAGCCGAGCGGGTTGTCGGAGTCCTCGGGGGCGGGAGACCACCGCAGTAGGAGAGGAAGGAGAGGATTTTGCCGCCAGCCTTGTGGACCTCATCGATGGTCTTGATGGCGTACAAGTGGTCGATACCAGGATCGAGCTGTAGAACGACTTAGTACGAATGGTAGCTTCGAGAGCTAATATGTCAATTGACTTACACCAATCTCGTTCATGACGGTGATGCCGGCGGCCTTGGCCTCGGCATCGAGCTCCATCATGGCGGGGGAGACATAGCTGGTGGTAACGACGTGCTTCTTCTGGCGGATAGCCGACTTGATGACGGTAGCGTGGAAGGTGTAGGGGATCAAGCTGATGACGAGATCGTGCTTGGCAACCTCAGCATCGAGAGCCTCGTCGTTGGTGACATCGAGCGAGATGGGGGTGGCGTTCTTGACGCCCTCGGAGAGCTTCTGAGCAGAGGCAAGAGTACGGCAGGCTGTTGTGCCCTTCAAGTCAGCCGGAAATGCACATTTTATCGTTTATTGTCGAGGTGTTGACGTACCGACGGTGACGGGAATGCCAGATTCGCTGAGGACATCGAGAGTAGGGCGGGTGACGAAGCCAGCGCCAAGCATGAGAACCTTGCTGAGAATGGGAGACTTGAGGTTAGCATCCCTAGCTCTTAAGGTCGCCCGGGATAAGGGTAGGACGGCGTGTAGGGGGGTTT